ATATTTTAGTAATCTTAAAATATTTCTATATTATAATTTTTATTATTTTATTATTTTCACTCAAATAGTATTTCAAAAAAATAAAAAAATATTTATCATTTGATTTCTATTTACATTTCCTTCATAAGTTAGAATTTTAAATCCTTAGTTTCTATTTATTTACTTGAGTATTTTAATTTTTCATTAATTCTATACTTCTTTTTGACATATTTATTCGAATCATATATTCATGTCATTATCATTTCTAGAATTAAATTTTTAAAACCTGATTTATGAATGGTAGATACAGCTTGGAATCAATCTTAGAAAATTTAGCTACCAACCATTCTAAGAATTTAGGGGCATAGGAAAAACGAAATTTACCACCCATATTAAAGAACCCCAATAATAGAAAAAGGAAAAAAATCATCTTTTGTAAAAGTAGAATCACCTAGGATGGCTCATTTTGCCCAAGAGAGTGAGATTGTTGAAAATACTCAGCCTTATAAACCTATGCGTGATTATTATACACCTAATTTATATAGACCTACTTTCGAGGTTAGACCTCCTATTTTGCCAAATGTCCATTTTGATATTCATCATAGCACTCTACCAATGCTTCCTGAATTTCGTGGATTAACTAATGAGGAATCACATCAGAATATTCTTCAATTTTTAACTATGTATGAACTTATTCATATTTCTAATATTCCTCAAGATGCACTTAAGTTACATCTCTTCTCATATTCATTACATGATAAAGCTAGAGATTAGTTCATTGACGTGACTTAGTCATTGTATAGTAAATCACGTAAATTTAAAATTTATAAATATAGAAAATATGAATTTTTAGATATTTAGAAATATTTCTTAATAAATATATTAATTATAATTCAATAAAACTTCCAAAAATAGTGGTAATTTTCCAAGTTGATCATAGAGATGTGATATAATATCTAGTAATTATTTAGAATTTTTCTCAAAGAATAATATTTTTTATGAATTTTATACTAAAAATTGAAAAGAAATTATATTTAAAGTTCAGGAAAAAAAAATAAGGGTGCAGATGTTAGGATGATGTCGGCACCTAGTGAACGTGAATTGAGTGGAAATAGAGTTCCGCCTAGTAATTCTTACATAAGTGATTACAGACGATTTAATTGATCAAACTAAGATCTGTAAAAGTTGAAAGAATCTTAATGAAATAATATTTTGGTAAATTTAAAATCAACAAATTATCACTAAATGAAATAGAAATTAAGTTGAAAGTAGAAAAATAGAGTTCTAGCATCGCGGCGGCGATGCGTCGGTGATGCACTGAAATCTTAAGCATTCGAGAGGACCGTCGTGCAATGTCCATGGCCTCAAAGGCTCTCCTTAGATAAAGATGACATGGGCAATCTCTAGATCTCCTTGCGAAGTCTAGAGATCAATGAAATGGGTCATCGAATCATCTCTAGCGGCTGTCACCTGGTGGAGCAAAAAAACGGCAACTTGTGGCTCTCCGATGGCTGTCACCTAATGGAGAGAAGTTGGATAGAGGTGGGGCATGTGTCAAGGAGCTTCATCCTCAGGTCTGAACAGTAAGAAGAGGCTCTTTGTTGCATCTGGTACGCTCTTAAGAGGTGACGACTCGTCTCCTGACATATCGTCCTCTCGACGATGGCTTGTTTGTTGATCAATCGGAGATGATTTACTCGATGGATTCGCGATCCTTTTATCGTGAATCCTTTAGCAATTTTAGTAACAATGCTCCATGAATCACATTGATGAGACTTTCACTGATAATTCAACGATCTTAGTTGCTTAATCTTTCACCAGCGATCTACAAGAAAGTCATGATAATCAGATAAAAATATGAGTTTTGGCTCTAGGAGGATTCAAACCCATGCCAATTGCCCGCTCTTTTTGGGGAAGGTGACGCAGGTTTAGTCCCACATCGATTGTGTGCTGAAGTTTCTAGTAAATTTATAGTAATATTACACTTCTGATCAAGTCACTTTCTCGTGTGTGTATGACCACTCCTTGCCCCACAACCGACTGGCCACTAGTGACATGGAAGGGGAGTGGCGCACATGTGTCCCCATCAGTTCAAGCTGCTCGAGCCTCTACTCACAGCTCCTGCCCGATTGCGCTTCTGACCCGCTTGTAGGCCTAGCTAGCTGGCGGGTCTCCCCCATTTTGCTATTTTTATTTTAATTTCTTTTCCTTTATTTATCTCGAAAGTAAGTCTATAAAATCATATAAAATCCTATAAAAATCATAGAATTACCCAAAATTTTACGTTAATCAACTGAAAACCACTTTTCACACTTTAACACAAATATAAGTTTATTTGTTGTGAGTTAAGGCTAAAAATATATTATTTACTAATTATTAACTTATGATAATTAAGACTTATCACTCACATCATTATCACATGAGATCACTACATAATTAAAAGTAAAACAAGTATTTTTGAGAAAATTCTATCCCATTGGCAAGACTTATGTCATGAGGAAAGCAATTCTCTAATTTACTCAAAAATCAGGAGAAGCATTCCATGAATCTTAGGAAAGATTCAAGGAGCTTCAAAGGAGATGTCCACATCATGAAATTGCCAAATGGTAATTAAATCGTGTATTTTATGATGGTGTATCTAAACAGTACAAGAATACTATAGATGCGGCATGTGGAGGCATATTCATGAGTAAAGATGAGGATGAAATTTATAGATTATATGAAAATTTGAGTGAGAATTCTGCTGAAATGTGAATCTTTTGCTTTATATGATCACACCAAGAATGAAAATAAAGGAGAAATATTTGAGGTTAGAAATCATGATACATTAGACATTAGAAATGAAGTTAGTGAGGTTCATCAAAAGCTAAATGTTTTACATGATCATTTACTACATAAAAAGGAACCTACACAACGAGCACAACATTCATCTTCTAGATGTTCATTGTGTGGTAGGTGATAAGTCTTCATTATTATGAATTAATAACTAATAAATAATATAATTTTAGCCTTAACTCATGATAAATAGACTTATATTTGTGTTAATTTGTGAAAAGTGATTTTTAGTTAGTTAATGTAATTTTTTGACTAATTATGTAATTTTATATGATTTTATATGATTTTTATAATCTTATTTTTTAAATAGATAAAGAAAAAGAAAGAAAATAAAAAAATAGAAAAAGGGGGGACCCACCAACTAGTTGGGCCCATCAAAAGTGCAGTCTAGGTGGAGCCACAAGTAGGGGCTCAAGCAGCTATGGACCAATGTGGGCACGTGCGCGCCACTCCCCTTCCACGTCAACAGTGGCCAACTAGTTGTGAAGCAAAGAGTGGCCGTACACATAGGAGAAAAGGATTCATTACTTACAAATATGATATTACTATATATTCTTCCAAAACTTTGACATACAATCAATGTGGGACTAAACTCATGTCACACCTTCTCCTGAAAGACTTCAAAATTTTGAATACCTAAACTACCTCTTATTTATAATAGAGATATACCATAATGATGTCACTTGATAAGGGCATTAGAGTACTTATTTCAATCTCTCTCATGTAGGCGGGCAATTGGCCTAGGTTCGAATCCTCCCAAAGGTAAAAGTTGTATTTTTATCTACTTATCACAACTTTCTTGTAGATTGTTAGTGAAGGATTAAGTCACTAAAATTGCTGAATCATCAGCGAAAATCTCATCAACGTAATTCACGAAGTATTATTACTGAAATTGCTGAATAATTCACGATAAAATGATCGCAAATTCATTAAGAAAAAAATTTTGATTTATCGATGAACAAGCCGTCGTCACAAAGAAGACAATCCGTCGGGAGACAAGTCACCACCTCCTAAGAGAGTACTAGATGCGATGAAGAGCCTCCTCTTCTTGTACAAACCTAAGGATAAAGCTCCCTAACATGTGCCCCACCTCCATCTAACTCTTCTCCGTCAGGTGACAGCCACCAGAGAGCCGCAAAGTTGTCATTTTTCTACTCTACTGGATGACAGTTGTCAAAGATGATTCGACGTTCTATTTCATCGATCTCTAGACTTTGTAAGAAGATCTAAAGACTGTCCACATCATTCTTGTCTAAAGAAAAGCTTCAAGGCTATGGACATTGTACAACAATAACCTGAATGTTTAGAATTTCGATGCATCGTCAATTGATAAGTCTTCATTATCATGAGTTAATCATTAGTAAATAATATAGTTTTTACCCTAACTAATGATAAATAGACTTATATTTCTGTTAAATTATGAAAAGTGGTTTTCAATTGATTAATGTAAATTTTTAGTTAATTATATATTTTTTTATAAATTTATATGATTTTTATAGTCCTATTGTTGAGATAAATAAAAAAAAGAAATTAAAATAAAAATATAACAAAACGAGGGGACTCACTAGCCAGCCATGCTTGCAAGGGGGTTGGAAGCACAGCCAAGGGGAGTTTCTATCAAGGCCTCCAATGACTAGGACCAATGGGGAGCATGTGTGCACCACTCTCCTTTCACATCACCAATGGCCAATCAGCTGTGAGGTAGGGAGTAGTCGTACTCGTAGGAGAAAAGGACTCATTACTTCTAAAATATGATATTACTATATATTCACTCAAAACATTAGGGCACAAGCAATGTAAAACTAAACCTGCATCACACCTTCCCCCAAAAGGCTTCAAAGATTTAAATACCTAAACTACCTCTTTGTTATAACAGAGATATACTATGATAACATCACTTGATAAGGGCATTTGAGTACTTATTTCAATTTCTCTTATATAGGCATACAACCGGTGCGGGTTCAAATCCTCCCAAACCCAAAACTCATATTTTTATCTGATTATCGCGACTTTTTTGCAAATCATTGGTGAAGGATTAAGCCATCAGAATCGTTAGATCATCAGCAAAAATCTCGTCAACGCGATTCACGGAGGCATTGTTACTAAAATTACTGAATAATTCTTAATAAAAGGATTATGAATCCATCAAGTAAATCATCTCTGATTGATTGACAAATATGCCGTCGTTAGGAAGAGGATGATCCGTCAAGAGACGAGTCACCATCTCCTGAGAGCATACTAGATGTAATAAAAAGCCTCCTCCTATGTGGACCTAAGGATGAAACACCCTAACATGTGCCCCGCCTCCATTCAGCTCCTTTTCATCAGGTGACATCCACTAGAAAGCTACAAAGTCGCTATTTTTCCACTTTGCTAGGTGATAGCCGCTAGAGATGATTCGATAACCTATTTCATTGATCTCTAGACTTCATAAGGAGATCTAGAGATTGCCCACGTCATCCTTGTTCGAGGAGAGCCTTCAAGGCTGTGGATATTACACGATGATTGACGTGACTTAGTTATTGTATAGTAAATCACATAAATTTAAAATTTATAAAACTAAAAAAAATGAATTTTTTAATATTTAGAAGTATTTTTGAACAAATATATCAAGTATAATTCAATAGAACTTTCAAAAATAGTGATAATTTTCTTAGTCAATCACAAGAATGTAATATAATATCAAATAATTATTTATAATTTTTCTCAAAGAATACTATTTTTTATAAATTTTATACTAGGAAATGAAAATAAAATATATTTGAAATTCACGAAAAAAGAAAATAAGGATGTAGATGTCAAGATGATGTCAGTGCCCGGTGAACACAAATCTGGTAGAAATAGAGTTCTACCTGGCAATTCTTACGTAAGTGATTACAAACAATTTAATTGATCAAATTAAGATCTCTAAAAGCCAGAAGAATCATAATTGAATGAAGTATATCTTGGTAAATTTAAAACACACAAATTATCACTAAATGAAGTGAAAATTAAGTTGAAAGTAGGAAAACAAAGTTTCGATATCGCAGTGGCAATGCATCGGCGATGCACCGGAACCCTAAATGTTCATCATGTAGTGTCCACAGCCTCGAAGGCTCTCCTTGGACAAGGATGATGTGTGCAATCTCTAGATCTTCTTGTAAAGTCTAGAGATCAATGAAATGGGTCATCGAATCATCTCTAGTAGCTGTCACCCAGTAGAATAGAAAAATGGCGACTTTGCGGCTCTTTAGTGGCTGTCACCTATTGGAGATGAGTTAGATGGAGGTGGGGCGCACGTCTAGGAGCTTCATCCTCAAGTCCCCACAGCAAGAGGAGGCTTTTCATCCCATCCGATACACTCTCAAGAGGTGGCCACTTGTCTCTCAACGGATCATCTTCTTCTTGACGACAGCTTGTTCGTCAATCAATCAAAGATGCTTTACTCAATGGATTCGCGATCCTTTTATCACAAATCGTTCAACAATTTTAGTAATAATGCTCCATGAATCATGTTAACGAGATTTTTGTCAATGATCCAGTGATTCTGGTTGCTTAATCCTTCAACGGCGATCTGTAAGAAAGTCGTGATAATCAAATAAAAAATATGAGTTTTGATTCTAGGAGGATTCGAACCCATGCCAGTTACCCACCCCTTTCTAGGGAAGGTGTGACGTAGGTTTAGTCCCACATTGATTGCGCGTCAAAGTTTCAGATGAATATATAGTAATATTACATTTGAAGGCAAGTCCCTTTCTCGAGCGTGTACGACCACTCCTTGCCCCACAGCCGACTGGCTATCGGTGACATGGAAGGGGAGTGGTGCACACGTGCCCCTATCAGTCCAAGCCACTCGAGCCCCTACTCAAAGGCACTTTCCAACTGCACTTCCAACCCGCTTGCAAGCCTGGCTAGCTAGCAGGTTCTCCCCATTTTGTCTTATTTTTATTTTTATTTCTTTTTCTTCATTTATCTCAAAAGTAAGACTATGAAAATCATATAAAATCATATAAAATCATAGAATTACCCAAAAATTTATGTTAATCAATTAAAAACTCTTTTCACTTTTTAACATAATTATCAGTTTATTTATCATGAGTTAAGGCTAAAACTATATTATTTACTAATTATCAACTTATGATAATCAAGATATGAACAATCCTCTCAAATGCTCAAGATTCTGATGCATCAGTAACGCATCGCTGTCGTGACACCATAATTCTATTTTTCTACTTTCAACCTAATTTTTTCTTTATTTAGTGATAATTTGTGTGATTTAAATTTACCAAATTATACTTTATTCAATTACAATTCTTTCAACTTTCACAGATCTTAATTTGATCAATTAAATCATCTATAATCACTTATGTAAGAATCATCAAATGGAATTCTATTTCTGTCCAATTCATATTTGTTAGGCATTGATATCATCCTAACATCCACACCCTTATTTTCCTTTTTTGTCAATTTTAAATATATTTTATTTTCATTTCATAGTGTAAAATTTATAAAAAATTATATTTTTTGAGTAAAATTATGAAAATTACCTAATATTATATTCCATCCTTGTCATTAGTCTAGAAAATTACCACTATTTTTGAAAGTTTTATTGAATTATAATTGATATATTTGTTTAGAAATACTTCTAAATATTTGAAAATTGATATTTTCTAGTTTTATAAATTTTAAATTTGCATAATTTACTATACAATGACTAAGTCACATCAACGTGCAAGGGTTGACCACCTTTTTACCTTCTCCCAAGATGGTCGTGGACATTATTTTATTTCAAGATAAAGGATCTCTATTGAGAGAGCATAGCTTTGGTTTACTATACAATGACTAAGTCACATCTAAAATTTAAAATCACACAAAGTACCACTAAATTAAGTTAAAAGTAAGGAAGATAAAGTTCTGATTTTACAATAAGGATCATCGAAATTCTGTGTTTGAAAGGAACATCATACAATGTCCATGGCCTCTAAGGCTCTCTTTCAACATAGACGACTTAGGTAATTTCTAGATCTTCTTGTAAAGTTTAGAAATCAACAAAAGTAGGTTGTCAAATCATCTTCAGGGGCTATCACCTAGTAGAGTGGAAAAATGATAACTTTACAATTCTTTGACAACTATCACCTAATTGAGATGAGTTGGATGAAGGTAGTGTGCATCTTAAAGGGCTTCATCCTCAGATCTATATAGTAAAAAGAGGGTCTTCATCACATCTAGTACACTCTTAAGAGGTAATGACTCCTCTCTTGGCGAATCATCTTTTTTCTAATAATGACTTATTTGTCAATTAATCGAAGATGATTTACTCAATGAATTTGTGATCTTTTTATCTAAAATCAATCAACAATTTTAGTAACGATGCTTCACAAATTATGTTGATTAAATTTTTGCTAATGATTAACTGATTCTAATGGTTTACTCTTTCACCAGCAATTTATAAGAAAATCATAACTTCATCTACCAAAAATATGAGTTTCAACTCTAGTAAGATTTGAACCCTTGTTAGTCGCCTACTTATATGAGAGAGAGTGAAATAAGTATTGTAATACCCTTATAAAGTGACGTTATTAGGATATCTAATTTTTATAAATAATGGGTATTTTAGGTATTAAAATCATTAAAAATCTTCAGGAAGCCAACTTAATCCCACATCATTTATTTTACCAGTTTTGTAGTCTATATATAATAACATAACATTTAACAGTCAATAAGCCTCTCTCTCATATGTGTGTGTCTCACTACTCCTTGCCCCACGCCCAATTGGCCACTAGTGACGTGGAAGGGGAACGATGCACATTTGTCCCCCTTATCATGCATCCTTAGTCACTCGAGCCCACTGCTCATGGCTTTGCCCGACTATGCTTCCAATTTGCTTGTAGGTCCAGCTGGCCGGTAGGTTCCCCCCTTTTTATATTTTTTTTATCTCCAACAATATATTAAGAATTATATAAATTCACATAAAATCACATAATTAATCAAAAATTCACATTAACCAACTAAAAATTACTTTTCATAATTTAACACAAATATAAGTCTATTTATCATGAGTTAAGATTAAAAATATATTATTAATTAATTATTAATTCATGATAATGAAGACTTATCAAGGGGTGTGTGGGAGACATGGCTTCATCTCCATCCTCCTCTTCCTCCTCATGGGTCCACTTATAGAGATGAATCCTCTTGTTAGCTTGAATGACCCTCTTGAAAATGAATCTAATATTATATGTGAGATCTAATGTAACCTAATCATTATATAATAAATCATGTAAATTTAAAATTTATAAAATAAGAAATTATCTTTTTTATATTTTTATAAACTTTAAAAATAGTGAGAAATTTTCATCTCTATCATAGTGACATAAGATTCTAGAATTTTTTTCAAAAGAATGAGTCTTTCTATTTTTTAGAATAAGTGATGAAGATTAAGTATTTTTAAAATTCACAAAAAGGAAAATTCAGGTTGAATGTCAAGATGACGTTAGCACTTAGATGAATGTGAATTAGGTAGCAATATAATTTCATCTGGTCCCTTTTTGTAAATAATTATAGATAATTTACTTGATCAAATTAAGATATCTAAAAGCTAGAAAAATCAAAACTAAATGAAGAAGATTTTTAAAATTAGAAATCACACAAAATCTCACTAAATTAAGTAAAATATTAAGTTTAAAATAGAAAAGTAGAATTCTGACAATGTGACAATGATCATCAAAATTCTGTATGTTCGAGAAGACTGTCATGTAATATCTATTACCTCAAAAACTTTTTTTGGAGAAGGAAGACCCAAGTAGTCTCTAGATCTTCATGCAAAGTTTAGAAATCAATGAGGTGGGTCGACAAATTGTCTCTCGTAATTGTCACTTTTAGATAATTTAGATCTCTCGTGGCTGTCACCCAATGAAGATAAGTTAGATGGAGGTGAGAGACATCTTAGGGAGCTTCATCCTCAAGTCCACACAACATGATGAGGCTCTTCATTTCATATAGTATGCTCGCAAGAGGTGGCAACTAGTTTCCTAACATATCATTCTCTTTCCGACAATGACTTATTTATCAATTAATTGAAGATAATTTACTCGATAGATTCATAATCTTTTTATCTATAGTCCTTTGACAATTTTAGTAACAATATTTTGCAAATTGTGTTGATGAGATTTTTATCAATAATTGAATAATTCTTGTGACTAAGTTGTTGACTGGGACTCTATAAAATAATTACAATTAAATTAGATAAAAAATATAAGTTTTGGTTTTAGTGGTATTCGAATATTTATTAGTCATCCACCTACATGAGAGATAAGTGAAATAAGTACGTAAATACCCTTGTAAAGGGATCTCATAAAGATATCTCATTCTCATAAATAATGGGAATTATAAGTATTAAAATTATTGTAAACCTTCCAAGAAGTTGTGATGCTAATTTAGTCTCACAACAATTATTTTTTAAGTTTTGAGACACATATATAGTAATACAAGACTTTTTCATCAATAAGTCTCTCTCTCGTGTGTGTACAACCATTCTTCATCCCACGTCCACTTGGCCATTGATGATATGGAAGGGGAGTGACCCACACATGTCCCCTATCAATCCTTAGCCACTTGAGCCCCTCCTCACAGCTCTACCTAATAGTGCTTCCAATCCACTTGTAGGCCCAATGATAAGTCTTCATTATCATGAGTTAATAATTAGTAAATAATATAATTTTAGCCTTAACTCATGAAAAATAGACTTATATTTGTGTTAAAGAATGATTTTTGGTTTTCAATTGATTAACGTGAATTTTTGGGTAATTATGTGATTTTATATGATTTTTACAGTCTTACTTTTGAGATAAATAAAGAACAAGAAATAAAAATAAAAAATATTACAAAATGGGGGGACCTGTTGGCTAGCCAGGCTCGCAAGCGGGTCGGAAGCGCAGTCAGGGAGTAGCCGCGCGCAGGGGCTCGAGTGGCTTAACTTGGACTGTTAGGGGCACGTGTGCGCCACTCCCCTTCCACGTCACCAGTGGCCAACTGACTGTGGGGCAAAGAGTGGTCATACACACGAGAGAAATGACTTTCTTACAAAGTTAACATTACTATATATTCGCCGAAAAATCAACGCACAACCAATGTGGGACTAAACCCGCGTGACACCTTCCTCACAGGCGGGCGACCAGCGCGGGTTCGAATCCTTCCAGAGTCAAAATTCATATATTTTTATCTGATTATCGCAACTTTCCTGCAGATTGCCGGTGAAGGATTAAGCAACGAGAATCGTTGGATCATCTGCAAAAATCTTGTCAACGCGATTCATAGAGCATTGCTACTAAAATTACTGAATGATTCGCGATAAAAGGATCGCGAATTCATCGAGTAAATCATCTCCGATTGATCAACGAACAAGCCGTCGTCGAGAAGAGGACGATCTGCCGGGAGACCAGTCGCCACCTCTTGAGAGTGTACTAGATGCGATGAAGAGCCTCCTCTTGTTGCGCGGACCTGAGGATGAAGCTCGCTGGCACGCGCCCCACCTCCATCTAGCTCTTCTCCGTCGGGTGACAGTCGTCGAAGAGCCGTAAAGTCACCATTTTTCTGCTCTGTCGAGTAACAACCGCCAGAGACGATTCGACAACCCACTTCATTGATCTCTAGACTTCGCGAGAAGATCTAGAGATTGCCCACGTCATCTTTGTCCAAGGAGAGCCTTCGAGGCCGTGGACACTACACGACGATCCTCCTGAACGCTTAGGATTCCGGTGCATCGTCGATGCATCGCCGTCGCGATGCCGGAACTCTGTTTCCCTACTTTCAATTTAATTTACGTTTCATTTAGTGATACTTTGTGTGATTTTAATTTACCAAATTATACGTTCAATTACAATTATTCTGGTTTTTACAGATCTTAATTTGATTAATTAAGTCATCTGTAATCGCTTATGTAAGAATTGTCGGGCGAAACTCTATTTCTGTCTGATTCGCGTTCGCAAGGTGATGACATCATCCTAACATCTGCACCCTTATTTCCTTTTTTTTCGTGAATTTTAAATATATTTCCTTTTTATTTCCTAGTATAAAATTCATAAGAAAATCGTATTCATTGAGAAAAATTCTGAATAATTACCAGATATTATATTACATCCCTGTGATCGACTTGGAAAATTACTGCTATTTTTGGAATTTTTATTGAATTATAATTGATATATTTATTTAGAAATACTTCTAAATATCCAAAAATTTGTATTTTCTAGTTTTATAAATTTTATATTTGCGTGATTTAATATACAAAGACTGAGTCACATCACCCAACTAGTTGGTGGGTCCCTCCTCTTTGTTTATATTTTTATTTTATTTTCTTTTCTTTATTTATCTCAAAAATATGATTATAAAAATTATATAAATTCACACCAAATTACATAACTTGCTAAAAATTCACATTAACCAACTAAAAGCTACTTTTCATAATTTAACATAAATATAAGTCTATTTATCATAAGTTAAGACCTAAAATATATTATTAATTAATTACTAACTCATGATAATAAAACATTATTAGTCATCAAGATCAAGCTACTTCATTGAGCAGAAGATAAGGGACTTGATCTAAGGAAAACCCTCAACACAAGGACAGCCAACTCGATCTTTATCAAGCCAAGAGAAAAGATGGAGAGTCTTACAATCGATGCACGCTTTGCATACAAGTCAAACTCAAGGAAGACATCTCTACTCATTCTTCCCTTCTAGATTAGATTACAAGCTTTCCTTCTTTTCCACCCACATTATCCTTTCAAATCCAAACCATTGATAGCTTTTCGAACTACTTAGCCATGATTTAAGGGCTGGCAGTTAGAATACCCTGATCCACCATTCATCTCATTTTTGTTTTTTGATCTCTCAAATCCAAGTATGCCATGTGTAGACTCCTTCCATCCTCCTCTTAGATCTAATTAAATCTGATACACACACTCGAGAAATATCATAAAAGCACTAGAAATATCTAGAAAAAATCACAAGAATTCTGAAATCAACCCTTTTGATTTGTGGAAAGCCAAAACTAGACTAAATGATTATATAAAAATTCGAAACAATTTTATAAAATAGGACTCTTTTTGTAATTGTGTGGAAATAGGAAATATGCAATGCTAGTATGATAACATTATAAATTATACATTCTAAACTCATAGAAAGATGATAGTTCATGTCCTTTTTATTGAATAATTAGTATGTTATCAAGAACTATTAATTAACTCTTTTTTAGAGGTCCCTATATGGAAATAGTGAAGTATGTGAGTGAGGATGACATTGAGAGGAAAAGTAAAATCATATTTGTGAACTGTTTATTAGGTTCAAAGTGGCTAAGTACTAAGAGGCAGGGTGATAACATGTGATTCATACATATGATCATAAATTCATATTAAATCACATGTGGTCTCCACAATCTATCATTATCATCAAAGCTTAGATGGACAAAATTTAAATTTATTAATCAGAAATTAACATAGGAATATTATATGATATATTGGTAAATATTTGGCTCAATCACAAGGACAATTAAAAATTCGAATTAATTGTTGTAAATGGTATAAGCAAGAAGAATGAAATAAAAGACGAGATGATTAGATCAAAATACTTAGTTTCATAAAGATATCATGACGAGGCACTTTCACAATGAAAATACAAAGAGAATTATTATTGGAAGAGGAATCAAGGATTAAGTTTCCACTGGACAATGATTGAATTAAGATTTCAAGTCAAGACTTAAATCTTTATCAAGGTATAGTTAAATTATTTAATGAATTGATCATCAACATACATAAAATAAAAAGTAATAAGAGAAAATGGTAAGATAAACCTTAATTTTACTCATGGAGATACCACACATACATCCACAAGTAAAATGAAAATGATTGATCCTCGAGACAATTGTTCTCTTGTTGTCGTAGTGTCCATCACCCACCATAGTTTGAGCAAGCTTTACATTGCACGATGGTGTTCACCAAGATGCATCGGATCCCAAGGAAGATAATCCTCCAATTGTAATTTGTTAAAGGATAGAAAAGAGGATGAGAATTTCACTATACTTCATGGGGTGAAAAGAGAGAAAGATGGACTCCAAATATATGTTTTTGGAGTGAGAAGAATGGGAAAGAGCAGATTTCTTTAAGAAGCTTGAAATGTTTTGAGATGAACATGACTCAAACCAAGAAAGATCTTCACAAGACATATACTTTATTTGGACTCTCTTTTTGTGAGAAATTGAGGTGATTTGGATGAAAATGTGAAGGGGTAAATATAGGTAGTTTATGGGACAGTTTCCTTTCCTTCTTTCATCGATTTCCTTTTTCATCAATTTTCTCCTTCGTCATGGATTGTTGAAAGGCAGTTATTTGATTTTTGAATGTCAAAAATTATTAAATAGGATAAAGCTTTGGATTCTTCTTTGAGATGTGCACTCGCTTTGTCGTAAAAGATTTAGAATTTCTTCTCAAGCTTGTGTGAGTGATGTGGATGAAGATTTTTTTGTTAAGTGCGAATCTATAACTCTTCTCAATTCTTCCTTCTTGTACTCTATTGTATCTCTATATTTTCAGAGCCTGAAAATGGTCATATCAATTTGAAAACTTCTTACTGTTTTGAGAGAACTTTAGTGCCTTCAACTAGTTTTTACTTCCATACTTTCTTCTCTAGTAACGGTTGTCTATGATATCTAGTCTGGATATTTCTAACTGACTGATGAACATTTCTTCTTTCAAGGTCTTACTTTGAAGAGATCATCTGGCTTATCTTTAGTCGACATCTTTTACTGACGAATTATCATCTAGAATATTATTTTTAACCTTTGATCATACTTCAACTCAGATCTTTTGGCTCATAGTTATGTCATCCTTGATATCCTGAACTGAGATCCTTAATTAATCAATTGACATCTTTGTCTTCATGGTCAAACTAAGATAATGTTTTTGAGATTATTTTTTTTCCATGAAGTCTAATGACATGTTACCATCTAGGGTACACAAGACTTTCCTTGAGTTCTTCTATGCTTATAAATAAATAAGTATTTCACGGATGATCATTGAAGGTGCTTTTTGGAGATTCATGGCATTTTGATAGATGATTTTACTTTTGAAGTTCAGTTGAAGTTGATCACTTTTTCCTGTCACTTTTTCCATATAAAATTATGATGTGTCACCATACAAGTTACATAACAAAGATTTCTCCACTTCTTCTTTTCTCTATGCAAGTGGTCCAACTCAAATACAATGTAGGATCTAAGTTTGAGTTTTATTATAGTCACTATTCATATACTTTTACTCTTATTATCAAACTAGATTTCCACATTGTCACTAGATTACTTTTGAACTCAAAGTTTACCCATACTCTAGTTTGAATATTTTGGTCACCCTTTTCTTATTTTTAAGTAGCTTACCTCTTGAATTTGAGTCTCATGTCTAGCATTATACATATTTCAGACATTTTTCATCCTAATGCTTCTATCTTCACAGTGCTCAAGTGCCTCGCTCAAATCTCATTGGTGAATTTATTTTTTTAAAATATACATGAGACTTCATCACATGTGTTGTGATAAGTCTTCACTATCATAAGTTAATAATTAGTAAATAATATAGTTTTAGCCTTAAATCATGATAAATAGACTTATATTTGTGTTAAATGTGAAAAATAGTTTTGTAATTGATTAATATGAATTTTTGGATAATTATGTGATTTTACACGAATTTATATGATTTTTACAGTCTTGCTTTTGAGATAAATGAAGAAAGAGAAATAAAAAATAAAAAAAACAAAATGAGAGGGACCTGCCTGCCAGCCAAGCCCACAAGCAAGTCGGAAGCTCAGTCGGGGAGTAGCCGTGAGTAGGGGCTCGAGCAGCTTGGACCGATAGGGGCACATGTGCGCCACTCCCCTTCCACGTCACCGGTGGCCAGCCGGCTGTGGGGCAAGGAGTGGTCGTACACACGAGAGAAGGGACTTGCTTAAAAATGAAAACATTAGTATATATTCGCTCGAAACATCAGTGCACAACTGATATGAGACTAAACCTACATCACCTTCCCCAGAAAAGGCAAGCAAACAACACGGGTTCAAATCCTCTTAGAGTCAAAAGTCACATATTTTTATCTGATTATCATGACTTTCCTGTAAATCGTCAGTACAAGATTAAGCAACGAGAATCGTTGGATCATCGACGAAAATCTCATCAACGTGATTTGCAAAGCATTGCTACTAAAATTGCTGAATGATTCGTGATAAAAGGATCATGAATCCATTGAGTAAATCATCTCTAATTGATCGACGAACAAGTTGTCGTCGAGAAGAGAACGATCCATCGAAAGATGAGTCGCCACCTCCTGAGAGCATATCAGATGCAATGAAGAGCCTCCTCTTGTTGCGCAGTGACATGACTCAGTCGTTGTATATTAAATCACGTAAATATTAAATTTATAAAACTAAAAAATACAAATTTTTGGATATTTAGAAGTATTTCAAAATAAATATATTAATTATAATTCAATAAAAATTCCAAAAATAGCGGTAATTTTCTAGGTCAGTCACAGGGATGTAATATAATATCTGGTACTTATTCAGAATTTTTCTCAATGAATACGATTTTCTTACGAATTTTATACTAGGAAATAAAAAGGAAATATATTTAAAATTCACGAAAAAAAAGGAAATAAGGGTGCAAACGTTAGGATGACATCAGCGATTCTTACGTAAGTGATTACAGACGACTTAATTAATCAAATTAAGATCTGTAAAAGTCGGAAGAATCGTAATTGAACGAAGTATAGTTTGGTAAATTAAAATCACACAAAGTATCACTAAATAAAGCGTAAATTAAACTGAAAGTAGGAAAACAGAGTTCCGGCGTCGCGACGGCGATGCGTCGGCGATGCACCGGAATCCTGAGCATTCAAGAGGATCGTCGTGCAATGTCCACAGCCTCGAAGGCTCTCCTTGGACAAAGACGACGTGGGCAATCTCTAGATCTTTTCGCAAAGTCTAGAGATCAATGAAGTGAGTCGTCGAATCATCTCCAGCGGCTGTCACCCGGCGGAGCGGAAAAACAGCGACTTTGCGGCTCTCTGGTGGCTGTCACCCGACGGAGAGGTGCTGGATGGAGGTGGGGCGCGTTTCAGGGAGCTTCATCCTCAGGTCCGCGCAGCAAGAGGAGGCTCTTCATCGCATCTGGTACGCTCTCAAGAGGTGGCGACTGGTCCCCTGGCGGATCGTCCTCTTCCCGACGACGGCTTGTTCGTCGATCAATCGGAGATGATTTACTCGATGGATTTGCGATCCTTTTATCGCGAATCATTTAGCAATTTTAGTAGCAATTCTCCGCAAATCGCGTTGACGAGATTTTCGCCGATGATCCAGCGATTCTCGTTGCTTAATCCTTCACTGGTGATCTACAGGAAAGTCGTGATAATCAGATAAAAATATATGAATTTTGACTCTAGGAGGATTCGAACCCACGCCGGTCGCCTGCCTCTTCTGAGGAAAGTGTGACGCGCGTTTAGTCCCACATCGGTTGTACGCTGATTTTTCGGGTGAATATATAGTAATTCTAGCTTTGTGAGCAAAGTCCCTTCTCGCGCATGTATGACCACTCCTTGCCCCACAGCCAGCTGGCCACCGGTGACGTGGAAGGGGAGTGGCGTACGCATGCCTTGTCGGTCCCCAAGCCAAGCCACTCGAGCCCCTGCTCGTGACTTACTCCCCGACTACGCTTCCAACCCACTTCCGACCCGCTTGTGGGCCCGGCTGGCCGACGGGTCCCCCCATTTTTGCAATATTTTTATTTTTATTTCTTGTTCTTCATTTATCTCAAAAGTAAGACTTTAAAAATCGTATAAAATCACATAATTACCCAAAAATTCACATTAATCAATTGAAAACCAAAACTCATTCTTTAACACAAATATAAGTCTATTTATCATGAGTTAAGGCTAAAACTATATTATTTACTAATTATTAACTCATGATAATGAAGACTTATCACGCAGACCTGAGGATGAAGCTCCCTGACACGCGCCCCACCTCCATCCAACTCCTCTCTGTCAGGTGACAGCCACCAGAGAGCCACAAAGTCGTCATTTTTCTGCTCCATCGGGTGACAATCATCGAAGACGATTCGACGACCCATTTTATTAATCTCTAAACTTCACAAGGAGATCTAGAGATTACCCATGTCGTCTTTGTCTAAGGAGAGCCTTCAAGGCCATGGACACTACACGATGATCCTCTCGAATGCTTAGGATTCCGATGCATCACTGACGCATCACCGTCGCAATGCTGGAACTCTGTTTTCCTACTTTCAACTTATTTTACACTTTATTTAGTGATAATTTGTGTGATTTTAATTTACTAAAATATATTTCATTCACTTATGATTCTTTTAGCTTTTACATATCTTAATTTGATCAATTAAATCATTTGTAATCACTTACATAAGAATCGTTGGGTGGAACTCTATTTTTGTCCGATTCACATTCGTCAAGCGCTGACATTATCCTGACATATGCACCCTTATTTCCCTTTTTCGTGAATTTTAAATATATTTCCTTTTCATTTCCTAGTATAAATTCATAGAAAATTATATTCATTGAGAAAAATTCTGAATAATTATCAAATATTATATTACATCCCTGTGATCGACTTGGAAAATTATTGCTATTTTTTGGAAGTTTTATTAAATTATACTTTATATATTTTTTTAGAAATACTTATAAATATCTGAAAAATCATATTTTCTAGTTTTATAAGTTTTATATTTGTGTGATTTAATATACAATGACTAAGTCACATCATGTTGGCATGGGTTACTTTGTGGTCAATATTCAAAAATATTATACTATATTACTTTAATACAAAGGATACCTCAAGCATATAACTTAGATTTGTTGTTACTCATAGGATTCTATAATACATCATCAATATATATTTTGATTGTCTATCAATAATAATTAACTTATGATAAGTCATGATTCATATAAATGGTTCAATAAATTATTCAATAAGTCACTCAATAATAATTTATAAATATATTTTCAATATATGTCTCAAAACCAAGAGCATCTACACTATCCTCATTTGATTCAAGATTAAGGAACCAAGGCCAAAGTGAATGTCATTGACATGATGATATAAAATAGATGTAGATTTATTAGAGATTATATCAAATGCACCACTTTTGTGCCATTTAAAATGAAAAATGAGAAAACACATTACTTAGAAGAATATTGGAAGGTAAAATGTCTTAGTATTTTGTATTGTCTCATTCTACATGTCAGTCAACATTGACATCAAAATTGTTTCAGGTGATGCAATCAAGTGAAGATCTGAATGGTAGATCAAGGGTTGTATTTAGAATCTCAAGAGTTCCTTTTTACATCAGTAGTGTTACCAACATGAGATTTGATGGTGTTATTGTAGAATAGTCAAACCAGATTTAGATAATTTCTAGTAAGGGATGAGATGAGGTCTATGCATCCAAGGACATCAAAAAAGTGTTGCATATTAATCTTCTCATACTTGAAAACTTTCAGGTCAAGAATTTAACAATAAAGGACTTTTCTTTCATTGAATGTTTGTTAGGATTTGGCTTTGAGGGCTTCAATTGAAAAAAGTGGAGAGGTATATCTATGATGTAGGTAAGGAGGGTTGTTGGGTTCATTTATGTTTGATGAGTTGATATTTAGCTTGAGAGCTTTTCAAATAAATGTCTTCTATAGTTGATAAATGTCATCTAGGTAAGGAGGATGTTCTTCTTTGAGGATAAGTGTACCTAAACTTAAGCACATAGTGCTATGAATTAGGAATTGCCCATGAGGGGTGAGATCTTTATGGAGATAAAAAAAATTATTGAAAGAGTTCAGCCCATAAAATTAGATATATTTTCATTAGAAATAGTAGAAATCTAGAAAGAATATCCTCTGATAAGAGAAACAAATGTATAAGATAGTATAGAGGGTGAACCAATATAGAGTAAAAAGAAACTAAAGTTCCTTGGAGTAAAAAGATAGCTCAAGAGGGGCTGAACCAATATACAGTCTCTATCTATCATTACTAAAATGAGAAAAAAGAAACTAGAGTAACCACACAATAATGATAAGAGCCTTAGGTCGAGATTCATATAGAGTTCATAGACTATGTTTGAACTTGTATTGACACATTTACACATAGGCAAAAAAATATAAGATAGTAATTTCCCCCCCCCTTAGTATTTCACTTAGGCACATCAAATTCAACGGACCCTCACAAGTACTTTAGTACTTGGCCTACCCAACTTTTTCACAAGTCATAGATGTGGTTAAGTATACTTCACCAAGACATACTTCACCAAATGGAAGCATTACCTACTTTGTGTGAAGTTCATCATCTTCGCATACCAATGAAGTGTTAAGTATATATTTGATCAACATCAAATCCTCCTAAATTATTAGAAGTGGATTGCCAAGATCATCAGCTTCTAATTTGGGGTTTTCTACAAGGCAAAAGTTGAAAACAGAGCCATTAAAGAATGCCTTGTCCCGATGACGGTGCAACTACTCTTCCATTGTGGGCAACTAGTAATTGTGAAGAATTCCATGTTCATCTCAAAATTACTTCACAATATCCATGACTTAGTGATTGAGGAGCACTTGGGATTCCTACACACATATTAGTGACTTTGTTAGAATGTTATCTAGGTTGGAATGGAGTCTACATTTATGTCACTACCTCTAGGACCTACAATTGAACAAGAGTGAAACCCTTCAGCCAACTAATCTCCTACAACTACTCCCATTCACAAGCACATTTGGGAGGATCTGTCACTAAACTTCATCAAAGTACTTTCAAAGTTCAATAGATTTTGCATCATCCTAATGGTTGTGGACTGCCTCAATAAGTAAACACTTCTTGCCAATCAAGTATCCCTTCACAGCCAATGAGATCGTTCATCTTCCTCAAGGATACATCAATCAATTATAAGCACATTTTGGGGGAAACTCTTTTATATTATAGGGATCTCTCATTCATTAGACAAGTGTCTATCACCCACATATCAATGGCCAAATTGAGGTCGTCAACCGCAATCTATAGACATACTTACCTTGCTCTGTAGGCATTCAACCTCAATAGTGGAGTAGGTCACTAATAAGTTTTCATTATCATGAGTTAATAATTAGTAAATAATATAGTTTTAGTCTTGACTCATGATAAGTAGACTTATATTTGTGTTAAAGTGTGAAAAGTGGTTTTCAATTGATTAATGTAAATTTTTAGGTAATTATATAATTTTATATGAATTTATATAATTTTTATAACTTTACTTTTGAGATAAATGAAGAAAAAGAAATAAAAATAAAAATATAGCAAAATGGGGGGGGACCCACTAGCCAACTGGACTCGCAAGCAGGTCAGAAGCACAGTCAGAGAGGAGTCACAAGTAGGGGCTTGAGTGGCTAGGATCGATAGGGGCACGTGTGCACCACTCTCCTTCTACATTACTGATGGCCAGCTAGCTATGGGGCAAGGAGTGATCATACATGTGGGAGAAAGAGACTTGATTGTAAATGTAAGATTACTATATATTCATCTTAAACTTTGCCACATAAATGATATGGGACTAAACCCGCATCACACCTTTCCCAGAAGGCTTCAATAATTTTAATACCTACAATACCCCTTATTTATAACAAAGATATACCATGATGATGTCATTTTATAAGGACATTATAGTACTTATATTAATCTCTCTTATGCAGGTGGGCGACTAGCCTAGGTTCGAATCCTCTCATAACCAAAACTCATATTTTTTATTTAATTATCACAACTTTCTTGCAGATCACTGGTGAAAGATTAAGCCACCAAAATCGTTAGATCATCGGTGAAAATCTCGTCAACGCGATTCACAGAGTATTGTTACTAAAATTGTTGAATGATTCACGATAAAAGGATTGTGAATCCATCAAGTAAAGCATCTCTGATTGATCAATAAACAAGCTGTCGTTGAGAAGAAGACGATCCACTAGGAGATGAGTCATCACCTCTTGAGAGCATACTAGATGTGATGAAGAGCCTCCTCTTGTTGTGCAGACCTAAGGATGAAGCTCCTTGACACACGTCCTACCTCTATCCAACTCTTCTTCGTCGGGTGATAGCCATCGAAGACGATTCGACGACCCATTTTATTGATATCTAGACTTCACCAGGAGATCTAGAGATTATCCACGTCGTCTTTGTCTAAGGAGAGCCTTCGAGGCCATGGACACTACATGACGATCCTCTTGAATGCTCAGAATTTTAGTGCATCGTTGATGTATCGCCGTCATAACGTCGGAACTCTATTTTCTTACTTTTAACTTAATTTTTGCTTCATTTAGTGATAATTTGTGTGATTTAAATTTATCAAGATATACTTCATTCAATTATAATTCTTTTCACTTTTACAAATCTTAATTTGATCAATTAAATCGTCTGTAATCGCTTATGTAAGAATTGTCAAGTAGAACTCTATTTCTGCTCGATTCATGTTCGCCAAGCACTGATGTCATCTTGGCATCTGCGCCCTTATTTTCTTTTTTTTTGTAAATTTTAAATATATTTTATTTTCATTTCTTAGTATGAAATTTATTAAAAATAGTATTCTTTGAGGAAAATTCTGAATAATTAATTGGTATTATATTACATCATTGTGATTGACTTAGAAAATTACTATTATTTAAGATTTTTTATTGAATTATAATTAATATATTTGTTCAAAAATACTTCTAAATATCCAAAAAATTATATTTTCTAGTTTTATAAGTTTTAAATTTACATGATTTACTATACAATGACTAAGCCACGTCAATCACACTTGGGCGAAATATTGGTACAATATTAACTTCCATATCTCAACTCACACTACTCTATTCTTCCTTGTGTATGTTAGATCTCCTCAATATCTCTTGCCCCATGAAGCAAGTACAACATGGATGGATGAGGTCATTCAAATGTTGTAATAATACAATACCACAATCCACTAGCTCAAAGAACATCTAGCTCGTGCACAATAGTGGATAAAGGTGTACAATGAGTGGCAATGGTCCTTACGAGAAGCTTGGGCCTTGTTTTTTCCGACTGTTTGAAGTCGTGGAAAGGGTAGGCACTATAGCTTCTTAGCTCGTGTTGCCACTGATTGTGGGATTCATCTGGTCTTCCACATATCCCAGATCAAGCAGGCTATTGGGGCATTAAAGACCCACCCACAACACAATTGGTGATGGACAAAGATCTCATGTGGGTGATGGAGTCAACAAGCATTGTGGATATCCACCATGGTCCTCATGAGACTGAAATCCTTGTCCGTTTGGTGGGTCTTCTAGACTCCGAAAGTACTTTAGGAAGTTGCCACCTACCTTTGTCAATAGTCTCCTAGCTTCCCCCTTAAGGACAAGGTGACACTTCAAGGGGGGAGCATTGATGGGTTATTGCCTGGCTTATCACATCCTCACGAGTAGAACCTGAGGGCCAGTATGCCGCCTCTCCCATCTCATTTCACAGCTGCAGATATTGAGGAATGGCTCGTATGGAAGGGAAATGGCTCACGATCTTGGTTCACAAGAGGCGTAGATGACGATAATGACACGAGGAGGTGAAGCTAGACAAGCATAAAAGAATCTTCCAGTGAGAAGTTGAGTGGAGGTCGGCCCCCTCTCTACGTTGTTAGTAGTGGGCTCTCCCCCTTTTCCCCATTATCAGGTATCCTCTTATCCCTTACATCTTCTCTTTCTGCTGGCATCATCCTTATCCTGGTACTCTCACTCTCTCCGTCCCTCGTCTCACCATCCCCCTGATCCTCAGCCCCAGCTCACCGCGTCATCATCAGTACCCTCGTAAGTGGGACCCAAGCAGAAGACAACATGACACACGGGCTTCGGGCTAGTCTTCTGTCTAGGCTTTGTGCTTCGTGACCTGGGGCCCTATCAGAAACCTAAAGTATCCATGCGAGTATGACATGAGGGGAGTAGGCTGACCGGAGAGTGGGACGGCTAAGAGGCGCAGAGGGATCAGACCAGGGGCGAGCGGCCGGAGGAGGCGGCCTTCGCGAAGGAGAAGTCCTTGGTGGGGTTTCGCCGGTCTTCGGTTACCTCCAGGCGCTGCTCCGCCGGCGCGACGGAGTCCGTGTGGCGGGGCGAGAAGAGCGGCGCCTCGGGCTCGTTGTCCGTGAGCTCGTTGTCGGAGTAGTACCGCCGAGGAAGGGTGGTCATGGCCGTCACGTGGCCTGTGGTCATGAACCTCTGCATTGGCCGCGCAGGAGAGGCGCTAGGGCTCCCGCTGCGGCTCTCTGTGGGAGTCCGGAAAGGGGAGTGAGTCGACGACTTGCCGCCTCCGCGCCTCTTCCTCGCCAGTTTCTGCCAGTTCGTGATGGCCTTGGCGGCCTGCTCGTCGAAGACGGTTCTCTTCATACGCGATCCCATCTGAGATGGGAACACAAGTCCAGATCACCCTGGTCAGCCTCCCATTCATGCCTGGTTTTCCTTTCAAAATCTCCTAATGCATAAGACTACATCCCTTCTCTCCTATAACAGCCGGACGACAAGTAGCAGTCAGTGGAGGAGGATACCTGAGAGACGAGAGCATAGAGTGGAAGTGTGACGTAGCTGCACAGAATTTGGACCGATACCCTGCAGAGAACCCCGGGGACCATGATGAGAAAGCCCCACCAAGCATGCGTGTATGCTAGCAGTAATAGAAGGAAATTGTTCTAACTTTTTTGTTTCTGTATTATTCTTTTGTCTGTTAGGAGTGAGACATCAGAGAAATCCAATGCCTTGTAAATCTCAAGCTTCTGTGTTTCCTAGATGCTTTGAATGTTTGTTCAATGACATTGTGAAGAAGATGGAGTGTCATCATCAAGTATGCCTTACCCGATAGCAACTCTTGCTATGACCAACCCGAAGCTTTCATGAAAGCATGAATTCAGCCCAAATGCATACTGCAGGTCCGAAGAAGATGAATGGAAACATCAGATCCACGAAAATAGAATACGGATAGCCCAGAATAGTACCCAACTGCAGGGATAAGGAAATATGTGTTCTTACCCAAATCCACAGAAAGTAGATCAACTGGAATGCATTCTGCAACAAAGATCAATGACATCAGATTGTCAGACAAGTTCATGGTCATCGTAATGGTGGGGATGTAGCTGATTAGTTCCTTTGAAATGGTGATTTTATTTCTATTATATAGTGTTCAACAGTTTTCATTACTTTAGATCACAAGAAAGGGAGGAAGAGCCCACAATTACCTGAAAAAGCGTGAAATGGATGAGAAATAGGACGAGACCAGGTTTGCCGAACCAGAAGTGGTGATCGGAGAGCTGAACCACAGGAATCCCTTGAACCACCACGTGTCTCTCTTTGATCTCGAGGGCCATCCAGGTGATGATAGCCTGCAGCTTTGTCCCAACTACCAAGATTATCTGCTCAAGGTCACAGATAAATCAGATGAGCTTGGACCCCAACAGTTGGAAGGACAGATGAACAGATACGATTACAGTCCCAGAGATCTCCCACCACTGGGGGGACCAGAGAAATCCAGAACAGGGTATGCCATCCTGGAAGGAAAGGAAAGCTCACAGTCAGGCCGGGATGATAATTTCACCAGAATACAAGGAAGGATTGCCGTAATTAGAATCTTTCTTGGTAGTAGCTCACCATGGACGTTGATGAGCAGGAAGATCACGGCAGAAGCCCACAGGATTGGACTGCATGGATGCGAAAAGAACAGGTTAGAACGAAATGGGCAGAGTAGAACAGCTGTGAAGAGAAAATGAAGTCAAAGCTATGGTGAAACAGAGATGACGAAGTGATGTTACAGCGTATGTACAGGATTACGAAGATTATATACAGATTAGTATCACTTATATGGAATTATCAGCCCCATCGGCAGCCCTGGTTAAAAACTTTCTTGCTCCAGAAAGGCGCAGTAAATACCATCCATTTCAGGAAACTGGGCTGTGACCATCAACGTTCGAAGAGGAGGAAGGTAGCATGGCCATCATTTACCTAATGCCGACAATTACTACGAAATCGTCCTCCAGAGACCGTTTGATGTACTTCTGAAAGTCAAACCTAGTGCCTGGGGTCAAGTGGGTCTGCAAGGGCAGTGAGGCAAGAACCAGTCACAAGGGAGGGGGGGTAAAAAACATGGAGCTGTTTATGGATCACACTGTTGAAGGAACTCACGGAGATGAAGCCGTGGCGCATGGTGAGGTAATCCGCCTTGCGAACAGACCAAAAGAACTGTCGGAAGAAGCTCACCTGAAGAGGGATGCAAATGAGACAGCCGCCACAGAACAGAACACATCGACATTGACCCTCCAGAAACAAAGAATGAGGAACAGGTAGAAGATTTGATCTTGCTGAACTAAATCTTTTCACTGCAGAAGTCTCGTGCTTGGAATCAATGGGCCTGGAAAGCCCAGACCTGGCCTTGGCAGCCTTGGCAGCCCGGGCCTAACCCCAGAACCCATTAACCCGGAGCTTTGTCTCTGGCCCCTGGCCAGGTTCGGGCCACCTAAATGATGTCACGTATTAGGCCGGGCCAGCCCTTTGGCACCCAGAATATGGGACTAAACCGGCTTTGGCAGCTCTTCTCCACCATTGATCAGATAATGAAAAACCGGCACACTGAGTTCATGAAGGAAAGAAGAACAAGAGATCCTCACAATGTAGAGCAAGAAAGGAATCCGGTCCCAGAAGCTCGTGTGCTGCCTCACAAAGGACGTCTCATGGGCGAATCTGAATCTTGAAGGGTCTGCAAGATGACCGGGCCATTGTTCCATCAATGAGATAGTAAAACAGGGCAATCAGGACTTCGCCAAATTCCAGGAGCCTACCATTTGAGAACTCATAGTCGAGCGATGAGGTCTCCCTTTCCCACTCCTTCCACCTGCGAATCTACAAAACGAACATGAGAATATTTAGCATTGTTTCCGGGTGTGGAAGCCATGGATTCCTGGAAATATTTTATGGTGGGGCAGCTGAGAGTATCTGACCTTTGCCCTCCCGAGAGCCATGGTCGCGGCGGTGTAGAGCAGATGGAAGATTGCCAGAAAGAATATGAAGATGTGCAGCTGGTGGATGGCATATGCGGACATAAAGGCCACCTTACCCTGTTGAAGAAAGTAGTGAATCAATAAACCCTCGGACCTGCGCCACATCTAAACTCGAGGAGAAGGAGATCAACCAAGCTCTCGCGTCTCCCACTTTGATGGGCACAGAGAGATAGAGAGTAATTTTTGGTCTTATTAATGAAACAGTCAGCCTGTGTCTTTATTGATCTTCTTTAGATGACCAACTGGAGAAATGCAAGATGCCAAGGCTGCTGGGCAAGGAAACAGCCCTCGTCATTTGCTGAGCTTTCAGGGGTTGAAATCCAAAAAAAAAACCTTTTCTGGATGCTTAAACTGACTAGGAGACACTGCCCGTCAACACCTTTCCTCCCAACTACCCATAATCTCAAAAAAGAGTATATATATTTATTTTTATTTATTTATTTTATTTTTAGGTGAGCAGTGGAAGCACCTATAGAGGTGACCGTGGACTAAATTAGATCAGCTGCCTCTTGAGTTGACTATAATGCGAGGAACTAACTCCCCATTAAATCATGAAATGACCCCCAAAGAGGGTGGCTCCACATACCTCTGAACATGCAGAGTCACTTGCCCCAGCCAACATCCTCCTCTTGGACTCCATGCCGACCGCGAGATCCCACAAGAGCCTTCGGCCTCCTTTTTTGCCTGGCTTCTCTTCCCTGAGGGGGCAGGGCAGCATTGTGTTCCCAGCACTTAATGGTACGCAGATTTTATCCGCATAGTCCCCCACAAACGTCAGCAACAAGGAGATGAACCCGAGAATCATCAACTCTGCAAGAGGAGGAAGCTTCGTGAGTCACATGTTCCCTTCATTTATTCCATATTTATTCATTTCACTTGTTTTTATTTGTTTCAATCTCGGGCCATTCTTGACGCAGAGCCAAGGTCCCTGGATCAATCATCACAAATCTCAAGAACAAGAAAAAAGAGTAGCTTGAGGCCAGTCTACTGCTTGTTGTTACCCATCATCCGTATGCCCACAGGCTCTGATTTCGTTCCCTCCTCCGCAGATGTCTAATTACGTCAAGAACTAGGGTTATCCCTATGTAACTTCAGGGTTTTCTTTCTTCTTTTTTTCTTTTTTCTTTTTTTGTTCTAATTTCCTCTGATGTGGGATTGTTCCAAACACGGAAGAACATAAAAGGGAAGCCATCGAAGTTCACGAGAGAAACGTGTAAGTCAACGTTTTTGAAGGAAATCCAGAGATCCCAGTATGGGTCTTTTCTCAGTTTCCCCCCAATCTTCATGCTGATGGTTGGATGAGATGAGATGAGATGAAGCGTGTGGCTCTTACCGTCTTTGATCTTCTCCAGAGCTTCAACCATCGCCCTCTTGTGTTTATCAGAGAACCACTGAAATTGAAATGAGCCAAACTCATCAGGAATCACGCCGAGAGAAAAAGAATCACCCCGGAGATTCTTTCTAATAACACTTCAATCTCTAAAAGCGTACCAAAACTCCTGAAACCCTGCTCAAACCATTCGTTCATTCATTCAGCAGGATCCGAAGGTGGAAGAAACTCACCTTCCCAATGCGATGGAGCCCCTTCTCCAACAGAAGCGAGATGATGATGATCACCGTACAAACTGTTGCCACCGCCCAGGAGGGCGTCTGATCCATCTTCCTCCCAGAACTCCCTCCCGCCATTGCAGAAGCTCCTCCTCAGGCACGAAGAAACTTGGGCAAAAGTGGCGCGCTATAAACAGATCAAAACCAGTCCTCCCCGCTATGAATTCGTCAGCCCCTTCTCCCGCAACCTGCGTGTTCGCTGCTATTTCAACACGGGCTACGCTACGCTGTTGCAGAGACGGGGTGCCGGGAGGAAGACTTATGGGAGAGGAAGAGAGTTAGAGAGAGAGAGTGCCAAGTCCATGGATGGTCATCATGAAGGAGATGGAAGCGATCCTGGAATATATAAAAAATCAATAAATTACCAAGTCAACCATGAGAGGTGTTGAAGGAAACATAATGATCATTGACCTCCGGCCAGCAGTTATCAGCAACATAATTTCAAGACTTGTGGGGTAGAGTTCTTGCCGATAACTCACGATCAATATCTTAAACAGGCCAGCGGCATAGAACACTAAAACAAATAACGTTAAATCTGATAAAAAAACTATGGATGTTCTTAAAACATGCACAGGTAATTCGGTGTACAGAACACAAACGGGCTTCGAAAGTCAGTTAACTAGAGTTCTGAGGAGTAGGTATGATTTCTGAAGACCTTCGAGTTTCGTATGTCTCAATAACCCCGGGCGACTGAAGGAGAGAATCTAGGAGGGAATGGTGGAGGTCAAGTGCCCAACAAATGTCTGGCTTGGAGAGTGGATCAGTCAACGCTGAGGCTGTGGATGCCACAAGTCAACGGTCCATTGCCCAAACGGGAGAAGTCTACTATACCACGGTCAGATGTGAAAAGGAGCAGGAAGAAAATGGCTTACAGGTTCTGGAACGCCTTTGTCCTTGACAGGTCCTTCACAGTTTGTTCAACCTCCTGTGAAGGCGAGAGCCACCAGAATGGTCATTCACCTCGAGCGACGAGGGCAGAAGAGAGGGAGAGAGAGAGGAGAATGCCTTCAGTTTCTGGGAGGTTGCAGAACGGCCCCGTCCCTGGACGCCAAGAAGCCCCTCGATGAGCCGGACCACGTGATCGGTGAAGGCGACCGCCCTCCCTCTCCGGCGCTCCCACCGCCGTGGAGCACGACAGAGGGAGAGGAAGGAGCCTTTTCCTAGGGCAGGAATGGCCGAATGACAGAGGAGGACGCCGCCGTCTCCAGCAGCAAGGAGAAGCGGACGGCGACGCAGCGTCGCCGGCGTAGAGGCCTACCGGCAACCTCAATCTGGCCGATCCCACCGCCATTCCTGAGATTCTCCGGCAAGCGCCGCCACCACCGCCGCCGCCGCTTCTCCGAGGTGGCGATCGGAGATGCTTATGCCGAATTCCGGCCACTGAGGAATTACTTCCGGCACCGCGGCTGAATCTGCCTCGCTCGATCGGGAGGATCAGCGGAAGGGATGATGGCGGGAGGGAGGAGGACGAGTCGTTCCATGGGCAGTGCACCAAACTTGCCGGCTCCCTATCAGCTGTCATCAGGCATCCCCCCGCTGACGTGGCGGACTCCACCCCTCTCCCTCCGGGCCCGATTCCTAAGCAGCTTCCCTGGCCCGGGTATCGTAAAAAACCAATCTCATGTTCTCTCTCTCTCTCTCTCTCTCTCTCTCTAAGGTAGGCACGGGCTTCGGGTAGTCTTCCGTCCGGGCTTCGGGCTTTGTCGGCCCATGATAGTGGAGGCCCATTCGTGTGTGTCCCACCACATTCTCTCATCCGACGTGGCGTATGGCACGTCGGTCAAGAGGCCCCCCTACTGAGGGTCCACATAAAAAGAGAGAGGAGTTGGCTCCTCGATAAGGGGAGTTGTGTCTACGCCAATTCCGGAATTGACGACTTCCTCGCCGCCGACAGTCCCATTTTTGGATGCTGACTTTGTAGCTTCAAATGGAGGTCGATATGCTTCTGCAGATCCTGTTAGTTCCTATTCCTGCTTGTGTGCTTTCCCCATGGCGATTGGTAATACGAGTTGCGCTTCTTAGTGAGAATAGAAGGGGCACATGGTTGTACTACACGAGCTCGTAAGTCAAGCACGGAACGAGCTTTTTTTTTTTTTTTTTTTTTTTTTTGATAACTGTCTTGGGCTGAACTTCTCAGGAGGTCACCCATCCTGATACTTCACACGCCCAAGCACTTTGAGATGGATGCCACATATATGCCTCTCGGCATGGTGGCAGGGGTGCCTCTCGGCACATTCTTTGGAGCTGGGGGCATCTTGGCATGGTGAGATGGATGCCACATATATGCCTCTCGGCATGGTTGCAGGGGTGCCTCTCAGCACGTTCTTCGCTGGGGGCGTCTTGGCATAGTGAGATGGATGCCACATATACCTTTCGGCATGGTGGGCAAGGGTGCCTCTCGGCACGTTCTTCGATGCTCAAGGCATCTTGGCATGGTGACGGAGGGGTTCATAACACGTGCTGGGCAACACACAATCATGCAGCAGCGGTGCCTTTCAGCACATGCACAGCAAGCGTCTCGCAACGCATGCACGCGTACCCGGGGACTTCCCAGGGAGGTCACCCATCCGGGGGACTGCTCCCACCGGAGCACGCTTAACTCTGGAGTTCTTATGGGATCCGGTGGCAACTCTCCCACTAAGGGGGGTCAAAAAATAACCTTCAGAGACGGAACGACCGAGGGGGGGGGGGGGGTCTGAACAGAGGGAGGTCGGAGGCGCAGAGGGATCAGACCGGCGGCGAGCGGCCGGAGGAGGCGGCCTTCGCGAAGGAGAAGTCATCGGTGGGGTTTCGCTGGTCTTCGGTCACCTCCAGGCGCTGCTCCACCGGCGCGACGGAGTCCGTGTGGCGGGGCGAGAAGAGCGGCGCCTCGGGCTCGTTGTCCGTGAGCTCGTTGTCGGAGTAGTACCGCCGAGGAAGGGTGGTCATGGCCGTCGCATGGCCTGTGGTCATGAACCTCTGCATTGGCCGCGCAGGAGAGGCGCTAGGGCTCCCGCTGCGGCTCTCTGTGGGAGTCCGGAAAGGGGAATGAGTCGACGACTTGCCGCCTCCACGCCTCTTCTTTGCCACCTGCTGCCACTTCTTGATGGCCTTGGAGGTCTGTTCGTCGAAGACGGATCTCTTCATGCGCGATCCCATCTGAGACGGGAACACAAGTCCAGATCACCCTGGTCAGCCTCCCATTCATGCCTGGTTTTCCTTTCAAAATCTCCTAATGCATAAGACTACATCCCTTCTCTCCTATAACAGCCGGACGACAAGTAGCAGTCAGTGGAGGAGGATACCTGAGAGACGAGAGCATAGAGTGGAAGTGTGACGTAGCTGCACAGAATTTGGACCGATACCCTGCAGAGAACCCCGGGGACCATGATGAGAAAGCCCCACCAAGCATGCGTGTATGCTAGCAGTAATAGAAGGAAATTGTTCTAACTTTTTTGTTTGTGTATTATTCTTTTATCTGTTAGGAGTGAGACATCAGAGAAATCCAATGCCTTGTAAATCTCAAGCTTCTGTGTTTCCTAGATGCTTTGAATGTTTGTTCAATGACATTGTGAAGAAGATGGAGTGTCATCATCAAGTATGCCTTACCCGATAGCAACTCTTGCTATGACCAACCCGAAGCTTTCATGAAAGCATGAATTCAGCCCAAATGCATACTGCAGGTCCGAAGAAGATGAATGGAAACATCAGATCCACGAAAATAGAATACGGATAGCTCAGAATAGTACCCAACTGCAGGGATAAGGAAATATGTGTTCTTACCCAAATCCACAGAAAGTAGATCAACTGGAATGCATTCTGCAACAAAGATCAATGACATCAGATTGTCAGACAAGTTCATGGTCATCGTAATGGTGGGGATGTAGCTGATTAGTTCCTTTGAAATGGTGATTTTATTTCTATTATATAGTGTTCAACAGTTTTCATTACTTTAGATCACAAGAAAGGGAGGAAGAGCCCACAATTACCTGAAAAAGCGTGAAATGGATGAGAAATAGGACGAGACCAGGTTTGCCGAACCAGAAGTGGTGATCGGAGAGCTGCACCACAGGAATCCCTTGAACCACCACGTGTCTCTCTTTGATCTCGAGGGCCATCCGGGTGATGATAGCCTGCAGCTTTGTCCCAACTGCCAAGATTATCTGCTCAAGGTCACAGATAAATCAGATGAGCTTGGACCCCAAAGTTGGAAGGACGGATGAGCAGATAGAATTAGTCCCAGAGATCTCCTACCACTGGGGGGACCAGAGAAATCCAGAACAGGGTATGCCATCCTGGAAGGGAAGGAAAAGCTCATAGTCAGGCCGGGGAAGATAATTTCACCGGAATACATGGATTGCCGTAGTTAGAATCTTTCTTGGTAGTAGCTCACCTTGGACGTTTACGAGCAGGAAGATCACGGCAGAAGCCCAAAGGATTGGACTGCATGGATGCGAAAGGAACAGGTTAGAATGAGATGGGCAGAGTAGAACAGCTGTGAAGAGAAAATGAAGTCAAAGCTATGGTGAAACAGAGATGACGAAGTGATGTTACAGCATATGTACAGGATTACGAAGATTATATACAGAGTAGTATCACTTATATGGAATTATCAACCCCATTGGCTGCTAGTCAGAATACTTTCTTGCTCTAGAAAGGCGCAGTAAATACCATCCATTTCTCATTAAGGGTTTCAGGAAACTGGGCTGTGGTCGTCAACGTTCATAGAGGAGGAAGGTAACATGGCCATCGTTTACCTTATGCTGACAATTACTACGAAATCGTCCTCCAGAGACCGTTTGATGTACTTCTGAAAGTCAAACCTAGTGCCTGGGGCCAAGTGGGTCTGCAAGGGCAGTGAGGCAAGAACCAGTCACAAGGGAGGGGGGGTAAAAAACATGGAGCTGTTTATGGATCACACTGTTGAAGGAACTCACGGAGATGAAGCCGTGGCGCATGGTGAGGTAATCCGCCTTGCGAACAGACCAAAAGAACTGTCGGAAGAAGCTCACCTGAAGAGGGATGCAAATGAGACAGCCGTCACAGAACAGAACACATCGACATTGACCCTCCAGAAACAAAGAATGAGGAACAGGTAGAAGATTTGATCTTGCTGAACTAAATCTTTTCACTGCAGAAGTCTCGTGCTTGGAATCAATGGGCCTGGAAAGCCCAGACCTGGCCTTGGCAGCCTTGGCAGCCCGGGCCTAACCCCAGAACCCATTAACCCGGAGCTTTGTCTCTGGCCCCTGGCCAGGTTCGGGCCACCTAAATGATGTCACGTATTGGGCCGGGCCAGCCCTTTGGCACCCAGAATATGGGACTAAACCGGCTTTGGCAGCTCTTCTCCACCATTGATCAGATAATGAAAAACCGGCACACTGAGTTCATGAAGGAAAGAAGAACAAGAGATCCTCACAATGTAGAGCAAGAAAGGAATCCGGTCCCAGAAGCTCGTGTGCTGCCTCACAAAGGACGTCTCATGGGCGAATCTGAATCTTGAAGGGTCTGCAAGATGACCGGGCCATTGTTCCATCAATGAGATAGTAAAACAGGGCAATCAGGACTTCGCCAAATTCCAGGAGCCTACCATTTGAGAACTCATAGTCAAGCGATGAGGTTTCCCTTTCCCACTCCTTCCACCTGCGAATCTACAAAACGAACATGAGAATATTTAGCATTGTTTCTGGGTGTAGAAGCTGTGGAGTCCTGGAAATATTTTATGGTAGGGCAGCCGAGAGTATCTGCTGACCTTTGCCCTCCCGAGAGCCATGGTCGCGGCGCTGTGGAGCAGATGGAAGATCGCCAGAAAGAATATGAAGATGTGCAGCTGGTGGATGGCATATGCGGACATAAAGGACACCTTACCCTGTTGAAGAAGGTAGTGAATCAATAAACCCTGGGATCTCCCTCCCGCCATCCCCGAAGAGGGTGGTTTTGATTCTAAGTTAAAATATTGAGGCGCAAAATCTTGTCATGGAATATCCACGTACCTCCGGACATACGGAGTCTTTTTCCTCAGCCAACATCCTCCTGGACTCCATGCTTTCCGCGAGGTCCCACAAGAGCCTTCGGCCTCCTTTCTCCTTTGCCTTGTCTTCCTTGAGCGGGCAGGGCAGCATTGTGTTCCCAGCACTTAATGGTATGCAGATTTTCTCCGCATAGTTCTGAACAAACGTCAGCAACAAGGAGATGAACCCGAGAATCATCAACTCTGCAAGAGGAGGAAGCTTCGTGAGTCACATGTTCCCTTCATTTATTCCATATTTACTCATTTCATTTGTTTTTATTTGTTTCAATCTCGGGCCATTCTTGATGCATAGCCGAGGTCCCTGGATCAATCATCACAAGTCTCAAGAACAAGAAAAAAGAGTAGCTTGAGGCCAGTCTACTGCTTGTTGTTACCCATCATCCGTATGCCCACAGGCTCTGATTTCGTTCTCTCCTCCGCAGATGTCTAATTACGTCAAGAACTAGGGTTATCCCTATGTAACTTCAGGGTTTTCTTTCTTCTCTTTTTCTTTCTTCTTTTATGGTCTAATTTCCTCCGACGTGGGATTGTTCCAAACACGGAAGAACATAAAAGGTAAGCCATCGAAGTTCACGAGAGAAACGTGGAAGTCAACGTTTTTGAAGGAAATCCAGAGATCCCAGTATGGGTCTTTTCTCAGTTCCCCCGATCTTCATGCTGATGGTTAGATGAGATGAGATGAGATAAGAGATGATTCATGTGGCTCTCACCGTCTTTGATCTTCTCCAGAGCTTCAACCATCGCCCTCTTGTGTTTATCGGAGAACCACTGAAATTGAGACGAACCAAACTCATCAGGAATCACACCGAGAGAAAAAGAATCACCCCGAAGATTCTTCCTAAGAACACTTCAATCCCTTGAAACCCAGCTCAAACCATTCATTCGTTCATTCATTCAGCAGGATCCGAAGGTGGAAGAAACTCACCTTCCCAATGCGATGGAGCCCCTTCTCCAACAGAAGCGAGATGATGATGATCACCGTACAAACTGTTGCCACTGCCCAGGAGGGCGTCTGATCCATCTTCCTCCCAGAACTCCCTCCCGCCATTGCAGAAGCTCCTCCTCAGGCACGAAGAAACTTGGGCAAAAGTGGCGCGCTATAAACAAATCAAAACCAGTCCTCCCCGCTATGAATTCGTCACCCCCTTCTCCCTCAATCCGCGTATCCGCTGCTGTTTCAACAGGGTCTCAAGGAGAATGAGGCTCCGATGGGGCAGCGACTGGGGGGGACTTATGGGAGAGGAAGAGAAAGAATGATAGAGAGAGAGAGAGAGAGAGAGAGAGAGAGTGAGAAGTCCATGGACGGTCACCATGAAGGAGGTAGAAGCGGCCCAAGAATTATTAAAAAAATCGCCCAGTCAACTATGAGGGGCGGGCGTCGAAAGAAACTTGCCCCATCGCCATGGATCCACGCATTAAATTCAATTCTTGTATTGGACTCTCTCTCCCCCAACTTTCTGCCAATAAAGAAGAAGCTTATCCTCAGAGGAGGGCATCTCCTCTGCGATGAGGTAAGAAGCAACCAACTTGTTTTACAGTAGCAGAAGACGACGAGGGAAGAGAGCCAGGTCAGAAAGCCTCCATTTTTTCTGTGACGCTTGTTCACGCAAAGTCCAGGGACAAAAACCCTAAAAAGGACTAGAGAAGCCATCCCCTCTGACGGTGCCGTCTCGCCCTCCTCTCCTCCCCCACGCCATACCTCCCCGAAGTCAACCCCCCCGTCGCCCTCTAAAACCCTCTTTCCATCTCCTCATACTCCGGTAAGACATATTTCATACACGTAACCTCCTAGGAATATTACTAGAAGGGGGATATTTAGGGATCTCGGAAGGATACAAAGGCTATATTCATTTTTCTAAGTGTTTTATCCAAGACCTTGAAGAGACAGGGGCCGTCCCAATGAGTGGCCCAACATTTGACAGCTGCTTGGCCCCCGAACGTGGAGATTATCCCGACAAGTCGACGAATGATCTTCTCCTCTCCCACAAGTTGGCGGATTTTTCCTTTTTTGTCGGAACGAAAGTAAGCAGGATAATCGGCGGATTAAAAGCCGACTGAAAATTAATTAATTATGGGGCTCCTTTTTATCGGAACAAAATTTAAAAAAAGGTCCTGAAACCGTGCGGATCTCGGTCTGATATAATATTTTAAAAGTCGACATATAATAATATTATTATTATTACACCGAATAAACAGAGTGGCATCTCTTGTGGCCCTTATTAAGCTTATTTAATTAATACACATAAAATAATATTACGCTACGCATGGCGGCAGCTCTCCTTGCCGGCTCCGACCGGGGGAGGTCGCGTCGGCGACGCGCTTTACGTGGGCCTTGGGGACTGCCGGCACGGGCGCCGTAAGCCCCACCTGCCTTGACTCGTGGCCAAGAGAAGGACGAAGAGATTACGTCCGGCCAGCATTTCTCCACGCGTTAAGGGTCAAAACCTTCGGGTCAAGGCCGCCACGCGGGATTCGCGACTGCGTGGGATTGCTTTATAAAACTACTGTCCGCGTGGAACGGTGGGAGGCGTATTTACGAATAAATCCCTGTTTTTGCTAATTTAGATAAACCTCCTCCGGTTTTAGTCCTATTAATTTTATAACCTCGGTGCATCCCCAACGCTCCAAACGCCGCCGATTATTCCCTTATTGGTGGGAAGTTGGATGCATTAGGCAGGTAAAATGAGGAGGGGAAACCACACATTTTTAAGTAATTGTTGGGGGGGAAGGTCAGGTTAGGATTGTTGTAGCTAGAAAATAAAGGGACTTTTATGCAATCCTTATGTTTTTCAATGGACTAGTTGGTTAAAACCCTGACTTTTGTTAAGGCAAGTCAACGCTGGGGCAATCTTGGTTGGATATCAGACGCTAGAAGAGGTCAACGCTGCTCCCCTCCCGCCCCTAGACACCGCCAAACCATTCCATCATCGGGGTATGTGAAAATGAAGAGGGAAAACCACAAATTTGAAGTAATTGTGGTGGGGGAGGGGAGGGGTTTGTGGGAGCTGGAAATCCCTATTGTTTTTATGTAATCCCCCTGTTTGTCAACGGACTAATTATCATAAAAGCCTCAACTTTACCCAAGAGAGGTCAACTCTTACCCAATCTTCGTAAGAATTTAGGCTTCTCGGAACTCTGTTATCTAATCCCTATGTTTTTAAGGGGACTAATTGCCAAAAAACCCCTCAACTTTTGGTAAAGGGAGGTCAGCTCTGATCCAATCTTGGTTGAAAATTAGGCTTCTCGGAGCTATAAAATAATGGGACCTTGATCTAATTCCTTTCTTTTCCAATGGACTAATTGCTAAAAAGCCCTCAACTCTTGCTAAGAAAGGTCAACTCTGATTGAATCCTACGTAAGCAAGTTCGCATCGCCGGTGATTAGATTCTTGGGAGTTCCCCGAGGCTGACGTCAATAACAGATAAATAACACGTCGAAATCACAGACGAATTTGTCCGCACGTGTAAAATCATTTTTTAGCGAGACGTGTCGCCATCGCAATGGCCGCTATTTCCTCCATGATAGGAGATGAGGAGAAATGAGGTGAGAGATTAGAGAGAGAGAGAGAGAGAGAGGTGGGCCCAATGGTTTGGGAGGAATTTTCTCTCTCTTGATCAGTGGGAGCTTCATTGCCATCTGGGAAGATGATCTGCGTTCGAACTCGTTTTAGGAACAAACAAGAGGCGCGGTCAAACGCCGAAAAAACAGAATCACGCGAGAGAAGATGAATCGACGGACGACGACCTACTGAATCTCACCGGCGAATCCGTCCCCAACTACCACCTTTAGCTTCTAAGGGCCCTCCCAAAAACTCCGGCAACTCCCTGGAAGAGCGCCGCCGCCACCACCACCGCCACCGCCGGGCAAACAAAATTGCTCTGAATTGCAGGTGATAACTTCAGCTGGAGGCTGGGCTGAGCTTCTTCCTGACCACTCTCTTCCTCCTGGCCTTTGGCGGGGCGGCGGCGGTGGGATCGTCGACATCAGTGGTGCTTTGCTTGATGCCGAGGAGCCCGAGGCCGGAGATGATGGCGTTCTTGGAGATGAACCACTTGGAGGAGGATGGCTCCTGAGGGCCGCCACCAGTCGCTGCCGGCCTGTTGTAGGCTTTCAACAAGTTGTCAGACTGGGTCAATGGGTCAGCCTCCACCCCCAGCCAGGCCCGCCTGGAGGTCTCCCCCACTTGCACATTCAATATCCTGCGCAGATCGTCAACCCAACTCCATTATTACACCACACTGTTTGCTAGATACTTGGGGGAAAAAGCGAGAAATCCCTCCTGGGCGTGAAAATGAATGAAAATAAGCCCAGAGGAGGGGGGTCAACGGGGGAGGGGGCGCTGACCTGAGAGCGGTGCTGAAGAACAGGGCAACTCCGAGCACATCAAAGCGGTTGAAGAGCGCCCTGTCGAGCCCATTCAGGAGCTGATATCGGAGGTTGGCATAGAGCCCCAAGAAGGCTCCATAGCCAAGGGCATTGGTGTTCACACTGGGAACAGTGACCGACAACCTGTGGATATTGCCAAAAATGGGGTAGGTGGATGAGATGAATCGACTGCATCTCAATTAGTCCAAGTTTAACCAAGAAAAAAAGGCCGCTCGGCGGCCCAGTTGGTGGTTGACTTTACCTCCCCTCCTTCTTCCCAGCAGAGTAGTTGGAAAGGGCGCCCTGGGCCATTCCAGAGGCCAGCCCGGCGAGGGAGAGCCCTGCCGCCTTGTAGAAGAAGGACTGGATCCGCTTCTGGAGGTCAAACTCTCGGAGGAGGTAGTTCTTCTCGAAGACGTTGTTGGGGAGCTTGTTCAGGGCGTTCTGCCACTCGAACTGGAAGGTGTTGGCGTAGGAGTGGCAGGGTGCAAGCGACCAGACCACCACGGCGTTGCAGGCGGAGACCGTCAGGATGTTGACCAGGGCGAGATCCCACTCCTCCTTGATCCTGCAGCACCCATCGGATTTTTTTTAGGTAAAAACTCAACGGCTGACTTGTATGCAAAAGTTAACATGTACTTGAGTGTGCATATAAAGTATGATATCCCGATGTCAATATGGTGCTTATTAGGACCCACCTTCCCTTCCGATTCTTCAGTTCCCACCAGACAGAATATCCGACGGTCGCGACTTGTTCGAGGCACAGTTTGTATAGGAAAGATGGGTCGGCGATCATTCTGCTCAAGAAGGTATGAGGTCAGAGAGAGCGTAAGCCATATGGAGAGTATTAGCAAAATATCGTCGATGCATAGGATCATGATCCGAAATAAATGAAACCAGGAGAATGGGAAAACGAAGAGAAAAAGAAAATAAGGTTTTGAGGAAAATTAAAAGGATCGTCTAGCTAAATGATAATAAAAAAGGAAGGATTAGATTGGGTAATTAGATTAGATAATTAAAATATTTGGGGTCTGTTAACTGTGAACGGCTAAATTTTTTTAAGAGGTTGTTGGAGTTAGTCAATGCCTCCATCTGTTGACTGTGCAGTAGAGACAAAAAAAGTCAGCATCCATGCATGAGGAGATCCATACCACTCACAGCCTGTACTTGTTCTGAGTTAGATAATCAGGTTCTTGAAGGACCACAATGCAATTTCATTCCAGTGACGTTGAAGTAATATATATAAATAAAAAAAACTGACTCATTGGCACAATAACAATTGATATTATTAAATTGGATCGACTATTAAGATGAGGCCCAAAAAACTGTTTACATAAAATTAAAAAAAATTAAAGAAGAACAGTTAGTAAATGCTTTTCACACCAGGAGATCTTCTGAAATTTAACCCAATAGAGTCGATACTGATGATTTGGGCGATTCCTACACTGAGAGGTACGAACGATAGTCATTGGAATTGATTTGTCTGGTGACAGTAAAGTCCGACCAAACATGAAAGAAGATGAGAAAAGAAAATATAACTTGGAAACCGATCAGGTAGCAGCAGGTATGATCATAAAAATAGAGGAAGCCCTTTTTGAGAGAGGAGCAAAGTATGGAAGCTCGAAGTGCACAGCCATTGAAGCAAGGCTGCTGAGAAGCCTACCCAAGTCCTTGGTGTTTCAACAGTAATTACATGTCTTAAAAATGGACGACGACATAGATTCATTTTGTACGAAGTACCGGAAAAAGGATATACTAGTAGATGCATCATCAGCTCCTAAAAAAAATCTCCTCCAGATTAGAACAACAGACTAGACTAAGATCAGACTCATCTGATAACTAAATCTCCCAGAATGGTTGAGCTACTCCACTCTACCGTAGAAAGCAGTCTCGAACAAAACGAAAGGGTATCAGTCAAGGAATCCTTGAGTATAAAGATATGATTCTTCGGCACATTCCAAGAGATCCAAAAAGTCAACGTAAGGATGGGCCACCATAGTACACGGTCAACCTTTGATCACTCAGCTTTGCTCCAAGCCTCTCCACACCTCCTTCATAGATGTTGGAAGTTGTAAAATGCTTGATGCAGTTCCAATGTCGGCTAGATCTGACGAGAGAATAAGCATCTGAAAACTAGTAATTCACATCTTCTCTCCACACAAGCTGCACGAACTGCTTGTGTTGCCAAAATGACGAGCAAGGTGACCACAGGTAGGGAGAAACCCACTTGAAAATCTTCGTAATAATTAAGAACCTCGCCTCAAAGGAAAATGGACCCCACAAAATTTTCTTTTTTCTGAGATAAGAAAGAGGTCACAGTGGCAAGTTTGGACTTGGCTGTTTTCTCAATGAGCTTCGTTTTCTCACATGAATGAGTAAGCTGGCCTTAACCTAGTCTAGACTATACCAACTAATACCAAATCATTGTGGTGTATTTAGTACTATTTTTCAATAAATACGGTCCAAAACGATACACTTTAAAGTTTTGATTCAGGAAAAATTAGGGACTGCGCTACATCCTGAGAGTTCACTAGTAAAATAGTAAATTGTAGCAGGCATCCTTTAGTCAATGAAGGTGACCACAAAGATCGATATTTATCTCAGACTATTATTACTATTATTATTAAGAAGTAGCTTTGTGTGTCTAGCTACATATGTGACAGTTCTCATCACCCGAAGTAACCTAGGGTACGATCAATGTTCAAAGAAAAAGCTCCGGCCAGAATATTGGCATGCAAGTGCACACATCAGGCTAAGGTTGATTGCAATATTGACTGGTAGTCCAGTGGGAACTCACTTCCAGTTGGATGCACCTCAATCCAATGTCAAATTAAAATTATAAATTAAAGAACGCGATTCATGTTATCTACAAAAGATGAAGCACTCATGTTACCAAAGGATGCGATATACCTTCCAATAAATTCCCTGGATAGAGAATCAGGCAGAGCTCGAGAAATAAACCGAGTGATGGTTGGCCTGGCATGGATTGATAAGAATCGTACCATTTGAGCAGAGCTAACTAAGCCCTGAGTAAAAATTGTATGTTAATTAAATAAAAAAGGAAAAATTTCAAGGTTTCCTCAAATATAGTAAACTAAGGAAAACTGAGATTACCATTTCATAGGCTTGAAACAGACCAGCAGGTAAATTTACCATGGTTTTATACCACTCTTGCAGCACAGCATCCACGAATTTCCTATCAAAAAGCTGTAGAAAACAGCGAGGTTAATTATCATTTTCAGATTTCCTTTGAAAACTGTCTTAATACGGCAGGCCAAGAACCCCAACCTCTTGAAGGATAAGTCGCCGTCTAAACAATCCACCATCATCTCCTTCATCAAAGTCATCAAAATCACCAAAGTAATCATCATCATCCCCACCATCATCACCACCATCACCTCCACCATGGCTGTTTCTTTTCCCAATATCTCCCCCTCCACCGCCAATTGCTGTCTGTGGAATTCAAAAAAAGCATCTAGATCTCAGCAAAAGGTTTCCAAAATTCAAGGTAACCAAAAAACTAAAGTTGAGCCTTATGAATTATGTAGGATAAGAGGCATTCACTAATCATTAACAACACAAGCAAAGAGTTGACACTCGGTTGAGAACCTTCTGAAACAGCATGAAACATAAACAGAATCATGTTGGACCCTGAATGTCCTTCGCCATTTTGGGCAAGATCTTACCTGAACTGGCATAAACAGGACGAAAACAGTAGTGACACAGCTTAATAGAATTCCATGTTCCTCTATGACAATCTATATGGATGATGATAATGATAATATTAAGAATCAGGACTCTGAAGAGAAGGGAAAGTCGACTTCTGCAAAGCTTTTAGTTCGGTTTCAATTTTAAAGAAAAAGCACCACGTTTTTTATATTATTTGAAGACAATGTGATTCGGGTGGATACAAATGACAACATATTAGAGTAGAAACCATGATTACGGAATGATGTGTTAGGATTTAACGGTTTAAGAGCAGTGAAAGTAGTGTAGAATAGATGATACCTAAATTAACTGGTAAATGGGAGAAATGAGCAACTATTCAGTTAAGTGCTTCTGGTGGGTGCTGGCCATCTACTTCACGTGTTTTCATCATCAAGCGTCATAAGACAGTTGGAAAATGAATGATAATAACATCTGGGCTCCAAATAAAGCAACGTGCATTGAAAATGATATGAGAGGATCTAGGGGAGGCTGAAAGTTATGAATCGATGTAAGTCTTTCATAGCCTTCATAACCACTAATATTCGTGATCCTAGGTTTATCATTTACTAAACAAACGGATTCATTTCTCTTCACACATCTTAAACCATATAACATGCGTATGTAATCATCCAATTTATTCGGCAATTCAAAAGCTAAAAGTCTTCCAATAGTGCATTATCATATTCTGACATGCCAAAGCAGAAATTTTCTTACCATCGGTGTTAAAGAGTAAGAATCAAGTCACAAAAGGCAGAGAACGTAACTAAATCCATTAGCCAGGTAGTCCCCCGAGGACTGCTTGTAGCTTCAAATATAAATGATAAAGAACTTAAGGCCCCGGCTATAAATGTCCACGTTGTCTTAAATCTCACTAAAAATAATACAGGACAGAACCGTTTTTCAAACCAAACACGAAGCTTCTGAGAGAATAAGACCGGGCAAAAAGTAATCCCACAACATTCAGAATAACAAAACTTCCTCCTAAAGCTGCCCAAGAAATCCCAAATTGAATTCAAGTTTTAGCAAATAGAGCCAGTTTTAGCAAATAGAATTCAAAATCGACAACAGAAACATCAGTGGCAGAGGCTATTTTGTGTGTATGTGTGTGTGTGTGTGTGTGAGAGAGAGAGAGAGAGAGAGTGAGAGAGAGAGAGGGAAGGAGAGAACAGTCAAAAGATAATCCTCGAAACTGACCTCAGGACTGGTCCTCGTGGTCTTCTGAGAGAGGTCGAGCTTCGATTTCTCCAGCGTCACCGCACCGAAAGCACCAAAGTTCCCTTTCATGGTAGGCAAGGAAGATATCGAAGACGAGCCCGGCGCAGGGGAGGAACCGGTGTGGAAGCACCGCTCCAGTGCGGCCCTCTCATCCGCCGCCACCATATCCGACGGCGACGGCGTCGCCGCCGCTGCGATACGGCGGTGAGCGTTCCTTGGTCGCGAACGGCCGCAACCCTGGAACTGGAGGCGGATGCAACGCGCGCCGGAGGACGGTGAGCACTGCTGGTGGCGGTGGCGATGCGGCTGGTGCTGGTACAGGGCGGCGGCGTGGAAGGTGGCTTGGAAGACGGCGGCGGCGGCGTGGGGAGCCATCTGTCCTCACTCCCCTCCCCTCCCCTCTCCTTCTCCGCCCTTTTCGATCCCTCCTCCTTCCTCCTTTCCCGTCGTGTGGCTTCCGTTTGAGGACGGCCCTCTCTCTGCCCCCAGCTGCTTCCCTATCCGCTAAACCAGAGGAGCTCGGTGGGCCCCATCAACAACCTACCGCTGCGAATCGCTTCTCACGGGCCTCTCCGTGCGCCAGGCCGCCTTTAAAGGCTTTTCCATGAATTTTTTTTCCATTTTTTTATTTTAAAAAATATAATTAATTGCGTGCTTTCTTTTGCAAAATCCATATTGAGATAATTTCCCGATATATTAATATGGTTTACCGAGCTCGGTGGGCCTATTAACCACCTACCGCTGCGCATCGCATCGCACGTGCCTCTCCATGCGTTAAGCCGTATGTAAACGATTTTTCGTCATATTTTCCAAAATTATATTTTTATTTAAATATATCCAATTAATTTGGCCGAGAGGCCCGCCCATGGACAATTTTTTTATGGGAAAATGCATAAAATAATTAATCATGCCTATTAACTACAATTAATTTATTTTACGATATATATTATTATTATTATTAAGATATGAGCCAAAAATTAAAAAATAGCACAATTAAAATTATTGTATTTTTTCCATGGTTGCAAGAAGTCCAATAAAGTGATCCATTAGAACCGTTACAATGGAAAATAATGTTTAACACACATACATTAAACATGAATTTATGGCCACGATAAAATAGAAAAAATCATCGTTCTCTCATCTCCTACGGTCGAGTGGGAATGTGGTCTAATAAAATGAGGATAAGAGCACAAAAAAAATGTTACGAGGGGATTTCGTAATCCCTCGAATCTTCGTTTCCCGTCCTGGGTCCTCTCCCTCCCTCCCTCCCTCCCTTCACCCCGCCTTTTTTCTCGGTCACACTCTCGGAGAGCAGGAGCAGGAGCAGGAGGAGAAGGAGCAGGGGAGGAGTTTACCGTGGGTTGAAGAAAGGATTCTGCTGCCGATGCTACGAGATCAAGGTAAGGCCTCTCATCAGGACGATCTCGCAGCATCATCTGTTCCGATCGTTCCGATCTGCTTACATCGTTCGCGCTCTTCCTTTCTCCTTGTAGATCTCCAGATCTATTGCTGGCTCTTGGAATCGACAATAAGATCGGTCGGATCTCTCCGGTCTCTGTTAGAGACTGAGAATTCAGACCTCGTCGATGTTACTACTTCGAGCGAAGAATCGATGCTTCATTTATGTCGTCGATATTTTAAAGTATTTCGGCATCGCAACTTGAATGCACTTAATTCGCATTATATCTCCTGATACGCAACACATGTTTTTGAAGTGTACATCGTCTTGTTGGGAGATTATGGCCTGATCCGGAAAATCAGAAAGGTATGAAAGAAAGATAGCGAGGACGGGCCAAAATTCGCGATGAAACAACATGGATGATCCGATGACGGGAGGTTTCACGCACCGATCGCGCGATCATCTGATGAAGAACACACATTCCATGAGGATTTGGATATCTTCCACCGTCACGTCACGCCGTGCCTCGACGGCCCCTCCGCGGGGAAGCAGCGCTCCGGCTCACCACCCTGTTCCTTCCGGTGGACAAAAGAGAGGTAGCCGCGCGGCCTGGAGTCACCCCCAGGCGCGGCCGAGTCACTCCGGGGTTGCTGGATGAGGTCCCGCAGGCGGAGGGCGAGGAAAATGGCGAGGGCGAGGAGGCAGGTGAACCCACACAAGATGAAGAGGCCCCAGAAGCTGATCAGGTGGAGCCGATCCGAGTCGAGGTCGGTCCTCTTGCCGGCACAGGCGCTCCTCACCAGCCACTTGTCGTGGATCCTCTGGAGGTCCCCATTCTCCGACAGCGTCAGGATGGCGGTCGACATGTCCATTGCCAAGGGGGAGTCTTGTGGGAATACCTGCCACGCACTAGAGGGTGAGTACATGAATCATCTCTCTGTCTCTCCCCTTACGAACTAGCATCGTTCTTGGATGGATGGGGGCGGTATTTGAGACAAGGTGACGTCTGACGCAGACTGAAGCAGGGATGAGAGAGAAGTCGAAGGAAGTTGGCGGACGGCACTTACGAATCCCCATCCGCCCTTGGTGAATTCAGAGCCGATGATCGAGAACTGGCACTTGGTCGACAGGAACAGCTCGACGTAGGGCCGCTCGTCGACGACGGCAGCGACTCCGCCCTTCTCGGGGCCGAGGTCGAGCTCTCTGGCGTATTCGTCCGGCGAGCCGAGCGCCTTCAGCCGGGACCTCGCGACGCCGAGCTGCTCCACCAGGTAGTTCTCCGCAAAGGAGCCGATTTGGAACCCGATGGGGCCATCGTCCGAGAGCAGGCTGTCGATCCCCTTTATCGGCGATGAGAGTTGCCGCACGGTGAGCATGGAGGTCAGGCTGGCTGTGTAGCTGGACTGGACTATCAGCACGACAAAGAGCCAGATCAGCAGGACGACGCGCCCCAGAAGGCTCATGGTGCTTTCCCCTGCGCAGACAGCAGACAGAAGAAGAAGAAGAAGAAGATGGTAGCAATTAGGGCTCCTCCCGGCGGCCCCCTGGTGGAGAAATCCAAGGCGGGATTCTGCTTACTGTGTGCGAAAAACAGAGTCGAGAAGCTGAACCTGTCGAGGGAGGAGCCGACACACATATCAAGGTTCAACAAAATGCGGCAGCAAGACAGGAGAGGTGAGGAGAGGATGGATCTCTGCAGATCATCATCAGTGGGCTTACCAGATAATGGTGGTGATCTGTTTCTTGAGAGGGCCCCGGAATTCGTCGTTGATCCTGTGCTCCAGGATCCAGATCACAGCGCCCACCACGACGAAGAAGGCGCCGGTGACTCCCCACATCCCCAGTGTGAACGGGTGCAGGAACGCCCAGGCGTTTGACTTGAACTTCTTCATCGGGACCAGGATCACCAGCCCCGACTCGATGTACGGCAGGGTGAAGTCGACTATCCTCGTCCTGTTCGTGACGATGGCGATGTCCCCCACAGCGGCATCGAGCACCTGGCGGAACCAAGCAAGCAACCAAGCCAGCCGCCGAAAGGAGAAGGATCAACAAACCACCAGAGGCCGCCGCCAGAGAGGAAAGACGGGCGAGATGGTTCGAGCTTTACCCCCGACGCGACCTTGCTCGCCAGCTCGGAGTAGCTCGGGTTCTCCAGGCCGTCGCCGACGAGGACGAACTTGTAGGGGACGGCGTACGGCAGCAGGTTCACCGCGGCAGTGAAGACGTCGATGCAGAAGCCCTTGATGATCCCCGTCCCCGGCGATCTCGTGACGAACTCCCTGAAGCTCACCCTGTCAGGTACGCCGATCCTCAGCTCCGTCCCACGGTTAGGGAAGACCCAGCCGCGGGGTTTCTCGGTCGTCTCCCCCGGCCAGATCACACTGGACAGCCGCTGGCTCAAGCTGCTCGATCCATTGGGCTTTCTCCAGGTCAGAGATCCAGGCGCTTCCAGGGACAAACCAGAGAAGTTGGACCAGAAGCCGATCCTCCGGTACCCCGAGCCGACGACGTTGATGACATCGTACGCAGGCCGGAGAAGGTCCCCGTCGGCGTTGAAGCGCAGAGGACCCGCCACGCCGGTGAAGTTGACCTTCAGAATCTCCTCCAAGAGCCGCCCCCCGCCGTCAAATATGGTCATAGACTGGAACCGGAGAGGCCCTCTATCTGAAGCATTCAACTTGGGGTCGCCGGAGAAGGAAACAGTCCCACCGTCTCTGAGAAAGGCATCGATAGCCCGGGCGACCATCCAGACCGTGTCGTAGGCGTTCAAACCGTACGAGTTCAGCCCGCCATAGCCGCCCTGTTCCTCCACCAAGCTCCTCCACCTGGAGAACAGCTCCCTCTTCCTCTGTGAATCTGGGGAATGCTGCCGCAGAGTGAGAACTCCCTGGATGCTGTCCATGGCGTCGGAATCAAGCGGGCCGTAGGTGTCCAGGCGGGAGGAGAGCCAGTCCGTCGCAATCCAGACATACCCGTTGCCCATCATCCCCAGATAATGAGCCGCAGAGAAGATGGCGGCTCCTGCGTCCTGGGAGTGAAGAACGACCACCCGAGCTTCCATCATGGCCACCTTGAGCAGAAGATCAGAGATGTCGCTCCGCGTGGCCCCCGGTCGTAAGGCGGCCTTGAAGGAGATTCTGCAGCGTCTCTCGTCGAGCTTCTGGCCCAGGGCAGAGACGCCATTCCTGCCGTAGTCGTCGTCGGTGAAGATGGCGATCACCTGCTTCCAGCCATAGTAGTCGACGAGCTCGGCGACAGCCTGCATCTGGAAGAGGTCGCTCTGTGTCGTCCTGACGAAGAAGGAGTGCTCCCGGGAGGAGAGCGTGGGGTCGGTGGCCGAGAAGGAGAGCATTGGAATCTGGAGCTCGTTGGCAACGTGGAGGATGGAGTGGGCGATCACAGAGCACTGCGGGCCGATGATGGCGACGACGTCGGTTTCCACGAATTGCAGAGCTGCAGTCAATTGCAGAGCTGCAGTCCAAGAAGGTAGAAGAAGAAGAAGAAGATGGAGATTTGGTATTTAGGTCCAACACCTTTGACGATGCCGAGGAAGCCGCTGCAGCTGGAGTCCTGCATCTTGACAACCAATCGGGTGGCTCCCAACATGCTGGGGTCGGAGTTGACATCCTGGACTGCGGCATTGATGGCCACCTTCGCCGCCCTCCCGATGGTGGAGTTGAAGGTGAAGATGGCGCCGACGTTCACCACAGCAGGAGGAGGAGGCCTCGGGGGGAGGTTTCGGCTTGCCCCGGGAGAAAAGACTGCATAATGGAGAAGAGCGGGCAGAAGAACCCAAGCCGCTAACTTCATGGCTCCGGAGGAGGGAGAAGCAGATGCCGCCGCCCTCTATGAACAACAACAGCCTGAGAACACCGTAGAGGAGTCAACCCACCCAGTCGGTGGAGAAACAACAACCAGTTTGGGGAAGAGAGAGAGAGAGAGAGAGCAATACAGAGGAGCACCCAAAAGAGGGAGAATCTCTAGAAAAGAAGAAGATAGGGAGAGTGGAAGCCCAGCCCAAGGGGGAGCTTGAGCACAACACAGATGAGGCGCATCGGCGTCACCCTCCTCTCCCTCTCTTCCTCTTCGGCGCGGGAAACCAGGAGACAAACCCTTCCAGGATTTTCATGTCAGACGCGAGGAGGAGGGAGGGAGAGAGCGAGAGAGAGAGAGAGAGAGAGAGAAAGAGAGAGAGAGAGAGAGGAGTACAGAAAGCAGCGGAGGCGGATGGTCCAGCTTCAAGACGGAAATCGCAGGCATGGGCTCCTCCGCATCTTCTCCGCACTCCCCCATTGGGGAAAGCTAGGAAGCAAGAGAGGGAGGAAGGAAGGAATATTAATAATAGAATAGATCGAATCCGGACAGCGAACAGTGTCCGTATGCCCACCGCCCAATAAAAAGTCCAGGATGAGGTGGCACTAATATGCCCTTCCAATTGACCAGATAGAGACTCGACGATGCTTTTGTCCACCACCCGCCGGAACAGCTTCCGGCCCGCCCAGCGCCGCCGCCCGATTTCAAACGGCCATACCTCGAGATCAGGCGGCGCCGCGGCAGGTGGGCCAGCCGAGTTACCATCAGCAGACACTGCCCCCCGGCGGCGCTGCCGCAGGTGGGTTACCCGAGTTGCCGTCGGCCGCCATTGCCGCCGGCGGGTGGTCGTCGGGCGGCGAGTGACGGCGCCTTTGACGACGAGGGCGGACGTGCCTTGTCTTACCCCAGACCAGTGACCTGCTAGCACCTCATGTAGATTTTTATTTTACCCTTAATTTTGCATTCGGGAAGGATAATTTGATGATAGTCTGGGAATGTTAATGATAATATGAATAATTTTAGGGGCTATTGTGACAAATAGCTTTCATCTAGCTAGACGTTGGCATCGAATAATCTGACGGACGATTTGGGGGACATCGCATCTCCTTTTACTTCTCCCTCCTTTCCTTGAATTCGTTAGGATAGAGACGAGAGGGTGCTGCTTCTCCTGGCTAAATTTCTCAGGCTTCCATCACATCAGTCAGATTTTTCTTCTCGGGCAGGAGTGATCCTTGAATTCCCTAGGATATATATATATATATATATATATAGAGAGAGAGAGAGAGAGAGAGAGAGAGAGAGAGAGAGAGAGAGAGAGCCACAGAGGAATGAAGATGAAGATCGGGATTCCATTTCAAGTGGCTTAAAGCAAAGAACGAGGCACTGAAATAAAGAGTCTTTAAAACGGAAAGCTCCGGCGAGAAGATGACGCCTTATCACCTTTACCGCAGCCCCATTGAAGGCCTCACAGGTCTCTATCTCCCTCATCTTCCAAGTTTGGAGAGTGGTCTCTGCATCAAGAGAAGGGAAGGTGCACGTCTCATCAGTAACCCCATGACTACCCAAAGTGATATTATGTGCATATATTCGTGGATCTCTGCAGATATTTAGGTGGTGCATTCGGTAATCAGAGGAAATTTTTTACTCTATCGGTGGGTCTTTCCATAATCGTAGTGGCCTCACTTGAATGGGTTTCTTAGATTTCGGTTACCTTGCGGGGCCGCAGTGCTTGCTCAGCTCTTGACATAAAACCCTGCTCACTTCTCCCGCCCTGACGGAGCCCTTCTTTATCTTCTCTGCCAGCTGAAAAGGGCGACCGAAGCTTCTGTCAGAACAACGACGCTCCTCCTCCAAGGTCACACCGTTGAAGGCTTCATGGCCTCTTCTCATATAGATTGAAGGTGGGCAAGCCGGATCTTCTTCATTTAACGTCCAGAAACCATTTTTTTTCCCCTCTTTTTACTACTAATCAGTAACTCCGTCCTAGTTGTGAATCCTTACTCTGCCAAAACTCAAGCTCGCATTCTTGAAATGTTACCATATTTGTAGAGTTAGCGGAGGGAACAAGTGCACTTACTTCATCTTCGGTTTCGTCGATCAACCTGGGCATTTCCAAACGAACAAGGCTAGTAAGTAAGCCAGGATTCACAAGAAATTTCAGATTTTAAGAGAATCAGTTAAGATCTTGAGGCCACAAGCAAGCAGGGGGATAGGCGTCTCCTGGGGGATGAACCTTGTCATCAGGTTTATTTATTTATTTTATTTTTTGAACAAAGATGATCTTGCAAAGATGAAAACTCTCAGAGCAGTGACCAGAATGTGCTAGTTCAAGGTAATGCATGGAGAAAGCTTGCATTATCTGAAGAAAAAAAAAAAGGAGAAATGGAAAAAAACAAATATGGACTGCTATAGGCTTTGATTAATCTGAAGAGGTTATTGATTTTGGAAATAATTTCCTGTCGATTTATATTATACAGACATATAACATGGCATATAAGTTTATGGAGAAAGATGCTCTCATAGACCCCAACAGAAAATACGAGATAAACCTGATGTATCAACTATAATCTGGGAATTAACAACGGAATTAATCACGAATGAAGCAATCAATTCAAAGATAAGCCAGCTTCATGAATTATCAAGTTATAAGCCAAAATATATGGTCACCTCCGAAACGGGGTTCTCATGAAATTATCAAGAACATTGGGCTAAGAAAAATTAGCAGAATACAGCACAGTTTCATGCAGAAGAAGCATAAAGTTTTCAGGGAACCCACCTCCCGCAGTAAGAAGAAATAATCTTTGAATGCGCTCGTGCTTCCGGCTTGTCTACAATGCAGCACACTCAGGTTCAGAGTCCTTGAAACAGCCTTAATAAATTGCACATAATGCTTAAATAAATAAATAAAAAGAGAGGAACACGTTGATTGAGCTACCATGTCTGGATGTCTCAGGATGACATTCTATACCCGGAAGAAACAGGAAAGATGGAAAATGAGATATTTTCAACTCCCTGGCTCAGTCCGGATGGAGTATCCCCATACATTGCGGAAGTCTATTCATAGTACTTTGTGATTAAGAAGAAGGTCGAAAAGTTTCAAAAAAGACCCTAGTATAACCGTAATAATCACCAAAACCCTCCCACTCCAGGCCTCCCAACTGAGACTTTTAAGGTTGGTGGTGATTACTCATATTTTTCAGCAGTGCTCAGGGCATTATGGCGAGAATAAAAATAAGTAAGCATCAGTCATGGGCACTGTGGGTTCTTGTTCCTTCACTAAAAGTAGTAAATCACCTAAAAATATATATTTTTTTTATCATCTAGAGAAAAAAAATTACTGTGTATCCACAAAAAGAATAAAAAACAAAAAAACAGAGCTAAGTGGTCATACCAGCTCCAAAAGCGTCCCAATCTTTGACCCTGATCCATTCTTGTTTGACAGAATCAGACTACAAGAAGATATCATGCATCAGGCAGCAAGAACAGGCTACTAACCACTGTGCCCACAAGAGCACATCAGTTGAACAGAACCAAGAAGGTGAATTCAGAAATGAAACAAGACACAACTCTACAAAAAAAAATCATGTCAAAATATTCCGCCGTGCCATTCTCATGAAACTAAACGCAATTATTCTTGCAGAAATTATCATCCCATTTTAAAAATACGATAAATAATGAGGGAGTTATTCGATGGAATTTTTCATAACAAGAAATCTTACTTTTTTCAGAGTGTAGTCTTGCATTTTCTCACAGAGACCGTCTAAGAGGTCAACAACCCTCAGCTCACTTATCCTAGTCAGAGGAGATGATCAAACACTGAGAACGGGTATTCAGTGAAATGAAACAAAAGCAAACAGAAAAAGAACGTTGGGGGATTTTGCTTGTTATTTGATAAACTCAATGGGTTCCGGATAGAAAGCCAGATGGATTCACTCACTTGTAGTCGATAACTTTCCCTTCCCTCTGACCTCTCGAATCTAATCGGTGTCGCATATCCAAATGGTTACGTGGTCTCTCCTGGAGATCATGCAAGAGACTATTCTTCAGCATATCAAAAAAAAAAAAGAGATGGGAAAAAGAAAAGATTTTTCTTTTTCCAAAATATATTACTCATCACTGGTGTTTGTGAGGCAAAATAAATCATTTATGTAGAATCGTAGCGAAAACCAAATGATCGCATCAACTGCAAATCAAAAACAATGGATTTCATCACCGATCTCTGTAATACAGAAATTGAAACATTTAGATACCTGTTCTAAGAGTTCTGAGCGGAAATAATAACCAACATATTTCATACATGTAAGTTCGTCTTTAAAGGCTAGACAAGATAATTATAGGGGGGGAGAAATGCGGCAAAAATCCGGGCCCTGAATAAGTATACCAAGAAAAATCTGTGACACAACGTTCCACATGAATGGGTGCATACCCATAAGTAGATAGAATATGAACACAGTAACACAGGTCCCAGGAAGTCAACGCCTTGGAGGATATTTGCGGATGGCAAATAATCGTGTACAAATCATTCGAGAACAAGCAAGAGGCGGAAGAGAGGTAGGAAATAAAGGTAATGGCAGGCAGAAGTCTTACACTGGCCAGCCCACGTTCTATCTCAGCCTGCAAGAAACATTCAGCATGTTGGTGAGATCTCTGATACTTTCCCAAGAAAAAAAAAAAAAGCAACCAGAAATGCTATGATACGCAGTCATTTATGAATTCATCACGTCCTCAATGTTTTCCAAAAAGAAAGGCCATGATGAGACATTTTAATTTATACAGCAACGATATGAAAAACTGAGTTGACTTTATTGTCGGATGAAAAATGGGAAATTATAACCAAAAATAGGAGAAAAAGAAAGAATGTGAGCATGAAGAGTGAGACGATGTGAGCATGAACAAAACCCACCGGCCCATCGACTTCTGAGGAAAAGAAACGGGAATCCCTTACGTAAAAGCCTTAGAACAAAAAGAAGAAGAAAAAAAATGGAGAGGAAAGGAGAAATGCAGAAGGAAACAGAAAACGAACACGGCGATACCGCAACGGCCTCGCAAGCAGAGCACTTGTCGTCGACGGAGGTGGCCGGGCCGAGGATCGCCAGAACAGCGAAGACCCAGATGGCGAGCGAAGGCATCCTCCTCGTCTTCTCCTCCATCGGTTGCCTCGGCGATCGCGGCGACAGGGAGAGAGAACGATTTCAACGGAAAGTTAACAAAATATCGAGAGAAATGAGCTGCTCTTACCCAAGTGAGCTTAAAATGTTCATTAAAGAACCGGAAAGCTGATGCTGATGTCGAGCCCAAGAACGAAGGAAAGCTCCTCCCCCCACTTCCACGTATGCGAACCAATCAAATCCTGATACGTGGACTTGGGATCCACGTTGACACCGCTGTGGGCCCCACTCCAAAAGCGAATCCCGCGAGATGGGTCGGACTAGATACCACCCCCCGTTCAGATCCTGCCCGGGATCATCTGGGCCCCGAGTCGCCGGACTCGGTCCGTCCCCACCTTCTCCTCCGTAGATTCTTCCTTAGATATCGTGATCGGAAAAAGTCAACGTGAAGATATCCTCAATATTTCATTAGATTATTCCATTGATACCGTGATTGGATAAAGTCAATGTGATGAAATCCTCACATTTTTTCTGTACCCTGATCCGTGAATGATAACGGCGATAATTATGGACTAAGCATCATGATATTATAGAAAAATACCAAGTAGAAAGCAATGCACCCAATTTCTACGGTCCCAATATCCCCCTCTCCATCTCCCCTCTCACCTTCTCTTAACTCCCTTTCATCCTTTCTCTCTCTCTCTCTCTAAATAAATAAATATATGTGCATATAGAGAGAGAGCGAGGGAGAGACGTAAGAGGAAGGACCCATTAGAGGGCTGATAAAATTACTAAAAGAGGAGACTGCATTGGGCTATTTTTAGTATATATTGACCGGATCAATCGCCCAAGTGAAGGAAACAACTTGTACCCACTTAAGAGTAACAATTTGCTCCCATAAATTATTTCACTGAGGATTTGGACCGAAAACTATCATTTTTATAGGCATAATCTCATTGCATTAGAAGCTCTCTACTTCCTCTTATTATTCTTGCTTTCTCTCTGGATTCTGATCCACAATGCCGCGAAGAAATATCATGGGAATTGACTAAATCTTCCATCTATTAACAACCCTCAAGATCCTATTTTTGACAGCAACTTCACTCGCAGTTATTTTAAAAACTTGGTGTTTTCTGATGAAAATATGTTCCTATAAACGGAAATAAGTTTATATCAATTTGGGATCATACAAGACGACCAAATCAAGCATTGCGGTTGATTAGGCCAGAGAAGGGGAGACCCAGATGGACACTTCATACTCAACACGAGAAGCTTGAGAGAGAATTGTCCTCCTAGAAATGGAAACTCGATAAGTAAATAAAAAAGCGCCATTTATTGATGGGCACTTCTTAAAAAGACAACTAAAAATGTCTGAGGAAGATCTTCGCAAACAACTCCACTGTGGACATGATGTGATTAGTAAGATAAATTCTATGATACTCAAGACCTTGACAACACGCAAAGCAAGATAAACACAGGGCACAGACGTTAAAATGACAAAATTCAGGCCCTTCAAAAAAGAAAAAAAAACACAAGAGGGCATTTTTCTAAAAGGTCGTACATAATAATAGCTGATTCTTGTATGATTCTACCACTCCCATTTGCATGAGCAAGGCAGAGCATGATTTTTTTTTTTGCCATTTATGACGCTGCTACCATAAGTTATCCAAATATTATGGCGAGGCCACCCAACCGTCATAGATCCTGGTATCTTGTTTACGCTCCCCAATGACACTAAAGAACATGGAATTGAGATGTATGAATTTAAAATTTAAAAAAAAAAAAAAAAAAAAACGTTAACAGCTACTAATAGTAGCAACAACAAGAAAAGAATGGAAGAGTAGAAGGCATCTTACTGTGCTCTCAGTGGAGAGGGAACAAGAAAGTAAGTAAACTTCTTAATTAGGATTGTATTCCAAGTTGTCTAATTGAGTCTGGGCCCACGAGAAATATGCGACGCTGTTTTTGGTATCGAAAAACTACGACCCCTTTGTAAGCTGTTCGGGGCACACCATCCTGTGAGAGTAACGCATCAATAACAGGTGCCATGAGAAGGAAGAGTCCCGAGAAATTAAATAGCAAGAATAAGCTATCACCAACATCATGGTTTCATAAAAATGAAAGGCTTTAGAAGAGATATGTAATTTGATAATTATTGAATTTATGTTTCATATTTTCAAATTTTACATAAGTAATTTATTTCACAAAAACACGAACTAAATTTCACTCTCTACCACTCTTTCTCTCTCACTCTCTGTCTCACTTTGATAGATGCAACCTTGTAAAAAAGTGAGCATGATTTGGGTTGTTTGCACTCCCAATTATGACAAGTTTTGAAAACTTACCCTAATTTTGAAGTTTTATTTTTCATAATAATCTATTTTTGGGTGTTCCAGGCCATGAATTCTTATCCATGTCTTGGAGGTAGACGAGAGGCAAAAGAAGCTACCTTCCATTCCTCAAAGATTCCGAACTGGCGAGCAATCTGTTCGAAGTCTGACTCGTCTCTGTATTGAATACGAGCATCCCCATTGATATTAGATGCTTTAAGGACTGCGTCAGGCCCGCGGACAGGTTTGGCATCCAACACCATTTTCGCAAAGTGTTTCATGAAGTTGTCCTGCCACGATAGAAACTTCAGGAGGGGAAGTTCGAAACAAAGAGCTACTTTCGATGATTCATTGAGAGAACATAGTACCTCCTTCAAGTAGCTCAAATCCACTGATTTCCAATCGACCTAATGGACAGGGATGGATGGGTTCCAGCAAAAAGAAAATCAGCGTAAGAACTTAGAAAATAGCTCAGATAACATGGGGTATGCATGCCACATGTTTCATCCATCACGTAGATGGGGATGATTTAAGTAACAGCAATAAATGCTCAGTGAAAGAAATCGCGAAATGGTTTCCTTTTTTAGGTAAGAATTGTCAGGTTACATGAGATATGTATGCAGTATCATCCATCACTGACATGGGCATCATTTAGGCACCGGCAAAAATCATTCAGGCCAAGAAATTGCGAAATTGGTTTCTTTTTTTCAGTAAGATTTTTCATTTAACGCGGGATGTGCATGCACTATGTTTCATCTATCACATACATGGCATCTTTTAGGTTCCAGCTAGAACTATTGCTTAAGAAATTGAAAATTGTGCTCCCGTCTTAGAAACGATTTTCTAGTAACATAGGATAATGTATGTCGTATGCTTCATCCATTACACACATATGGGGATCATTGAGGCACCAACGAAAAATGTTCAAAACAAGAAATTGCAATTTTTTTTCCCTTTCTAAGAAGAATTTGTAAAAGATATAGACTATGTAGGTCATCCATTTCATCTATCAGGTACATGGGCATCAACTAAGTACCAACAAAAAATGCTCAGTGTAAGAAATTGCAAAACTGCTTTCCTTTTTAAGAAAGAATTTCCAAATGAGATATGGATATGTAGTTAAAAAGTTTCATCTATCACATACACGAACGTCGTTTAGTTTAATAGGCTTCAGGTATTGTCTGAAGAATTGCCCCATACTAGAACCCTGCAAAGAAATCCAAGTAACGTTAGTTGCGGAAAACCTGTAAAAATCTAAAATATGGATGTCTGCAAATTGATGCCTCAGTTTTGAACGTCTGGTGAAAAAAGCACGAAAGATAGCCTTATCAAAAGGAATATACAAAGGAAAGCACTTCCCTTCTTCACTCCCTCACAATAAAACCAGGAATATGTGATCTGCGAATCGATACAGTAAGTGGCATCTACTCCCATCAATGAAAGTTGCAAAAAAATCATCCACATGATACATCCATCCCCATTCTATGTGAACAATGAGACCCTTCTCCTGCTTAAACTTGTCTGATAGGTGTGAATGCAACGATCAAGATGAGAGGTATTTGAGTTACATTCATCTAATTTGTTCATGTCATAGAGAGAGGTAAATAGAGAGAGCGAGAGAGGTAGAAAGAGAGAGTAAAGAGCATTTTCTATTAAAATGAGTTTCTTTCCTGCATATGAGAGATAGGAGACAATTACACTAGGCCTATATAGGAGTGGGTATCTTGTGCTAACGAAGCCCATTAGTGCAGACTATAGTTCACAAAGACAATCAATCTTAGGGCCACCATAGTTTTAGGGATCCAATATTTACCATTTATGCAGGTAACCGGTGTTTTTTTTAATCAACTCTTACCCTTTTCCTCCTGCAGACGTAGTAGCATTACATAATTCTGAACCTCCTTGTGACTCTCTCATAGCAGTGATAAGGTCTCCCTTTTCCACCTTCCAAAATATATGACAAGAACAACGCAGACGAGTTACCCTAGAATATTTACCAACTCCTATTTCATGAATCGCTGACGTTAAATCTTCTTCCAAGAAGGGATAGAGATGATTAAAAGCTTAATGACGACAATGAAGAAAATTGATGATGGTTTTTCTCTTCTTTAATGATAATAATAATGTGAAACTTGCCACAGTTGGAAAAAATAGCAAAAACTACATTCGTATACATCCATGGACAATTTGAAGACATATTATGGATTTCCTATCTCTTGATAACAAATATTCTGAACACAGTCAAGACTATAAAGCGGTTATGATGATAAAGATTTCAAATATTGGAAATAAACTATCAACATCAGACACAGATAATTTCATTATTGATTCGAGAAACCCTAAAACATTGAAAAGCTTGAAATATTTAGCTAATAAATAATTAACATATACATACATGCTCACCGAAGTTGTATGTCCTGCAGACCTCAGGGCGAATGAATTGTCTGTTTTTATGCACATCTTTCAACCTTAACCAGTCATCCCAATAAGTGTTATAATGTTAAGGAAAAAAACAGATAATCAATAAACCTCAAAAGTTTCAGACGTTCACATGAATGAGCAATAATTGAAGGATATGCTTTTGGCCATTTTGGTGATAACTCGCTCCATGTTGATTTTGTCAGCATCCATCCCAGTCCAGGAAAGAAATCAGAGCGATAAAGAGCCTCTGAAGATTATATCAATCAAGTCATTGATGTAAACAAGTGTCCAAGATGGGATTTCTGATTATAATATTCTACAACAGAGAGATAACTATATGCCACAACTTGGGAGCATTACTTGGATCATGCACAAATTGCATTTGTCCATTGTCGTTCCATGAAGAGACAGCCATTATGGTCCTGCAATTGTGGAAGAAAAAAACATTACCACTTAAATGAGAGACGGGAGAAAAAATAAGTTACATAGGTTGACATCGTCACATACTTATCATTGTCGAGTAAAGTGGCAGCAGCCTCAAAATAGCTGAAGAAATCCGGGGCAATCTCCATGTCATCTGTGTAGCACCATGAATTGTTTTTCTTTTTTCTGTAACAATATTTATGACAGCAAAGAAAATTTTAAAAATAAAATTCAAAATGATGAACAAAAGTGCACCTTCCAATATGACTACTCGGCTGAAATTATGCTTGAAAAATAATTCATCCAAGGCCCATTTGTAGTGACCTAAAAAGACAGCAACTCAAAGGGAGAACAGATATTAAGGTAAAAGATGGGATAAAGGCAAATGCCATACTTGCAATCTTGTAGTAGGCAATCAATTCTCCTGGCCTTTCAGGATGCACTGGCCCAAAATCTAAGTGCTGAAATGAGTAACAGGTCATCAAGGGACAAGAACAAGGTCTTCCAGATATCTCCCATGAAAAATAATTTTTTTGAACATTTGTCCACAAATTCTATCAAACCTTATGGCTGGATTACTTTTCAATTATTTTTTCAAAAATCATGTCTCATAAATTAATACAGCGGAATTTTAGAAATTTGACAGTCTTCAATAAAGAAGTACAATGAACAGTAAAAAGAAGTACCAAACCATTGATTTTCTGAGGAATCTTATATAGTACACTCTCATAACCTCGCAATTAACACTTATTTTGCTCCATCATAGATTCTAAAGACGAAAACTTTCTACAACTGAGATACAAATATGCATAAAAAAGTTGGTATAGAGCACACACGAGCATGCACGTAAATGACAGTACTCAGGAGATCACCGTTGATTAAAGCCATCTTAAATCACCTGCATGTATGTTATCTGATTGTAACTCAAGGCTTTGCTTTTAACACCTTGATTTGTTCCATCCTACAAAATCACCAAGATTCCATATGATATTAACCCTTCTATCCTCAATAAAAAAATAATCCGAGAAAATAGAAAATAAAAAGAAAACAGGTAACGATGAAAGACAGAAAACTGACTCAATCAAGTACCTGAGATATGAAGAGCGGAAACTTGGATGCAACTGACCTATGATATCTGGACACAAACAAATGGCAGTGTTGGCTAACACCTTCTTTCTTGAGCAATTGAGAAGAATAAGGCATGCAAATGACGATGTATATATATAAAACATACTTCAGAATGGATTGAATCGTCCTCTCCAGGTAATCAGGGCGATTACAAGCCATTATGACAACAGCAGCTACTTGTAACTGGAAATGCTTATAATAAACACAAACATAGTGCTATTATGTCTCACAAGTCAATAAAATCATTTTCAAATGAACATCAAGGATTCCAAGGAAGATTTGCACCTCTGTGTCACGAATCAAAGTTTTGAGATTCTTCCCTGCAAATACAAAGTCAACGGAATTATATTGCCGTGTAGTAATTTGGACAAGAAACAAAATATTGTTTGAAAATGTAAAAGAACATCAATTACAAATAGTTTCCTCACAAATAAGGGAAGCTAATGGATGGAAGCCAAATTAAGTTGTCAGTGGATGGTAAACCTTATGAAACGAACGGAAAACTAGTGTCCGCGCTCTAATATGGACATAAAATGTACTCCAATCATTTTTAACAAAACATTTTGAATCACATCATGAAGGAAATCCGACAATTCCCTCAAGAATCACATAATGAAGCAAGCAGGTCATCCCCTCAGATAAACTAGCAACTATCATTTTATATTTAATTCTCATTCGTCTGTATCTACTATGATGTCAGAGCAGGTGAATATGGGACTGATGAATCAGAGCACAGGCCAAAATGAACATAAAACTGTCTTCCACTTTCGGCTCACCAATGCGAAGACTACATGCATGCGGTTCAAACTTATTGATCATATCTAAATAGAGTTAAAGAGACAGGAAACAAGCCGAAATTATAAAAAGAAGGGAATGCTGTAAAAAACAGTGGATGGAAAAAAAAATAAAAATGCTAATGATTGTGCTAAGAAGTAACCAAAAATGAAGAAACATACTTTCCAGATCCTGAACAAGAGCTTTCAGATTAGTACACTCTTCTTCTTTCAATTTGTATGCATCTGAAATTACAGCAAAACTTTTAGTACAAATAAAACAGTATTAAAAAATATCTGGAAGAAAAACTTTGTCCAAAATTATAATTAATTAAGAGGAATCTATCAATACATATGATTGATAGGTGAAGTGTTTAACTTTAAATTGAGAATGTTGTCTATCAAGGGCACATCCGGGTTATTGTCTCTTCTTAGAAAAACCATGCACAGAAATGCTCACCGATAAGCAAACTTTCCACAATACAGCTACACACTTCAATAATTTGAGATCAAAAGTAAGAGATGACGAAATTTTGCATTGATGATGTGGTAGTGGTGGAGAGGCGGCTCTTCTAGAACCAATACTTCAGAGTGTAAATTGGTATGCAGTCGGATACTCAATCATATGAACAACGTTTATAGGGCATATGGTCAAGAATATATATATATATATATATATATATATATATGTATATGCAACCGTTTCAGTGGGAGATAAAATGCCTTCTGGATTTCCCTAGGAATTCTGATGACATCCACATCTACGTGACTCATACAAACTATTGACAGGCTCTATGAAAACTTCTGGGGACGAAACATCATTGGAACTATCTGTATTTTCAGAGTTAAATATCCGGGTTCTTCAATCTTTGGAGATTTTCTTTTTCTTTTTGGCATATAGTTGGATTCAGATATACACTATGCATGTACCATGTCGTGAAGGACCTGCAATTTTGTTAAGGGAGATGATTTCGTCAACCCTCAACAAATGACTAGTTCTGATTATTTAAAGTCCTATGATATCCCAAATCCATTGTTCATAAAACCACCCTCATGACCAAAATCTGACTATTAATAAAAAGAGATGGAACAAGTAGTACGCCAAAAGATGGGAAATACCTTCCACAGAAACGATTTTTCCCTGTTGTACGCTAATTTGGTTGATCAATAGCCGCATTTGACTTGTACAACGATTTTCTGATTCCACCTATAATTACATCAGAGAATTTCACAATTTGTCTGAATAAAAAATTAAATCTCAATATAAATGGACATGGACGGCAATAAACTATAGTTCAACCATTTCAAACGAGCTCATTATTTGAACATCATAAGCAACAATAAGATAGGGACCACAATGAAGCATGAAAGGAAACTGACAGCCGCATTTGCCAGATAATCATCATTCTTATATATTTTCTTCAAAATTAAAAAAAGAAGCAACATCCAGAAAAGTATGGTGGCTCATCCTTGATGCGACCCTTCGCATCATTTGAAATGAGGAGAACAATCTCATGTATCAACATGAGAATTTCTCAATGGATACTTTTTATCTTTGTTTCTAGAAAGATTAAAGAACAAACAAAAGTATTTTGCAATGAGAAGAAGTTGACCTATGTATTTTGAGAGCCTTGGGATCATAGATGAATCTACAGCCTTGGTGAAGTCAATCAGCCTTATATAGAGTTTTTTTTTGAGAGAGAGCCGATTATACACACTAGATTTTGAACCACTCATCAGAATATTATCACGTTCTAATAATCCACGTCCTAATTGGATTACCAGAAGAAACATTTTCTTCTACGAGAATAAAGTTTTCAATATTTAGGACATAATTAGGACTCCCAGCTAATTTTGTCTGCCTAGTGTGACCAAACCAGGTTGATTGAGGAGACACGTTGATGTATTTAAGGATTTTTATGCATTACTGATCACGTATGTATCCACTCTCTTTCTACTATCTAATGATTATGTGATACTATTAATCTTAGACATAGATGAACGCAGTATGATGTCCCACTGTATCCTGTGACTGAATATGCAGCAAAACTTGCTTATGTAACAAATGATAAATTATTTGGGAACTTCTATAGGGGCTGGAAAAATGATAGAGGGAAATATATGGTAAGATTGAAAGGCCTACAATCTTTGTGCCCTGAAATCATGTTTTCATGATGTATAAAAGAAATTTTGAATAATACACTTTTTATAGATATTTATGTTACTATTGCAGTAGGAAAAAAGGGCAAATTGAAGAAATAAACAAGTTATGTAATTTTCCTTTTTTTTCCCCAAAGAAGAATAAAGGGATAATAACACTAAAAAATTTCTTTCTTCCTGCCTTTCCAATTGAAAGAAAGGAAGGAAGGAAGGAAGAAAGAAAGAAAGAGATTTTCACGTCGTCGTTCTTTTTTTTCCTTCATTGAAAAGAGAAAACATCTCTCCCACCTGGTCCTGATCTATGTCAACACTGTCTTACACTGATTGAACCGTTACCACTGAATCCCATCATAAGAAGATAAAATTGCCTAATTACGCACATCAAAAAGCTAATTGAGAAAGTAGCACCAGATAGCCTTCTAAAATGATTTTTAATTTTTGAAGCATTTGACAACATGTCCACGATACCTTCTTGCTCGTTGACGAACCCTGAACAAGGTATATTTGTATTGGACTAATGATTTTTAATCAATAGATCTAATCCCAAGTACAAATATGGAACTCAAGGGGATCAAACAGGAAATCACACTCTGAATCATTTGACTCTAAGGAAATGTACAATCAACCAGCTTCTTGAATTTGGCAGAGAGACAGAAGAAATGGTCTGATCCACTTGCCATATGTGATGTGGGGAACCTGAGATCATGATACTTAGCCAATTATAACAACTACATGACCACAAAGACATTACCACGCATATGCATACGCCATAATGTAACAGAAAGGCATTCATGCACAACAAAATGAAAGACATGAAAATTACTGAGTGGCTGCACGTCAGGGCCAGGTGATTTCTAATGTAGATAGTTCTTAGTTAAGAATGAAATGATAACAACGAATAATTCATGCATGCAACCAAGGAAGATTGTGATCACACAAGTGATTAGTTTGATACATGACCAGGAATCTTATTTCTGTCATATGAATTATGAGTATCTTATCGATTGTTATCCTCCAAAAAACTAAGGTGAAGGAAAATGAATTCCACGATGTAATACTTTTCTTGCATATATTCAAGAAGAAAAGATCATCATTATTACCGCAGCAGCTAGTCGGTCAGCAAACTCTGATTGCGTGGCAAAGAGACGCATCTAAGATAAATAAGGAAGGGCATTAAAAAAATAGACATGAAATTAAGGCACAGAAATGCAAAATTCAGGCAGCTTTAGTTTACACCAAAAATATTAGGTATGCAGGTGAAGTGGAAGACCAGAAAAAAAGACGGGTAGGAGGAGAGGGAGGGAAGAAAAGATTTAAGACAATGTAGAGAAGGACAAAAATAATTCATCTTGCAGAATATGTAAAACAGCAGCACAGAATTTTACTCTCAAATATGCTCAATCAGAGTACGGCACATAAGGAGAATTGTACTCTCAAATATGCCAGCCCTAGTTTCCTTTAATGTTTTCTTGAAATCTTGGTTCTAAAGGCGGGAAATTGATTTCCTCCAGAGCTGTTTTGTTCCATGTGGAAGTAGGTGTTTCTAAAAGTTACCCTCGAGTTAGGACCTAGACTTGTTAGGTAGCAATTCAGCCATTGTTGCGTATGCTGATTAGGCAGCAAAAGATGTTACATTGACCACCACTCCTGAACAAATCTGCATGTTTTACTTTGTTAGCCTTGACATTGGGTGAAATAATACGGTTGTAAATAAACGGCTCATCAATAAAAGATAGCTGGAATTATTTTACGGTACTCATGGTTATCAACTCCGATCAAACCGTACCAAATAGCTGCTTAAAAATTATGCGGTCCTCAAACCGTCGGTTCGTGTAAAAAAAAACTAGATTTACAGGAAAAGAAGATGCCTTGAAAAATGGAGAGAGACTAAAGCATAATCCAGCAATCAAAATCCCCTGTCATGAGCCAATAATACGAGCAAAGCCTTCGATAGTCATACGGGACCGAAAAATTTAATGAACCGCTCAAATTTCTAACGTTCTACACAGAACCTAAAGGCTTCTGGCTTAGATAAACACCAAAAAGGTTCCTCAGAACTTCATGAAGGAATTTCTGCGACAAGTCCGCCGGTTCGTTATCATTCGCAGGAAAACGAAATAGGATGCACCTGTATGAAGATGAACGTGGCAGCGGCCACGATGAGGATGATCCGGACGTCGCAGAAATTCCTCGCCATGGTCACCCCCGACAACGCCCTCGATTCCCCGTTTCTGAGAGCACAAAGAGCAAGACCAAGAGCAAGAGCCCGGGCAGATCTCCTCAACCGTTACGGTGAAATCCCTAAACCTTTAAAAATTTACTATCATACCCTGTTATCTTACATAACTGCACATTTATTCTTCCACTATTAGATTCTCCACCACCTCAAATGCTAAAATGTACAAAATGATGCTATAAGTCTATTAATTGTGAATATATTCTCACACAGAATATTCCCCAGTGACGAGCCGGGACCGACTCAATCCGATGCGAGTTAGATCAGAGCCGACTCATTTTATTATTCCGAGTCGCTAGAAATTTAGTGTCCTTCGGTGAGTCGTCCGTCATCTTCCTCCCGGTTTCTCCGGCTTGCCCTTTCTCATCTTCCTCTTCCGGTCGCCCTCTGTCTGATCTGATTCCCGCGTATTGATCTTGTAACTCGATATTATCTGTTGGTCTGATCCTCTCGATTGAAGCTTAGCGTGATTCGGATCACGGAGAGGAACAGATCGATAGGTGTATCGATAGGCTTCATCCTTCATCGGAGGAGTCGAGATGGGGAACACGGAGAGGCTGATGAGTCAGATCATGGACTTGAAGACTACGGCCAAGAACCTGCAGCGCCAGGCGCGCAAGTGTGAGAAGGATGAGAAATCGGAGAAACTCAAGGTGAAGAAGGCGATCGAGAAGGGCAACATGGACGGGGCGCGAATCTACGCCGAGAATGCCATCCGCAAGCGCAACGAGCAGATGAATTACCTCCGTCTTTCCTCCCGCCTCGACGCCGTCGTGGCGCGCCTCGATACGCAGGCCAAGATGCAGACTATTGGCAAGTCCATGGGATCCATCGTGAAGTCCCTCGACTCTGCGCTGGCCACGGGGAACCTTCAAAAGATGTCGGAGACAATGGACCAGTTTGAGAGGCAGTTTGTGAACATGGAGGTCCAGGCGGAGTTCATGGAGAGCTCCATGGCTGGGTCCACGAGCCTATCTACTCCGGAAGGCGAAGTTAACAGTCTGATGCAGCAGGTGGCGGACAATTATGGGCTGGAGGTCTCAGTTGGACTGCCTCAGGCTGCTGCACACGCGATCCCTGCGAAGGAGAAGGAGAAGGTGGACGAGGATGATCTCTCAAGGCGCCTAGCTGAGCTCAGGGCTAGGGGTTAGAATAGTGAAGACATGAGTCTTCTATGACAGGGGACGAGCTATTCCATGTTTATAAAGGTGTGAATTTAATTATCTAAGCCGTGGCTGCTTTATATAATTTCCAGAATGTGGCTGTTTTGGAGAAGCATGCGGACTATCTCTTCGTAGATTGCATTTGGCTGTGATACTGAATTAATTATTTCCATGTGTGTCGCTGTGAAACCTTCCCGTTATCCTGTCATTATTCATGGTTATGATCCCCGATTTCTATGTTTATATCTTTATCTTTTATAAATCCTCGAGTTTAAATCATTGTTTAGGGTATCTTTTATTTTCATCTCAAATTGTGAGTGATCAATCTTTTACTGGGCTCCCAAAAATATTTGGGTTCGTGGCCTTCCTTGAGATATTTGCAAAAAGTGTGTGATGCATAGCTGCCCTAGTTTCCTGACAGCTTGCCCTAGTCTTTTATTTCTTGAAAGAAGGAAATATCGGATGAAATTCAGATTCTAAGTCACGTGGGTTCTTCTTAGTTTTCCGTTTGGATGGTTTTTGGCCATATTTTCTGGTTCATTATCTGAAATCCCATTCAAATGATCCCTTTTATACAGGAAATCGTGTCGCCTTAAAATTATGATAGCTGTTTATTTGTAGTTTGTTAATATATATATAGATATACATAATTGTGTTTCTGGGTTGTGAATAGCTTCGTATAGTTGGTTAGAAATATCAATTCTTCATCAAGCAGGAATTCTTATGAACCACATCTTGCAACATCCTTCAACAAAAACCAAGTTATAAATGTTTTTTATGAGGTGTGGGCCATTTTTTCAGAGGCTGAAATAGTGAAGTGTGCATGGGATCTCTGGGGGAGAAAAGCTGTCTTTCACGTGATAATGCAAGATCACCCCCTATCAAAGACCCATAGAATTGATACCAAAAAAATTGCTCCTACAATAATTCATCCGACCTCCGATCAACACAAGGTCTCTCCAATTAATAATTTTGGTGAACACGGAGCTCTCTTTCAGCTGATCACTGAAACTCTCTCTCATCTGAGCCTAGGGAGGAACTTGGGTCTGATGAGAAATATGTTTGGAGGATCTTCCTCTACTGGTGTCCATCGTCCTCTAAATGGCTCAGTCGAATCCCATTAGTTGAGAAATGTCCTTAGATGGCAACCAGTGGGTATGAGGGATTGCAGATATTATCCATAAAAAAATACGCATGGAATTTCCTTTGAATTGTCATCTGCAGCCCTCTGTGACTTTCGACATATTATGTTCATGCTTGTCACAAGAAGGTAGTTGTCTCATTGAAAATGTTCATTCTGGTTAGGAGAGGCCTCCAGGCCCAATCAAACTTCACTGGAAGATACCTTTCGGGTGCTTTTTGTCACAGTTCTCTCATGGAGATTAATGACTAGATCACTGAAGAATCCTTTGCGATTCTTAAAAAACCTTCTTGTTCTTCCTCCATCAGACTTTGGGATGCGAGTTCGGAGGTGTGCCACCAGAAATAGTGCTTGAAGCTACCACCTTACCAACCATTTTTTGCATACAGTGAAAACCAATATAGCTACAACTGTCCCAGTACCATTACCCTCTCATCACACCGCTCATCTGAAACAGATATATCGAAAACGGTGTCAGCACCTTTATTTTTGGACTGCCTTGTGGACCTTATAATTGGGTGTCATTCAGACACTATAGACTGATTATGCCACCAACCCCAAATACGGTTGAATAGTGACTGAGCTGCTGGTTCCGCACTAAAACCTCCTCCAGTTCTTGTTCTGTATTTCCTTGTCACACCCACTCCACTATGGTTCTTCATTTCCTAGCTTGTACCCACAATTATTTGCCCAAAAAATATCACTAAAAGATCTTCAGAAGCATCAGACCGATTCCATCGGCAGCTTTACTTCGTCACCAAGTCTTTTCCCATTTGATTAGATTGAATCATTCCTCTTCATTCCTTCCATTCTTCCTGAAGAACGAGCCTTTGATGCGCTCTATTCTTTATCCATATAATGTGTCCGGGGTTTTAAGCATAGATGAGGCATGGGTTTGCTGGCTAGTTCTTGGGCTTTCCATCGTTCATTCTTCCGCTTGGATTTTGCTGGAAAATCTAATTCCAACACCCATTGGCTATCTAAAAGTGGGAAGCCTGAGTTGTTTGACTAGGAATTCCGTAATTGTATCCATCTCCCTTGCTGGTCCAAAAGGGCTCTGTATCATCATCCATTGAGCAAGCTAGTTAGCAGGTTTCCAGCCTTTGAGTTTCCCTCCGACGACCTGATGAGCTGACTATTACCCAACTCAACTTTTAATTTTTTTTAGAAAAAATGTTGACTTTAACTCGGTTGCTGGTCCAAAAATGGCTCTGTATCATCATCCATTGAGCAAGCTAGTGAGCGGGTTTCCAGCCTTGGTGTCTCCCTCCGACGACCTGATGAGCTGATTATTACCCAACTCTGACTTTAATTATATATATATTTATCTATTTATTGATGATCCTCTGGGCTTTTACAGAGGTATATTTTTTTCCAACGGAGATCTTCACCACCATCCTCAGGTCAGACTTCTCAGCGAGCTGGTCCAGCAGGGCTCTAGGTCAACCTCTTCTTCATCTTCCCCTGATGATGAACCCGGTGCACGACATGATGAATAAGAGTTGCAGTGTTTCAAGGCAATGGGCCTTCCGCGCCTGAACCTATACTCCATGTATGCGCCAAATCGGCCTCTCTCTCTCTCTCTCTCTCTCTCTCTCTCTCTCTCTCTCTTTCTCACTCACTCACTCACTTTGTGAGTTGGTCAGAAGTGAGGCCTTTGGCTTGGCCAGATGGGCCCGGATTGAACCCGCTTTGGGTGGCATGCGGCGGTCGAGCTCAGCCAGATCAACCGATTAACAATGAGGTGGGTTCCTATTGTTAAGTTGTTTGGCTGCGATGTGCTTGTAACTGGTATCAAAAGGAAGGAAGATTCATCTGAAGCTGGTCCGAATTTCAGTGGATTCCCGCCAATAATACTCTACCTTCCTTCATTAATATCTTCATATGTAGAGAGAGAGAGAGAGAGAGAGAGAGAGAGAGAGAGAGAGAGTTCGATTACACTGCATCACAGATCAAAGGTTAGCCGCTATACACTGCGAATTCGATTCTCCCTTGCGTTTAGTCAATCAGAAGAACCTAACTTGGATTCTGAGATCAAGAACAAGCGAATGCACGAGCACGCAGAGTTACCCGAATTAGGAAGATTATATACCCAACGAAGCCCATGATTCAATCGAAACTGGTCCCAATATGAGATGCTCTCCTTCGAGCCAGATTCTTTATTCCATAAAATCAATCAGAATAACCCATCTTGGATTTTTTTTTAAAAAGGAACATGTATAATAAATAAATTCATCGATTATCATGGATGCTCGCTCATCTGAAGATGAATAGACCTGCCCGGATTGAGATGGTCAGCATACAATCCACCTGATGAGCAGAGAACGGCGAGAGGGTCAACGGGTACTCTGAATAATCACAGAAGACCCACGAATTCCCAGCCAGCTGACGGCGCACAAGGAGCTCCACATTGACCCAATGAGCAGCATGCAATAGAAATCATCTCCTTCCGAGTGTACACGAAAATCCAAATCTGTTTATTACCTTCAAAAGAGGAAAAAGCAGCTCGACCCAGGCCTTCTGCAGGAGGCTATGAACAGGGTGGTGTTTCGTATAGGGAAAGACAATCTAGGACCCTTCAGTGAGACAAAACCAAGCAATACCTGGTTCAAAGCAATTTGAGACCAAGGAGCAAGCAGAAGGAAAGAACGAGAAAAGAATGATGGAACACGGCAGATGTATAAAACATGAGGTCTCACTGGTGCTAGAACGCACTCCATTTGCTGGAATCTCGCTTCGAATCACTGCTTTCCAGAGCTTTAAACGGCGCGGTGTAGCCAAAAGGATCTGAATCATCGAACCCGAAGCCTTGACTTTGGTCCGAGGTGCTGCGAATAGAGTCAAACCTCGCAAAAGTCTCGCGCTGTGAGAACAACCCGCTATTGGTCGTGCTGAAGGAATCGAACCGGCCGAAGGCATCGAAGGCGTTGTTGGACTCGGGTCCTTCGCTGAAATGCGGTGAGGAGCTGTAGCTCAACTGCGGGGTTCCAGGGACCGAGTCTGCGAATATGGTGGCCTTCTCTCTCCGCCCATATTCACTGCCGGCAGCTGGAGACCCTGTTCTTATTGGGTTCAGGCCAAAGTCTCCAGTCTCAAAGAAGGAATCCCGTCTGCTGCCATTGTAAGATTCCTGCATCGGTGGGTTTGTGACGGAGAATCATTCGCAAGAATGCTTCTACCAACACACAACATGAGGCTTTGGAGCCGAAGGAGATGATCGAAGAACTAGGGTTACCTTGGTGCTGAAGTCTGAAACAGAGTCACCGTCGTTGCTCATATCGAAAGCTGCGCCCCAGGATGTATCGTCAGCGAAATTTCCCATGGAGTTTGTGGATCCATCACGAACATGGTCCCTGCAGATATAATAACCCATATCTTTGAGATAAAAGAAAGCAGAAGTATGACTGATACAGGCGCAAGTTTGTGAGGCCGTGAGGTATGACGAAAAAGGAAAGGGAAGGGGAGCAATCCGAGCCAGAGGAGAGGAAAATAGAGTAAATCGGAGAAAAAAAATGCATATTATTTGCTCTAGTAGTGACGCTGAAGACATTGAGAGGGCAAAGAAGGATTCAAGGAGATAGCTCATCTCCAAGGATTTTGCTAAATAAATATACTTGCTGGGGAGATAAGTGGCCATGGAAAGCAAGGTGCTGTATTATCTCAGAGGAAATATGTGATAGATCTTCTTCAAGATGTTGGCGTACTTCATGCAAAAACTGAAGGCCCTCCTCTTATGGAAGGAAGCCCTGCCCTACCGGTTTGAAAATGATGAGGATTTCATCTTGCTAAACTTGTATATCTGACGACGACTAAACAATCATATTACATTTGTCGTTCAAGATGATTAGTCAGTTCATGGAGAAACCCTACGCATGATTCTGACATTGTTGTGGGAATCTGGAGATACGAGAAGGGTTCTCAAAGCAAAGGTCTCCAACGCTGAAAACAAGGAAGATATGAGCATCATGGCTTTTCTTATGCTAACTATGCCAGGTTGAATATTAATGTAGATGCTGCCCTGACCCAGTAGTCTTTTTGATAAGCAAGAAAAAGACTAGTAAAACAATATCAAGTGTGGAAGACTCGTATTGAGAATTAATGTCGTTAGAATCTCTCGGCTATAATTCTTAGTATCGAATGTAAAAAGACAGTCAATATGAACTATGCCAAGCGAATTGCCGTCTTTATTGCCGTCAATATAATCTTTCATAAAAGAATTAAATGTCTTGGAAGTAAACCTTCATTTTATAAGGGAAGATGTGGGATATAAAAGCTTTGAGCCACTTACACAAGATCAGAATGTCAAACTGCAGATATATTAACAAGGCTAATTTGTCTAGAAGGTATTCGATCTTATATAACAAGCTTGATATGATCAATCAGAGTTGAAGTGCTTCAAGTAATGTCCCTGCCATCACCCAGCCCATAGTCCTTGCTCTCTCTCTCTCTCTCTCTCTCTCTCTCTCTCTCTCTCTCTCTCTCTCTCTCTCTCTCTCTCTCTCTCTCTCTCTCTCTCGCTCTCTGCGGAGTTTACACTCAATTACGCTCGTCCACATTCTATTATTCCGATTTGAAGTAGCAAGTATTTATTCAGAGTAAAAGAGAAACTATTTTTTTACCACAAGCAGTAACAGTTCATGAAAAAAAGTATCTGAACGAGGAACAAATAACTCAAACAGACGACCAAAAAGGATACATTAGATTTTTTTGATAAATCTAATAATATAATCAAAGATGAAGTAACTAATTTCGTGATCACGCAGGGAAGTAGAAAACAGGTACTCAGAATACCTTGGACTTTCAACAGCTCGGGGTGAAGCATCATGCACATCAAAATGTGCAGAAGGGAATTCCTGAAATTGACTACCAGAAGGATATTCAATTGAACCATCTTCACTCTGAGCATAAGCAGATTTATTGTCGGATGCCCGCTTATTAAAACTTGAAGGTTTTTCCATGTCAGCATTTGTAGAGGAAGTGACAGAAGAAACGTCATCCATTGAACTTTTTCCTATCCAAGCTGAGGGGTGCTTAGTATTTGAGTAGTTATCCTGCTCCTTAGCAAGTGAAAAACCTGAATGCGGCAGGAAATGCTCATAAAATAGGAAGCGTAAAAATTATGATGAAAATGAAATCCAAGCAATGGAACACACAAATTCATAATCCAGATCAAGCATCATGAAAGCTAGCGAAAGCATTTATACAATAATGCGCATGATCACAGGTGAGAAGACTTTGGTTCTACATTTCAACATGACATCAATCACAGTATGACCATGCATTTCTTGGTTACCTCAGATAGAAAAATACGATGTATTACAAATGTGTTAAGCAATATCAGATAAAGTGAGATAAAAATAAGCAGAACATGCATTCAACATGTCAGGTATAAATGTTTTCGAGGAAGATATTCAGTAAAGGCCCTAAAAAAGAAAGGAATACATCACTTTCTCCAACATATCCCACCTTCATCTTCGAATTTATCCCAATCTTCATCCCACTCAGTCGCTCCTTCTTGCACACCAAGTTCCCAACCTCAAAGAATGTGAAAAATTAAATGTGAGACAAAAAGGCATAATTGAACAGCGAATAAAAGAAAAAAACAATGACGGGTATCTCATGAATTATGCATCTTCATGAGACATCATTAAGAAACTGTGAGAAAGTAACAGCTATTCATTCAAATGCTTTGCTTGAACATTATGACTAATGCTTTCATATCAAAGTGAAGGCCTATAGCAAAATATGACAAAAACAAAAAAATGTTTAAAGATATTGGGCCCACCCAAATACTATCAGCAGTTATTTTTTAATTAAAGATGCATACAATTCTCGCCTCCATACACATGCATTGACATTCAGATAAAAACTTCCGTGCACATATACTGACTAAACCCAGGTCCAAGCTACATAATAGGCAATAACACTACAACATCTTTTGCTCATATGCATGCGTGCACCTGCCTATGCAATATTCCACGATATTTAGGATTAAAGTCAGCACCAACACTATTTAATATACCGTAAGGTGAAGCTTTTAATTGGCTGAGACACAAAATTGGACAAAAGATTTTATCTGTGTATGAAATCCGTCAATGCATGCTTAGCCAAGACCCAATGGCAAAATACGAGGTGACCTTCGTGAACAGAACAGGAAAAAAAATCGTGTTATTCAGGCTTCATCCAAGGACTCATTGGAGATCCATAAATATTTGTACGGCATAGCAAACCTCCTCAAACAAGGAATACAATCTGTATGTGTGTAGAGAGCCATTCATGGGTATTTGTTTGTATAACACAGATATTTATGTATATGTATCATATAAAATGATAATGTCTTTGTATACATAGAACTTTAGGACAGATTTTTCCGACTGAAGAATGAAAATTTAACAGCAAAGACAGGAGAGGCCCAACTAAAATTATTGCATCCCTAGTTAAGTGCAGGAAAACCCTCGTGTTTCACAGGTTTCATAAGGTAATAACAATTTTCCGAACCAATTACCAGAATGATGGTGTTCATTTAAGAAGCTAATTTATGACAACTTCAGATGCAGCATTAACCTTCTAAAATTTTCCAAAACATTATAAAAGTACAAGCTCCGAATGCAACAGATACAGAACACTACGTATACTTTAGGAATTTGCATATTTTTGAAAATGAAGATACCAAATGGAAGCTCGACTATTCCAGTTGACTTGATGTCTAAGGCATGCTTCTTGCATCGCTCATTCAAAGCTTTCAATAGTCCCTCAAGATCAGCATGAATCCGATCGGCACGAACCTATAATTTTACAATTCAATGATTTATAAACACCTGTATTATTTTATCCTCCAAATGGGGGAAAAAAACAGAGAAACAAGTGCACCTGAAGTAAGCCATCTGCGCTTCCTCCTTTCTCCATAGTGGTGATTGCATGATGTAGCTCCGATTTTCTTTGCTACATATACATTACGAAAAATTAGTTTATCCAAAGGCAGCAGAGTTGAAATTTACTGCAGCAGCTACCTGAGTATCACGGAAAGCTGCCTCTTCGATTGTTAGTTTTGAAGCCAAATCGCCAACTTGCTTGTACTTCTCGTCATATTTTTTCGCGACGAACTCAACCTGAAAGTTTGTATGTTACTGTGTAGTCTGTCTCGACAGGAAAACTTGCACATTGTACAAACAATATTCTTCGCGTTGTAGTACAGGATACTTAAAATTAAAGGAACTCATCTCTGAAGAAATGCAAACTTAAGAGAAAATTACAGACATTTAAAATGTGAAATACTCCCTCTACCATGTGCAGGACTCGATGATCAGTTCATTTTTATAGTGAAGGTTATTCTGCGCTGACCTCTTGTTTAAAACATTCCTGCCCCATCTGAGAAATGAATAGTCATATATAGAACAACTGCTGTCCAAAAAAAAAAATGATAACTCTCCCTCAGAGGAATAAATGGGCTATTCCCGTTCTATCTCATCCATCTAGCCACAATATTTGTTCCTTATTGTCACAAGCACCTTTGAATCTAGAGATGATGTTTGTCAGTGTTCTCGTTTGTCCTCACACAGCTTATTATTTACCCCAAAGACTATTTGTCCGTTTCCTGGGGCATTGAAAATTCCACCTTGTACATGGATCAAATTCCAATCATCAACGCGTAAGTTATGTATCTTTTGACATTAGAAATTCGCGTGAAGCAAGAGTGGGTGCAGGTCCTGGAAAAACCAGTCGTCATATAGAACCATACCCAAGAAAAACTATTGCCAACTGATCATATGGACTGCACATGTACTGTGTTTGGCTCTATTCTCAACTTCAAGATAACTCCAAGCCCAACACAGTCAAGAAAACTAGGATACCTATTCAAGTTCAAAAGTTGATTACATAACAAATACTTGATTATAGCACATGTTTGTCATCTGACTGAACTTCCAACTATCTATTACAAGGAAAAAAATCATTAAACATAGCATGTTCAATCCCGCAGAGAGACTCAAAACACAAAAAAGAACGAAAGATTTGAACTATGGTTTCTTTATGAACAAGTCTATTTTCAATATAGGAGAAAAAAATAAAACTAAAAGAGAAACAAAAAATATTAGTAAAAACAGCAACATCACAGTTGGATATAAATGAGCAAAGCAATATATCAACTTCAAATGACGTTGCATCGAATGACAAACTCGTTCCATTATTCTTATGATGTAACTAAACATAGAAACAATCCATTTATTTATGCACAAGCCACAGGAAAAGTCGAGATCAAAACGTATGCTCCCAAGTAGTTGTCATGTTAGGACTCCAACATAAAAGTGAAAAGAAAATGCAAAGTACAGGTAAAAAAAAGAAAAAATGGCTGAAACTCCATTGTTTATGCCTGTTTTCATCAGAGAAAACATTTAAACACCAATAGATGCCTAGGCAATGTTTTGCTTCCATTCCATCGAGAAAGGACAACAGAGTAAACTGACTGAATACAGCACTAGAAGATGAGGGAGAGAAAACTTAAACGAGGAATGTGAAGGTCAATATTCATTGCTTTAAAAAAGCAGTACCTCACGTTTATCTGCTGAAGCCTTTTCAGTGATCTCATTCAGCTTATTATCACACTTGCTTTTATACAGTACCTAGAACAGAAAGGATTAATTACAAACCAATACAGACATGGCATGATCAAACTGAATGAAACAATTTACCACATAAATGTATGGTAATAGCATTCCAATGGCTTGTAATATAATCAACATTGTAAATATTTATTTTATTGTTGTAAATGGAGAAAAAAACCTCGTCACGAAGAACAGAGGGGAGAACAGCAGAAACTGTCTCAAGATTCATTCGACTCTAACCCCCATTATATAAGGAGTAACAATACACAACTTTTGCCAAAACACTCTCAAATAATTACACTATTTCCCTACGACCTAGAACTTCCAACATCTATCAATACATGGCCAGCCTAGAACATGCTCAAAAAGCACAGAGGCTTTTCAATAGTGTTTTAGCCCGCAAGCAGACTAACACCAACCTTCGATTTAGTATGCAAGAGTCACCCAAGATCAGCAAGGAGAGGCTTCTCCATAGAAAACGCCTTAAATCCTAGCTGCTATTAGTTGCCCAATAATAAGGGAACCAACCAAATAAAGAGCACAGTAATCTTTCATAAATTGAAACTTATACTAAACGTAAGAAAAGAAGGAAGAAAAGAAAAAAACGTGAAAGAGAAAAAAAGAGCATGATAAAATAAAATATACTAAACATCCAATTATGTATACATATACTTTTAACTTATATACATATGAATGTATGTTAAAATTATAAGAAAGCATACAAAACATGTATATATGTACGCATGTATGTACGAAATACATGATAATAAAATTATAAGAATGGAATTATTTGATTTATTTTAAAGAAATATATTATATTATGCCATACATCTTTACGTAGTTTATTTTTTAAATGTTTTTAACATATATAATAAAAAAAATTAACTTAATTTAGTTCTTAAAGTGTTTGATAGGAGATAGCATGCATCATATCTGGCCGAACACGCTGTGCAAATGGCCAGAATGCTTTCTGAAGAATGTGAATTTGCATTGGGCTGCTCATGCAAGTGAAAACAGAAGTTTACTTATTGCTCAGGAGGTACCTTGAATAACGTGCACAAAGTCAAAATTAAGCAAGTATTACGATACAGCTAAACAAATATCAGAAATATAAACTGAACTAGTCTACTATATGTACTAAACATGAGTTGGCTAGATTGACTGCTCCAAGTTGGAAACATCCAAAAAAAAAGGTTCAGCGTTTTACATCATTATCGAAAGTATGAGTCAGAACAAGACCAGTACTCATTTTTGGGAGAATTGAATAACTTTAGCCTTATTCAAAGTATCCAATAAGTTCCAAACAATATATCTCAGGAAGAAGAAAAGAAAGCAAAGTAAATGATGAAAAGGAAAAGTAGAAAAGAGAGAAGGAACACTGCATTCTTTGAACTCATCTACCAGAGAAAAGAAAAGAAAGGAGTGGAAGCAGAGACTAGATGGAAGAAGAAGAAAACACGCTCTGATACAGATTTGTTAGAGAAAAAGTCCACCATGGACTCGTGGAAACCCAGCCTGAGGAGCCAGAACCACCTTCCTCTATTATACACACTGCCTGACGATGGCCTATCTTGCTTCTTTATGTCATCTCCTCTGACTCTGGTTTTCTATCAACCTTACTGAGAAAATGTTTAGTAGCACCCCTTTTATCAAAACCCAAACCAAACTCAATAATAAGTTTCCTAATTACCACAAAAAATCATCTTCACTTCTGCCAATGATCCTCCGTGCTCGTGAAAATCAAATATATAATTATCTAACCCCATATCGCTATATTTCAAAGTTATAACAAGATGCATCGATAAAAAATAAGAAGCACCAGTCACCATCTGAATGATACTAGGATTCTGAGTTCCTTGAATGCAGTATTTCAGATTGCGGTTGTAAATAATTTCAGCACAAGAATGTTGCTTTCAAAAGTTGAAATTTAGTGAACTTAGTAAATCAATAGCATTTATTAAAGAATTGTCATTGGCTTCATTTTCATGACTAATGAATATACCGCATCCAAAAAAAGTTCCACATTAAAACATGACTCACAAGTTCTTGCATCTTGCTACGATAAAAGTTTATCTTCTCTTTCGAGTCCAGTATCTCCTTCTCTAGCTCCTGCATCTTTTGTTTGAAGAGGGATAAGAGATCAGAAAATGAGTGTACCATGAGTGCAGGAGATCAGAAAAGTAGTAAACCACAGCATGACACATGTATCATCTAATCACTGCAGAGAAAAATTGAGTAACTTGCCACTGTCATTCAGTGCAAGCCCGGCAACTCAATGATCCAAGTCACACAGAACCCTCTTATTTTCTAAGTGTAGAAAAGAGAATTCATGACTACTGAACAGAAAGACAGATACACGAAGCAGCAGGACAAAACCTTCTCGTTGGGATCTGTTTCCTCTTGAAAATTCAAATTAGGACCATTCTGATCTTCTTTCCTAAGATGGCCAGCAAGGTGTTCCCCCGACACTGGACCACTTAGGTTTTTTTGTGCTGACAGCAATCCAGCATTAATCTGCTGAGGAGCTAGAACTTGTGCCTGTGGCCTGAATCCAGCAGCAGGAAGCACAGGGCGCATCCCAGGCATCATCATTTGGTGTGACAGACCTAACAGACGAGAAGTATTGTGCATGTGAGATCCATGGAGGTGATCGACAGAAAGTGGTACCCAAAACTTTGGCTGACAGGAATTAGGGTGCATGCAAGATTCATGGAGATAACTAGACAGAAACAGATACCAAAGGACTCGATTCGTTGCTTATTCTTTTACTCAGCGAGATGAATATTGTTATAAATTAATTACCAGGGGTCGGCTGCCAAGCTGGAGGAGCACTTGTTGCTTGCAACAATATCTCATCAAACTTAATACTGTTGGGTAGCACAGCTGGAAGAGGATACCCTTCTCGATGGCGTTCCATTAGATACAGAGCAATAACAAACTCTCTATGAGAAAGCATGCTATCATTGTCCTGATCAGACAAGTCCCAAACCTGCTTTAAGACCTCTGGACATGATAGACAAACACCAAATCCGAGCGTCAAGCTCAAGATGTAAACACAGAAAACGAAAACAAAATAGATGAAAAAGAACCATATACAAGGTATCTATGCTGACAAACAAAAGAGAAAATAAGGCATCAAAGAGTAAAGGTAACACTTAATGCAAAAAAAATATTCAGATTTTCAAAAAAAATATTAATAAGAATGTTCTGGATGTTCGATAATACACTTATATGAAAATAAAACCTAAAGCTAAAAAATTGAAGGCACAAATGAAAGACAATTACGGTTGAAGTGAATGATCTATAAGGCGTATTCCGAAAGGCTTGATTATCATCAGATAATTGTTGAAATGGACAAACAGACAGTGATATAGGTGTCTTATGTCTGATAAGTATTTCGTCCCATTGGTTTGCACATTTCCCTTCTAGGGTATGTCCTAGGGCTGTACAGTTCTAACAAAATAAGCATGAACTTCCATCTGTTGTAAAACAAGATCTACCTCTTGGAAGCTTCCAACTCAGGAACAGATTACGTGCCTGTTCACCAGTGATTTTTCCATCTTTGTCCGTGTCTACTTCCACAAAGACTTTACTATACTTCTGAACATCAGTTTGAGAAAATCTTGGCCAAGGGCGTCCAGAAGAGATAGAAGATAGGCCAGCATGCGCTGAAGTGCTTTGGGCAGGTTCATTTTGTCTTTGTTTAACTAGCAATTGAGTCCCAGGAAGCTGACTACCGCCATGGGGTACAGTTGAACTGCTCTGAGTCTGAAGATTTTGCACTGGTCTAAATGAAGTCTGCATTCCTGAATTCATGGACCCCATGAGAGATGGAGTAGGAGCATTGCTGGAACCATCTTGCTTTGGCTGAGATACTGCAGTAAAAACATCAGCCCCAAAAACGGAGTTAAACCCATTTCCTGAAGTAACCACCGTTTTTGAATCCGTCACGGAAGGTTGAATTGATTGGCGACTATCCAGTGCCTGTGGTTGAAGAGATAAGGTATCTGCATATGTTCCCACTGCTCTAGGAGCGGCAGAAGTTTTCAAACCAGAAAGTGCTGATCCGAATCCATCTTTCATGACTGAAGCAGCTGAGCCTTGTGAAACCTGTAAAGGTCCTCCTACTGAAGTTCCTCCCGTCCTGCCACTAGGCCAGTCAGTCAATATGTTAGGGTTGTTTGAGAGTGGACGACGTGGACCTGCTGTAGCCACGCCTCCCCCAGCAATACCTTGGCCAATCAATGGACGATAAGAGACTGCAGAAGTAGCTTGATTTGGTCTCAAGTATTGACCTTCTGAGGGGAAAACTTGCTGGCTCACATTAGCATTTGAAAGTACTTGAGGCCCCCTGAACCCCGGATTCTGAGGTGAGGCTGATGGCATTATGCCAATTTGATTCCCAGGGGTTGCCATTACAGAAGCAGTATTTATCTGTGGTGGAGGAATTTGAGCAGAAACTGGGCCTTCTAAGGCAGCCTTAACGATTTCTGGCGTTAGTTCTTGCCCACGTTGTGAAACTGTCACCAATCTCAATGCATTGTAGAACTCTTTTCGACCAAGGAAACCAGTTTTGTTTGAATCACAGTACATCCATATCTGCAATCATCCAGAGAGACAGGAAGGGGTGGATTTTAAAATAAAAGCAAATACTGCAAATAAGAGAGCGAAATAGAAAATCCCAAAATGCCCCATGTCAAATGTAATCATATATGCAGACAGATCCTAATCTTGAAAATCAATCCACAAAAGTAGATTTCCAAACTGATAACATCAGGATAATTTATAGTTACCATCAAAAAAGGAAAAAAAATTAATACGATGCGGCAATGACCAATTTTATTTCTAAAGGCCAGATGAGGAGAATAGTTCAATGTGTCCATCTAGATTTTCAGAAGCATCCGCAATTTTTTTAAGAGGACACCCACATGCGTTTCTTTATTCTTCGTCTCATTAAAACTACCATAATGTACACTGCCAAAATGATTGAATCTTATGAATACCAGGATCACATGCTTTACTGAAACTTTCCTCATTTCAACTGGTTCCCATGAAAATCCAAAAAGTCAGGCATAGACTACGATGCATTGCTCTTATTCCAAAGTCAGTGGGTTTTTTGGGCGTGATAACTTACATGAAGGATCGTTGCTTTTACTGCCTAAGTCATATCTACATCAGAGTAATAATCATGATGAAGATGTTCTTTACGGACCAAGTTCACAATTTGTATTAAGCAACGAATCGGCAACTTGTTCTTGCACCTTATAGCTTCCTCAAAATAATTCAAATCTATAAAAATATACCATATCTTCGTAATATCAACACATCTGAAAAGGAAGAAACTCTCTCGCGATATCTTTTAGCAAAAATCAGGTAGAGTGGCGTGGAGTTCAATGTGAATAGCACGCAAAGATAAAAGTTTTTCATTATACAGAGTAGAAAAACAACATAATTGGTGAAATATGCAGACATATCCTTGGAAACATGATGAGATCAATATATCCTTTATTGACGCATTGAAAAAATGCATTTACTTTGTGTCGTATTAGGCTTTCCATTTTCCAAAAATGTGACCCATTTTTTTCTGTACTTTCATTTATTTTAAATTAAAACATGCGATATAAGAAGAGTATGCTGATTGGACCCTGCCATTTGTCGTTTGTTGACAAGTTTATTATCCTAACATTAACCATCAATTAAAGATAAATAAACAAAACGCGCAGAAGGTGAAGATTCCAAACAAGATGAGATAACTAAGGCTAAAGATGTTTGTAAAAGATGTCAGAAATGATGAAAGGGCAGAGGATTTGAAACCATCACATTTGTCATCTCCAAGTATAATGTATTTTCACGGGTGGAAAAAAACAATTTTGTCACGGGTGAAAAAAACAGGGAATAATTCTCATCAGATGAAGCTTAAAGAATAGGAAAGTGATGGACTTGTAGATAATTATTGTGGGAAACTTTTTTTTTCAGCAGAACTGACCACAAACTGATATGCTGTCCGTTTCCCGCGGGGAGGCGGTATCTACTCGAAGAGATCCAAAAACCCTGATGCTAAACAGGATATCCCGAACGGGAATTTTAAGGCCGTCGATAGCCAATCCCCGTACGATGGGTTTCGGCAGATCTCACCCTTTCGGCTGTTTCTGCCAAGGTGGATCTGATAATCAAAATATTCAAAACGAAACATGCGAAGTTCAAAAAATAAATCAAATCTACAGTAGCTACAACAGAAATACAACTATTGCCCAAAATACATGCAAAGGAATCCACCGGCTAACAAGCTTTTCGCATCTGAGTGGTATCAATAAAGATGGCCAGAGACGTTTACAAGAAAAATAAACGAGAGAGAACTTAGGGTATGACTTACTTGAGCGAGGATTTGTTTGGGCAAATTGGAACCCTGAAAGAAGGCCACAGCTTCCGCCCCGCTAATCCTGCCGTCCATATCCAAGTCTGCCCGCCGGAAGTACGCATCGAAAGTCTCCATGTTCGGAACCTGACCCGACCTCTCCCGCGATCACTTCCCTCCTCCCTACAACCCCGCAGATCCCTGGATCAAGGCGCCAGATCGGACTCCACATCCATTCCGAGGAGCACCCGAGAGCAGCCCCCCGCTCGAAACGAGCGCAGATCAAAGGGACCTCTTTGAACAGAATTTCGGGGGAAGAGCCCAAACGATCGATTGCCCGCCTATTAACTTCCAGGATCCCCAGCCAATGCCGCAATGTTCGGACAATATTCACCGAATATTGGCATCACCAATGCCTACCGCCATCCCGTTCAACGAGATCCAACGGGCGGGGTCGAGGAGAAAGTACCCGATTACAGAAGTGAGATTTGAGGCGCAATATTTTTCCCATAAACCCCCTTCTTTCCCATTAATTACATAATATTATAAATATCCCTACATTTTAAATGTGTGGACATTAAATAATATACTATATAGAGCACGGACTCTATAAATACTTGCAGATAAACCCCCCCACACCACTCATTTGTCACTGGATCTATTTTTCCCTTTAAAGAAAATCCATAATATGCTAGGAAAAAATGACAAATAGTTAGAATTAACCGAAAATAGCCTATTATGCTCCTTGTGGGCCATATATGGCATTTTAATCAGCACTATTAATGCTATGATATTTATGACGAAATAATAAACCCATTAATTACAAGGGTTATAATAATACTCATAGTTGTCATTAGATGATGAGTTGGAATGAGCTTGTCCATTCTTGCTGTCCACGTGGCGAGCTCAGCAGTCATTGTCATGCCATTTGGAATTAGATGACTTAATAACTATTAAAATTAATCGTTATGAATGCCCAACTGCGTTATATTCGTACATCTTAACTTTCATATCATATTCCAAGTCGAGTGTGGGTCTCGAAAAAAATTAAAATTTTATTTTATTTCTTAAATAAAACTATTTAATGAAAGCGCCAGTATATTTGAATTTCTGACGTAAGATTATTGAATTATAATAAATCCATTTTAAAAAAAGAATGTACTATCTTCAACAAATAATTAGGGTCAAGTTTCTAAAAATAGAAAATTGGAAGCTGTAAAATAAATCCACGTACCCCCCTCTTGACTAATAAGAAATCAAATGGGCAGCTAACCTAAACTCTGCTAGAGAGGACCAATTCGATAAATGTCGAGACCGACCGATGAACAGAAAAGCTCCACAATTCCAGCTGGAAAATGTTTTTTTTTCTGGTCTGGATGGTCTCAGTATGTAATTTTGCCAGGTATTAAGTAGAAGACCCCATAAAGCTGCCTGTTCATGGCTCAGGTGACCCCCCCACTTGGCTCGATGATCATGGGATGTCTCCGTCCACCTCCTCGCACCCACTCGTGTGCCGCAGCGTTGCATGTGGTCCACGGGGAGCCATCACATCAGCTAAGCTGGCGGCTCTTCGTTTGTATGGGCCGCCACGGCACCGAGACGTACGCGCTCGTACGAGGCAGCTCAGACAGGTAGGGTGCCGCCGCAACCTCGAAGGCCCCGCGACCCTCGGCGGCCACCACGCGTCGAAATTATAAGAAGGGTAGCGAGCGGCGTGTAAAGACGGTGTGGGGGTGGGGGGGTGCTAAAAAAGCGAACTCCGCGTGGAAAATATCCCGAAAATATCTGCCTAAGTTACCACCGCTCGTATTCATTGCAGCTTTTACTTTGTCAGTAAAGACCTTGGGAAGATGGCGTATGTCAGTAAAGACCCTCTGAAGGGCCGGGTTTATCCTCCCCATCTCTCTCTCTCTCTCTCTCTCTCTCTCTCTCCCTCTATCTGTGTTCCTAATGACTCGGAGATTGGCGCCTAGGGTGGGCCATGTCGATGGGGCTCACATTGCAGCTGTCTCCAGCTCTGTCACCACCCCATTGCCAGCCCACACACATTATTCTCTGTACTTTCTATCTCTCTCTCTCTCTCCCGCCAGAGCCATTCCCCTTCAAGTCCGTGCCTATGTAAAGAAGGCCCTCCTCCCGTTCCCTAAATCTGCAAGCGGCGCAGAGATTCTTCAGCCTCCACGCTCAATGCAGCTCTAGAGAAAGAGAGACAGTAGAAAGAAAGGGAGGGTCTTACAATGGGAGCTGGCGTCTTCTTCTCCGGCATGTTCCAATTGTTGGTCCTCACTTCCGTCCTGGTTGGATGCGACGGCGCCGCTCCGTTGAAGGAGCGGCTGCTGCCCCACAGATCGACGCAGCAGCATCAGCAGCAGCAGCAGCTCGCCGGATCGAAGAAGTACGAGGGATCCTCCAACCTGGTCCACCTGCGGTACCACATGGGGCCGGTCCTCACCTCCCCCATCAACATCTACCTCATCTGGTACGGCCGCTGGAGCTCTGGCGAGCAGTCTACCATCCGCGACTTCCTCCTCTCCATCTCCGACGCCTCCGCTCCGCCGCCGTCCCTCCACCACTGGTGGTCCACCGCCGCCCTCTACACCGACCAGACCGGCGCCAACATCACCCGCGCCATCTCCATCGCCCGCGAGCTCTCCGACCCCCTCCACTCCCGCGGCACCGCCCTCACCCGCCTCTCCATCCAGCAGGTCATCGCCGACGCCGTCGCCGCCCACCACCTCCCCGTCGACCACCGCAACGGCATCTACCTCGTCCTCACGGCGCGTGAAGTCACCGTGCAGGACTTCTGCCGCGCCGTCTGCGGCTTCCACTACTTCACCTTCCCTTCCATCGTCGGCCACACGCTGCCCTACGCGTGGGTCGGCAACAGCGGCGCGCAGTGCCCGCAGGAGTGTGCGTACCCCTTCGCTGTGCCCTCATACATGACCGGCACGGCGGCGCTACGGCCGCCCAACGGCGACGTGGGCGTGGACGGCATGGTGAGCGTGATCGGGCACGAGCTGGCGGAGCTCGCCTCGAACCCGCTAGTGAACGCCTGGTACGCCGGTGAGGACCCCACGGCGCCGACGGAGATCGCCGATCTCTGCGAGGGCGTCTACGGCTCCGGCGGCGGCGGCGGCTACATGGGCCAGGTGCGGACCGACGGCAGCGGCAGGAAGTACAACGTCAACGGGAAGCGCGGCCGGAGGTTCCTGGTGCAGTGGCTATGGAGCCCCCTCCTGAACGCCTGCGCCGGCCCCAACGCCATCGACTAAACGAGCTCCGCTCCTTCCTTCTCCCCCGCTGCACTAGGAACCTCCGCCGATGTATCATAAATTTTGAAACTCGTAGAAGCTGGTTTTGATCCTCCGCCGCTCTGGAAAAAAATAACCGACGATGAAATCTGGTAAAATCTTCCCGGAGAAGATGGCGATCGAAGGTGGGGCGGGGGGTAAATCTGGCAGACATTAATGAGGATTAAATCCTCAGATTTCCTTCTTGGTGTTCTTGGTAGATGAACGAACAAGAGCAGTCCCACTCCGACAGCTTCCAAGGGGGTCGACTGGGAGCTCTCTACTACGTATACCCTCTCCCCCTCGGTGCCCGACACGCTTGGTGGGGAAGTCAATGACCCATCAGATGTGGATGCTTCGGACGTTGACTGATGTGACGTCAATGTCGCGGGGGTATTTTTATTTTATTCTGGACGGAGCTTAGCCTCTGCCCCCTATCCCGGGTTCATTGAGATGATCTTTCAGACAAAAAAAACGCCGGCACCTCTCAGACCGGAGAAAGAAGAAGCTGTGCCCCCCCCCCCTCCCATTGACGGCAAGTCAAATGCTGCAGAGAGAGCGGGCGGCGAGTTTAGTGCCTGGTTTCCATTCAAACGGACATTATTGCGCACGTGCAGCCAGGACCGGTGAACGATTAAATACTCGCAAAGAAAAGTCCGAGATATGTTCGAATTTTTATAGGTCAATTTGGTTTTATTTATCCTATACAGATTAATTGAATCATTAATTACTGATAATATCTTGAATATTTTCATTTTATGTACGTTTTTTCCTGGAAAATATAAGATTATTCGCTGAGAGAGAGGGTTTGTGTAATTTAGTAATTTTACGCTTGAAAATTATATAGATAAATATTATTTAATTTAATTAATTAACTGTGAAGGGAAAAAAAGTAATAATCCATTAATTGTGCATTAGAGAAATTATCGATGTTTCAGAAAGTAGAATTTTTCTTGGCGAAGAGAGCGGTTCTCTTGGCACCGTCCACCTGGCGGAGGAAGCCGTCAGCGCGCCACGTGGGTAACACCTGTCTGCCGAGGAGGCTGAACGAGCCCTCCGAGGCCGCCTACAAAGACACGCACAGTGAGGGCCGAGAAGCTCGCTCACAGCATCTTGAGAGAGAGAGAGAGACAGCGGGCGAGAGATGGCGGACGTAGGAGCGACGAGAGGCTGCAGCGGCACCTGCGGCTGCCCCAACCCCTGCCCCGGCGGCGAAGCCTGCAGGTCTTCCTCCAGCGACACCACGGCCAATCTCCTCCCGCTGCTGCCCCGTCTCTCTTCCGCTCTCCTTTACTGACCCCCCCGGCCGCTCGGGCTGTTCCCCCTCCCCACAGGTGCGCCACCGGTGGCCGCGTCTCCGGCGCGCAGCACTCGGTGTGCTCTTGCGGCGAGCACTGCAGCTGCAACCCCTGCGAGTGCGGCAAGTCCGGCGCTTCCTCCGGCGCCGGTGTGGCCTCCTGCACCTGCGGCAGCTCCTGCCGCTGCGACTCCTGCGCGTCCTGAGAGGTGCCGCACCGTGCCGCGCAAATAAGGCACCCTTCTCCTCCCTCTCTCGCCGGTGCCGTAGAACCTTTGGCCCGACGCTGTACCGTCGGCTCATCTTACTTCTCGTGTTCCCTCTGTAACGACCATAATCTCTGGTAGATACTGGAAGGAATACCTCTCTTCATTCACGCGAATAAGGCATCCTCCTCCTCCTCCTCCTCCCTCTCCCGCCGGTTCCGTAGAACCTCTGGTCCGACGCTGTGCCGTCGGCTCATCTTACTCAGCTTGCTCTCTCTGTAACGACTATAATCTCTAGTAGATTCTGGAAAGAATACCTCTCATATTGAGGGGGGGTCGATGACGTGTAATGGGGCTGATAGGGGACGCATCGTCGCTTTTAAGGGGGCTTTCTGCATGCCACGTGCGCGTTCTCCGGTCTATAAATAGATTTCTCCCGCGTGGTTCGTTGTCTCCTCGTTTCTGGTGCTAGATGTTGAGGCTTCAGATGAGGGACGCAGGGAGAGGTGTTTGTGAAGAAGCTTGTCGGCGAGGCCTACGGAGAGGTAATGGCGGTTTGCTCTGCTTTGATCGATAAATTTCCTGCTGCTCTGCGTTTCCTCGTAGATGTGCTAGGGAGAGAGAGAGAGAGAGAGAGAGAGAGAGAGAGAGAGAGATGATCGCTATTTTTAGCTGAAGCAGGATCGAAGTATGCCAACTTGTACGGTGTTCTTCCCCCTCTGATTCTTGCTCCGTTGCATCGCGACAGATAGATCTCTTGATAGCAATTTTTACCAGAAACAGCATCAAAGCACCTCAACTTGCACAGTGTTCTTCCTCTTCTCGTTCCGGCTTCCTCGCATAGCGACAAATCTTTTGTTTTCGCCTCTCACGTTTTCTTCGTCGTTTAATAGTCTTCTTGTTCCGCCGAGCAACAAGTGCCAGGTTAGACATGTCTCTCGACCCTGCCCCTGCTCTCCGGATCCTCATTATTCGGGTTTCTTCCCCTTTCATTCTCTGTCGTTTCCTGCTTTGTGCTCTTGGCATGCGAAGCAAGCCCCACGTTAATTGCGAACACAGCTTCTGTTTTCCCCGGTATCGCCGTCGCCGACTACAGGCCGTTTCTATCTATATACCGCATCAGGTTATCTCCGACAGAAAATTTCCTCTTTACGTCGCTTTCCCATCGTAGAGATGGAAGCCTCCGGTGGCAGCAACGCAGGAGACACTGTTTCCTGGGAAGTGTAGAAATGGCCTGGCGTCTGTCTCTTCATCCGGCGTAAGGCGGAGACTATTCAACCAGTGGCAAAGAGCTTCCAAGGAGAGGGAGACGTTAGGACCTGTGGATTAGAGCTGAGGTGGCTTCGAATCTCAACGATCACGTGCAGAGCGTGGCGCTGTGCAGGGAGGAGACCTATCCTCGAGGAAAGTGCACTCGAGATCCGCAAGGGGCGCATGAGAAGGGTCGACCTGTTTCATTCTCAGAAACGTCGTGCGCTGAGTTAGCGCCCTTGTCTTCATGCGGAATGTCGGAGGTTAGGTCAAGGCGGCGATCTGAGCGTTAGGTGAAGCAACGTGTTCTCGAGGGAAGACGAACCGGGTCATCGTTGAGACTCTTGCAGATCCAATTTATCTCCTAGCCCTTTTTTAATAAATTATAATCCAACATTGTCATATAATACAGGAAAATACTGAAATATACAGAGCAGAAATAATTGAAACGATGCCTAGATGTATAAATACACTGCAACAGATTCGTAAAATCACCTCAAAATTGGACTAATTATGAAGGAAAAAATGCATGAATTTTCACGACTGATCTATGAATTCACATGGGACACGGAGTACAACAGGGAAGATTATTTGCTATTATATTATTTACACCAAAAAAATGAGGCCATAAAAACTGACTTTTTCTGTACATACCCACCCACCAACCCTTCTTTCCCACTCTTCTGCGCCCCTCAGAGAGAGAGAATAGCAGAGGCAATAGTTGTCTGCTCCGGCCATTCGATCTTCACATCAGCAAGATAATGCCCAAGGAATCGGACCTCATCAGAAACATTAATCGGCAATTGTCCGTGAATTCTGCATTGAGCACTAACCTTTCCGCATATGAGGTAGGAACCTGACAGTTCCTCTATTTTAAATGCAGAAGATCATGCGGGCTTCGGATTAAAGAAGCGGTGACGTCCAGATGAGCTGAAAGTGATAGCAGCAATGGATATAACTACGGATTCCCTTTCGCTTGCCGCACAGGTATTTTGCCTTCAATACCAGACTCTCTTTCTTGCAACTTCCCCTTATGGACTGTGAGAGTATGTCTCGACCTCTGGCAGTCCACAGCAAAATTGAGGGAAATAAGGATGCCAGCTTGCCTTTTCTGCTCGGCAAACAGACGAGCACCTTGATGATAAAATGCCAATGGCTATTGTCACCGGCAGCTAAGATTGAAAATCAAGGTTTTCACGTACAATCTTTCATCTTAGGTTGCTTCTGTGAAGAATTTTCACGCTTCTATTCCGCAAATCCCCTTGTTCCTTTATTGACCACAGTGTCTGCAGTACATCCTCAGCTGTTTCCTCATCAGGCAGTTCTGTGCTCATCTGAAAAAGAGGTACTGATGCTGGAGGGTTCCACATTATCCCGTCATTCCTCTTCTGTCTTGATAGGGTTTCCACCTTACTCCCAACAACATTGACAACCATTGCTTCCCTGTCGATGTGAATGATACTATCTATAGTCATTTCTGTTTCAATCACCCACACGACATCAGCAACGCCAAGGAAGCCAGGTTTCCCCAGACCCACCAGAGCAGAACACAAGACGATCACTACTAGTCTCTCAGTAATGATGATAAATTTTCCATCCTGTTTAAGGCCTCTGCACTTGATAAATATCTCATCCTTGAACCTGGAGCTATCAGCTTCTAAAAGCATCGAGACACCGATAGCTTCTTCCCAAGAGTATGGGGACAAGGGCAAGTCTCTGGCTAGAGGCCTTGGCAGTCGGGTACGGAAGCGTTTGGATTGGTGAGGGCTACTTCTTTTCCTGATGCTTTGTGCTGCTTTTCCAGTTGTTTCAAGAATGCTGGCCATCGGCCTTGCCACCAGTCCAGCAGTGCCTAGGACTATCCCTGCAGAAATAAAATTATAGCAAGTTCAGCGAGATGAATGCGGATTTATGCTGTTATTATATTGATAAAGAAATTCTTTTCTACCCTCACCTGATACAACTCCAGGAAGCCCATGTTTCTCAGCACCCCTTATGGGGGATTGAAGAAGTCCAGTTAGACCCTGAAACATTAGAAGAAAAAAATAAAATTGAGAACATAGAATTGATTATCAATGTTGACCTTAACACTTCTTTTACGTTTGGAAATAAATGAATCAGATAATCAGGGAAAAAAAATAAAATTGAGAACATAGAAAAATAAATGAACGATTTAAGTTTGGAAAAACAGGGAATCAGAGACAATGTGCATTCAAATACCTCCAAAAATTCATTTAATATGCCTTTAGCATGAGAATCATGATCATTATGCTGTCTTTCCATTTTGCCAGCAACCTGCTCATCGAAGGTTAAAGCAACAATGCCCTGAAAGGAAAAAAACAAAAATATCTCATGGCCCAGAATCCGGATTAAAACATTTTCTGATTTATAAAGATAAAGGAGGGAAATAGAGTACCTTGTGGACGGCTTTACTGAACTGTGAAGCAGCACTGCTCATGGCATAGATAGTATTGCCGAGAAGACTTTTTGAGCCTTGTGCCACTCCAGTTATAAGTCCAGTGGGGCTCTGCATGGACACTATTAATGTCACTCCTGTTGTGATACGGACGATAAACACGGAAATGTGAACGACTATAGCAGACCTGGACAATGCCCTTTGAAGAAACTGAGAGGAAATCTTTGATGCCAATCCCAACGTTTCTTGCAAAACCCATAGGATTTCCTATCAAACCAGCAGAACCAAATACCTATGGTGCATACAAAGGAAATCTAGAAGTGAGAACAATCTTTTTCTGGGTAAATTGGTCAACGAACAATATATTATTCTGTACAATGATTTTGAACGAGCTAAAAGTCTGAACATAAATGCTACTTAACCTTGAAGATGAAAGGATAAACACTTTTTTTTCTTCATAATGTACCTTTAGAAAATTGTAGTGATGATCTCACCTTGTATATCTCATGCAGAAGCTGCTTTGTATAATGCCTGGCGACAATTTCTTGAATCGACTCTCGACTAGCCATGAAATTGGTGAGAACCAGCTCTTTAAGATGAAACGGTACACCTTCGACATCCACGAGGGCCATCAGACCTCTCTGCGAACAAATAGTGTTGTGAGCATCTCAATTCAACAACAAAGGTGAGCAAAACATTGTACCTTCAAAAATGATTTATTTTCTCCGTTAGTTACTTTTAGTGCCGAAAATTTTCGAGCCCAGAATTTTATTCATTGAAACATAGAATTAATAGGAATGACCATAGTTAACAATTTAGGAAGCTTTCAGGGGTTACCTAGTGGGGAGGCTTTTTCATAAATACGTAATCTGGGGGTCAAAACTTACCCTTCAATTTTAATTCAATGCATGTTAATTTAGTAATTCGTTCTCAGCAAGAAATAAGATAACGTTTTCCAACAATTAGTCCCTGATTCACTTATCAGTGAGAGGGGTGACAACTGTTAGTCAAAGAAACTGAATGAGTTTTTTCTTATATTCTGGGCCAAGCTAATACCATTTTTCTTCAAAAACTTGAGACAGCTTCTTATGATGTCTTTCAATTCAGTTGGGTTCTACTCTACATCTTGAAGAATAGGAGGAATTAGGCCTGAACTTCGGGAAACCACATCTGAATTTTAAAATCTTGAAAACAATAGAAACTAGGCCCACCTGAAATGCGATACTTCTGACATGAAAAAAAGATTCTGCTTCCAATAAATCTTCCTTCCGCATCAACCAGGGGTTGCTTGAAAAACTTCAAAGAAGTGTGCCGACACAAGTTAAAAAAAAAAGCGACACTTGCAAAGATAGCCACCGTACGAGAATGGCATGAAGTTAAAAAGAAAATAGAAGCACTTACCTTACAGTTAAGCTAACAGGAGCCAATTCGAATGCTTCAATATATATCTTTTTCTGATGCCTAGCTAAGAGAGATATCCGCTGCCATGGAGCTCCGATTGGGACCACAAAAGGCAAGGGACTAGTGTACCGCTCTACAAATCTGGCTTCCTTGTAGGAATGGAACTGGCGCGAAGTCATGGACATACCATAAATCTCACCATCTACATCCTCGGGCAGGTGATTCTTGTAGCCTTGATCATGCTCCAGGGTACAGAGCTCTGAGTGTTGATTCTTCAGAATCCCATTCTCCAAGCTTGATGATACAGATCTTAGAAAGGCAAGAAATTGTAGAAGGACCAGTTCTTCAAGCTCAATAGTGAGGGGTGCCACTCTGAAACACGATAAGAACATTCGATTATTCAAGAATCAGATAAAAGTTTTTTTTTTTTTTTCAGACTTGTGGTGAAAGGGCTACCTTATATTGAAATATTCAAAGGAAACAAATGAGGTCTCCTTCCTCCATTTTGATGCAGCAAAGTAGAGGTCTGATTCATGCGTGTCCTCACAAGAGGCAGACATCATATCATCCATCCGTATCCTCAATATGCTATCCTGATTCCTTAAGCCGGAGGGACTACCTCCATGATCATGATCAAATGAGAGAAGAATAGGATACGGAGCATTGGGCAGTTGATTATCAATTTGCAGTGATACCATCTGAAAGGACATCTTTTGCTTATCTGAGCTCTGCATTAAAGTCACTGTTGTCTCCTTTGCAGTTGCATAAACGAGTTCCTACAGTAAGTCACAAGCTATGAGTATGCGAAGGAAACAAGCATCTATTATGCCTATTTAGGACGAGAATGGCTTCTCTTCAGGTACCTGCGGAGAAGAGTTAATCAACGAGATCCCTATGAAGGGAAGGTGCAGTATCATCCTCTCACTAAAATCGACATTCCTCTCTTCCTGCTGACTTAATTTTCTCTTCCCTTTTGTTCCAAGAGAATCAATATCTCTCAAACTATGATACCGCGAATCGATGATGCTGAGAACCTGTAAGCACCAAAAGAGGCTCATTCATTAGAGTTCTACAATCACATATTTTCTGGCCGGGAAAAAGACTAGACACGGTGAGGAACCTTAGTTGCTCCCTCTGCACGTACAGCTACAAAGAACCTTCTTTCAGGTTTCTGCACAGATGATTAGGGACAAATTATATACACAAATTGAAGAGAGAAACAGTAATTTTCTAATGTAAGTAGAACCCTAATTTTTAAACATAGTAGATCAACTAGTAGTAGTGAATTCGTTCGTTGTTGGAAAAGGACAGCTTACAAACATACATGCTAAGCCATCAGCATCAACAAATACTTGAAATGTCAGAGAGATAAAGGGGGAAATATTCACGGTTTCCATATTTACCTCAGATGAGGATGGCAAGAAGACTGGTGGGTACTCCTTCACATCATCTAGATTATAAGTTCCCAGAACATGCTCCCCAGGCACCTAGTTAAGGGAAGAATGAGAATTCCCGAAAAATATTTTTTTCTTCAGGGAATATAAAAGCAGGAAGAAGGATGAACCATACTTCAACAATAAGACGATGAGGGCAGCAAGGCTCATCCCAAGCATACTGGCAAGATGAATAGGAATGCACCATGATTTCAGCTGTTTCACATTTCTGCTGGTAGATTCTTAGGCTCTGTAAAATATGGATACCCATCGTAAATGAGAAATAAGGACAGGGATAGGAGAACGATGATCAACATAGACAAAGAGGTGAATGGATTATATAATCTGAAAATAGATAACTACTTCATCCAGATCTGGAGAAATTAATCTACCAAACAAATGGTGAATAGAAGCACAAATAAAACCTCACGTTTTTTATTTTTTATTTTTTACAAATATAGATTATAGACTTTTGTTTCAGCAGTCAGCATCCCCTCCTGAACTTCTGTATGCCATGGTTGGTAGCTTAATTAGAATATGCATATCTTCCTTATCTGATGGTGTAATGCCTGCTTGGTGCCTGATGTACCCATAATATTTTCCAGAATCCAGTTATCTGCTGTGGAAGATTGAGTTCATGTCATGTTACTATTGACAATTTATATCAATAGATTCTGTGAAAATGACTTACATGTTGTCTTGCAGGATTCTGCACCTTTTTTATATTTTCCATATGAGGGACATGCCAGAAAAAATCCATAGTGAAAAATGAAACTACCTCGAGTGGTTAAATATAGGGGGCTCACTGCAATTGCACTGGGGACAGGTGGTTCAATTCCTTACCAAAAACTTGGATAGATCAACAGAGTTCGATGTTTCCACATATAGGATCATGAAAAGTTGCGCAAAATAACGATTTTATAGTTAGAGATGGTTGAAAGATGGAACGATTACAAAATTTATTATAATGAAAAACTAGGTAGATCTTGCCCTTTAGCAAAGTTGCTCACTGAGTAGAGTAGCATCTCCCTCCTCGTAGGATGCAGTGAAGCTATGTGCTGCATGTCCATTGTAAGCACAGTCACTTATTCCAGTGAACCATCTAAAACTAGGTAGATCTTGCCCTTTAGCAAAGTTGCTCACTGAGTAGAGTAGCATCTCCCTCCTCGTAGGATGCAGTGAAGCTATGTGCTGCATGTCCATTGTAAGCACAGTCACTTCTTCCAGTGAACCATCTCCCTCTGTTTCCTTTGGTAATTCATCAGTTTCCTTTTTTGCCAAGGTGGTCCTGCTAACCGTATATTACGCCAACTCTTCCTAGAGAGAGCCTTGACGGCGGAAGTTCCTGGTGGAAGTTCCCTTTATTTTGTACCAAAGATGGTTTCAAGAGTCAAATAATATAATTATGGACCTCATTTTTTGTGAGTAATTTTTTTTTGATATATCCTCTTTAACAACAAAAAAGGAAAACTAATTTTAGTGAAGGGGGTCTTTGCCTTATATCTGAGTCTGTCCAAGAGAGAGCCCATCAATTTTTAGTGTCTTATGCAAAGAAACCATGTTTTGAGTGGGAAAAGAACAGAAGAAAAAAAATACAGCATCAACATTAGAAAGATTTTCTAAAAAAATTCCTTACCTCCATTGAAAAGTTGTCAATTCTGTAAGGCATAAACCCAGAGTCATCATCGGACAAGAGGATCAAGTAAGTTCCAGAATTTCCAGTGGAGACCCCAACATCTTTTGTCTCGTTGATCAACATGTTAGCATTCTGTATCTCAACCCGAACCATATCCAATGCACCAGAAACATGGTTGCGCACTTTGACCTGAGCATCTCCAAGGCAGTCAGGAAGAAAGCTTCCCGACCATTGGCCACCGCGTTCATCAAATCGAATGCATATTAGCAGATCTCTGTGAAAATGCCACCAATAGACGAAAATCAAGCTGATTATAATCACAATGCCCCAAAGACTGTACAATGTCTGAAAAAAAGTGTAACCTAGGAAGATTTCGGAGGTCAAATACCAAAAAACAGGGTCTTAGGACCAGGTTTCGGAAAAATTAGGCGGAAAGTAAGGTGCATTAGATGGGCATCTAGATAAAGTTGTACGCAGTGGTGCTAGTTTGGTATATGAAGTTGCGAGGCTGGGGGTAGTAACCCAAAAAGCATGAATTCCTTCCTGCTATGAGGGTTATTTTTAGGTTTATTCACCACATTTCTCGCATTACTAGGAGATCTATAACACACTCAAGAAGTAGAGCCACAGATCTGTGGCGATTTGCTTCAAATTCGTCACCTAAAATGGTTGTCGATCCTCACTAAATCTTCCAATCAAAATGGCATCATCATTACATCAGATGCCGGTGCTCACATGCTTTCTTGTTTGCTTAGCAAAAGAGAAGCCTGGATAGTTTTTGAGGACGCGAACGAATGAAGTTCATATAATGTGGGTTAATTTCTTGGGCTCTTCTATTGCTCTTCTCGCAGTTTCTGTTGGCTGAGGATGTAGAAAGCTGGAGGGCGAGGCAGCGAGAAGTGAAGAGTTTTATCCTCATAAGTTTTAGATGGTGCATTCATCACACCGCCACCCACTAAGGGCTGGTAAAAAAATGGGTAGGATAAGTCATGGCATGATGCTACGCACTATTCACCCACTAAGGGCATGATACTTCAATACATTATCTCAATAATACCATAATTTTTTTTTAACCTAGGAATCTAAAGTTCTTGTCCAACACCATGTTGGTGTGGGCTTTCTAATGATGTATAGGGAATTCTTTAGAGAGCTATTTGCACATATTCCACTGTATTTCATGATTTTGTGGGACAATACTGACCATCTCCAAATAAGAATGTAGACGATTATCCTTCTGTTTTGGAGCTCTAGCCGGCTTACACAGGTATAACACCACTTATGGTCAATGTCAAAACTTTGATTTTGGATTAGCAGGCACAAAAAAGAAACCCACATGGATCATCTGAAAACGATGGCTGGGAAAATGAGTAAGCAAGAGAGAAAAAAGTAACTTTTAGATCAGCATATTCTGTATGAAGTGTAAATCTATGGAAGATTTTCAATTTATATTACTGAATGCCCATATACCTTGTTGTATCCGTCCAGTGGAGATGGGAATGTTGTCCCACACCCAACCTGACGCTGTGAGAGTCACTGGTTCCCTTCTGCTTGTAATATAGGTGCTTGCAACAAGCATTACAGATAACATATCTGAGGCGAAGTAAAAAATACATCCATTAAAAAGACCAACATAACTGAGTTTCAAGCACCCAACTACATCGCATACGTCAATACAAACACAAGATGAAGCTCAGGGCATTGAGGTTCTATTTTTTAAAACAATAGATAGAGGAATATTCAGTTCTGATTAATATATCACTTATATGAAGTAAAATCAATTGGTGCATGAATTCAAATAATGAAAAATTAATGGCAGATTGGCATTCTAGGAGAAAGGCTCTCGGTATAAAGTTCTTTCTGCAGTTGAATGGTGGTGATCCAAGAGCGGGTAATTGTCGGGCAGAGGATCGAGGTCCGGACCATATAGATCCTCCAACCACAGGAACTACTACATCCATCACTAAGGAATCGGTTCTCAATTCTTTTTATTAGAGAGATAAACATCTTCAAGAGATGTGGAATACTCAGAGGGCCAAGCCCAAGGTTTTTCTGACACTTAAGACAATTCTTATGCAATATGCGATATGGTACGTACCCAAACAAAGTAACTGACGACATTCCTCACCTGACCACAAATGTAGTAACCTCTTCCCCAGAGTGATGGGGTCTTTGCAATGGTTCTATATCAGTGCTCCCTCGTCATTTTACTTCTCTTATTTTTTCACTTACCTCCTAGAGGATTCTGCAGAGGCCACAACATTTCATATGCAGGCTAGGAAATGTTATGACCTAAGCCAAAAGCTATACACAAATGTTATGGACCTTTGAGACCCCCAATGTCAGTATCTGACAGGATACCCTCCCATATTTAACACTTTTTATCTCAGAGGATCCGCGCAGACAGTCCAATGAAATTGTCCAATTTACAGGCAAAAAGTGAATTCAGGTAAATAATATATTCCTGAAAATGTTAAATATGGATAAAGTTATTCTTGAGGAGATAAGGGCATTTGTGTCCTTTACTGTATCTTTAGCTACTTTGGGATAAAATTTATGTATTTTATCCATGGCACCCTTTATAAAATGGTTTTTTTTTTTTTGGGATTTGCCCTATTTATAGATATATCAGGAGAACCCAAGAACCTCTTCTGCATCTTTTTTCCTTAAATGTGTTTTACAGGGATTAGTTTCCGAGGGGGTTGTTTTGTAGTCTTTCTGCAAGTTCTTATAAAAAAAATGTGGGAAACCCATCCAAGAATGAGAATATCTATCCGAAACCAGGTCCACTAACCAGAGCAGAGGTAATCCCAGGACATACTGGAGATCGAGGAATTTTTTCAATGTCTTAACAAGGAGAGTCTCACCCTCTTCTTCCACATGCTTTTGTTGGCCTATTTTTTCGAGGTTTACACATCAGGCATCTGATAACGATCTTTAGGAGCAAAAACTTGACAACTGCAGTCATCTATTAGGTTTGTTCATGCCGAAACTATTTATGGAAGTGATAATATTTCACTTCAAATGACTTTGATGAAGCTAAGTAAGGTCAAATATATGGTATGGTTTGCTGCAACGTATCATTTTCCTGCTGTTTTGTACGAAAATAGGTTTATATCAATGAGAGCTTCCAGCCTCAAGCTAGAAGACTGGAAATTTCAATAGTGGCTTCTCGAGAACAACAACATGATTGTGACGTTGAGGAACTCTGTTAGTCTTCAGTTTCAGTCAATCAATTTATGGAAGAAGGCGATTAACAAGGAGTGAATACTTAAGAAGAAATCTTTGTGGGAAAAACATGATATTTATCATCTGACAACTGAAATACACACCAAGAGCTAAGAAAATAAAAGATTGATCGTTATTCATTGAGGAGAACTCATCTGATGAGGATGATCAAAAGAGCCTTTTCTAAGTACAGACAAAGGGATATCATTTTTACATCCCTTATTGGGCTAAAACCTGAGTATGAGGTATCGAGCTCAGAGTCTCAATTCTGATCCCACGCCAACTCTGAAGCATGTATATTTCAAGGTGCAGAGAGGCCAAGTTAAGATTCAGTGTACATGTAGAAATTCAATGATAGCTGCCTTAGTTTATTGAATCCAACAGAAAATGCAATGAGAGAGCTCATTAGTGATGATAACTAGTATTATTATGAATAATTACAACGATTAAGGAAATTCGAACAATAGGGATTTTTTGTATTAATAGATTAAGCGAACGATATATATCAACTCGTAAAAGAAAAATAAAAAAAACTTATGAAAATTCTTTTCATTCTTGCTAAATACAACAAAAAGAGTACCTTGGCTGGAAAATGACTGCCCTAGCCATTCCAGTGAGGTCTCCAGAAACTTGGCTTGAGGTAACAGACACTAGAAATGCATCACTTATTCCTGGTTGAGGAATGACAACACTAGTTGATCCACCTGCTGGGACAAGAGAAAATGGGCTTGACCATGTATCATTCCAGTCATCAGTTACATGTTCTTGAAGTGAATACTTCTGAAGTCTAACCACAAGATCGTTCTCAGATAAATGACTAGGAGGAGAATACATGAATGGCTTGACCTTTCCTTCATTTTCCATGCCTTTGATATTTGCAGAGGAACTTGGTCGACTACCTCTGCCTCCACTGCAGCCAAACTTTGCATGAGTAGTCTCTATTCTATCCAGAGCAGCACTCTCAGAGGGATCACAAGCATCTTCAGGTGAATCTACTGCCAAAGCATGTTTGCTTCGGGTCTTAAATAAACGTTGCTCAGATATCTTGCTCGAACGCATGGGGTGATGATTCAATAGATTCCCTAAATTACTACTGGTACCCAACGGATCAGTGAGCATTTCCCTTCCTGAGGTTAAAATAGAAATACCATGCCTTCCAAAAGAAGGGTTCTCGTCCCCTTTGAGAGGGTAACTACATGGAATGAAATGGGGATGTCCTTTATGCTGGAGATCATCATCTATGATTCCTAGTGGCAAACCAGTGCAATTATACACCAAGAATGGGACCGAAATGCATATTTCTCGTGCACCACAGTAGGCATCCATCATCTTATCCACTTTGACACATATTGGACCTGTAGTTGACCAGCAACCTGTCAGTAAATTTGTTGATGAGGACCAATAAATCAAATCAAGAAAGGAACTTTTATGAGACGAATTACCGTTATGTTTACTAGGATAGAAAGTTAGTCGGTCGGACGTTACAAATTTTGTCTCATGCAACTTTGCCATGGCGGTGAACGTTTCTGCTCGAGGAAACTTTGAAATGACCGGGTTGTAAGCTTCCAGATGGAATGTGATCTCGAGGTCATGAGTGGAATCAATCTGAAAGATGGAGGCAGCGTCCACCTGAAAAACACACGGCATCCGATTTCACCTCAATATGAAAGGAAGCCACACAGGGAAAAAGGGGACTCCTCAGAAGAAACCCTAGTGTTCATGGCAAACCTCTGATAGGCAGATGGACGTTATGACTCCACCACTGTCAATTGTCAACGATAATGGTGAAGGAAGATTGTTCTTCACCAACAATGGAGTGGTTAGCCTCACTTGACGGATAAATATTTTTGCTGATTTACCATGATTAAGCATATCCTGCCCACTGATCTTAGCTTCGTCAGATGTGGTATTTATGTGCAGGGAAGAGCCACCTTTTGAGCCATAGGGATAAATTACACTCCGGTCTTCAATGGATATACAGCAACGAAACGGATCACTCTTGGGGAACGAAGGGTAACAAACAAAGGACCTCATGAATCCAAGTCTATTCTCATGTGAAAGAATTTTAGATAGAGAATGGGCTTCACTCCAGAAATAATTTGAATCAACTGGACGCCATCTCATCCCAACAGCTTCAGCCAAATGCACAGGTAAGGGGAACTCTTGGCCAGGTTGTATAGGACCAAGTATCTGGGAAGAGAAAATAGTTTTCATAGATTGCCCATTATTTCTTCAGCAATAAATTCTATAAAAATTGCTTATCAATTCAAAACGGAAATAATAAATAAAAGCATGAGATAATAGAAAAAAAGAAGAATATAGATAGCAACAACCAGACCAACCAGACCGAAACTGCATTCTAGGAAATTTTCTGCAAATAATGATTTGATGGATCAACAAGCAAGAGTATTTTCTTTCTCTTGAACATGCTCAGCCTCTATAAAGGAAATCCAACCCCTATGCATGTGAAACCAAGAACAGATGATGGGACCTGTCTTGGGTGCCATCAAGTGTTTGCCCAGCCCAGGATCATATCATGAGGAAAAGTCCACTAATAGCACTGTATTTTATTAACAGAAGTGTGGATTCACATGGAGGGAGATCACTGTACCTTGGGAGAGACACCAAATGGAATATCAAAGCGTAGCTCCAGACTCTTAGACGTTGCATTAAGCAATAAGACCTGAATTTTAGTGAAAAATGTTGAGGATGAGGACAACTCGATTGCAACAATGAATAGAGGTCAATAAATGCATACCGTTGAATATAGCCTGACCATCTTGCTGTAGCAATGCATTGAAACATCAAACACAACAGGGACAACAAGCCCACTTGATGGATCAGTGATGTATGATTCATTATCTCTACCCTTGAGAGAAGCCTCCTCATCTGTGACCACAGCCGTTTCTGTTGCTCTCGATTTAGAGAAATTAATATCAAAGTAGCTGATCCCCACAAGGTCCATAGACATAGGCTTGGACGGATTTGAGGTTCCATCTAGTTGAACAGAGATAAGATGATGTGCAACAGGGTTCATTTTTCTCTCTAGGAGTCTTTCGGAGGAATAAGATGCCTTTTTTGGTAAATGCGTTTCTGGGGGCTCCTCAACATATATTGGCACAGAAAATCCAGGCTGTACAGTATTCCCCTGTTTCATTGACATGACACTGTTGCTTTCTGAGTTTGAAGGGCCGTAGGACACCCAAAATGAAAATGGCAAGGACGTCTCATTGCAAATAATATAGGGAGCTTGCTTTCTCAATACGTTGTGACTGAACTCCAAAGCCAATTGACCGCCACTTTCATGACACTTGTAAGGCCCATTCGTGTCCGCAGTGTTATTAGCCATCCGATGCAACAGGAAAATAGCCTGCAGAAGTTTTTTTTCACTAAAGATTGATAACTAAAATTAACATTGATCACATACCGCCAGATTGACCAACCACTGGGAATCTTTAGAAACATTGCAAATCAAATGCTTTTCTTGTGGGCAAGGAAAGAAGAGAATCATACCCACGAAAACTTTAACGTGGCCAATTTTAGTTGCCAGAGGGAGAAGTAGAAGCGATAGGAAACAAAACAAAAATAAAAAGATTCATGAAAAAACTAGTATTTTATTCAAGATATCGATTATATCATGGAGTTTTAGGTACTACATACTTCAGCATCTCTTTTGGAGTTGAGCAACATCATTTAAATTTTTTCTGAAAAATTCGTATCATTTGCACCAAAATTTTAGGGAAGCTCTCGATAAATTCACATTGAATATTTCCTTGTGTTTCCTGCTGTTGGAAGTTCTAGGTCGTAGGGAAATAATGCCAAAGATTGAGGGTATTCTTGGACAGTAATCTAGGGTTCCTCCCTATATTAAGTGGCGTAAGAGGTGACAGAGGTTTTTCTCCGTTTTCTACACCTGCAAAGTATCTTACACCCCATGTTTCCCCCTGTGTTTCTAGGCATTTTCTACGTGAATTACCACCTTCATTTTTTTTTAAGTGAGTCTCCTGAAGAACATGTTTCAATCCCTTCAACGACAAGGACACATGCACAAGAGCATAACAATCCTATCAAATAAGAGCATCCGATTCACAAGCTTGAAATGGAAAAAAAGAAGGAGAAAGACTAGAGAGGTACCTCAACTACAGGCTCTGTTATATTCAAATTAAGCTCTTGCTGTGAGCTCAAGAATATATCTCTAGTGTCAGGTCTACTAGGAAAACCACTGTTCACATATTGAATCAGCTCCACACGAAAGCTCCATGGTTCTATAAAGGGCTCCCACATAACCTGAAATGCCATCATGTTTCCTTACTTCTAGGAAGGCCTAGCTTGGAACAGCGAAATCTTTCCAAGGAAAGAGGATCTTATACCTTTTGAAAATTCTTGTAATTTACCGAAAGCTGAGATTCGACTGACAGCTTAGTAGCAGTTTTCCCTTCAACAAGCATATTCTTACAAGTAATGTCAAATATGGATCCACAAGATCTCAACTGCACACACAAGTAAAACGTGTGAAAAAGGCATTACTCAGAGATGAGAGGCTGAAACGGTTCTTGAAAGTTTCTTCTCATAGAAGGCATCAATGAAAAGAAATCATCAACTGAGATTAACAAGCAATGAAGGAGAACCGTTGACTTTTTCCCTGAAGCAAGCAAACAATACAGATCCTATGTCAGCAGGTTTTGATCCTATGTCACGAGGATTACCCATCATAGTGTCCAAACTTTGATCCCACAAACCGTGAAGATTGGAGTCATTTTGATTTGTGAATGGTAACCATAAAAAGTCAACATATATCAGAGTCGCCCAAAATGGCCAAACTTTGACTCCACAAGAAATGAAGGCTGATGATATATATTTCTACATTTAAAAACTTTCAAGTCATTCAGGCCATAGCCATAAAAGAACTTGAGCTTTTAACCCACAATTTAGATTGACTAAAATCATCAAATTTTTTGAACATTAACAAAAAGAGTCAGAAACCAGAGGACTCTCAGATCCCTACAAGTTTCTAATTGTGGCACCACAAGTCATAAAGACCAGATTCTCAAATCGGGCTGTGGACCTTGGCTTCTGCCAACTTGAGAAGGCAGCTTGGAAACATGTTGTCATCACAATTCCCGATGAGATGATGAAAGGAAAAACATTTTCTTTAATTTACTGGACTCCAATCCACTTTCTATGTGAAATTAAGTCTCCATTGCGGTTGCATAACAAATATTATTTGCAAAGCCAAGTCAAATATCTGCTTATTATTCGTGGTATTTGATTTTTATTGTCTAAACTAAAATATATCAATAAAATAAAAATTACAATAAATGGGGATAATAATGTGACAATATTTTAAGGTGTCTTGTGCACGCAACAAACCAAGGATGTTTATTCTACAGAATGATGAAAAAGCACAGATGACAGTCCATGCAGAGGTAAAAATATTCAAATAATTAGGTTATAAATCATCTAAAAGAGCTTAATTAATACAAATGACTACGATGATGTTCAAAATATGCTCTCAAAATTTAATAAACAATAAAAATAACACATGCAAAATCTTGTTGCAAAATTAGTTTCATCTACATACTGGACATGAGTAACATAATTGGCCAGAATCCTTTGTTCCTCTCTATTCATATTTTTTGCCCTCTGGAACATTTTGGCACATCCTCCCTATTTAAACATAATTTTAACATAATTTTATGATGTTATTTTACCTATATTATCAAAATTTACGCAATTACTAGTATAAGAAAGAAAGAAATAAAAATATATCGCCATTTTTCGAAATGAGATGAAAGTTTGTAATAAGCATCTGGTGTAACATTGATCTTCTAATTTTGGAATGTTAAGTATTTGAATACTGTTAAGCTGTGAGCTAAAAGCACACCATTTGAAAAGGTTACTTTCACATAAATGTGCGAGACATTAAGAGATCACTTCACGATAAGCACATTCTCAGTTGCACTTAATGTTCATGTCTTACCAGTGAGGAGAAGAGTCATGCTTGATATATGAAGAAAAATATGCAAAATATGTAAAAAAATAAAAATTGATTCGACTAAAGAAAGCAAATAACGGCCCAAAGTAACCCGGTGAGTCTAAGATAGCATACCCTTTGGTCGCTTAACAGCAAAGACAACCTTGTGAAATGTACATGAAAGAATACAAGGTGAAGAGGCATGTCCCAATTATCCGTTCCAGAAGTTGCAAACCGAATGTCCTTTGATATTTTGATCATCTCCTGGAGTAAATTCATATCTAAAGTTTCCACTTTCACGTCAGATATAGTAAGACAGAATTTCTCTGGTTTCCCGTGTATTTCAGCCGCCACCTTTCCCAGAAAAAAATGAATGAACGGCATGGAATGAAAATCTTGGTTTTCGGTTACCTTGATGGTCATTTTCATCCTTCCTGCACTACATTTAAGCACTATACCCCTGATGCTTACAGTCAATTTTGTATCTCGGCTGTGCAGAGTGAAGGTTAAGTATTGTGAATGTAATCCTTGGAAGGAAGGCATACTTTCTCCCAGTATGTTCTTCCACAACTCCAGGGACTCACTAACCTCCTTGGTACCCATGGGTTTTTCCATTTGCTCAATCGGCAAGTGAAGTGAAAGCACCATTTTGTTGGATTTCACAATGAGGTCAACTTCTTCTCGAGTGGTATCTGTTTGTGCACAGGAAGGCAATATACCTGGAGCTTCGGGATCATTCTGTGATTCAGATTCTGAAGGTGAACAGTCCAAAGGTGACCTTGATGGTCCACCTGAAAGCCCTTCACAGGCATTAACAAGATCAATTACTTTAGTCCAATCTGAAAGATGCAACCATATGTCAAGGGCAGGGATACAAAGTTGAAGTTCATTTCCCCTTTCATCTGATCTGGCGAAGTTGATACTCATGACAGATGTACTGAAATCTTCTGATACAAATGATAGTAAGACAACAGAATTCAGAGAAGAATGTAGAATTATATGCATGATATCAGCATCAATCTTATGCACCAATTCGGTTCTTAAGAGTGCTGAAAGTATCACTTTTGTATTCACAACTGCAACAAGCTCTGATGAGGCAGAGCGCATCAACTTCAATGACAGTGCGTTGGCACATATTCTGATATCAATGGGAATCTCAGCAGAAAGGTTTGTAACAGCATTAGTCTCCTTCAACTTTCTCTTTAATTGAATAAATTGCAAAGCATCAGATTTGAAATTCTTAGATTCATCAACAACAATTGAAAGTTGGTCTATGGATGTGCCCATTGCTTCAAGGCCTCGAACAAACCACTCATCTACACACAAAAAACATAAAAATATTTAATAATGGCAATGTCAACAACGTATTTCAGTCAATGCTTTACTGGTTTTGGCGTAAGCACTATTTATGACTACTTTCTCACCTTCAATGACCAAATTGCAGGCATCCGCTTTCACCATGATGGAAGTTGGAACAGCATTCTTCTCATCTTCTGGCGCGGTTCCAAGTGGTATTCTGATCCAAAAGTCAGCATCAAGCAGTGAAAGTAATGTAACGTTTCTACTACAAGAATGCTCCCCAGACATTAATCGAACTCTACCATCATCAAGCAAAACGACTGCCAATGATGCGCCCCGTATAGATACATCCACCAGATGAAGTACGTCAGAAATATTTATTTCAGGAATCACACAGTCAGCGGGCACATCTCTTAAAGCGCCTACTGAATGAATCGTTGGAATGAAACTGCCACTCAGTTTTGGGAGACCAAGCTGGAGACAGTAATCTTTGTTTTCCACGGGAAAAATCAGAGAAGAATCAAGTATCTCAAACCTGTACCCCATATGGCAATATTCACTTTGAGCGCTCTCAAACTTTTCATCTTCAGCGGCATGAAATCCTTTTGTCTGTGGAGTCCAATCAGGCAAACTAAAATAGCCAATGACCATAGCAAGAAACTCAGGCGATAAAATACAGCTTACACGCTGAAGCATGATATATGTTTCAGTCAGAAGGAACTCTGCATCATTTCTGAACTTTTTAACATGAACGTTTAGAGTTGAGGACATTGTCGGTGAGGATGGGCCCCACACAAGCTCAGAGACATTTGGAGAAGACCATGATGAAGTGGACCACGGTGAAGTGAGATTCAATCCGTCAGATTGGCAAAATGCATCCCAAGAATCAACCCCTTCAAAGGAAAAAGAAAGCCCAAAAGAAGAGCAACTAAGAGTTGCCAGAACAGAGGACGAATCATGGAAATGAACTCTGACTTCTCTGAGATTAAAATCCGCCGTGAAAATATCACTGCTTTCCGAATTCAGACAGGCATGGTCTTCATTACTACCGATCCCAGGTATGCTCTCAGGCTTCTTATTGATATCAGCCATTCGGATTGTAGGAGATTCCTCATTTAGAATATAATCACTTCTCTTCCTAGGAAGACTCTGAAAGAATGGCCTTCCAGTACCACAGGAAAATCCAGCAGAACTAGTGTTTGTAGAAGGAAATTGATTGAAGGGAGAATCAGATAACCCTAATAAACCATAATTATGGAGCTCGTTATCAGAGACTGAACTTTTATCATTGATTTTGTCTGATTCGAGGAAGTCCTGCAAAGAGGATCTTGAAGAAGCATCATATGAATGATTTCCGTGAGCAAATATTCTGATGTATGACTCCTGCAGAAGCCCAACGACACTAGGATGAATGTGGAAATCAAACTCACTAAGACCTATATCACACTTATGGTGAGCTGTCGAACCACTTTTATGAGCCTGATAATGAAATCCAAAACATTCATCACCCAAGGAACATTGTCCAGCACGAGCAGTTTCAGATCTGTTCAGACGGAGTTCTTCATCATGAGAAGACTGGGATTCTGCAAGAGCGCTGCTTCTAGATGAGCAAAGGATATAGCTACTGGGTCTGTCTTTCGAAGCACCTTCACCACTTATCTTCATCATCTTCACAAGGAAACGAAAATCAACAGATTCTTGAAAAGTATATCTGCAATTGGAAATAACTTAAATCATTTTTCCCAAAAACAATGAATAACTTAAATTGAAAATATGTTTTTCAAAATAGACTAACCTAATCATAGAATCCGTTAAGCTGATTGAAATCACAGAACTTTGGTCCGAATCATCTTCAAGGTCCACATAAAGATTGAAATGATTCAACTCGGTAGATGCCGAGTACCATGACAAATTCAGGCCCTTTGAATGTGTAGAAGCAGCATGCAATTCATTACCTTTCTCAATGACTTCTTCATTCTTCATAGAACCTAATTTTGAAAGAATGCCAAATACCATTGGAGAAATATGCACATCAAGTAAATGAACAGTGCAGTGGGCCTGCAATTCGATGGAGAATTATCATTTTCAATTTTTCAGTGCATTGAAGGCCAGGAACTCAGAGATGACCAACCACAAGCTCAAATCAAGCAAAACAGCCAAAAGTAGAAATTTGAATTTTATTTTGAGAAGATTACAATGCACAAGCAAGAATGTGCAGAAATTCAATCCTGATATCCTCAAGATGAATTAATCCGAAGCAACACAGATATGGTCTAGACTTAAACCAGATGTGTCAATTCGGAGATAAAGAGAGGCAACAAAACTCTACTTGAAAGAACACAGTACAGGGTAAAACATTCAGACGAGAATATTTTAATGAAACCATGGGAAGAAAATTACATCCAACTGCTTCATAGTCGGTTCATCAAAAAATACGCATAACCTGAGGATAACACTTGCATTGAACTTCCCAAAGACGGGAAGAACATCAATTGACTTAGTTGCCAAGATGTTTGCCTACAAAATTAAAATGCAAAGATCAGAACTTGATATAGATATATACAGATATGGATATGCATATATATATATATATATGCATATATATCAGACCGTCAAATAGAATAAAGTACCACCTCAAAGTCAATCAGATCAATCTCCAGGTGTTCGTAGAGATCTTCAAGCTCAAAGTTCGATGGCAAGTTGTAAGCTGGTAACATGTTCATCAAAGAATCACAAAAGTGATCCTTATTGTCAATCATTACGGAGTCACTTTTCGTTCTGCTTCTTGACATTAGGTGAAGAGTCCCTAGTTTTAGTACCTGCACAGCATGATAAGAACAAACTTCTTGTACTTGGAAACAATTGAGGTCGGATGTCTTCATACAGGCAAGACGAAAACAGCTGGTAAGGAGCACCAATGTTCTGTACATGGTGGGCAAGGATTCTAGATAAAGAAATGTTCTCAATGGCAACACCTCCGGTATCCAAACTAGTTTTTTTTTATAGAGTGCTTGCACTCTGGAAACAGTGCATAAACCTACATCAGAATAAAAGTATCCGAAAGATTAAAAACTCTCACAAAATTTCAAGCTCAGATCCAAGAAATGAGTACAAATATGTTCAAAATGTTTGACAGATTTCCTTAATGCTATATTTGGTAAAGAATTTGAGAGTCAAACAACTTTGTTCAGTCAAGTAGGAAGTATATTCTCTTATCACTTAATACGAACCATATAGGTCAAAAAAATTATATTTCATTTTATGCTTCCCTGAGAGATGTCAGAAGAGAGGAACAAACTTTGGTTAAGAGCAAGGATAATGTTCCTTTATTTTGTGAGCAACAATCATGGCAGTACTCTTTAAAAAAATAAGGGAACATCGACCTATATCCAAGTAAACACAAGAGCTATAATTCGTACCATCATCAATTACACTTGTCAAATTTCACATATCAGAGACACGGAAAGATATGATCCAAAGGCGGAAGCCATGAGTTGAGATTCAGTAAAATTGAGAGGGCCAGAGGAAGCTCTACCAAAATGACTAGAGATTCAGTAAAACTTTAGAGCCCTAGAGGAAGCTCTTTGTTTTAATACGATTCTCAAGAAAGGGAAAGAACAGGGACAAAAAGAGACCCAGCGACAATGTAAGCCCTACGTACTTCAAGTGTCTCGCAGATTTTTTGTAGTTGGGTGAGGATGTAATCACTATGTAAGTTCCCAGCTCGACTATCACATGACTTCTCTCTGGTCCAGCGATGGATTGAAAACAAAAAGTTTGCTGATAACGGAACAAAAGCATTGGCTGTGAACAGGCACAATGAATCCAGGTCGATATGGTAAATCGTGAAATTGAACTCCACACATAATTGCGGCAGTAAATTAAGCACACTGATATCATATCTTGTGATGAAGTAAAGTGCTCCAAACTAGTACTCCCACGGTAGGAGCATTTTTCCTAAAAGTGGAATAGTATTCTACGGTCATCCTTGAGAATAAAATACCATACTTGTACTCTTAGCATCTAATATACTTCAAAATAGAAGTACAAGCAACAGAAAGAAAAAAACTACTGACAGAAGGTCATTGAATCTAATACGGGTAGAGTAACTAAGTTCAAAAAATAAATCTTTTATTGAGCATAGGAAAACTAACGTTTGACATAATGCATGGAGTATAATACAGCTTGACTTGCAGAAGGCATACCATAATATGAGATTCTGAGCCGTTGCATATCTGAGGAACCTTTACATTAACATCTCGAACACTAACATCCCAGATAACCTTTTTACGAGTTAGGAAGATGTACCTGCAATGAGAAGTAGCAACTGGGTCTGAACACAGTATAGTCCCCCAAGTTTGACCATAGTCAGAAACATAGCCATTAAATGACAACACTTACTCAGCTTTTGACAACACCCTAGCATTGACTTGTACAAAGTCATTAAATGACGACATAACCTGCAATTCAACCAAAATTTTCTATAAAAATAAAATAATTTTAGCATAAAAATAATCCAAATTAGTGCAAATCATATATTTAGTCGAAAACAAAACTACAGTTACAATAAATAGTTTTCATAAGTTGCAATAGAAATGCAAAACTACAGTTATGGATTTGCAAACAAGAGGTTACTTGCCATCCCAAAACAATAAAGGCTAAGACTTTCAAACATCAGAATGTAAACCAAGATGTGATATACTTTGATGGGTAATATTTCTCGTGAAATCAAAACAAGGAATAATTTGAACACTTGAGTAGGCATAACAAAGCAGGGAAAATGCGCATAACAAGGAATGAATGATAAAATCCAGGAACCTGCAGAAGTATATTATACACAATCACCAGGAGATAACGAAATTACGCTCGAAGAGAGAATTCTTACTCTTTGGTTCTGAAACTGTACGCTTCCAAGTGCACTCTGAAATTCCAAAACGTATTTAAGAAAATCCAAGTCATATGAAATTTCAATACACTGAAGAACGGCCTGTCAAACATTTCTCATGAGTTTCTCCAAACATGAACAAACAATTTTCTAGTGATGTTCACCAACGTAGATATCAATGCATTTATTAAGACAAAAAAAACAGACAAGCCACCTCTATGGAAAGATCAAAGGTCCGCCCTATGGGTGGGGCTTTAATGTGAGCACAAAAACATGGAGTATTTGTTGACGAGAGACCACCATCAGAAATCTGCACTGAAAAATGCTCATCATTTTTCTTTTTCTAAAAAAGTGACTGATTGGGTAAATAAGATATGGGAAAGGTACCACAAAGTGATGCCAATTTGTTTGGAACATCAACATCTAAAGTCCAAGTACGTACAGGAATAGTGAAGGTACAGAATAAACCTTTCCAGATGTCAGCAAGATGTTATCGTTACATGGGTTGATTATCTTAGCAGACTTCATCAAGAGAGTAATGTCAATAGAATCCTCCGAAATTTTACATTCTACACCAACACCGTCCAAAAACAGGAGGGCTATGTCTTTGACATGTTGTTTCCTACAATTACAACAAACATACCTAGAATCAAAATTTTAAAACAAATGCAAACTGAAGGATACCTTTCATTACGAAGACATACAAATAGGAAAGGTGGTGGGCCACAACAATTTAAACAACATTAAGTGTCAAGTAATATTGTGATTAAATAAAAAAAAAGAATATCATCATGAAATTCATATCATAAATTGATAACTCTAGAAGGGATTGTCAAGTTCCAGGCTAGCGACTAAACCCGGCTATTATATCAGAAAGCAAGACAATCAATTTTTTACGAAACCAAATGACTCTTATTTACTATAGTTAATAGCGTACCAAAAGATATACAAAAATATAACGTGATAAGATCGTTTGCGGGAAATATGCTGGAATCTCTGACCCTGGATCAATCCCTCGGCACTTTGATCTCCCCAGTCATCACCTGCCAACCTCTTGCCCTTGCAATAAAATATGAGACGTGGTATTTGATACCCAATAATTCTCCACATCAAACTCCTAAAAAAATAATATCTTATTTATGCTTCCCTGAGAGATGCCTCTCCCTGAATACAATGGGAAGGAAAAATCTAAAGCACCTTTCTATCCCTGACAAAACCTAATAGCTGTACAAATCTATGAATCAGATCAGTCCAATCTGGATGTGTACCAGATTGGACAAGCTGGACATTCTACAGGGAGAGACTAATTTGGATAAAAGAGTAAAATTAATAAAACTTATGTAACTTATATATAAAACTCAACTTAACAAAAATCTTTCAGGCTTCAAATACTCTAGCCCTTTCTCGAATGGATTAGACTGCACTCACTCCAGGCGCATGGACCTTTCCTTCATAGACTGTAAAGAGGTGATCACAGCAACGGGTGAGGCTCTATGGAAGTTTTTATTTTTCTTTTTGTTGTGTCCTTTCCTTCCCTCAGATTTCTTTGTCCTCAATTAGCAGACCACACATTCAATTTCCCCCGTCTTATATAAGTGCTCCTCTTAGAATTCAGTTGATATGAGGACATGAATTTGTATAAAGGTAGCCAAACAGACAGGGTGTTTCCAATTCCCTGAAGCATGCTCACCATGGCTACAATCCAATCGGATCAGCTGGCTGCCAATTCTGAGCAGCAAGCTGCGCATGTCTCCAATCCACTGGGTGTTAATCCACTGGTGTCTATCTTAACCACAACCCTTCGTGCAGTTTGAAATAAAATAACCAACCTATTTTAACGACGTAGTACTACAGGGTGGACGTTTTTAATGTGTCAGAAGGAGAGAGTGAGCGAAAACCTTCTAAAAAGAGCAAGGACTATTTTTTTAAGTCTTATAAAGAGTATAGACGTGATCATTATCCATAACCTTACATGGTTTTTTCACTATGATGGTATAGGTATTGCGGATGTCGTGCAGTGTATTTTCTTTTGAATATACAAATACCCATAAATATAACAGGTGGACATCTTACCATCCATGAAATATGCCATTCTATGAAATGTAGGACAGAGAAATTGCCCGACTGAAGTTTGTGCAGATGTATGATATTCACTGTCTTGTCTGGCAAGCCACCCCCAACTTTCGTTAGAGCTACTCACATAGAAGGTACTACAACTCAATGCAAATATCCTTGTTACACTATACCCTAATGGACAGATGGACCCTAATGAATAAGTTTCAGATACGTGATATTGGTTCCAAACATACAATAACCCTGTTTCGGACACTACTTTCTTTCAACAATGATTAGCAAACATTATTTGGTTAAGAAGTGTCAAAGCTCTAAAAAACCAAGATATAAAGGAATGAACCAAGATAAAGAAAAAACATAGAATATCAAACATGGCCACAAGTAATGAACCGCATTTGGAGAAAAGATGGAAGCACCTGCTGCTGATTGTCATGGTGAAATGATCGATATCAAACTTGACTAGTGATGAAAGTATATTGTTTCTTTGAGAACTTTCACCAATACTGTAAGCAGGCAGTGGGTGGGAATCTGTAGCCTCATAGATATCCTGAACAAAAATACGATCCATAAATATACAAAATGAAACAGTAAAGTCAGTTGAACAGTCATCAACAGTACCTTGATAATTTCATCAGAAACAACACCAGCAAATGAGCTAGAGTCTGCCGTTCCTCCGACACCAAGCATGCCAAGGGACAGCCAATTTAACCATCCTCTTAATCTCGTGAACGACCTCTCATCATTTTGTCCCTTTTCTTGAGAATTATGCACATCACTTGTACCAGTACCAGAATCTTTCTTCTGCAGCATAAAATCCTGCAAATAGATAGAAAAAATACAGATCCATCATGGATATTAGGGAAGACGACAATACTTCATACGGTAATTAGATCAGAGAAACGGTGATAAAATGGGTAAATGAAATGGAAGCCCCTAAGGACACTCCTTGCAGAATAAGAAAATTATCACATTAGCATCGTTACCATAACCATCATGTCTGGTTAACATTTTCGAGACAAATACCACGGATTTGAGGTGTTTTTTGTGTGCCAGCCTAATGCCAGCTCCTAACTAATAGAGGAAAAAAAGATTGGATAAATCTCACTAGCAGGTGAGAAAGGTTAAGCAACTAGAAAGAGAAGAAAACCGCAAACCTATTTGACATGAAATATGATATGGTACCCCTAAAGATATATTCGCCGTAAGTGTACAGTCTAGAAGCTTCTATAATGAACACTGAGATAAGAACGGGCTGAACAATATAAACACCCTCCCCTGTGAATAAGAGGGGGTATTGTGGTAGAAGTGCCATGAGAGAGAGGGAGAGTGGAGAATTCTCTCAAAACTAATTTCCTTCTGTTCACTGTTTTCTCTGTTTTCCTGGAATACATTGGTCTTTTCCCTTTTGTTGTCTGAGAGGAGAGGAGGGGATCCTACCAAAATACAATGCAAGAACCACAAAAAAGATAAAGTTATTTTTAATAAATGATAGGATATCGAAGTTTCAACGGTCACAAGATCAATTAATCCAAACATCTAGTATGAAAGGCAATCAAAAGTTGATAACAAATATTTAAAGATTCTAGGTGAGTAAAATGTAAAATGATAAAGAATCTAGGTGACTATTTTTCAATGAAGCATTAAAATAGTAAAAAAGAAAAATCATAAAAAACTAATATGTCCAAATACATCATTAGAACTTGACAATACAAAGCAATAGTTGCCGAACATTTTACATTCAAAGTACCCATTCAATCATGACCGAGCACAACACATATATATTATTCAGATAGCTACAGCTGTCTAGGCAATGTTGGTTGACTCGGTACTCCATTTGGAGTGCAAAAAGTGTAAACGAGTCAGACTGTGCCAACATGTAGCAAATTAAAATAATCTTCTAAAACACTTTAACATCATGGGTTCCTTTTAAAACACTTTTCTCTACAGCATCAGCTATATATTGCATATTGATGATCACAAATCCTGAACAAGATATCCAGATCATCCAAGCAACAAAAGGCAGACAGAATCAAGATAGTTATTTTAAGATATCAACACAAATTGGGCCTTTCAAAATTTAGGAAAGAACAAGCCGAATGTAATAAGTCAAATGAAATCACAAAATAAATAATATTCATCATGCAAAATGAAAGATATTCATGGCCATGGCGAAGCAGGCAAACATGAAACTAAATGTGATAACCTGTAATTGGTTCTCCGCTGTGGACCTGTAGCTCAAGATCTCATCAATTTCACATTCCCTATCCATCTGCTCCAGCTCCTCCAAAATTTCTTCACTGACATGCTAATATCATGATTGACGTAACATCAATACTTGTAAAAGACCATGGGCCAGTCAGCATAGGATTCACAACACCAAATATATGCCAGTCTTGCAGACGTTTCAATAGATTGTTGTATACAATTGCACAATGGCATATGTTAAACAATAATCAGGCAGGAATAAAGATTTAAGGCTTGAGGAACTGGAAAGAGTGATCGGGCATTAAGGAATTCAAAAAATCTATAGGTCGATAAATTCTTCCATAATGTATAGGTTGCTGAATGACATAACTTATTCAAAATAATACAATGGTGATTGAAATGTATACGGGTGATTAAGGAATTTATCTTTAATCATGAAGCAAGAATTCATAATACAATGCACAACTTATTAAAAATCCTGAAAACCAAGAAAGTCTCTTTTGCAGCCAGCATCAAGATCAAAACATAACATAATCAGCCAACTCATGGTGATTGAAATGTATACGGGTGAACAAATAGAAAAATCTTGGTTAAATCTATATTGCAGAAAATCTTTAGTGAAAATCTAGAGCAGAACGGAAAAGATTGGTCTAATCTTTTTATTCCAACAAAGCATTCCTGGACCACTGTCACAGACTCAACATAAGTCTTGATTAAACAATGGTGAACAATGGTGATCAAAGCCTCTCCCAACATATCATAGAAGCTGCAGCGTCCATTGGGAGAAAAAGAAAAAAAATCCAGCTATTATCAGCTTTCCCATGGACTACCAAGAGAAAGGGAACTAGAGGATTCAGACAATAATAAATAAAGTCTTATGAAACTATCCATCGTATTATGTATTCAATCAAAGTTTGTCAAGTCCGCGTCAAGCCATCTAAAAGTTATATAACAACCATCTAAATATTGAAAATAAGATGAAATTGTCAATATGATTTGGTAGTACGTTTTTCAGTTTATCCCGATTTTACATCCTGAAAGAAGCCCATTTGCCTTATCATGCACAAACTATGACACACTAAAATGTCCACGCAGACCAGAACGAGTTATAACCCTGAGAAGTTACGGAAATAAAGTTGCAAAAAAGCCCCTTTTAGCCCAATATTCCACGGCCAATGGTCTGAAACAGCAGGTGACAGGATAGATTATAGAACCTAATTTTTGATGTCACAAAGCCACTTGCGAGTAACTAGGAGAGAAAGATAGCCTGTAGATACCAGTTATGGAAATTCAATGGCAGCAGTATATCCCAAGAAAATGAAATGTTATTTCCTACAGGAGACAAAGATACCATGGAGGGAGAGAAGGTGGCCAAAAAAGATAGGTCATTTGATACCTTGTTAGATAAGGTAAAAACTCAAAACTACAAGACAAAGCGGCTTTATTATAGGGGGGCAATAGGGAAAAAAGAAAATAAGTAATTAATGGCAAATGTCATCATCCTCTGACCACTTCCCTTCAAATTGAGCATAGGTATCTATCATCCTCATCATACACTAAATCATTTTCTTGATATCAAGTAGGTACGAAGTCCAAAAAAATGGCTCCTAAAGGATAAAATATTCTTGATTGACAGGAGTGTAGCATTCCTATGAGGGGTGAGATTTTCAATTTTGATCCCATACACACTTTAAAGCAAGTGTATTTCAAGGCGTTGACTGAGGAAGAAAGGATGAATGTCATGAATGAAGGCCCAACTAGTGGATACATTGCTAAAAGAGAATATTCAACACTCATTAGCAGCACTTCAGGGGAGGGAAAAATCAAGGAAAAGAAAAAAGCAAGGTCACCAGGTCGTGTACATACTGACTGGAAGAACCACAACGTGTCCCAACCAGAAAAGTCCACTTCTAAAATGGGGAGAAGTAGCTAAAGAGAGCGTTGCCATAGCTCATAACCTCGAACCTATTTCCGCTAGCTCTTCTTATGAAGAAGAGATTACAAGTACTACTTCTGACGAAATTTCAGTTTCCGGAATTGTTTCCTTACCTTCTTTTACAATTCAGTATTCTCCTCAAACAGACTCAAAGAGTTCTACTCATCGTGCTGTTGATTCATGAGTTATCGAATATGGAAACTTTATACATATGACAGCAACCCAAACTTGTTTTAAAAATATTTTTTTAGTTTAAAGTTAGATAAAGTTACAATTGCTCATGGTTCCAAGGTCATTATTACTAGTAAAGGAGTCATTCAACTTCATTATCACTTACATTCTGTGATGACCTTCATGTTCCCATGCTTCCCATTAACATTCCTTTACTCACTGGCTTTGAAGAATTGATAATCATGAAGTAAGAGGCCTCCTTCGTTATTAGAAACATAGTAAGCAATGAAAAATAGAAAAAGTAAAAAAAGAGTCACTATTGACAGATAATTCTGACTATTCACTATCAGGAGGGTCTAACTGGACAAACAAGGGGCAAAGATGATCCTTTAATTCTTCTTCCTATCAGCATACGAATGATTTTCACAATCGGACATACTAATTCACACCTCATGGATACATTATTAATGATGGGTGTAATGCAGATGCATTTCAAACCACCTTACCCGTTGTAAGTTTTAGTCATAATAATGTAATATTCAAAAGAAGCAACATCTGGAAGTAATATGGTGACTTGTCTCTGGCAAAAGATGACCGAAATCTATTCTATATTTACAACCAGCAATTGAATTTCAGGAATGTCCTTCGATATTATCATCAATGGATCCACATGATAGATTAGTCAAATCAATGAAAAGGGGCACACAGAAGTAAAATCCCAAAAAAACTTTATTGTTTTAGGAACGTGAGGAAACGGAGAAATTTAACTGCGTATACAGACACACGTTCAATGATTAAAAGAAAGGTATAAAGACACAATAAAAAGGAAAGACATATGTAGACAGTATCGTTCTCAACCTGATTCTGTTGTATAAACTCCAACTTTCTTCTGTAAAGATTCACATATTTCCGACGCTGACTTCTGCATTAGAGCAAAAAATTAAATTCAGACTTTTAAATGTCTAGTGTGGAATACTTGAAATTCAATTGATACCGCACATTACTATGTAAGGACAAACAGCAAAGCCAAGCCCTGCAGTAGTCGATGGACTAAATGATCAGGGACAGCAAAACCAACAATGACAAAGGTAGCAGAGCATACTAAGTAGAGACACCAACATAACCAACATTGAACCTGTTGCTTTCCTTTTCAAGGACCTACGATCTAGACTCGAAGGATCTGTAGCCACCAGATGTTGGGATCGCACTTGGTAATTAAAGATAAGATTTCATCTATATTTAGGAAACGTGTGTCACATTATTGGACATCAAGACGTTCATAAAGCTATTACAGAAGCAAGGAGTATGATTATAATCACTCGAAACTATTTTTCATTATATAACTGCAGATAAATGCAGATTGGAAAATATGAAACCTCCAACACAAAGAATAGTGAACTGAGAGTTGCAACCTCTCCGTTGTTGCTTGCTAGAATCGAGGCTAGGGAAGTGAAAAAAAGGAGGTGAAGCCTAATTAACTCCTGCTAGGGACTAAAACTCAACAATCTAGAAAGCAATGATAAGTGTGTGCTATTTTCAAATAGAGTACTAGATGGTGATCAAAATGTGATGTAGTTTAAGACTGTTCAGACTTAGAACCACATACGAAGGGTTACACATACTGCTGAAATAATGTTCAGCATTGAATTTATTGCCTTGTGCAGTAGTAAAGAGCACGGGGAACAGCAGTTAATTTTTGTTAGGTCGTGGCATGTACTGACAGAAAATTGATAGCTATGGCATGCACGGATAGGCAGACAGAAATTAATGTAACTATGGGGAGTAAAGTTGAACTTAATAAAGAAGAAGAGGCCTTGAAGATGTTGCCATCGTCATAATTTTAAATGAGGCAGTCCACGAAAAAAAAAACAAAAAATGTTGAGCACACTGTAGTTACTGCTAGCAAAAGTTTCCTTTTCGGGCTGTTTAGATAAAGGGTAGTACAGGGAACACACTCTGTTTAGATACAAAAGTGTCCATCAACATTTTTAAGAAGTATAATTTTCAAACATTTCAATGACATTGGAAAGGCATTATCCTTTATAATGCCGTATCATTTACATCATCGTCAGCTAACATATCAGAAGTAAATAAAAATACTTTAAAAATAAAAAAATTAGTCAATAGAAAGGCATGATTGGTTGCCAACAGGCTCAGCTTTGTCAATATTGGATGTCACAGAGTGTCTTCATCTATAGCTAGATCCTGATCTAACACCAAACAACAACTTAAAAACCAAACTAAATAGACCTAAAAACAACAACTGAAATATATCCTGATAAAATAATGAAAACAATAAGCATCCAATGATATTAAATAGACCTAAAAAATTTCAATAGTTTGTGAGCATGCAACAACTAATTCTAAAACAATCCATCACCCACACATACACTAACAGCATAACCACAGCGTACACAGCCTGGTCTCCTAGTACCAGATGTTTAATCAAAACAAAAGGAGAGACCATTAAATTAACACACCTTAGAGTTCAAGCCAATAACGGCATAGTCCAAACTTCCAAACATTTTGACTTTTTAAATTGGAAGGTAACATAGCACACCACCAATAGAAGAAAATTGAGAAAAAGCTGCCTTTCGATCACAATCTCATATTTTGTCATAAAAGTAAAGCAATAGGATACTATCCAAACTCGCAATTAATAACTGGTCTCTCAAATATCCTGAAACCAGAAAGGTCAATGCATCATGACACAAACTGATGGGCTTGAATGTGCAACAGCAGAATATATAATTGTCTAATGAGCATCAAAACAAACGTATTTTCCCGGAGTCTGCCCTTCAAATTTTCTAAATTGGGGTTTGGAACTGAGACCCAATTGGTCAGTCATCACCATATAGAAATTGGATTGAACTAAATTTTTTGTTTAATTTTGTGATAAAATAGTAGGTTTTCAAAAGGAACAGACTGAAGGTTTAATTCAATCAAACTTCTATATGGTAATGAAGGGATTGGGTTTCACGAGGATCAGAATGAAGGCCTCTCATTGTAATCCAGATTGACTGGCCATAATCATAATTAATTCTTGGACTAAGATAAAGAGTCAAAAAACAGCCAAGGCAGATGACAAAATTAATGAGTAAAAAGGAAAATATTAGACATTGGAGAATGATAAATTCCGGGGGAAAGGGTTCAATTACATGTGCCCATCATAGTAAGCAAAGAATACACATAAACGACCAAGATGATCATGACAAGGGAAATTGTGCTTTCTAACGTCCAAAAATTACAACCATGGTGCAACACTAACTATTCTCCAAAAAAAATACATAGTGAGAACTCTGTCATACATTCTCCGTCCAAGACTGCTCCAAGAAGTCTTCCTCAACCTCCGTCTAACATCTGCTAAAACAGATTGCTGTGCATAATGCCACCATAATATTTGCCAGCCATCAACCTTCCATGATAACGAGGTGTGATCTGGCCGATAACGTCCATATCTGCAGCACCCAAGTAAGAGAAAACATACAAAACAAAACTTCTAAAGATTGTGACATGAAACACAGCCAAAAATACGTGACCATAATTTAATCCCTAAAAGACAGTATAGTTTATAAATCTTAAACTGGAACTCAACTTCATTTAACCAGAGATGACCAAGAAACCATATTATTTTCAATACTTTCATAATTATGCACATGTTTAAATCAACAAATAGGAGTAAATCAGTCATGTATAATGCTCCCAACCAAAAAATTACTTTTCCATATATTTCGAATACCTTACAGTATAATTTTGCCACATCTTTTTTCAGCGACTTCACCTCATCTTCATAGTGATAATACACCCTTCCGAAGTCAAACTGCTCTGATGATTTTTCGGGTTCAGCTATATAACTAAACTCTTAATCATTGATGGGTGAAAGATATAATACTAAAATGCCCTGAGTCACAATTATTGGAAACACCACAGCGCTTATCACAAGAAGACACTCTAACCCTGATGTTAGCCTTATTCAAAACGGTGAAGCAACATTAACGTAATATTGTTACTCAAAAGATCTTTCTGCTCATCACCTTTCGTCTACTTTCTCTCATGGAACCAATTTTATTTTGGGTGCCCCACCAGTCAATTGCAGCGATTCTTCGTTATTTTTTTATTTCTCTGCATGCTATTACCTCTACACCCTTTCACTTTCTTCTTCTTTATCATTATGCAGGTACAAACTACCATAGAAACTTCCATCAGTTACAACAAATAAGAGGTCATGTCATGAGCGGCATCCAGAAGCTGCACGTGGTACAAGAGCAGTTACAGCGATGAATGATGATGGGCCAGTTGTGCAGTTCTCCATGCCAAAGTTATAATCTCTAGCCAGTTGATCAAGAAGTTTTTGATCGCTCATCACTGTTACTCATGCTCGATTGAAAAGGATCATGAGGTAGATAAAAGTTAGCCAAGCTATAGAAAACGAGTGAAAGCTTGTTGGATAGCATCACCTACGTAAACTAGACACTTCGAAGACAATGACAAAGCAAATAAGAAACCATCAAAGTGTAAGCATTGAACTAGATACATTGAAAAAAATTACCTCTCTCTCAAGGAGCAGATGGAAAAGTGATCCCAGAGACTTAAAATTTGCAACAACTGAACCTCATTCAATAACACGACCTAGCAAAAAATAGAATGCACAATATGACCATTCAGACAGCCATTGCCCAGGAAAAGAGAATACCATATTTTAACAGCAGTATTGGAATATTCATCACAGAAGGACAAACCACAGAAGTTAGCTCGGCCATAACAGAGTATTCAGGACTTGCATCAAACATCCCAGATTTGTTTACCTAAATGAAAAAAATTCAAGCCTGTGTTAGATACAAAAAAGCAGAAACTCTCCGATTTTATAATGTTTAAGCAGGCATCTACTAAAACATATGATTACAAAAAAGCTAGGTTCGGTGAAACGAATTTTTGGATGAATAAATAGAATGTCACGGTGAACAGGGAAAAATTATAGAAAAATAATAATCCAATTTCCTTTATGATCGTTCCCAAAATGGAACAGAAAAAAATTTGGATTAAACAGAAAATAAACTGGAGAAGATGTCATCAAGTAAAATGGAGAAATTAGCGTTTAGAATAGATCCACGGGAATAACAAACAACAATATCTGCTTCTATTCAAATTATCATTTCTGCTAGATTAATCCCAAAAGCCAGACAACCTTCATTTGCCCATCTATTTGTAAAAAAAAGTGACTGAAGTTCAATTTCGAGTCAAATCAAAGTCATAAAATCATCCAGATGTATGGAACATGGTGTCACAGTTTGAGGTGATGCGAATACAAATTTTGGGTAACCTAACCACTTCTGGGAAGATTACATTAGTCACGTAAGTAGCATAGGCTATCTTCCTACATAGGATAAAATGCATCTTCAAAATGCAGCCAACTACAAAATTAGGCTGGACTATTGTGCCTCTGAAACGTAAGCCATTTTAACACAATAGAGAGATAAAAATTCTCATTTACAACAAGAACTGGAAGTGGCATATGCAATTCTGCATTTTGGGTGGGTTCCCTTTGAAATGACGCATATCTACCATCTTTCCACAAACCTGCTCACACCTCACTTCAAGTGGACCCAAATGTATCCTTCATGATTTTTATCTGCATCCACCATCCAACTCACTCATGATTTGTTCCGCTAAAGAACATCTTAGGATACAAAGTGAATTGCCTAAGAATACGTTTTGAAGAACAAAAATACTGTGATGTCAATTCTTAAATTTATCCGAAATTTCTGTACTTCAAAATAAAAACCGTGAAAATCTCTAGAGCATTCAAAATGCACAACCTACGTTTTCAAAGTTTCTAGCAATGCCATTCTGGCTTAATGTGTCAACTACCCTGTTTTGAATCCCAGATTTATCTTTCGACATAATTGGAATTCCTGAAAAAAGGCATTAAGTACAAGTTTATAGCTGTTAGGATTATTAATAAAATGAAATACTTGGTCATTGTAACGCTTACAATGCTTTGAAGCATTCACCATTTTATAGAGCTCAAATACATAAGTAGAGACTTTCTTCGATTCAGTATGTCACTAGCAGCAGAAATCTGACGGTCTGCATTAACCTTTAAAGGAAGAATCCTCTCTACTTTATAGAACATATCTTGGGCCTTAAAATATATCCAGCATGTCATCAAACCTTGGTCTGGCTTCTGCATTTTGTCACGAGCTTGTTTACAACCCAACGGTCAACATATATCTTCCAACTACCATCCTTTTCAGATGCTAGTAAAGCATGGGCAGAACGAAGACTCATATCTACTTGCGCTAAACCTTTTTTCGATAAATCTTCAATCGCACTTTAGATTGCACAGTCTAGCACTTTGGGATTTTATGGAAGAGGAGCCGAACTTTTCTCACTAAGCTTGAATGGTGGCAGTGTCTCTCCCAGTTTCCTGTTGGGGGGAGGGAGGGGGGGGGAGGATAACAGAAAATTTCTGTTTAAAGACTACGAGAGTTACATGGCATTTAGCCTAGTCATTAATACCCCAAAAAGAACGGAGATTATGAACAATATTGATCTGATTCTAGTGAACATGGTACATTAAGAAATTCGCTTTATTTTACCTTTGCTATTTAACTTATTTTTACATATTTCTAGATGAGTAGAGGAGTTTTTTTGGACTGAGTTGCTTGGTTGCTTGTTTAGAAGCCAGGTGCATAGCTTCATTTAAATACCAAACATCTTCAACTACCATTTTCTCTTGAACAACAATTGTGTACCATTAAGTAATATTGGCTGCCTTTTGAGAGTCTGTCTCAGATAATTGTCCCAACCAAGAGTTTGGAAAACTCAGCAGCATATTCTTAAATAGTCCATGAACCTACCTGGCCTAAAACTTTGACATTGTTCTTTAATAAGAACCTAGTTGTACCCTGTTGAAAGTAGTTGAACTCAAACAGTGCTTCATTTTTACTATGATATAACTAATCCAAAGTCATTCCTACCTGTGAACCAAATAGACTAATTTTAATGGCAATAAAACCTCAGTTTTGATATTGATTTGTGCTAATTTTGCTAGAGATTTAAGCAAATATATAAAAGCTTTCCAACCCAAAAATGGCCGAGAAATGAAGGTTAAGAGGATTAGCATCGATATTCCAATGTTACACGGCAATATATGGAAAAATTAAAATAACTCAAGGATAAAAACTTGGATCAAAACTCAGCTGTTGACTCATGAACTCACTGTCAACAGATTTAAAACCAAAGCAAAGATCATGAAACACGGGGTTTGAGCCCAACAACTAAGATGTCAAACCTCAAGCTCAAAAGAGTCATCACCAACGAAGAACGAAAAATAGACACGAAAAGTGTTGACAATTTGGTTTTCAAACAGTAAGATATCTCAAAATAACAAACGAACGTCAAGAAAAAAAAAAGGACTAGCCATTTGAAGAATAAATCTTGGTATTGACCAGTTTGAGATTTAAGGCTATAAAAGAACAAGAAATAATCATACAAAATAGTCAAGCCAAGACAACATACCAGTAAAGAGACTGTCAAGTCAAATGGATTTATGAGATAATCATATCTCTTAGGCTCAAACTTTGAATCGTAGCACAATGTGAAGATAGGATCGTCCTCAACACTAATGTTATCATCAAACAAGTTACAATAGATGCCACAAGTTGATATCTTAAGAATCTTCTTTACTTGGCCACCTTTAAATTTCCCATAAGACGACCTGAGAGAAAGTGGAATGTTTAAATCTCAATAATAAATTCATCAAGATAATCACAACAATTTTTTAAGGATCCATGAATACAGATAAAAGAAATTCAGTTCCTCCGGACCAAAAAAGCAGTACCCCAACAAAAACAAGTCATAGTGATAAATTGGCTATAAGACCCAATCGAGTATTTGCACAAACTACAATCAAATAAGTTAAATTTCATCCAAAGAGACAGACGAACCGTTATTCACTCACCCAATGGAATTCTGCTTCCGTGTATCAGTCATTATCGTCAAACTTGAAAATCTTAAACCAAAAATGAACCTCTCCTGGAAAAAAGTAAGGAAAATAACTCGTTGAGGTTAAAGACATCATTTCACAAAGCAATACACTTCAAAAGAAATGCCCAAACATTCATAATGTCATTGTAGTTTTCACACAAGAAAAAAGCAGTCAATACACTTCAAAAGAAATGCCCAAACATTCATAATGTCATTGTAGTTTTCACACAAGAAAAAAGCAGTCAAATATTCACTAACTAAATACAACCATAATGTCATTGTAGTTTTCATAAGATCAACATAGTTTCAATCAGATAGGAAAAGTACAATCACTGATCGAACCCAGAAACCAGTTTACCACCAATAAAAAATCGGTACATTTAATCCATTTCAGCATACCTGCAGCAAAGAAAAATGGCGGAATATATAAAAGGTTACATTGCAAGAAACATTTAATACCACGCATTTCAACAGGGACATCATAGTCACTACTGCTCAGACAGTAAGATCTAGCATCAAAGACAAGTTAAGATTCCTCAAATTTTCTAAGGAAAGTTATGAAACGTAAATATCTACCTTAGACATTACAATTTTATCTCAAAGTGCCTTGATCCAACAACATATGAGTTATTCATCCACAAAGATGAAAAAATAGATGGAGTCTACATCAAATGTAGAGTGCCCAAGTGCATAGTGTTTGTTCCTATCTTGTTCATTGATAGAAAAAAGGTTGGGTTTTGCTGATCACAACATTTGAACTCAGTGATGTAACTGTGGAAAATAATGTATAATCTGGAGTTCTGTTCTTAGTTGGATCGTTTCCTAGTTGTTGGTTTGTGTTACGAGATATAGCGGAAGCAGGAAAGGAAAACTGACTTAGCCCTTCTCAGGGCAGTACGCCAGTATTTATATTAGTGTCTAATAAACCTTTCCAATATTACGGAAGGTCTAATAACAGAAACATGAAAAAGGAAATACATCTAATAATAGGAAAGAAAGGAAAAATGGAAGGAAAGCCTAATATAGCAAAAAGCTTGTTCTGCATAACACTCCCCCTCAAGCTGGTGCATGGATATCATTCATGCCCAACTTGCTCCTTTGTTTGCAGAACTCTATTACAGAAATGCCCTTAGTTAATATATCAGCCAACTGATTTGTAGATGAGACATATTCTGTGCAAAACATTCCTGATTCGAGTTTCTCTTTAATAAAATGTCTACCTACTTCAATGTGTCTGCTCTTGTTATGCTGAACAAGATCATGTGCAATACTTATTGTGGACTGATCGTCACAGAACAAGGTAATCGAACCTTCCATGGGTATTTGTAAGTCATTTAGTATATTTTTTATCCAAATGCCATCACAAATCCTAAGGGCCATAGCCCGAAATTCTGCTTCAACACTTGATTGAGCCACAACTCTTTGTTTTTGGCTTTGCCAAGTGATCAAATTTCCTCCAATGAGATAACAATAGCCAGTAGTAGAGTGCCTATCATCAACTGAACCAACATAATCAACATCGGTATAGATGCCTACTGTAAGAGAATCTCCCCTTTAAAAAAGGATTCCCATGCCAATTGTTCCTTTAAGATAGGCTAGGACTTGTTGAGCAGCTTGATGATGTACCTCCCTAAGGTCATGCATATATTGGCTTAGCACTCCAACTAAGTAAGCAATATCCGGTCTAGTATGGGATAGATAAATTAATTTTCCAACTAGCTGTTGATAAGAGCCCTTATCTACTTGATCACTTTCCTTTGAAGCCCCAATACAATGCTTTGCTTCAATTAGTGTACATGCTGGTTTATAGTTACTCATGCATGTATATTTGACTAAATCTGTAATATATTTTCTTTGAGATAGGAATAAATTTCCACGAGAGTAGGCTACCTCAATTCCCAAGAAGTATTTTAGTTGTCCCAACACTTTGATAACAATCGTCAGTTGTTTTTTAAGAGAAGGGATTTCTTGCATATCATCTCTTATGACAATCATGTCATCGACATATACTAGTAAGATCGTCATTTTTCCTAAACTTGATTGTTTATAAAATAAGGTATGATCTCCATTGGCTTGCTTGAACCCCAAAGCTCTCATTGTTTTGGTTAAGCGGCCAAACCAAACTCTGGTGACTATTTTAAGCCATATAATGCCTTCTTGCGTTTGCATACCTTTAGAATATCATTTAGGTATTTGTATCCTGGTGGAAGCTCCATATATATTTCTTCTGAGATTTCTCCATGTAAGAATGTATTTTTCACATCAAATTGTAATAAGGACCATCCATAGCTAAGGATATTTATATCCAAACTGTTCCCATCTTCACAAATGGAGCAAAGATCTCTTTGTAATCAATACCATAACATTGGGTGAAGCCTTTTGCCACCAGCCGAGCTTTAAAACAATCAACAGTCCCATCAGATTTATATTTAATAGTGTATACCCATCTACAACCCATGGTTTTCTTCCCTTTAAGAAGTAGCACAAGTTTCCAAGTTTGATTCTTCTGTAGAGCTAACATCTCCTCATCCATTGTTTTTTTCTATAGAGGGCTTCTTAAAGCTTCATCAATGTTTTGAGGAGTATCGTGTTTATCAATAGCTGACAAAAATGACATGTACCGTGGAGATAGGGGATGATAAGATACATAATTGCAGGATGGATATACCTTTTTCTTTGTACATTCTCTAATTCCTTTACAGGGAGCAATAGGGCAGATTTCATTTCCTTCATTTCCTTGAGTAATAAGAAGGTTCTATTGATCAATTAGTGAATTGTCACATTCAATAATAGAATCATGTGCATCTGCTGCATTAGGCAGATCCTTTTCATGGGTATCTGCTGCATCAAGTTGTTCATGAGCATGTGCTGAGTTAGGTTGTTCATGGGCATTTGTTGCATCAGGTTGTTCATGAGCATCTGCTGAGTCAAGTTGTTCATGGGCATCTGTTATGTCAGGCAGATCCTGTTCATGGATATCTTTGATTATCTTTGGCTTTCTTTGATAATAACCTCGACCAAGTCGATTTGGTGGAGGTGGAGGTGCTGGAAAATTTATTGATAACATTTCAGGAGCTTCATTCTCCTTGAGAATCTCAATGTGTAAATCATGTTTTTCTGGCACAAGAATATCACACCTAGATACTTGAGTTGTTGTCTGTTGGCAATATATGTTGCTTTCATGAAATGTGACATTAATTGTCACAATAAATTTTTGATGTCTTGGGTCATAAGATTTGTACCCTTTTTGTGTATTAGAATAGCCCAAAAAGATTGCCTTTATGGCTCTAGGGGCAAATTTAGATAGTCCATTTTGAGATTGATGGATGTATGCAACACTCCCAAATAGTCGAAGAGGTAAATCTAGTCCATATTGCACAGTCGGATAATAACCCTACAATAAGGTTTTGGGAGTCTAAAATAATAATGCTTCTGATGGGAGATGATTAACAAGATGAGTGGCCATTAGTACTGCCTCACTCCATAAGTACTTTGACACTTCGACTTTAAACATGACAACCCTTGTTATTTCTAGCAGTTGCCCAATCTTTCTTTTAGCTACCCCATTTTGCTGAGGTGTATAGGGCCAAGAAGATTCATGAACAATGCCCTCCATAGCAAAGAAATTAGAGACAATAGAATTGAAAAAATCTATTGTAAGGTACGACCAAGAAACGACGATGGTGTAGTGACTCTTCAAGGAATCCGCTGGTCTGCTTACGACCAAGAAACCTCACGATTTCAGGTACTACAATGTGAAGTCGTCACCACCACCAAGGTTGGTTGATCTTCCGTCGGCGGTCTTCACGCAAGATCAAAGGGAAGGCTCTGATACCATGTTACGAGATACAGCGAAAGCAGGAAAGGAAAACTAACTTAGCCCCTCTCAAGGCAGTACACTAGTATTTATATTGGCGTCGAATAAACCTTTCCAGTACTACGGAAAGGTCTAATAACAGAAACATGAAAAAGGAAATACATCTAATAGTAGGAAAGAAAGGAAAAATAGATGGAAAGCCTAATATAGCAAAAAGCTTGTTCTGAGTAACAGTTTGTTTCCAATTTTGTCAGTTCCTGGTTGTTAGGCAGTTTCCTTGTATATAACAATCATCTACTTATTCTCCTAGGGTTTGCGCAACTGTTCACGATGGTAACCTATGTTGCCACACACTGCACATCTATAGTGGTATGTTAATTTATTCATTACTTCTCAGCATCCAAATACTTCGCCCTAGCCCAATGTCTACCAAGTGCCTTCCCTCTATCGCCTAGTATGATGTTCGAAGATTCATCTAGTATGATCCACCTTCAAAGAAAACATGTACTTTGCAAATTCATCTGACAGTGCAATTTTTTTTAATACATGGCTTTGTAGGCAGCCTCAAATGACAACTTAAAATTTGGCCACATGTCGTTCTCTTAGCCTTATAGGAATGCCAAGGGTATGAATTTTCTGAAAAAAGTCTACAACCCCAATAATTAGGCTACCCTTGCATCTACACTTTAACCTCAATATCATACTCTTTCAGTTAATGCCAAGGGTACTCAGCAATTGAATCACTCTTAATGAGCATACTTGCCTGGAAACAAAATTGGAAAAATAATGTTGGAGGCCCTGGCAAGAAAAAATAAAGGACCCCATGGACGACACCAATTATGTTTTAGAATGAGCTCATGATAGCAATGGACAATCATAACGCACTTCTATTCATCTTTTTCAAAGTAAGAAAAAAAACATGAAATCATTTTAAGATTCCCTACCTTTCTATTAACAGAGAAGGTTGACTATTACTGTCACATTTTACTAACAAACATATACCATGCATGCAGTATTGTTATGAGTACACCAACGATATTTTTTTTCAAAATAAGTAAACAAAGAAGCACAAGTTTTCATTCGTAACCACCATCTTATCCACCATTGGTCAATCATAACCTAAACATGAAAACAACTAAGTCACATATCGTGGATTTAACATGAAAATTAACCACACAGAGGTACAATATTCAGTATAAACGAGACTGCATACAACTGGAGGAAAATGAAAGAATAATATTTATCAGTGAACATTAACCAATCAAAAAAGAAGAAAAAATGTGAATGAATTTTATACCGGATCAGCATGTGTATCAATATACACAATATGCAGATTCTTTATGGATACTTGGATGTTGTCAAGGATCTGTAAAAGGAGAAAACCAAGGGTTAAGCACTTCTCCTCCACAATTAGATAGCAAAAGAACTGTTGATCCTTAGTCCAATGCATATAATTGTTATAAAAAAATTTCAAACATTATTATTTTCCAAACAGAAAAAAATTAAAAGGCCCAATACAAAGACAAGGAAGAATTAAGTCTCAAGGGATATTCCCAAAGTCGTCGTCTTATATTCATCCTCAGGAGGGGGGATTTTTTCATTCTTGTTTATTTCAATCTTGATGTATTGTTGAGTCTCACTGAACTGTCTGATGCAAATTATAATGCTATACTACCTTAGTTGAAATGGAGTGGCTCACTTACTCTGGATGATCAAGATAGTAATTACTCTAAGTTGTTGTCTCTCAACAAGATGTAGAAACTTCAATTCCACATGAATCCTCTCAAGTACAACCTTCAGAATCCTCTCAAATAGAACCTTAACTTATTTTGTCATTCACCATCAGAAAGAAAACCATAGAACGTACCATACATCCTACCTTCACATGTACCTTTTACACTCACATTTCGTCCATCTATCATTCTTTATGACACCTATTCATCTTCAATCCCCACTTCTCTCGTGCAATGGATGAGAGGATAAAAAAAAGGGAATATGACTTTGGATCTAATAAGGTGTTTACCATCGATTACAGGAAAAGGATTCACTCATAACTCATAAAATAGACAATCATGAAACCATAATGCTTGTGCAAGACCTGACGTAAATAAGAAGCATCATTGAACAGATACTTGGTACTCCTAGATTCTAAACTAGCTTTATGTCAAAAATTGTTTTCTCGCACAGAAGAATATTAACCGTGCAAATTGTATGAACAATGTCTTCCGAGTTATATAACAAACAATAAACAATGTAAGCAAAAGAAAATATTGTACAGGCCTGAAGCAATTCACCCAAGGCCTGTATAAAATTTGTTCATAACACCTATAGCTCATTCTCATTACTAGCAAAGTAATGATGATCATGGCTTGTTTGAGAAGTAGCAAGTCAATCATTTTATGTCCATGGCTTAGAAATGTTAGAGAGCAAGATCCTCCTTTGAAAGCTAACTTGGCAAAGAATTTTTGAAATGGACAAGTCGTTTTCAGTCTGTTGTCAAGATGTACTTAATAACCTGTATACTTTATATGTTTACAGATATGTCCTCCTGTATCTTTCATTTTTCGTGTCTACATCAGGATGTCTAGAACCTTCTAGGGATCTGGTAAAAATACTGGATCCTGCTCTCCTTGTAATAAGTTTTCTTGATCAATAAAGTTTTTGTTCTTCTTCAACGGGTGCTAGGCATCTATCAGAGCTCCAGACCGTGTGTTATCTCGACTACATGGTATCAGACCCGTTCTAAGGTTTAAAACCCTGATTTTTTCAGCACCGTCACAGCTTGACATTGCGTTGTCGACGTTCCCTCCTTCCTCGGCTGGAGTTACTGGTCCCGTACACTTCCAGCAAGGGATCTTCTCCTTTGCCGTGTCTCTTCCAGAGCAAATCCAGGTGTGATCGCTCCATTTTTTGCTTCCGCACTGATCTACTGGTCTGTTACGGTTCTTGCAGCGTTTTTCTTGTCTCTATTGAGATCTGCTAACGAAATTTGATATTTTCGTGAATTTGGACATTTTCTTTAAATGAAGAATGTGGGAGACAATTCTTCATTATTTGTGGGGGATCCAACCTCTCCACAAGCAAGTTAATCTTGGTCCAAGTGGTCCAAGAGGTCCAAGATTAGTTGTACAACTTCTTGCAATGCCTGCAGAGTTCAAATTGACTGGATACAATTTAATTCAGTTGTCAGAATATGTTCAAGAGCTCTTGACTGGAAGAGGGATGTTACATCATCTGATTGAGGGGAAACCGAATCCATTGTCTCATGAATTTCGTAGATGAAGAGAAGAAGATGCATTAATCAAAACCTGGCTTTGGGGTACAATGATTCCCCAAAATTAGCTGAGATGTTTTCTTCCTATCTACAGTCAAAGATTTGTGAAAAACAGTTCACACAAAATTCTCACAAAGAAACAATGAGGCACATTTATATGAACTTGGGACAAAATCTATGTCCACAATTCAAGGAAATAAATCTGTGATGAAACATGCAGGAGAATTGAAAAATTTATGGCAGGAAATCGATTATTATCTCAGTATTGATATAGAAAACCTGCAGAAATTGCCGTCTTACGACATTTTATAGAACGAAGAAAAGTGTTTAAATTTTTGTCTGGACTTAATACTGTTTTTGATCAGGTCAAACAACAGATTTTGAGTCATGAAATACAATCTGATTTGGATGAAGCTATTTCAACCATTTTGAATGAGGAAAGTTGTCGAAAATTAATGTTGTCAGTGCCTGAAATTGACAACACTGCATCTATGATTAAACAAAGAGAAATTATGAAGAAAGTCACAGATCAAACTAAACAGCCTCAGCATGGCCAAGGAAGAAATCAGAAGATTGATTTTCGTGATAATATGTGGTGTACATGTTGCAGAAAAGCCCGTCACACTAGAGATAAATGTTATAAACTGCATGGCAAACCACAAAATTTTGGCACTGAAAAATATAACAGTCAAACAAATTTGGCAGCAGGATTACCAACTAGTCAGCCCTCAGATTCTCAAACCAGTTAACATTCTTCTTCTCTTCAGATTCAGGGTAAAGCGCGACTTCGAATTAAGTTAGAAAAACTGAAGTCGATAGTGACATAGTTCTCATCAATTCAGCCTGATATGTTTCACCACTCTCTTGGAGTTAGAGTCTCTTCTAGAGATATTTCTAATAACTAGGTAGTGGACTCAGGAGCAACAGACCACATGACGAACTCCTCCAGCTTTTTTACCAAATACAACCCATGTCCTAGTGACAGAAAAGTGACTATTACAGATGGATCTTCTAACCGTCGCAGGTATAGGAGACAATAGACTTGAACCTTTTGAGGTCCTTACTAATGTCCTCCATGTCCCCAAATTATTTACAAACCTCATTTCAATTAAGAAACTCGTTAGAGATTCACCTTATCATGTCTTTTTTTATGAAGATGTCTGTGTCATATTTGACGAGGTACATCATCAGAGGGTTGGAATTGCTAGAGAATGTGAAGGCCTTTATCTTCTAGAAGGACTGAGCCAAGCATATCTAGTGGCAGCAGATCAATCTCTAGAACCTCTAGGAGATGTCCTTAAGATACGATTACATCACCAACAGATGGGTCATCCACCTTTAGCATGAAGGCTAAATTAATTTGCTCTCATGAACGCTAAGGATAAATTATTTGGCAACTCAAAAGTTCTCTACAAAGAGATGGGTGCTACACCAAGAATGAAGGCTTCTAGGTTGAAGAATGCACTGATTAGAAACGTGCTTGTCAAGATAGGAGATCAATAGTAGAGCAAGGCATCTATTTAGAGAGTATCTGGAACCTTAGACAAGCAAAAAGCAAGTTTGACCTGAAAAAGAGTATCTGAAGTAAAACACAGAGGATGGCTCAGAGTCAAGTGACCTACTAGGGTTGAATATTCTTCTTCAGAAACTGGGTGTCACGAATAAGCTACACAAAACTGTACTGCAACAGCAAAATATATTTGGCATTGCCAACAACCCTGCGCAGCATAATTTTGCTAAACATAGATTCCTCCTCATCACATCGGAGATAAGCTTGATACATGCAAGTTGTATCGCCAAACCAATGTCGTTCAAAAAATCTTCCTATAGATATCTTCATTAAGGTACTGTCACGAGATTAACCAAACTCTACATTGAGAAAGCTTGACAGGTAGCAACTAAGAGACCAGCAATAGTTATTATCTTAACCCAATAAGTAGGAGCTAACTGTTGTCATTATAATATTTCTAATTTTTTTGTCACTGCTTACGTACACATAGTGGTCTCATTAAGATCCCTGCTTATGTGCACATAGAGGCTGTATATTTATCTCAGAAGCTAGTATTAAGAATTTCTATACAAATGAAAATCTCCGATGCTGATATTCTTTACTTATTCTGTGTAGAACCCTTTTCTTCTGTTTCCCTTCTTTATCACAGATGAAAGAATCTTCAGATAGAAAAGATTATCCAAAACATAAGAATTCATTTGGCACTATGTGATCCCAAACCATTCAAAGATGATAGATGCAGAAAAAAAAATTATGAGAAAGTGTAACGAGATTAACAATTTACCTTAGCAAAAAAAGACTGGCCAACTTGATTGCCTACAAGGAAAACAACAAGAATAAGAATAGGGTTCACACTGAGTTACCAAAGTAAAAACATTCTTTCGAATATAACTTAAACAAGAACGAAAATGCTGTTCTAATTTACGAATACCAATAACAACCTTGTACAATCTTGGACTTCTTAAAAAATAAAAGGGAAAAAAAGTGTTAAAATAGAAACACCTCGTCAAAGGTGCACATCTCCAACAATCATTAAAGGAACGAGTGGCATGAAATGACAAGGAAAAATTGTAGAAGATTGAGGTGGCCAGGAAAGAGAAAACACAGTTCTTGATCCCCACATAAAGAAATAATGAAAAGAAGAGATTCATAAATAAGATCATTCTCAAACACGCAAAGGTATCTCAAATATCAATGCACATTGCAGGTCCTTTATAGGATATATGAAAAGAAATTCCTGTACAATTACTCAGACTCCACCTTTCCATTTGCAGCAAACACGTTAAATTGCAGCTGATTCAAGGAATTGAAAAATGACCAGTGTCCAGATAAAACAAATGGAACTTTCTAAATGTACCTGTACGGAAAAACAGCTGGAATCAACGGGAACAAGCAGAAAGTAGATCTGAACAGTTTTATTCAAACTTAAAACCAAAATACAGACAACATCAGACAGTTCCCACACTGTCGAAGAACTAGAACCGCAGCAGACCAGCAGCAATGCAGGAAACAAATTTATAGTTCCTCGAGCTGATGCTGAGTTTCGATTTTTCAGGGTACATGGTTTACTTCTGCCCTTGGAAACCAACTTTAGCTTCTCTCTCACCCAAGCGCCTGTGGCATTCTTCTTCAAGTATTCCTATATTCATTAACGAAACCGCTACCGGATTCTATTTATTAAGAAATTGAAATGGAATCTGTTACCTGAATGCAAATTTGGACAACAAAATTCAGATTTTAACTAGAGTCCTGTGTCCTGAACCAAAAAAGAGATTCTTTCAGAAGTATGTAGCTGGATAACAGCCCCTTTCCAACTTGTGTAGTGATGACGAAAAACTTAGCTCAGAAGGCAAAAATAAAAATCCTTTGAAAAATACCCTCAGTATGAAAAAAAAACTATAAAATTGGGTTATACTAATCTCAAATGTGAAAAATATAAAGCTGTTGGCAAGCAACTGCTCAAATGACTACAAATGCTGACACCAACATAATTTGAAGAAGTATATAAACTTGTGACAGAAAACATCAAATCAGATACAAAGTCAATTGCTTCGAATATGAAATACGAAAACGCTATGAAATTATCAAAGTTGGCAAGGTCATTCTGACGGCCAGGTACAAAAAAGGCAATGTTTTCTCGGCAAACTTACCATAGACACGCTTAGAAAACTTGGCTAATTCAGCAGCATTGAGCTTTGCCATTTTCCCAGCTAATTCTCGCTTCTCCACAGAAGCCAAACTCCACTATTTAAGAAAGGGAAAGAATTACAGACAGAAAATGAATGAAAAAAAATCCTCAAATGGATAAAAAAACCAATATTCTCCAGTTGGCTCATTAAAACAGTTCCAACTATTTGTAAAAGCTATAGAGATTGGGCATACATCATGGCTACCACGTGAACAAGCACAAAAGAAGACGTCCTCCAACACAATGACAATAGGATCCCAGCCAAGTTTTTTCCAAGGGATTCTGATGCTTAGTTTCCCGATTTTTCCTGACAAAGAAACCAAATGCAATGAATAAGAAACAATGAGTTTTGGAAACATGAAACAAAGGAATTTCCAGAAAGAAAACAATCAACTATAAGTAGCAAAAAGATGATGGGTAGATGGTGGGAAGGTACTTTGTCTTTGAAAGTTGTGACCTGTGAGATCAGTCTGTGTTGCGAATTTTTCATAGGAAGCATCTAGAAGATACTTTGTTCAGGAATGACAATTAGCTCCGAAGGATTCTTGATATTTTATAGGCGAACAGCATAACTTAGTTTCAAAGGGCTGAAATGTACGAGCCAATTTTCCATACTATGTTGGCTATCTTTCTCACATGTACCAATATGGAAGGATCTTACAGCTGGTGATGATGGCAAAACAACATACATTAATAGTGGATGAATGCACAAGAAATATGAAAAAAGAAGCAGCCATAAATGTCTTCATGAAGCTATTCATGGCTATCATATATCTCTCCTGACATATGTTGGTGATGGTTGGGCTGGATATCATAAATGAATAACTATCAATGGAGTTTCAACATCGATAATCAACTAAAGTACGCAGGTTCTTGTATACAGAAGTTCAGTAAATCAAGTATAGACTGGAAATGCCATCGAATGCATTAATTAAAATCCAATAATCGAGTATACCAGAAGATCCATGTGTGCGATGATTATGTAAATCATTTCATAATGTGAAACTTACACCTTGAAATTAAAAATGTGAAACATAGAACTACTGAAAAAATGAAGACCTGCAAGGAATATTTGTTCGAAAGATCTAAAGACTCAAGTTTCAATCAGTAAGATGTCACAATGCAAATGAGTATCTGCAGCAAGCTCCATGTCTCAGTGACTTAGGATCACCCAAACAAGAAGAGATAGAGATAAAGCTTGATCATTCTTTCAGGTGAAGCTGCAAGAGGCAGCTGTTAATAAATAAAGCCAGAGGATAAAAATAACGGTAAAAAAGATGCCACCAACAGTATCTAAGAAACATGGTCAGATAGGAGGAAAAAGAGGGGAAAGAAAAAAGGTAGTTGAAGTGGGATGGCGTAGTAGAAGTACAGGAAGGGGCGAAATTGGACCTTAAATCTAAAAAAATGATATCTATAAGCCTTGAATTCATAAGAATTAAGACATAGAACCTCACTGCTCAAGAGAAAGATACAACAAAAAAATATATTACAAAGGAAAACGTCATCTATCATACAGTGGGCTTCTATAAATAGGCCAGAAGTAGTAAAAGAACACGTAAATAGTAGAATATATTAACAGTATCTATTTCTTCTACATAAAATTAAATGATTACTAAACATAGTTGACCTCCTATCAAAGGAAACGCAGATTAAACCTCCAATTAGGAAAAAGAAGTTTTTGGTCTAATGGGCTACCTAAACGAGCCCATTTGAGCCTTCCACGTTTCTACTATTTCGATCCTTTTGAGATGCACCACGTTGTTGTAATCTTGTTTTGCAGCATGGGAGGAGGGGAGTGAAGATTTGGGAGTCTAGCCACCACAGTTGCTCCCGATTAGAGGCACTTTGCAACATAGATCTTCAATAAAACAGAAAATTGCACATTTTTGCCAAACATCAAATATTTTTGGGTTCTCAAACAAAAAAAAACTTCGAATACTCTTATATTAGACATTATCTTTGAACTTGAAATATATCAGCTGTATAGTACAGCGCCCTAGTTAAAAAGAAGAGCATTGAACTTTGTAAGAAACAAAATGAATAACAGGTCAAATTAGTAAACCCACATAGAGAATTAAGATGGACAGGACAAGCATGTATCCAGTATTCATGTTTAATAAATTAAAACCAGCAATAAAATTTTAAAGTCATGATGGATATCATACCTTGCTTTAATGCAAACGGCAACTGGAGATAGTCAAAAGCCTCAAGAATGAGTTCAACATTATCCAATAATACTTCTTCTGCATGAAACAGGAGCACAAAATTCGAGGGTCAATAGACATTACGAAAAGATGTACATTACTCAAAAAATGATACTGGATCTAAATTTTTCAAGAATGTTCAAAAAACAACTAATATCCGGATCCAGGGTCAGTATAAATTACTAAAAAAACCTTCATTTTCTAGAATAAAGTCGTCCACAACATTGGCAATCAAAGATACTGGATCTAAATGCTAATATCCGCTAACACAACAAAAATACTCTACGCATAGTTCCATCCATAATTCATATTCAAACGTATTCAGCATCATTAAGATACTGTTCTATACTCTTCCAATCAAGGTTTGCGACTTAGACCAACTCCACATCCTGGAGAGCTGTTTCACTCTTCCAATAGTCACATCTCAAAGCATTTGGAAGGAAATCGACTGTTTCAGGAGGTTATTTCCTAAAAAGAGGGAATGTAATTTCCCTCGAGTAAACAAATCGTATACACATCCAGCACGTGGGAACACACACACAAACACACACGACTTTCTTGAGGAAAACTATATCTAGAAAATGTGGCGCTGCATGAGTAAATGTTGCATTGAGTGGGAAAGGACTGATGCAAATTAGAAGACCATATTAGAATCTGTAGATATTGGCAAAAGAGTGGAAACCACCTAATATGCGCACTTCCTATTTCTGGAAATCAATAGCACCTGCAAATAGTTTGCAGTTATTTCCCTCATTTAATAACAATGAGATGACCATGAAGCCCGGGTCAGTATGGTTAAGAACACATACTATCAAAATGTACACACAGAACTTAAGAATAATGCGAAAACAGTACCTCCCCAGAAGTAGTCAACTTTTCTGATCCGAAAAAAAAATAGCAAAAATCAAACAAACGTGCATCGGACACACTGACCCAGAAGTCTCCAGATACAACCGTACCACGGTATTTTTCTTAGATTTATCTGATTCGAAAAATTGGATGAGTAATAAAGATGAGAAAACTTCAAAAGGATGATGTCTCGTAACTGCATCAATGTAGGGGAGAGGGATGACTAGAAGACTCACAGGGAACCAGGAATAATTAAGTCTTATTGTGAAGGAAATTAAGTTATCACAGTGATGATCATGATGGGAAGAAGAAGATGAATGAGATATCGCTTACGGTAAACAGGAGGTTCAATAGAAGAATATGAACAAACGAAGGAGGGGCTACGGGTAGCAGAAGAAGAATGAGAGATGTTTCCGGTCAGCAGGATATTCAATAGAAGAATTTGAACACACGAGAGAGGGGTCACGGGTACCATACCATTCCATATGCCAATCTTGAGCTGATCCTTCTGAATACCCTTGACGTACCGACCAAGATACCCAGCCAGAACCTGGCTGACAAACCCCTCAAACATGGCCTCTTCCACGGAGATGAAGCCAATGAAATGAGGAAACCTCAGGGGTGACAGAAGTCAGCCATGACTATCGCCGGAAGTACCATAGCCATGGCAGAGAATAAATTCCTAGCCAACGCCATGCCCGGAAAAGGGAGCGAAGAAGAGTAACATATAGAAGAACCAATAAAAGGAAGCGCAAGGCGGTCTGAGACCTCCTGGTTCAACAAAGTGCGTAACCCGCAGTGTCCAACAGAACCAGAGGTCGACGCATCATGCAGCCTCTAGCACCGAAGGGAAAGCAAGACAAAGGAGGCGTCAATCCTCGGGGATGGCACTACCTCCCCATGGGACCATCCTTAACTGGAGTGTCAGCCCAAACCGGGAATGGGGCGGGGAGGAAAGGGAGCAACGTCCACCTGGAGCAGGGAGACAAGGAAGAAGAAACAGCGGGAGACAGGGAGAGAGGGATACGAGGAGGCCGAAGAAGGCGGTCCAGGACCTTTCATTAAATTACGTTCGTGCCCCCCTTATTGGGCCGGTCCAGTTGTTAGCGGGAATTGAAGTTTTACCCTTTGTGAATATTTAAATGAATTAAAACCCTCGAATATTTGGCCAATTCCACATCAACCCCAAACCCAGTTTAGTCTTTTGAAGTCGTCTCTGTCGCAATCTTGGTTATTTGAACTAATTGAGCATATATTATTATTATTTGCGTAATGTATCTTAATGAAGGGCTTTTCTTTAATCCTACCTGTCGGGTCTGCTCCAACAGCCCTCATGCTTGCATGTGGCATCCGGTTTTTATGTATAATAGTACTTATTTTAGGGTATTTAGTACCGAACTCCTCCCAAACAGATCAATTAGCAAAAAAACCCCTCTTCTTCTAAAATCATCATACTCGGCTTCAAGTTAGCCCTTCGTTCTACTCTACTAAAATATCGACGGATGGCCCTTTCTCTCTCCACCTCCCGTTGTGAGAGGAGGTGGGGCCCACTGGTGGAGCTGACGGAGGAAGAGAGGAAGAAAATATTTTTTATATAAAGTAAGTGCTAAATATACTCGATTTATCAAATCGAGGAATAAAAGCTGGGCATGATAATTAAAAATAATAAAGTGGGTATAATTATAATATAGCGAATTTAGGAGGAGTAAAAATCAAATAACCTTATCTTTTTTTTATTTCACAAGCAGTCGACCGTTGAATAGAGAGGCCAGAAGACGGTCACGGGAGCCGATCAGGCTCGGGGGGCTTGAACTTGCGATCTTCCCCCCCCCGGGCATGAGCAAAACTGGGAGGGATCGAAGACGACGGCGTAGGATCGGTCAGAAGACGGCGTGCCAGACTGCGCCGTCGTCCTCCCGGCAGCGCTGGTGGACCTCCTCCATCCTCTCGATCGACCTGCAGACTCCGCTGCAGCTCCAGTCGAAGGACGCGCCACAAGGGTTCCCCGCCTGGGCCTTCCACTCGCAGTCTGCCATGGACGAAGCTCAAACAAATAAGGGACCAGAGATGGAACAGAGCAGCATGCAGGAACGATACAGGCTGCCCACATAGCTCTGCTTCCAGTTTATATTAAGCGCGTAGATGAGCTGGTCAAACCCGGAAGAGGGGACAGGCTACGATGGCCCTGGCCCATTGATGCCCCTGGTTGAGTATGGAGCCATAGAAACATGTTCCCACTGAACACAGCGAACAGGGTTTCAAAGAAAGTCAGACCTGGTGGGGTTCCACAGCAGAGGCTCCGATCATCAATGTGCTCGACGTCTAGGCCGATGAACCATGAACCCAGAGAGACATCTTCATTTGCGTATCTATGAAGAATGTGTCTGAAACGAAGAGGGGAAGATGACCAAGAGCCACAACAAGAGCAAAAGTCTTCATACATAGCATATCGCCGCAGCAGCCATTACCTGTTCACTGAGATGTATGTGGCCAGGTCCTTGGAAATGGCATAGAGCTGCCCAGTGGCGTGCCTGAAGTACTTGTTTCCTGCCTCTCCAAACTTCCAGTACTCGGGTTCATGGTACTTGACTCCTCTGTAGAAGAGAGAACAGATAACTATCTCAGAAACTCAGAAAAGGTGTGAATCGGGTAGAAGAACGCATAGATTTGAAGGTGGGTCTTACTGCTGTGCTAGAACAGGGCCTGACTTCATACAACCGATGTAAACCCGTGGCTTTGACCTGTGGCGGGCCAGTGCAGAGCTAATCACACCTGTTAAAAGAGTCGGTCAAGGCATCTTCTAGAAAGTCAAATCTAAAAGGTCAGCTGGATAGCTAGCAACTAACCGGGATTGACATGGACGTCATCATCAACTTTTACATAGAAATCAGCATCCCATTTTTCAACAGCTGTTGAAAAATATGTTTGGGTCTTGGTTGACAGCTCATGGTACCCTTCAACATGGTTCTGCACAGAATGAACCCAGCATTGTCTCATGAAGATTGTGGTGGAATCCCAGAACAGAAAATTGCAGGCCCTGCGGCGTACCAATCTTAGGAAATCATGATACTGTTCTTCTTCGGCATCAATAGCACGATCAAGGACACCCCTGGGGGTTGAACTGCAGAGCGAAAGCAAGTGCGACATTAAGATTCAATCAAGTAATATAATGAAGTACCGATCGAAAATGCAAGAAATGAAGAAGATATTACCTGTGCCCAATAACAAATCGCATGATAATTCCTTTCTCAACCTCCAGTTTCCACAAAGCTTCCCCTGGAAATAATCTATATATCAGAGATACAAAATGAAAGGAAAATAGTACCCGATGACACTTTGAAGATGAATAAAAAGGCATATGCACCTTGAGGCATCCAGGTTTGCCTGATTGAATCCCTCCTTCTTCTGCTGCTGAATGCTGTAATGATTCCCATTACAAAAAAAGCTTTGTCACGCTGCTTGGGCTTGTTGGTTCCTTGCTTCACTGACGTTGGAGATTGGTTCCAGCTACTCCCCTGAGCAGCTCTAGCTGATGCTAGTTGCATTTCTAGCGTAGAGATTGTTCTATCCAAGCTCCTATATAACCAACCACGTATGCACGATTATACATTGCAAAAGGGTTTCATAAGAATCCAACAAAGAAAATGAAAAGAAATCTCGAATAATTTGAAGGGAAACACCAATTTAAAATTTAAAAAAAAAAAGTGAAGTAAAGCAGCAAAAATGAAGGAATACAAGAGCTTACATGATTACGTCATGAGTGTGTGAAACCTGAGTAAGGATATCAAAGGTATCCTGAAACACAAAGTGAAATGGGCTCTGATGCGTGTAAACACTGGGGGTACTAGGCATCAAACGTCGGAAGCATGCGGAGACTAACCTTGTCTTCACAGTTAATATCTGGTTGAAGGGCTTTCTTGACCTTCTGGGAACCTAATGTCTCACCATCTGCTACAGTCGTCTCAGGAACAAACAGTATCCTGTGAGATGGGGGCAAGTTGAGAAGGAACTTAGAAACCAGGACAAAAAAATTATAGCAATACGAAACGTGGCTGTTTCTCTAAATTTGGCTATTGGAAATTCTTCATCCCTTGGTTACGCCTGTTGAACCCAAAATAGCAGAGACTTGAGTGGATGCATGTGCAGCCGCAATATAGCAACATATGAAAAGAGAAGCGAAGAAGAAAAGGAAAAACTGAAAAAAAAAAAAAAAAAAAAGGCAGATCAACGCAGAAAGTACTGTAGGAGATGATACTGACGCCAAATAAAACAACAGAAAACAGAGAGGAAATCATTTAGAATAATAAAAGGCTGATGATAACAATGACTATTTGGCATGAAGATTGCTCAGCTGATAGAGTTTGAGGAGAAAGATAGGGAAATTTCATAACGAGGAAGTGGGTGACACAAAATGAAAACTATTGCTCTTGTATGGGCGGTTTCTATGCCACTTTCTCTCCAGGATATAACATGATTATCATCTGTATCTAGCCAATATCAACGATCATCTCTTGATTCTATCCATTATCATCGTCACAGACATGTATGCCAAAAACCTCTCTCACTGTGTGAATTCAAAGCTGAATGCATCTCTCCCACTAGAGCCAAAGGGCATAAATCCCCAAGAATGTTGCTAATGAGCCCACATCACAGTTACTGGGCATTTAAATACCCATTATTTCCAAATATGATGTACATCCACATCTTCCTTTTTCAAACTTAATCCATTTTGGCACCGCCCAATTTCTAAAATATCTCCAAATCATAAAAAACAGACCATAAGATATCAATCACTGACCAGGACTATCAAGTAGCGAATGTCAAGAAGGGAATGATTCAGATTTGAACAAGGATCCAAGATGGTAAAATGATGGCAACAAAGTCCCTATGAAAATGGTTAGGAGACCTGACAAAGAAGGCATCAAGCCCCTTCACCCAACCTTGATGACTGCATCATCACACATCTAATCTTCTCTATCTCGAAGAAACTCACTTCTAGATGTAACAAGTCGCCTGCCTATTTCCCTATTGATACCCCATATCGATTAGTCAAGTTCACCACGATGATCACCCAGAAACCTACCAGTGGTAATCACATAACGATATGGGGTAGAAATAGGGAGAGAAGGACATAGATCAGAAGAGTCATTCACATACAACTCGTCGGATGTGTGGGCGTAAGAGGAAGATAATGCTAGGGTGAAAACTACAGGAAACGAGGAGCAATGTACCGGAAAGTTGTACCAGCGTATCTCCACCACATCGGAGTACACTTCCGATTGGAAAGACCACACCCCAGTCCCTTCCATGCATGAAAAACGGCGGTTGCTTTCGACCAACAACAAGAGGAGGCAAGCGGCAAACCTGTTGACGATGAACGCGCCGAAGCAGAAGCAGGAGATGCAGAGAAGGCACACCCATCTGGTGGAGACTCCCCCACCCCCCGCCCCTCCTCCGCCCTTCTGGTGCCGACCACCCAACATCGACCCCATCCAAAATGACGCGTTCTTGGCCCCTCAGACTCCCCGTATCCTCAACCTTTCCCCCAGAAACAGTGTCCACGACCTCCGCATCGACATAAGGGGACAACGCCAATGACCTCCTGTCCCTCCCTCCCTCCACTGTAGCCGGACCCTGGGATCAGAGGAGCTGTGGCAGAAGCAACAGCCGCAGCATTCAGCAGCAACCAAGCACGCGCAAGCTCCGTGAGGACACCATTACTGGCCAACCAATACTGCAGCCCGTACAGAGGCCGCCCCCACGCGCCTGCTCTGCCTTCCATGTCTCGACGACTGTAATTTATTTCGAAAACCAACCAGCTCTTGGACCCAGTATAAAAATATAATTTTTACCCTTCTTAGTAGTATCTTCTCATTATCAAAGTATAAATGCTCCAAAAATCAACATTTTTTGCTAATCACGAGCAAATTACATGTAAAAAAATAATTTCAGACAAGGAAATATATATATATTATGGAACGATATAGAAATATTATATTTATCATATTTTACGAATTTATCACATTTTCATGCAATTATAATGATTTCTCATTTAAGGAGCACTTCTGGCCCAGTACGAGGTGAGAATCGGTTGGACCGATCAGACGTGGCGGACCCACCGACCCGTGAAATTTTGAATTCTTCCGCGCTTTACTTCGAAATATGGTCCACCATCACAAGGGCCTCGCCATTTTTTATTTTGGACACATTAATACTAATATTTGTATATGTGTCCTTTCAGGTTTTGTCGTTGTACCCTTTACAGTTTTGGTCGTAACTGATTGCGACTTTCGTGAACGTTTAGATGATGAAGAAGTTGGGCCTTTAGTGGGCCGGACTGAGAAACAGTTAACGGACGGGATGGTATGGCAGCATGTCCGTTTCGAGGAATGGCTTTGAAGAATGGCTTCCGGGAATGTAGGGATAATGTCTGGATTGAACGTGAAAGGTAGTGTTTGGGTGAGAATAGCTTCCTGGAATGTTTTCTATTGGCTGAAATTGTTCTCCTCCCTTATCCTCCTGTCGTTGACGACGGGAGCAAGCAGCACCAGTTGGCAGTCGAAGTCAAGCCATGGCGTCTTCTAGCTTCGCCCCATTTCCTGCGTCCACCAAGCTCGCCGTGCCACGCAAGACCAGCCTTCTTGCTTCTCCATGCTCCACTCTCTTCGCTTCCCCATCGTCGCCTGGACATTGTTGCGTGTCCGTCTCCACCTCCCCGTTTCTTCTGTTCAGTGTCGTCCTCGGGTCGCGGCGCTGGAGCGCGTCGAGGATTCAATCCGTAGCAGAAGTTGATGCAGCTGCCGCTTCGGCGGAGCGGGATGTCGGAGGAGGGGCTACCGAAGGTGTGGACGAAAAGAAGCCAGCCGGAGGGAAAGCTAGATTGCGGCCGTTTGAGCTCTACGTGTGTAACCTGCCCAGGAGCACAGACATCTCCGACCTTCTAGATGTCTTCTCTCCCTACGGCACCGTCCAATCCGTGGAGGTAAGGTCTCACATTCTCCGGAGCTTCCGATGCGCGTAATTTCTTCTCAGAAGCAGGAGGCTCCAATTGCGTACTCATCTCCACAATTTTTCAATCGGTTTCGTGATACAGTTGAAATTTCACGCTCTATCTATAGAAGATCGGTTCCCGAGTTTCTAGGAAACTATATGTTCAGATATCTCTTTTTGGCATTCTTGCATTCGTGAAGAATTTTTTTCTGGTTGAGTGGAAAACTAAAGTATGCCCTTGGGTGCTCTATTTCGTTCACTATCGTGATAAAATTGATGATCCTCTCACCCGGGATGCTTCTAGAGAGGATATTGCAGTTCTTGGTGGTTTGAAATTTCCTCATATTGACTAGATATGTGTCAAAAATTGAACCTGATTTCGTTTTCCTTGATAAAATGTCGGATCAAACGACCAACTCGTCAAAATCATCCAATTTATTAATCTGAAAGAAGGTCAAACAAGATTATAGGACGCAGGCTTTTCTTCCTGACAATTAATTGGCTCCAAGACAGTCAAAATATCCCAAACAAAAAAAATCAATAAAACAAGAATCCCTCAGGCTGTCCAATTGATGCGGTGCTTTGAACAAGAGTGAGTTGCCTGGTTAAATCTAGAGGGGCTTCGATGTATTTTCTATCTTGGTTTATCATTTTTTTATTTTTAAAAGAATTACATGGTGTTGAAGAAAATAGAAAATTATGAGGTTCGTAAATTAATTAATGAGCTGACTTTGAAAAATATAAAAGGATGTGCTACCCAGGATCGATAAGAACGATTGGGCAGTGCCACTATCTTTCATCGTCAAGGGAATCCCACAACATCACAGTTGAACACCTACGTAGTTCTCTGTTGGGCTACAAAAATGACCCACTAAGGACCCCGGGGCGGTTGATTATGAAGGTTCGTTCCTTCGTAGAGTACCTCAGTTTTTGGATGAAGAATTTTACTATAGTCCAGTTGAACCATAACTCTAACGCTTTCATCCTTCCTCTGTAAATACTGACTTGGCTGATTCGACTGCAAACGAGTTGAGCTAGATCTTGGGCTGAATTATCATGTGAGCATCAAGCCACCAATTGTGCGATATTGTTGGATGAACTAGCATGTCTCTGCGAATTCTTCTGTTAAATTTTCTTCCTGATCGATGCTTACTTATTCTCGGAATGCGTGTGTAGGTTTCAAGGAACCCTGAAACTGGTGTTAGCAGAGGCTGTGGCTTTGTTACTATGAGTTCCATTCTTGAGGCTACAGAAGCTGTGACTGCCTTGGATGGATCCGTAAGTCAAATGCCCATCTCTTGTTGTGTATATATTTGTGTGTGTGTGTGTGTTCATGCATGCATATAGATAGAGTGTGCGTGCGTGTGTGTGTGTGTGTGAGTGTGCGTTTTAATACTTTCTCTCGTTTTGCTTTCTTCAAGGAATTAGGAGGGCGAGAACTACGTGTCAGATTTTCAGCTGAAATGGCATCTGGGAGAAAAAATACGACAAATTTAAATACGGACACCAGGAAGGTCATCTTCTATGAAGGCCCGCATAAGATCTATGTTGGCAATCTCCCATGGTCTGTGCAACCTGCAGACTTGAGACAACATTTTAGCCAGTTTGGAATGGTGGTCAGCATCAAACTGTTCCGTGATAGGAAGTCTGGAAAGAGGCGTATGTACGGGTTTCTCTCATTCTCCAGCATTGAAGAACTCCAAGCTGCAGTGTCATCAAGTGGAACGGTAGCTCATTCGTTCTTGGGTTCTACTCCCACACACTCGGAGTTATATTTATTTATAAATAATGCTAGACTCGCAGGCTATGTTTTATCTACGTTTTATAGTTTTGTTGATAAAATGGCGCATCTTTTTTACTGCTTTTGGTAATGCAGGATTTTTGTGGGCGGCCGCTGTTGGTGAGAGAGGTTAATGCTAGGAACCAGGAATAACCTCTTCTGAAGATACGTTGCCAACTTTCATCGACAGCATAAGACCAATCTTTTGCCGAATTTTCCCTATGGTTGAACTATTCATCACCCACCTCAGTCGAGTCCTCGTGGCAGTTCCCAATTGGGTCAACCACGATTGTTGGTTCCCTATGTTAAGGTTTATGCCATTTTCATTTTTTGATTTTCTCAGGGTTTTTTCTCATCATCCAATCATTTATAACAGAAGAAACTCCACATGGCACGTCTTGTTTATTCGTTTGATACCAGGAAATTATAATTTTTGGCTGGTTTTTTATTTAATCCAATGGCGAATTTTCCCTGTTACTTTAAATCTCTGCAGAATATTCTTATCATTAGACGAAATATATGGAGCCAGAAGTGAGCAAATCACCACGTTGAATAAGTGTCAAAGATCTACAAGGGGGAAATGTTTCGAAGATTCTGATCGATTATTGCCCCCCCCCCCAAGAAATATTCGAAGCAACCCCGCGGTCAGCACGTCATCAGAGGTAATGAATGTATGTGTGGGTTAGGCTGATGGAGAAACTAAAAGAGCAACTCGGCGCTTCATCTCAATCGATCAAGCTTTTCTGCAACTTCAGTTGCCCGCTCTCTCTGCAACTTCCAATAGCACCAGAAGACCGCGAAAGTCAGCTAACTTTCTGTTGTCGGTGGTTAACTCCTTCGATTACGGTCGTCTGTCCAGGAGGAACACAGCTGGTTCAGACCTCGCGGCGTACCCCAACCTGAAGGTGCTGTACTTCCTATGGACCCCCGTCAACTTCCCCGCCCCAGCCTTCTGGTGGAAGTCCACCATCATCCTGGAGCACTCCCTGCAAACCCCATAAAGCTTCTTCAATCAGAGATCCACTAAAGCTAGAAGAAGAAGAAGAAAAAGAAGAAGAAGAAGGGGGCCTCACAGGAGCTGGTCTTCGGAGTAGCCGGTGTGGAGCTCGGAGGTCCTGGTCCAGGTACTGAACCGCCGGAGGGAGCACTGGGCGGTGTAGATCGCGGCGGCGGCGAGCAACGAAGGCGGGAACTTGAGCATCTCGTACTCCACCAGGCACAGCTCAATGATGTAAAAGGAATGGACCTCCAGCTGCCGGAGCACCGATCATCCCCTTCAGAACCCAGATGGAGGAATGGAAGAACAGAGGAAGGAGGATGAAGACGACGACGATGAACATACCTCTCTGTCGGACTCTGCCGCCTTCAGGAACCTCCTCATGAAGACGTAAGTCGTGGGCACGGACATATTGAACTGAAGAGTGTTCACCATCAATCTCTCCTGCGCGGAAGGAAAGGAGAAAATTAGGGTTCTTGATGACCGCTGGACTAGGCGGGCGGATCAGACATGGCGGGCAGACTACCATCTCCAAAATCTCCGATCTCGTGTAAGCTCGGTCACAGATTATGACCAGATCCTCCACGACTGGGACGGAAACCTCCTCGTACTTGCAGGCCAGGAGCATGGCGGTGACCCCCACCAGCTGGAGCTTCTTCCTGACCACCGACTGGCGAGCCAGGAATCTGTCGATGATGTTCACGGTCAAGAACAGGGTCTCGTCCAGCAGGTCAAACTTGTGGTGCACCTGCGAGTGATTCTCGTTCATGCATCTGAAAGAGGGCTTTGACTTCCAGAGGAGAAGAGCATCGCAGTACCTCTATCAGCCAGTCGATCAAGATGGCCCTCATCTTCTCGTTGATGTCGAACTGGTTGACCATATAATTAGGGCAGACGCAGCCGGAGGCCTGCAAATCACGAAGAACTCAGCAAATAGGTACTATTCTGATTGCTTTCAAACCCTAATCTCTTGGGCAAACGGGATCATGCAGCAAACGTACTCTCCTAGACTACCATTGATGGATAAGAAATGCTTTCTTATTCACCTCTGATTCCCGGTAGAAGCTGTAGATTTCGTGGACGTAGTCGACGACTGCAAGTGGGTTACCGGCGTCGCCACAGTCGATGTCCGGGACGGGCGGCTCCGCCGCGATGTCCTCCATCTCGACTTCCTTGAGCTCTGCATCAGCCTGCGGCAGCTTCTGCAAGAAGAAATAAATCCCCCCCACTACTCGTAACTCTCACAGAACTTCGGAGGATCGGAAGCACCCTCGGCCGAGCGACAGACCTGTTCTTCCATTTCCTCGACCATCGGCAATGCCAGGTCGGCTTCCGACCCGCAGTCGTCCACGTAAATAGCAATGGAGTTTTCCATGACAGCTGAAGGAGGAGGAAGCATCCTGTCGGGCCCCTCGTTTCCCATTCTGGGCTCCTGAGGAGCGAGACGATCGTTAAAAAACCGCGATGGAGAGAGAGGATTCATCCGACGCGGGGGGTAGAGAAGAACTGAAGTACCAGAGAGGAAGCCGCCTGTGATTTCAGTGTAGCGGCGAACTTCCTGGAGAAGAAAGAGAGTGGTCAATGGCTACTCCTGACGGAGAACACGGAGGTTTATATACCAGGTTTCGGTTTGTCTCTGACCTCGTGATGGGTCGACGGGATGTGTTTATGTTCTTGTGATCAACCAGGGATACGTTCCCTCTGGAAGAAAACGAGGAAGATCGAGTTGATGAGCCAGATCGGAGAAGAAGATCAATGGAAAGGAGCACCAGGTACTCACTCTTGAAGGCCCCTCTTGCTGACGGCGCGGGGAAAGGGCGGGGCGCCCATGAGATTCCTGATGTCCCTCAATGCTCGGCGATTGTTCATCGCCTCGGAGCCGAATTTCCCGGCCTCCACTCTGCGATCTGCGTCGAAGTCAGCGTTCATGAGAACCAGAAGAGTCAGCGGCCGGCGCCCCTCTCGGATTGCAAGGGTTGACAAGATAGAATGAAGATTTTCTCACCTCGGACAGTGGCGGTCTGCTCCGCTCCCCGGCTGTTCTCGTCGTAGATCTCCATCTCTGCCTCCCTGCGACGAAAAGGGATCAGGCAAAGATCCACTTCCAAAGACCGGAATCTCTCTCCGGGGATCCTCAGAAGATCAATGCTATTATGATAAAATCGACGAGTGATAGAAGGGGAGAAGAAGGAACGAAGACGGTGACGATCGAGACAGAGCGGACAACCAAGATCGGGAAAGAAACCGATAAGGAATCGATTGAAGACCTGCGGAAACCCACCCCCTGCCAAGAACAATCCCTACGCGTCGTCCCCGATCTCCAGCCTTCGCCGACGAGGTCGGCGGGCAGCTACCACAGAAGCACCGTCTTGCCGGGCTGTGAGAAGGCCATCTCTCTCTCCCTCTCTCTCTCTCTCTCTCTCTCTTGTTCTCCTTCTTCAGCGGAGAGGGGAAGGGGAGAGAGGACGGGACGGGGGAGAAAAAGGAACGAAATCCAAGAGAATTTTGGAGGAGAGGGAAGACGGCAAATAACGGATACATTGCCTGCAGACAGCCCCTCTTTAAAACCAACGGCTAGTGAGCGCTAGCCGTTGGATTCGAGCTGGAAAGGCACCACTCGTCGCCCCCCCTACCCCGGCCCCCACCCCCCCAACGGTCGTCTGACCATGTGCTTTCAAAATCGTCACCCCCCAGTGGCTTCGAGCTTTGACTATTAAGTGAACCACTGTTCACTTAATTTATCTTCGATGAGATCGAATGGCTACATCTGGACCGTTGGATCCGTGGGTCTTTAGGCCCATCGTCCGATCCCCGGAAGGGCGATCGTCCCAGGATTTGACAACTGGCGGAGGCGTATCCTCTGGGACGTCCCGGGATATGCGCCGCCGCAGACCGAGGGATACCTTTGACTTTAAGACAAGGCTGTCCCTAGCGATAAGACGACGTAAATGCCGGAAGCGTAATTTTTTAACTAAAAATAATTACAATTTTTGGCCTTTATTATATAAATAAATAGGAAATGATCCCTACTCATTATTTATTTATTTATTTAGTGCGGAGATAAATAAATCATCGGGTTTGGGAAAAACCCGGGATTAAAATATCAAGATAATACCAGATGAAAGAATCGAATTTTTCCCTGTAAATAATAATAATAAATTAACTGAATAACATTTTTTGCGATAATTACGCGTAAATGAGAGATTTTTACAGAGCCAGGTGGGTGCGGATTCAAAGGGATCTTCTATCTGCTTGCTGGAGATTCTCCGGAGGACGGGAACATGGGAGACATGCTATTTATTGATTATATTTTAGGAAAAATCGGTGATATTTAATAATTTATCTGGGCCGAGAGTGGAATTCTTAGCCCACAACAGCCCACTCGGGAAAAACAAATGCCCGAACTCCCTGCCTCATCTGGGCCCGGCCCATTTAGCGGTGTGGACTTGGCGCCCCGCCGACGTGGCCGTCGGCCGTCGTGCGGCTGGAGGAGCGACGTCGCGCCGCGTGGCACGGGCAGCTGCTCCCGCCGTTTCCATCCGGGGGAGGCGATAGTATGCCGCCTCTTGAGTTCTTGTCGGGATGCGGATGGTTGGACTCTTTACGCGTGGCAGTTTCTGATTCGATCCAATTGCGGGCGGCCCAACGCTCTCACTGGACAGAAGACCTTGCATGAGTTGACGTCCGCCGAGGAAGGAACAAGACGAAGTGGACCCAATCGTAATAAACCGTTTTATAAAAAATATAAAGAACTTAATTCTGAATTATAATGAGACTTTAAATTATAATTAATTTGTTTATCAATTATTATTTTTTAAACGATGAAAGTCAGCGTAGGGGCCTCTACATATAAGCCGATTAAATTATTCATAATAATTATTTAAATATTAAATAGTCGGTTAAAAATAGGTGGAAATGCTTGAATTATCCTTGTGATGTCTACGTGGGGATAATCTCAGGAGAGGTCGGTACGATGGGATGTGCTCGGAAGGCGTGCGTTCTGGATGGGCCTCGCGGAGAACGGAAAATCGGATTTGAGAAACGAGTGGAGTCCGGGGAGTAACCCGGGATCGAGGTATATATTGGGCGGTCGCACTCTTCTACCTGCAGAAGCAATCCGAGGTAGAAGAAGGATAGCTCGCGCGTCGCTTTAGCTCATCCGGCATGGACCCCTACAGGGTGATCTTTCTCTCCCTCTTTCGTTCCTGGTGATATATGTTGCTCATGTTGTGTTTTGCTTTTGGTGGAATTCTAGGTCGAGCGTTTTGTTTTTATCTTCTGCAAGTTATCTATCGATCTCTTCCGGGGAGGGATGATTATCGGATCAGTCTCTTCGCCGCATCGATTAGGCCCTGTCTCTTTCTGGTCCCGATCTCCAGGGGATAATTAATCCCGCCAAAATAGTGTTTATTTCCGATCAGATATTCGTCGTTGTTAAAGATGTTTTTACTTCGTCCGTCGTCTAATTCGAGTATTGCTCAACATTGTTTCGTCTCCCCGATCGCGATGCTTCTATTCGTTCTACGGGTGGTTCGTGTTACTGCTAGTTATTTTTCTCACCATTATTTGTTAACATTGGTTTGATGCAGCACCGTCCTTCGAGCGCTAACAACTCTCCCTTCTGGACGACCAATTCCGGGGCGCCAGTTTGGAACAACGACTCCTCTCTCACTGTCGGCCCTAGGGGTGCTGTCTCATCTCTTACTGCTCTGTGGTCCTCGTCAATCTTTTTCTCTATTTCCCTTTAAATCTACTCCATGGCGTCCAACTCGTGCATGGCCCCGAGTGTTCCGAGTTGATAGGTTTTGTCTCCCGCTCATCAGCGCCCTTTCTCATTCAGTTGGCTCCAGCCTTTTTTTCCGTCTTCTTTTGGAATAAATTTGCGTATGTTGCTTGATCTGTACTGCAAATCAACTGTTATTTGGCCATTCCTTTTGATTATGTGTCCTTATTGATATACATTCTAACGGTAAAATATGCTATGTATAAAAAGAAATAATTCTCCTTAAGGAAATTAATGCTTAGGAATGTAGCTTGAAAAAATATTCCTGGCTTATGGGATACCTTCTAGGCCTCTCTGTTATCTGTCTATCTGATTCAATAATCCCCGTTAATTTGTTATTTTATTTTTTAAGGAATTTTTGACAATGTGACTTTTCAATCGGATATGAGAGAATAGGATATCTCAGTCTGGAACTATTGACTGGTTTCCTGATGTAGATCTAACACCCTCTATTCGGTTTCCTTGGGTTCTTTCGCTACCATCCTTTACCTTGATTGGAAATCAACGTCAGAAGAGTTTCATTTGCCATCTGCTAGCTCCTTAAAGAAGCAAAAAAGACAATTTTTCACTGCATTTGACGAGAAAACTGTTATTCTAGTCCATTTTTTTTGTGTTTCTTTTGGCGTCTCTCTAAAATTTTAAAATCGGTTCCGTATTTTATTTTTTATTGCGAGGAAAACTTCGTATACATCTCTTTTGTGACTTCTGGAAAATATGATCCTTAGTTGTTTGAAAATGATTTTACTCTGCAGTCAATTCTGAAAATTTTGGGCCATAATAATCTGCATAAATGTATGCTTTCTTATGAAATTTAGTCATGTTATTGAATGACCACTTTGGTAATTATGACATTTTTGTTTCGTTTTATTATGACACTTGTTCAGGAAGTTGATACTTTCGTCATCTTGATTACATGCAATAAATTTGTTTTCCCTGCGTAGAAATGTTCAGAAGGGTAATTATTCAGTCCTTTTTTTGATGGGCAGGGCCAATACTACTCGAGGATTACCATCTCATTGAGAAGCTTGCGCAGTTTGATAGGGAACGCATCCCTGAGCGTGTTGTCCATGCTAGGGGGGCGAGTGCCAAGGGCTTCTTCGAGGTCACTCATGATATTTCTCATCTCACCTGTGCTGACTTTTTGCGAGCACCGGGAGTCCAGACTCCTGTGATTGTCCGTTTCTCAACTGTTATTCATGAGAGGGGTAGCCCCGAGACTCTGAGGGATCCCAGGGGTTTTGCTGTCAAGTTCTACACTAGAGAGGTATTCAGCACCTTCTTCACCACCTTAATATGAGATGTCTAATTACAAAAGCAGTAACTGATAGAATCGATGAAGCTGGTACTCGTCTTAGGTAATATCCATGGAATCAGCTCCCTCTTTGACCTTCCTGTCGCTACTCATGTCATCTTGAATGCTAAGATTGTTGGTCATGTTTGTCTAATGAGGCACCTCTGTCACGCCTAGCTGGATTATTAGAAACCTAGCATTCCAGGTTCATAATGTTGTTTTTTTATTATTATTATTGCAGAATCATGCTAAGGATATTTAGATTGAAATCAGTTTCTGGCTAGGATGTAGTACGAAAAACCTTCAGCTTAAAAGAAACAATCATGGAAGAGAAAAAGATCTTCATTTGGACTATTTTTAAAAATTATACTATATATAGCACTAAAATCCAAATTTCCATCTCGTAATGCATGCTCTTACATAGCAGAAAGTAGGGCAGGTTGACTGTTTCTAACGCATGCTTCGAGCTGGCAGACCGCTTTAATGGTGCCTTCTCTTGCTCTCAGGGCAATTTTGATCTGGTGGGGAATAACTTCCCGGTGTTCTTCATTCGGGATGGGATGAAGTTCCCTGACATGGTCCACGCCCTCAAGCCCAACCCCAAGTCGCACATCCAAGAGAACTGGAGGATCCTCGACTTCTTCTCCCACCACCCGGAGAGCCTGCACATGTTTACCTTCCTCTTTGACGACCTTGGCATCCCCGCTGACTACAGGCACATGGAGGGCTCTGGGGTCAACACCTACACTCTAATCAGCAAAGAAGGGAAAGCCCTCTATGTCAAATTCCACTGGAAGCCCACCTGCGGCGTGAAGTGCCTGCTGGACGATGAGGCGGTCACGGTCGGCGGCAGCAACCACAGTCACGCCACCAAGGACCTCTACGACTCCATCGCCGCTGGCAACTACCCTGAATGGAAGCTCTACATCCAGACAATAGACCCTGATCACGAGGACCGGTTTGACTTTGACCCACTCGATGTCACCAAGACCTGGCCCGAGGACATCCTTCCGCTGCAGCCAGTCGGCCGCCTGGTGCTTAACAAGAACATCGACAACTTCTTTTCTGAGAACGAGCAGCTAGCCTTCTGCCCGGCCATCGTCGTGCCGGGGATCCACTACTCGGACGACAAGCTGCTCCAGACCAGGGTCTTCTCCTACGCCGACACCCAGCGGCACCGCCTGGGGCCGAACTACTTGATGCTCCCGGCGAACGCCCCCAAGTGCGCCCACCACAACAACCACCACGAAGGGTTGATGAATTTCATGCACAGAGAAGAGGAGGTATTATTCACATTATATCCATATATTAAGTCGATAATATATTATTCACTGGTGATTATTTTTCTGACCATGCTGCACTGCTCAGGTGAATTACTTCCCTTCGAGGTATGACCCGGTGCGTCACGCCGAGCAGTTCCCCATTCCGCCCCGCGTTCTCACGGGGAGACGCGAGAAGGTGGGTTTTCAGCAGTAAATCGGCTTCGAGACAACGTTAACAGTCATCTCATTGGATTAAGCCGTTATCTATGTTTCTCTGGAGTGCAGTGTGTCATCGTTAAGGAGAACAACTTCAAGCAGCCTGGAGAGAGATACAGATCCTTCGCTCCCGACAGGTTCCCTCTCTCTCTCTCTCTCTCTCTCTCTCTCTCTCGTGCGCGGTTTTCTCCATCATCTTGAGATGTTTTTTTTCCTATTTGATATGGTTTCAGGCAGGAGCGTTTCATCCGGCGGTGGGTGGACGCGCTGTCGGAGGCGAGGGTCACGAACGAGATCCGCAGCATCTGGGTCTCCTACTGGTCGCAGGTAAGTCACTCCCCGCTCCGGCATCTTCGCCGCCGGAACTGGTTCCATTCCTCGTTTTCTCTATGAATCTGCTTAAACTTTGGGTATCGGTGAGGTTCGTCTGCTCATCGTGTATTCGTTTGCTTTGCGAGCTGCAGTGCGACAAGTCGCTGGGGCAGACGTTAGCGACCCGCCTCAACGTGAAGCCCAACATGTGAAGCCCAACACGAGTACGGCTGGGCCTGAATAAAACTAGGGTAAGGCCCTTCTTCCCTCAATGGCTTCAGAGAATAAGCTGTCGTTCCCCGTGGACTTTTGACTATGAAAGTCTTCCCTTGTCTCTCTACCTTGTCCCGTGGACTTTGTTCCTTTGCTTTGGATGATGCACTCTTTAATGTATAGCGCTTGGGGGAGAGAGGGAGAGATAGAATATTCATATTATCAAGGAGGGTTGAAGTTCGTGCCGCTTGGGACTGCCCAGGGGAAGAAATTTGCCGAGAGAGAGAGAGTGCGGATGGAAGACCACGATGCGGGCAGAGGCTCGATACCCACGACGCCCGACGCAAAATCGGGTTGGGGAACGATCCAAGGCGAGTTAAGGACGAGGGGAGGGGGGCACAAAACTCCTGGCGTCTGCCCCAGCGACTTTCGATTGATATCTCGCCTGGCGTGAATCTCTCTCTCTCCTTTGGCAGTTTCTCTACTACAACACGAATCCGATAAATGTCACAGATGCAGATCGGTATTTTCTGGAGTCCTTTCGAGAAAAAAAAATCCCCCTCGCTCTGACGATTTGGGAGAGGATAAGAGACGTACCCCGTCGACCCAACGGGGGATGGGCCCTCATAAAGTCCGCCAGCTATTTCTCCCGTCATCATCTCGCCGTCTTCGGTTGTCTCCATACAACATCTGCCGGGAGAGACCTCACCGATTTGCTAAACGCTCTTGGTTCCTCCCCCTCGGCGTTGCTAAACCTCCGGGGGATCTTCGATGGCCGACAGCCGCCTACTCTGATATCCGGCAGAAACCGAGAAGATTTGAGGGGAAGATGCCAGCGTCGTTAAAAAGACGAGGCTTGGCGTATTATTCCCAGAGATTCGTCCGGAGCTCTTCGGTCAGCCCAGCCCACACCTCTTGAGACGAAGGGCACTACAGAGAGCGCCCCAGCTCTCTCTCTCTCTCTCTTTCTCTTGCTCGGAGTTTTGATGCCCTTCAGCGGTGAAATAAAAAAAAGGGCAACCTAGCTTGCAGAAGGCTCTTTAATGGGTGGGCGGCGGGGTGAGGGGGAGAGCGATCCGTCTGTCCCTTTCGCCCTCTTTCTTCCCCCAGCTTCCCTAACTCAACCCACATAATTGCAGACTACAACGGCGGGAAGGAGAACCTGGTCTTGTGTTCCCCCCCGGCGTTGAACCTCTGGCCTTTTAAGGGGGGGGAGGGGGGGGGAGGATGAACCCGCCGATGGGTGCCGGCGATCCCAAGGATTTCTTCCCCCAGAGGTGGGTGGGAGAAGACCTCCTCATATCATGATACTTGCCGATATCTCGGATAAGGCAGCCAACCGGAGGAGATTCTAACCGTACGGGGATGGAAGACGATCTGTTCCTGCTCGATTCGGGCAATCTGTTCCTGCCGGAAGATGTTTGGCTGGACAGCCTGGACCTCCCGGGGCAGGTTCCCCTCTCTTCTACTTCCCCTCCCCAGGCCGAAAGCAGGACTCTCTCTCACCGGACGGGGGCGGGCTTGGGATTGGGGCCCTCCCTGAGAGAGAAGCTGTCGAGGGCCCTCTGCTGGATCAGGGATTCCTACCGAGACTGCGAGGTTCTCATTCAGGTCTGGTTGCCCACGGAGGGCGCCGAGGGGCTCGTCCTCACGACGAGCTGCGAGCCCTTTGCGCTCGCCCCAGGCTGTGAGAGGCTCCTGAACTACAGGGCGGTCTCAACCTGCTTCCAGTTCTCCGCCGGGGTGAACTCCGGGGTGGCACACGGCCTTCCCGGGAGGGTTTTCCTGGGGAAGCTCCCCGAGTGGTCGCCTGACGTCCGGTACTTCAGCAACTACGAGTACCCTCGGGTCAACTACGCCCAGCAGTGCGACGTACGCGGGTCGCTGGCCCTCCCCATCTTCCACCCCCACCGTGGCGGCGGCGGTGGCGGCCCGGCCTCCTGCCTGGGGGTCATCGAGGTGGTGATGACCACCGAGCGTATCAACTACCGCTCGGATTACGAGCACATCTGCAGTGCTCTTCAGGTTCGGCTTCCTGTGGGAATCATCCGAGTAGTGATTGAACCATAGAACTAACCTCCAGGCGGCTTCTTGCAGGCTGTGGATCTCAGTAGCTCCGAAGTCCTGAACGCTCCCCGCGTAGAGGTACGCTGCTGCTACTGCCACGAAAGGAATTAACCAGATTGGGAAAGATACGATATGGCTACAGTACGGGTTTTTAGATTAATTTAGTTAGTTTGACCTGTATCTGAGAGACGGCCGGGGTCTTCTTGTGTTCAGGCGAGGAGCGATTTCCGGCTGGCCGGCTTGCCGGAGATAGCGGCGGCGCTGAGGACGAGCTGCCGGGCTCACGGGTTCGCACTGGCGCAGGCCTGGATTCCCTGCGCCCAGCAAGGGAGGAGCGGCAGCCGGCACTCCGACGGGAACTACGAGGACTGCGTCTCCACCGTCGATGCCTTGTGCTACGTGAACGACCCGGTCCTCGCCGGCTTCCACGAGGCCTGCTCGGAGCACCACCTGCTCAGAGGCCAGGGGATAGTGGGCAAGGCGTTCTCGATGAACCGGCCCTGGTTCTCTTCTGATATCACCGCCCCGAGCAAGACGGAGTACCCCCTCTCCCATCACGCCAGGATGTTGGGGCTGGGAGCCGCGGTGGCCGTCTGTCTCCACCGCGGCGCTGCCACGGGGAAGGCCGAGATTGTGCTGGAGTTCATCTTTCCCAAGGACTCCCGCCGGAGAGAAGAGCAGGCGGCGATGGTCAACGCAATGCTCTTCACCCTCCGGCAGGCTTGCCCCAGTTGGCGCATTCTCGCAGCGAGAGAGCTCGAGGAAGAGAGCCTCCTGCAAGTTAATCCACAACAGGCTTCGGCTTCAAGTGAAAATGCTCAAGAGTGTGGGTATTATTCTAGTCCTGCCGGGGACAAGGCGAAGGGGAAGAGGCTTACCAAAACAGAGAAGACGATCAGCTTGGAGGTTCTTCGGCAGCACTTCTCTGGAAGCCTAAAAGAAGCCGCTAAGGTCCTTGGAGGTACGTAGCTTCTCCTTCGAGTTTGCCTTATTATAAGTGAGAAACGCTGACCTGGGCGTGCCCTGCTGAAATAAGAGGAAATGACTCCATCCTTGGTTCTCTTGTAGTTTGCCCCACTACTCTGAAGCGGATATGCAGGCAGCATGGTATAACCCGGTGGCCTGCGAGAAAGATCAAGAAAGTTGGACATTCGCTGAGGAAGCTGCAGGTGGTGATCGACTCCGTCCAGGGGATTGACGGCGCCGTCCACCTCAGCCCCCTGTACGACGATGTCCGTAGAGCCCCCGGACAGGCCGAAGAAGAAGCGGGGAAGAAGAATGTGATCACCTCCTTGTACCGGAGTGACGATCCAGAGCTCTCGAGCACGCCGAATCCTCCTTCCTCTCACAGCCAAACCTCTTGCACTTCCGGCTCGAGCCGCGGCTGTTCCAGAGGACAAGAGCAGTGCACCAGCGTTTTCGATGGCCCATCAGAGGAAGCTCCATTTGTGGAAGAAAATGGGGGAACAATGATGAGATCTTCTGATGAACTCGAGAAGGATTATCCGACTGAGGGGACACCAGCAACTGGGGATCGGCTTAAAATTTCCGACTCCCTCGGTGACCATTCTGATCCGAAGACTCTGTTTCAGAATGGTGCTCGTGGCCTGCCAAGAGTGAAGGCCATGCTTGGGGAAGACAAGATTAGATTTAGCTTGAAGCCCAACTGGGGCGTCTATGAAGTAATGCAGGAGATTTCCAAGAGGTTCAACATCAGCGACATAAACTCGATGGATCTAAGGTACTTGGATGACGAGTCAGAGTGGGTCTTACTCAGATGTGATGATGATCTCAAGGACTGCGCCGATTTGTACAGGACATCTCGCATTCACACGATCAAGATCTCTGTCCACCATGCTGATCGTCCAAGCTTCATCCCCTTTGGCAGCGAGGATTCTGATCACCTGGGTTACTGATCAAGGCCATTCACAGAATGAAAATTGCTGCTTTCACTCTGTTCGCGGACGAGAAATAACAGGGCAGGGCGACGCATGCTAGAGAATTAGGGTAGACGAAGAAGAGAAGGTGCGTGCCAAGGGATACCATAAAAACGGTGAGTTTTATCAGAACCAACACAGCTCCATCCGAGAGAGAGAGAGAGAGAGAGAGAAACCTTGAAGAGCTTTAGACCTGTAGCCGGCGGGGTCAGTGACATCTTCGTATGGCAGTTGGTGGGCGATGAAGTCGATTTAACCGGAGGAAGGGGAAAGCTGAAATCTTCCACGCCTGTTTCTTGTTTCTCCTCAGACGGTCACCGATAGAGGGCAAAAGTGACCTTTTAGTTCTAAGTATCACTTCTTGTATTTCTTCGAGTGAGGGGACGAACCTTGTGGATGTGCTGTTGTTCAGCGTTCCGCGAGCTTGTCACCTTGGCTCCATGAAAATGTGCAGTAAAAGCATGCAGGCTCCCATTCTTGGTTCAGGAGAACCGGAAATTCAGTAGTACCCGACAAAAGGTAGCCGAGTATAAATGGTTGCAGGTTGCCTGCAAATGGTGAAACATTCGACTTCTCCGGTCACAGTAGGAAGCCCCACCATGCCGTTGAGTTGATGTAGATCAATCAAATTGGTTGCATGAAGATCAAGTGGTTGGTTTTGACAGATGAGGCTACCATCCTCTTTCTCATATTCGTAACTGTTTGTGGACCTGCATGCTTGTAGATGGCCAGCCATTGCAGAGAAGGCCGGGCAGATTATCAGCTCATAGCAATGAAAGTGTGATTCACACCATGCCCTCAAGGAAATGAGAGTCTCTCTTTAATCCGATAACCTGATATTTTCAACCTGCAGATGCGAGACTGGAAGAAATTTTTGAATAATGCTGTGGAGCAAAGATTCTGATGAATTCAGAAGAGCTGAAGAGAATCATCCAACAGTAAAATTTGTATCCCAATTGACGAGGTCATGTGACAACGTATACAATCTTCAGATGTGGAATCAGACAGAGAGTGGGCAGGAGATGACTGGGCAGCTGCTCTGGGAGGTCGGTGGGTGGTGACAGGAGAAAGGCTCTTGATCTAACAAGGTTCCTACTGCTGGATGTCCAAATGGAGGGTACTACGGTGAGGTTTCAAAGTGGAAGTCCTCCGTTGCATCAGTAGATGGCTGATTGTCACAGAGGAAGTGCATATGGAACGGGTAGGGCGCGAACATTGTCACTGCGTCATATGACATTCTAAACTAAGGCCGCAATTCATCAGGTACGGATTATCAAGGTCGACATATTTGGACCAGTGCTTCTTGAACCTGCAAACGGCGAGCTCCATCCAGGGCTTGTGGTTGCCGTTGTAGTGGATTACGGCCGCCTTCTCTATTTCATCTATTTGAACGTCTGATTCGTGGCCGAGTCCCAAGACATGCCAGGTATCGTCCAGAACGTACGTCAGGTTGTAAAACGCTATCAGGCCTGGAGGCAATGTTCCCAGCTTCCACAGTCTCCGGTCCCAATTCTGCAGTCCATGCCACCGCACAATTGCCAATTCTTTGTCAATTTAATAAAATAATGAAAGAAAGATAGCATGATGGTAGGAATTCATACACTGGGACGAAGACATGTATATATAGCAAGAGAGAGAGAGAGATGTAAACGTAACATAGAGAACAGAACAAGCAAACTACGCTCTTTCTTACCAAGTCTTGCCATTTGTGATATATTTCGGTCACGTCGTGCATCTTCCAAGCCTTCAAATCAAAGATATTCATGCCGAATGCCCAGCCGCATGCCTTTGGGTGAAAACTACTAGCAATCTCCGGGTTAGAGAAGTTGAGATACGTATCCAGTCGGTGGAAAGTATCTTTGCATGTCATCACTGCACCATTCGCCATCCCATTCATATCAAGAGACCAAAGAGGAGTCAAATCCTTCTGCACCACGACGTCGTCGTCCAAAAATAATATCTTCTCCAGCTTTGGGTAAATTTCTGGCATGTAGAATCTGATGTGGTTCAGCATGGAGAGGTACTTGGGGTTTCTGTACTTGAGATGGTCATCCCCAACAGAGAGAGACGACGGATGATCCGACCCGAAATAATATTCCTTCATCATCTCTGAGTCAAGTTGGCGTAGAACCGGAGAAAGGGAAGAATTCAACCACCTGAATTCGTCCATATTCTCCACGTGCACTGTTGCATGAGGGGGACGATTGACTAGAAACCACATCTTCATGGGCACAAAATTCAGTCGATCAGTGACGATGTGAAACACGTGCTTCTCTGGCTCTCTGACGTGGGATATAGTCGAGTTGACGACCACTGACGTAGCCAGAACGTTATCAGAGAAGATGGCATAGTGGTAGAGACTGGGATCCTCGAGCTTGTCAGTTTCCACGTCTTCCTTGCTGCTGTAGTCCTTCAGGAAATAATCGGCCGTAAGCTGAAGAGATAGGCAGTGTAAAGGCGCCGGAATCGTCTGTGGGGCACGCTGGGTCAAGAAAGTGCTTTGCTTTTTCACCGCAATCACGTTCTCCTCTTCGTATTGAACCATTACCCTCAGCTTCTTCTCCACATCAACACAGTCATGCACCTTATTCTTGGCCGTAAAAAGAACCTCTCCCATCGATTTTGCCGAGCCAAGACCGCTGGGCAGCAACAGAATGAGATCACCCGGTAAAGGCCAAGGTCGCTTTTACAAAAAAGGGCGGAGTGATTAAAGAAGCAGACCTCAATTCAGCATCTGAATGGGCTTCGCGGACGATACTTCGACTTTCTTTAATGTGTTTCATTAGGAAATTATACAGCTCTGTTTCCTTCTTTGTACGGGCGATGAAGGCGTACACTTTTGCCATTGCAATCTGATCCTTCATCAGTTTCAGGGTATAGTCCGGCTTCTGTATTTCGGGCTTTCTCCAAATAGTATAACTCTTCTTGAATATGTTCTCGAGGTCCTCGGAACGTGAAATGGCTTCATTTTCCATCTCATATAGAGTATATTTGTCCTGCTCTGTTAGAATTGCAGTCCTCTGCAACTCCCTCAGCCGTCGTTTGTCCTAGAGATTCATGAACTAATTAGAATTCGAACAATGCATGGAAATATGTTTCCAGAATGCAAATTTTACGCCCAAACTCTACCCGACGAATGTTCTTCTCTGGTTTAACGGTAGAATTATGAGGATTTCCCGCTCCGATCTTTTCTGCTTTAGACGGGACTTCTTTTCCCTGGCAATCCATAAGGTGTAGATTTCAACTATTAAAAGTTTAACTTGCAAAAATTTAAAAAACAATGTAACACGAAAATTTAAACATAGTTTCTACCCGAAGAACTTGTCTCAGTGACACATCATAATTTCTTTTACCATCTCCAGCTGTGGTTAAATCTGGCTGAAACGAGACTCTTCTTCCCTTCTAAACATTAAAACATCAGGTCCCGATCAAATAATTAGAATTTAATGCTGAAAAAATTAAAAAAACATATAATTTAAATTTAAATAACGGCTTCGACAAAAGAAGAATATTTCGATGGGGCAGTAGGGGAATAAGATATACTAAATTAGATATTGAAAAATAAATGCGTAGCACAAATTTGAAGCACGATTTTACCCGAGAATTATTGCGATCGTCTTCCCTGCTAATATTTGGCTTAAATGAGACTTTTCTTCCCTACGAGTACATAAAAAACAAAATAGCAGGTGAAATTTTGATATTCTAATAAATTCCTTGGTCCCGTATCAGCTTGGACATGGAGAGAAGAAAATGAAAATGAAAAGCTTGGTTACCAAAGTCCATGACTATGGACCAACTAGCAATTACACAATGGAAAGTAACAATCAGTTATTAAAATATTTATAGAATTTAAAAAATAATTAGTGCAGCCAATATATACGACTGACACTGGACTCCCTGCAGAACTGCAAGAAAATTTTCCAAATTAAAGATTATCTTTGAAAATGAATAACACAATAGAAGAAACAATATTCATAGATGAATGTATTAATTTTATTCCTTTATCTTGCAAGTAATAAGGGCATACGGATCCTCCAAATCCAATGACCACTCAGCAAAATGTTTCACATGGTGCTTAAACTTTTCTATCAAACAGTTTGTTAAGTGTCACAGAGATAGATACTGTACTGGCCCATCGTCTCGTGTTTGGTAGTCTTCATCAGGATTCTTCCACGCCCAGGATGCAGATAATTTTCTAGAATTAATGGTGCGTGTTTTCAAGGCGCCGGAAACATCTGTATACACAGTGGTTACAAAAATATCCTGCACATAGGAAGTGGTATAACGTATTAAGTGTGACTCATTGATAGGAAACAGATTTTAAAAATATGAATAATTCATAAACATAGGATACAGTAAACCAAAATTTTAGAGGGCATGGATCGCAGAAATAACATCTGAAATATTTCTGTTCATCCCTATTCAGTTGTAAACAATAACTCTCATCCCTATTTAGAGGACATGATATATATGATTCATTTTTTTACACCCTCTTTCGAATTCTCATCGTCTTCTGTGGCCGAATCCCCCAGATCTGTTCAATATGGGACAAGCCCAGGAAATCCCTCGAAATTTTATACCTTTTGAACGATGATATGGTATGAGAGAATACTAAGGTTACATGCCAACTATCACAATATCACTTATAGGATCGAGTTTATTTTGTCCATAAATTCAAGCTCCCTAAGACATATTTCATGCGTGTTCCCTTGTACGAAATCCCATCGAACATCTGATATGCTGCTCCTAAATAATTTAGAGAACCCAGCTTACCGTGAACAGATCTGAGGCTATATATCAATATAATCACAAAATAAAGCACTTAAAAATTCTAATAAGTTGAAAAATAGTAGAAAATTGAGAGCTAAATCCAATTAATGTAAGGGGATAATTGTACGGGGCGGCGGACCACTTATATTTAGAGCACGGTATTGGAAAATAATTCAAAGAATGTACTTCAATTTAGGGTCTGTCTTATCTAAGATAGAAGAAAGTTTTTTAGGCTCCAGAAACACCTTGGCATCAGTTATTCTGAATTGAAATTTCATGGTTTGTAATCGGGCAGTCCTCATGCCACAATTTTTTGTATTCACAGGCCAACGTGTGACAACTGATGCTATTGTATAACGAACATTCACGTATATTACAATTTATGTAAAAAAAAATCAAAATCCGTTTTTAAATTTCAATCAGGGAGTTGGGGAATTCCTAGGAAGCTTAGAACCTTCTGATCCCAGCAACTCTCGCAACTTTTTAGATTCAGCTGTCCACTTGTAACTCTTTTTCTGCGTATCATGAAAATAAAGAGGAGTAAATTAGGGAAATTCAGACGGTAATAACTTGGCTAGAAGATTCTTCACTAGTAGATAATTTACAAAATAATGGACAGTAATGTATGAAAATTTTATATCTTATATATTTTTGAAGCATGATAAAGAAAGAAAAGAAACTGGAATAAACATCAACAACATTATACGAAAAAGGGGCACAACCAACCCGACCTCATTAAAGCATGGTATTAGCCTCAATATTGAACATAATTTACGTGCATTTTGAGCGTTTATCAAATGCATGTCTCTTAAAAAAAAATGAATTTAAACATAGCCAGGTTAATAGGTAAAATAAAAAAATTGATGAATAAAGCCGACAATTTGAAGGCCAAAACATCATACGGAAATAAGTGCATAAAATTTTGATGTACGATTATCTTACATTCCCTTTGCGAGTGGAGTTAAAAGAGAATTGTAGTCAGACGCCGCTGACCTAATTAAAGCCAGATAGAGCATAACCTGAAATTTTTGGTAAGTAGGAGAAGACAAGAAACAAGTATTTACATTTTTAAAAATATTGTGGAAATTTACAGGGAAATGCCGACATTGGAACAATGAATACTAGCCAATATCACAGATAACAGCCAAATAGCAAGATACACACTGAAATAACGAAGTGAGCAGAGATCATCATGTTTCGATTCTCACGGCTGCTCATATGAATACTAACGGATTTTAGAATAACAGTAAGATGTTTCGTAAGCACGGGGGAAGGTTTTCTGTCTCCACATATTGGTGCTTCATTTACATCCAAAAGTAGGAAGTCTCCAGTTAATAAAGAGCGACGATAGTCCTTAAGTTGACTTCTTTATTTTTCTACAAATACAATATCGAAACTAGAGGATAATTTCATTTTTTTTATTTCAGGTAATAGACAAGATTAAGATCACCATAGGTAGATAACATTTGTAAGAAGTAGGACACTATGGCATCAAATTAATTTCATATATTGATTCTTGTCTGGCTTACGTTGTTTTAGTTCTGATTGGACACTTCGGTCTGTGGAAACTCCACTGTGTCAGAAATAATTCTCAGTATACGGTCTCGCACCAAAATCAGTGATAGACAAGAAATTTTACGGCTATACGCAGAGACAAGAACGGATGCCTGGACAGAAATGACGATCGACAAGTCATATCATGATTAGAATGTGCAAGCTGCTAGTCTACGCTGTTCGCGGTGCATCTCCGTCCAATCACAACGGAGAGAATCTACGAAAAAAATCTATTGGTATTCACTGAAAAATTCGATAAAATTAACGAAAGAATGCGAAAACGTTGTCTGGGGAAAACAATACGATGCCTAGTTTGCAGTCCTATGTTATCAGTTAATATCAAGAAAAAAATGATTCGCCTACATGTGTACGTAATTACTCGTTCGCTAATTTTAACCGCTGAATTTTTTGAGCATTGATCGAGGAAATTTTCGTCAAATCCCATTATCCAACACAGGCAGATGATCCCAAAATCAACGGTAAACTAAAGTCGAGCCTGACGGTTTATAACGCCGAATGCACCGTGATCTCGTGATTCGCATTGACGTCTCTTTCTAAAATCCAAAAGTGTTAAAGCCAGTGGACGCTCGCGGTCTGTTTCAACCAAAGGGAGACACGAATAAAACAACGGATCGGAACATCTGCTCGGATCATCAATCCAAAAAATGCCAAATCGAGGTGCCGATTCTAAAGAAAATTTAAATAGTAAAGAGAATGAATCACACGCATAGCAACTCGAGGAAAAAAAAAAATACAGTATGAATCCAGAAGAAGTCACAGCATGGAGCCAAGCGACTTATAGTACAGCGACGAAGTTCATCCTTGCCTCGAGAGATAAAACGAACACGAGAATGCGGCAGGGCGACCAATCCCTCCACCGGGAATCCATCCCCGTGCACACTGAGCGACTGCTCCTCCGGCAGGACTGATGGGAAAAGAGAGGCAGGGAGCTCGAAAGATCAAGGATCGCGGGAACAGACGCGGCCCCACTTCCCGTTTATATACCCCCGTCATCATTGCTCGCGAGAGACAACGTTTGAAAATCAAAAGATAGGGACACCTGATGGACGGTTAATATTTCTCACAGCCATGAGCCCTCAAGTGACGGGCCCAAACTTGGTATGGGCCTTGCGAGATGGGTGGGGCCTTTTTATTTCCCAGCCCACTCTGGCCCAACCGCCAGCACTTATACGGCAAGGTCAAACCATTATCCTGTTCCATTAATATCAAAGAAAGGAGACTTTTTCAAAGACGCTGACCTTGCCTTATTAGCCCGTTGTCAATTTCATAAAACCCGTGTTCGCCCCAGATTTGGGGCGTCCCTCGAATTGACCCAATATTTAATGCATTTCGAAGGACTTATTAAGCCCTCATATTTAAATAAAATAAGAAATATCGACACAAGATGGCTGGGTCGAGACTAGGTGGTGTCCGATCGTTGCTCTCATCTCCTAACTCGACGCCGCAGCCGATGGCTAAAGGAACCCGGCGGTCGTCGTCCGTCCGGGTTTTCCGCGCGAACCACCCCCGCTCGTCATCTCTCTAATGGCGAGCGGCGGGCGGCGCCGCCGCCGCCGCGGCCGGGGAGGGGCTTGGGCTTGCGGAGGGCGATGCCTTTGATGGCCTCGATGTGCTCCAGAGCGTCGGCGACCTCCGCCATGGAGGGTCGGCTCTTGGGCTCGGCGGCGAGGCAGCGCAGGGTGAGCTGGGCGGCGCGAACTGCCGCCTTGGTGGAGTACTGACCATCCATCCTCCGGTCCATGATCTGGGCGAGGGTCCGTCGGTCGTGGAGGTGCGGCTTCGCCCACTCGACCAGCTGGTGCTGCCCTCTGGGCCGCCGCGTGTCGATCGCCCGCTTCCCCGTGAGCATCTCCAGCAGCACCACGCCGAACCCGTAGACGTCGCTCTTCACGTACAGGTGCCCTTCATCCAAGTGACCGAAGCGTCAATAGACGTGTACCAAACACCCCTGTGATTGGTTGGAGTGGGGGAGAAAATGCACCTGTGGCGACGTACTCGGGGGCGGCGTAGCCGTAGGTACCCATGATTCGGGTTGTCACGTGGGAGTCCCCGCCCGTGGGTCCGTTCTTGGCGAGCCCGAAATCCGAGATCTTGGCGTTGTAGTTCTGCGAGATCAAGGGTGATGATTAACCGAAAAAGGAGGTTTTGTTTTTGAAGGCGGATGATTCCAGTACTGACCGAGTCGAGGAGGATGTTGGCGGCTTTGAAGTCTCTGTAGATGACCTGCTTGTCGGAGGCGTGAAGGAAGGCGAGCCCCCGGGCGGCGCCGATGAGGATCTTCATTCGGAGGCTCCAGCCGAGCGGCTGGACGGGGCCCGCTGCACCCACCGCACCGGGAAGAACCCTAAGAGGAGGGGGAGGGGGTGGGCGGCGAGGAAATGATTCACAGGGAGCTGGGTCAACGACGTACTTCTGAACAGCTGGTTCTCCAAGCTCCCCCTGGTCATGAACTCGTAGACGAGGAGGAGCTCCGTGTCTTCCCAGCAGTAGCCGAGGAGGCGGACGAGGTTCGGGTGTGAGAGCCTTCCCAGGAAGTTCACCTCCGACTGCAAATCCGGAAGAGGGGAGGAGGGAAGGGTTAGCGGAGGCGACGACGGGGAGGAGAGTAGGCGGGCAGGTTTGTGGCTTTAGAAGCCTAACCTGCCATTCCTCCAGGCCTTGCATGCTCTCTGGGCTGATTTTCTTCACGGCGACGACCGTCCCCGTGCGGCTCCTTGCCGGGCTGAGGGTCCTCTCGTTGACCCATCCCTTGAACACCTTCCCGAAGCCCCCTTCTCCGATGAGGGTCTCCGGCCTGAAATTCCTCGTTACCGCCCTCAGCTCGGCGTAGGTGTAGATCCGCAGGTCAGGGGACTCGAGGATCATCCCCTGGGACCTCCCCGCCTCCGCCCCTAGGCTGTTGGCGGAGTGCTGCCCGATGCTGCTGCTGCTCGTGTTGGCGGCGCTGGTCGCTGTGGTTGTGGTGAAGGTGCTACTGGTCCTCGAGGAGTCTGTACAGTCACAGGGAGAAGCGTCCGGTGAGAAAGAGGGAGAAAAAAAACAACAACAGCAACAGCAACAGCAACAACATCATCCCCTTCCTCCTATCTATATCTCTGAATCTGAACCGTCGTTGAGGAGCACAGAAGCATCGGGATCTGGTACCTTGGTCGGAGAAACCACGACTCTTCGGTCTCGGAAGTTCCTTGATCAAACTGTAGCAGATACCCATCCCCCTCTCTCTCTCAAAATCCTCAATAACTGTGTCCCTCCTCCTCTCTTTCAATCCACCTTCAACGGGAACTCCGGAGAAGATGGGCAGAGTGTCGGTTGCGGCGGCGGAGGGAGGCCGAGCATGTAGATGGACAGGGGAAAGAAAGGACGGAGAAGGATATCGGAAGAAGCACGGAAGCACGGCGGGGGTGGAATTTCAACGAACGGCATGGATTGTTTGGGTCAGATCAACAGAAAATGTCCCCGGTTACTGTCATCTTAACCCTGGGTCTTCCTCCAAGGCCGGTCCTTGCCCTGCCGATCCTCCGCCGCTGCCGGGGGTTTCCGTCTCCTACGGGGGTTTCAGTTAACTTGAAACCCCGTTCCGTTGCGTGATGCAGACCTCCACTCTCCTCCCTCTCCCATTAGTCAGACACTTGCGGTGGTGGGCCACAGAGGGAGCGCAGTGGTAGGTCTGTCCCATCAACCTCCCTCCAAATTTCTTACCATACTGATAGGAACCGGGGGGTATATCTATAAATATAATACTGCAATCATTAATAAATTCATTTTCGAAAAATGACTTGATTGACCCTGATAAAATTTCATAAGACCAGGTACGAAGGGACTGTGGTTCCGTACAGAACGCCGGGAGCAAGCACATGACTTGAAGGAGACTCGGCGCAGAATCCAAGAGCTTGTCTCCTCAGCGGTTCTCCCCCATCGCCCAGCGATTCGGGTTGACCAGAATGGAAGGCTAAAATGACGGCCCATCTCTCTCATTATAGACAGTAAGAGTACGGCATGAGATACCTCTATGGAGACAGCTACAGACCCCTCTATACCTCTCTCTTTCTCTCTCTACTCGGTGAGATCACACTAGGCAATCAGGTAGAATGACATTAATTGATCTGTACACAGACGAGCTCTGATGGCGAGGACCGGCTTCGAAAAAGGGCGGAGATCCAACTACGTCACTCTCCCTCCCTCCCTCCCTCTCTCTCTCTCTCTCTCTCTCGCTGTAAGCTAAATTGACGGAGAGACCGTGAAACATCTAAAGTTGCAAAGCTAGATCCGGGGGCTGTCCATCAAGCGCTGCCGCCGGAGGCCAGCCGGCCGACTGGAACCTGACGTTCAGGTCCGGTGGGGCTGAACCCGGCTTCTGAAGTAGCGACGATGCCCGCTGCGAGGTGGTCGAGAGGCCGACGGCGTTCGAAGGGCTTGACCAGTCGAGCCGCGCCCTCTCCGGTTCTCCGCGGGCACCAGCTGCAAGCGCCGGATGGACCGCGCCGGGCGGCGACACTGCAGGGGCGCCCGCCGTCGGCCCGGCAGGTCTCGTCGTCTTCCCAGCTTGCAAGAGACTGAAGCCGAGCGCGGCGTTGTTGATGAGACCATTCATGCCGTGGAAAGGAGGCTGCCTCGGCCGCGTGCCGGCCGGGCTAACGCTAGCCGGCGGAGAACACTCTGCAGCATCTGTCGGAGGTTCCGGCCATGGGGCCGCATGCGGCTGCTGGTGGCGCTGCGGCGCATCCTGTTCGCCGACCCATCCTCGGCCGAACTTGGTTCCCAGAGGTAGCACCTTCGCGATCTGCCTGGCGGCGATCTCCCAACCAGCAGGCCCGAGATTTGCAGCAAAACGAGCGAGGCTCCTGGCGTACGCGTGCTCGATGCGAATCTCAACCTGGGGCGAGAATCAGAAGGCAACTTCATTATTTATTAAAAAATAAAAACGGCATGAAATTGATCCTAACTTAGCAGACGGCACAACAACGTCCATAAATTAATTCAGGAATAAAGAAACAGTGAACTGACAGGAACCAACTGCCTCTTCTCCCCATCGAAGGTGGCCAGCACAGATGGGTAAAGCTGGGGAGGCTCGTATGTGTGGCGTCTATTCTCGTCCAAAACAGGAACTTTCTTCCCGGGCCTCATCAGAGCCCCCTTCACAGAACCTGCAAAGCCGATGATTTCTTCAGATCAAGGAAAAAAAATCTGACCGGAAATATCATATCAGGAAATAATCACTCCACGAGACCTGAATCACCGTTTCTGTCGAGCCTCTCAGTCATCCAGTCGCCACCCTTCAGGCCATGACCATTCTTCGCTAAATCATGAGAAGAGTCTCCTCCATCAGTAAGGGTCACACCACGAGAGAGGTCATAAAAGGAGCGCTCAGCAGGTCTCCCTCCTGCCTTCTTAGTTCCATTCTTGCTGGGCGGTCTACCTCTCTTGGTACTCTTGGTTTCGGGTTCGCTATCATCACTGCTTTCCTGTCTTAGGTTTTCAAAGTCCTTCCTCGCCAGTTCTTGGATTGATCGAGCCTGAGGGAAAGTATGAGAAAAAAAATGGTTAGGGAGTTTCTCACAAGCACATTGAGGTAGGAAATGACCAGTGATTCAAGGTTTAGCAGTAACCTGTCGAAAGTAAATGGTATCTGGAGCATTATAGCGCATAGCATTAGAGCAGATTAAGAACACATCAGCCTGCATGCAAATCAAGACCAAAGTTAATCCACAGAGGTAAAGTTACGACAACCTCCCTCATCACATATCATGTATTTCTGCGCAGTCACATGTTATGAGGAAAAGTTAGCATTATAGGACAGCATAATGCATTCTATGCTTGAGAATGGCACACAGCTGCACTAGACTCGAGGAAGCTCAGAATTTTAGGTCTAAACACGGCCAAGCCGGCCTTTAATGGCAGCGAAAATCAAAATTATCATACACTGGACAGAAATTACATCCAAATGTGATTTCAGAATTACATATTCATATGACGTTCAATTGGGTTATTGATTTTAGGTACGCACATGATGATGAAGAACCCAACAATTCCATCTTTTTCGCATTTTTTGACACAAATCAGTCATCTCGGGCCCACAGAAGGCCCTCTCAGCAGTGTAGCAGCAAAGATAATCCAGTGAAAGAAATCGCTTATATCCACAAAGCTTGATCCTCCAGGGAAATTTAAAGAATCGTAACGTGGGAAATCAGAGATTCCATGACTGCCGCATGTTCCCCCGGCCTTTGATGATATCCATCCACGTATGTGGGGATGATCACTAAGAAATAAAAGCCCAGGCACAATTCTTGACTATCGCAGTTGGGCAGTGCACCTAGCAGCTCTCCGTTGCATCCACAGAGAAAACGACTCAAGTCCTCTACAGTGATGGTGCTTAGACGAGGAAAATATTGAAAGGAGATTCCAGTGTTGCGTTACATTGCCAAGTAACCCACACCAGTTACGAATAATCTAAAAAAGAAAAGATAGTTAATCTACCACTTAACGCGCAAAAACTCAGAAGGATAGGCTGGACCATCTAAGTATTTCCACAAAGATTAACTGTATAATTTCAGCTTCTATAACAGGGAAGAAGGAGATCATCCATATCAACCACAAAAAGGAGCCTTCCCCACGGAACTCAAGTACTATATTTTCTGAAAATCGGGAGTATCCACCAGCAAGATAATGATGATTCTCTGTGGACTAATTGGAGATCCAGAGTCATGCACACCATCATCACATTGAATATACAGCTTCGTCCAATGCATGAATTCCCCGTGTTGGAAAGACCACTTTGGATTCCATTATATCATGAAGGAGCTTCCTACCAGCCGGTACACTACCCTTAATCCGTCATTCCAAAAACTTGACCTCAAAGAGAAGCGCGGTTCCTCACTCACACCCCGTTCCATTATAGGATCCTGGATCCATCCATCTTTAGAGAAGGGATGGACCAACTTCAAGCAGAACCTAGACATCACGCTCCCACCAGCACGTTTAACACTATCGCAGATTCATTCTGTGTTAACCCCAGAAATTTACTTAAGAACCCAACATGTTAGGAATTTCCCATGCTTGCAGGTTCCCCTGCCAGTTAGGGAACCAACCATGACTAAATAGCACATTATGGCAGACCTCAGCCTATGCCGCCAGGCTTGATAATATGACAGCCTAAGACACTGAAAACTGACACAGAAAATAGCAGCTTGGTTCTGTTCCTGCCTAAAAAACCAAATTCTTTCGAAAAGTTTTGATCATGGCCCAGCAAATTGTCAGTCGCATCAAAGAAGGATTGGAACGACTAAGAACTGAGAAGATTGACCCAACTCCACAATAGTCAATAGACAAAGCTCTCTATCACTACCAGGTCCGTTTCACATTAAACAACCCCGCAAGAGTATCATCATCAACACAGATATTTTTGGAAAATAATTGATATTATTCTTATTTCCCGGAGTCATGTAAATACTCGCAGAGGCCGTCACACTTCCTTGAGGAATCTTGTCTACAAGCCAGATTAAAAGAGGTCCTTGGTTAAATTCCCACAAAATCCCTAAACTATACTATTATTATTATATCATCACCTCCATTTCCTTGTGTTCTCTTCAGTTCTCATCCTCTCTTTCAATATCTTCACGAGACCACCTCCAGCTACAATGCCATTCGCAGAGAAATGGCAAGCTAAAATCGTCGGCACTAAATAGAAAATCCTCCTTTTATCTTTCCTCTAAATAGTTCACCTCACCCCCACGAAGCATCGCGTTATCACCTTCTGTAAGCAACATTTCCCATTCTCTAGAAGTCTGCTCTGAAATCGTCACATTTAAGCTTTTGCCGATTCCTATTTAGAAGGGCTTGAGGAACACTTTACATTGAAAATATGAAGACACCCATTCATGGCTATTATCTTCGTTTCGAACACCATGCTTGTAATAAAACTGAATATAGAAATTCAGCACAAATTTATCGACATTGAAATTAGAGGACACCACAATCTCAGGAGGACATAAAAAACAAAACAAACAAATCGAAATTCCCATCAGACAATTACCGAGATATTTCACTCCAGAGATTGAAAATTGCTTACAGAACGACAAGATATAAATTCAATTATTTGATAATATCGTCCCTTTCCCCATAAAAACCGCATTCACCTCTGCTATTTCTTCCGATTTCTATAGTAAGTCGGTAAAAAAATGCAATAAATAATAGAGTTCTAAATGACTTTAGGATAAATCTAGACTTGACGAGATAGGAATACATTATAAGCAGCCTAGACCACAAGCCATCCTTAAACAAGCCGTCTATCAAACTGAGCAAACAGAAATAATCAGCAAAAAGGAAACTGTGACTCTAGACGTCAATGTCATGCCCAGATCTCTTAAAGCACTGGCTTACTAACCTCAAACATTTCCAGATTTGCATAGTATCCATCTGAAAGCCTCTTTCTCACAGTACTAAAATCCATCGGGTGTGCTATGATTTCATGGTAGTCAGGAAGCTGCACAAACAGACGAACAACACATGAAAAACTTCAGCACAACAACAGAAACTGTTTTTTTCTAGCGCTCTCGCCGTTACAAAAGACTCGCTTACTTCACTGGGATCCACAGGCTCAGAGAACACGCCGTAAGTATCTTTCCTGTTGCACGTAGTGAAAGCCTCATCAGTGACAGTGTAGGTTACGAAATGAAACGAAAGAAAATAAATGCGCGAAAACAGAAACATTGAAAAATAAGATAGAAGGATCAACAAGACACTGAAATGAACAACTGTCACTCACTTTTGCAGCCTGTCGAGGACGAACACCAACAGCATCTCGTCCGGCAGAGGAGTCGTGGGCCCAGAATCTGACGCCCCCTCTGTTCAGAGAGAAACATGAAAATATTGGAAACCTTTCCGGATTTCTGAGACTACGTGGTTCCTGTTGGGTTTGGAGAAATAAATGCATCCGGAGCATACCGTGCAGGCGATCTGTCGCTTTCGAGGAAGGGTTCTGTCTTCCTGTCTGCAACGGTTAAAGAAGAAAGAAATCTAGATAAGTCCGCCGAGTACAGACTGTAGAAAAGTGAGAAAGCTTGACGAGAACATAGTGCGAGGAACGGGAACATGCCCCAGAGTGGAATAATCGGAGACTTAAAGAACAGAGAAGGGAGGAATTTCCGAGAAAGAAAATCGGAGAGAAAAAGAGAGAGAAAAGGACAAGCGAATCTTTGCAGAGGAACAGTCCAGCTTTTCTGGCAATAAAAGCCGAAAAAGGGTACAAATCCAGAAAAATTCCCACACAAATCATTGGATGTTGACCCAGCCCAGTCAGCGATTTCTCCGCCTTCAAAATCTACGACGAAAAAATGGTCAAATGAGATAACGGCGCCCAACTGTATTCTTACAGATTGAACCGCCTCGATCCTGCACCAGATCACCTCCGGGGTAAAAAGGAGAAGTGGATCCGCATACAACACAGCCCAGGAATCGGGGAGCCACCAGAAATCGGGGGCAAAGCGGCGTGATTCACCTTCTCTCGAAGAGACTCATCGCCACGAACAGCATCGATCTTCCTCTTCTTCCGAGACGCTTCACCCTCGACGTTTGATTCCGACGCGGACCCATCCGAGTGCGAATTTTTTGCCCGAGAATCGCCGGCCCTGCTGTCGCCGTCGTCATTCTCGTGCAACCGGAGGACAAGCTTCAGTTTCTTCTCCCGGCCTTGCCCGCTGGACTCCTCGTCTTCCTCGCCCCGTCCTCCATCTACCCCGTGGAAAGGGCTCCCATCCGAGGTCCCGTGGCTTGGGTTGGAGCTGTGGAAACGAAGGTACGGACTGGGGCTAGGGTTAGCGTTTCCCTTATTTTCCTGATGTTCCTGCTGCAGCAGCTGCTTCTGGAGGCGTAGGCTCCGCCTCTGCAGATCCAGAAGGGAAGGACGTCCCTTCTTCTTCCTCTTCTTCTCCATTCTCCCCGCTTTCCCGTATCTATTTCTCTCTCCTCTCTCTCTCTCTCTCTCTCTCTCTTCAAACGGGTGCGGTTTTTTTTAATTTTTCCGCTGATTTTCTGATTCCAGCAGACGCGCTCTTGGACTGTGAAGGGAAAGTTCTCCTTTTAGCACCGTCTCGCACGTGAGATCAGTGCCACACGCGCGGCACTGCTGCACGTGCCAGCGAGGGTACACGCGATCTTATTGGCTGTAAGATAGATGACGACAGTAAGCTCCATCCCAACGCTTACAGGGACGAGTCAGACTCGATTCGACTCAGTGAGTCCACCCGGATCGTCGGGCTGGACTCATTTTATCCCCCCACTTAATATCCACGGCCCTCGAATCCCCTTCCTTCCCGTCACCAGATCCTGTCGGATCAGTGCAGCAGTCCCCCAGACCACGCTCACAACCTGTTTGATGAAATGCTCCTCTGAGACCGCGATATCTCTTCCTGTCCATTTCCCTCTCTCTGTCCCTCTGATCAGTGCCGAAGGGCTGTGCGCATGGAGAAGGTTCTGACGAGGTTAATCTGGCCATCACTACGACGGCCCGAGTCTGGCTATGGCGCGCGGGGCAAGGCAAGTGCCGCAGCCTGGAAGCAGCCGAAGTCGTCCCCTTCATCCCGTCGCAAGCTGCCCAAGAACCTCCGCTACCCACGGCGCGCCAAGGTGCCGCCGGACTCGGGGGTCAACAGAGCAGCGGTCTTGAAGAAGGTGGAGGAACCGGAGAGGCAGCCTACCGGAACCGCCGCCGGCGACGAGGAAGACAACGGAGAAGCCTTCGACGGCTCAGTGTGGAGCCAAGAGGAGATCGAAGTCATATCCTCTTTATTCGAGCAGCGGATGCCCCAGAAAGCCGTGAGACGGCGGAAAGAGAGCGCCGCCCATGTCCCGCCACCGCGGGGTGCACGGCCAGCGGGGACGCCGGCACCGAAGAGGTACGTCCGGGCGGCGTCTCGGGGGGCGCCGTCGCTGCGGTCGCCGGTCAGCTCTCGCGTCTTCAAGAACCCAGAGGTGCTCGTCCGCATAGCCAGGGAAATCGGGGCCCTCCCCGCTGATGAAGACGCCTCCGAAGTTCTCGGAAGGTGGGGGCCCTTCCTGCGCAAGGGCTCCCTGTCGATGACCATTAAGGAGCTGGGCCATATGGGTCTCCCGGAGAGAGCGCTCCAGACCCTCTGCTGGGCTCAGAAGCACCGGCCTCTGTTCCCCGACGACCGGATCCTGGCTTCCACTGTGGAGGTCCTCGCCAGGAACGGGCAGCTGAAGATGGGGGCGCCCATGGAGAGATACCTGAGCTCGGCCAGCCGCACGGTGATGGAGGCCATGGCGAGGGGATTCATCAAAGCAGGGAACGTGGACCTCACCCGGAAGATCCTCCTCTTCGTCAGGGACAACAAGCGGGCGCTCGACGCCAGCATCCACGCCAAGCTCATCCTGGAGGCTGGGAAGAACCCCGACAGGCTCAGGCTCGCGGAGGTCCTCCTGGACGAGCTCGGGGACAGGGAAGATCTTGACCTTCGGCCACAGGACTGCACGGCCATAATGAAGATCTGCATCAGACTGGGGAGATTCGAGGCGGTGGAGAGCCTCTTCGAGTGGTTCAAGCAGTCCAGAGTGAACCCCACCGTCGTCATGTACACTACCATCGTCCACGGGAGGTTCCGCTCGGGGGATCTCCGGGGAGCACTGGCCGCCGTGTGGGAGATGGAGGAGCGGGAGCTTCTCCTCGACCTCCCGGCTTACCGGGTTGTGATCCGGCTGTGCGTGGCCCTTGGGGACCTCGCGAGGGCCGCTAGGTACTTCTCTCGGCTCAAAGAGGCCGGATTTGCGCCCACATATGACATTTACAGAGACATGATCAGGGCCTACGCTGCCGGTGGAAGGCTCGCCAAGTGCCGGCAGATCTGCAGAGAGTTGGAGACGGCGGGGTGGAAGCTCGACAGAGGGGCCCAGAACCTGTTGCTCCAGATTGAAGACGGCCTCCTCTCTGATGATTGACCTTGTGTATCATTCTCATTCTTCCCTCGTCTTCAAAACCGCCCCAGTTTGAGGGTCAAGAAGTTAAGCGACGGCTATAGCGGGGATCGTCCGAAGGTAGAAGACGCTGCTGCAGAGTTTTCATGAACAGGGCGATGGTGGGCGATCTTGTCATCAGTACGGCCTGCTGGATCTCTACATATCTGGAACCGATCATCATCATCTTGTCCTTACGTCGCTTCATTTGCTGCCTTGGTTGATGGGTACTCGGGGGATTCCCCCGGAGCTTGAGGACCTCGCTTGCTCCATCTTGCCGTCGTCGGGGGATCTCCTCGCCCGAGGGGAAGGGTGATGGGGGAAGCTGGTACTCCCCATTATCCAAGTGACCGGAGTAATTCACCTCTGCGGCGATGGCCTGGCTGTAGTCCTGCTTTTTACAGCGGAAAACCTCGACGTATACGTCGGCCTCGCCGGAGAAGCTGCTGTTCTTCTTGGCCAACAGGCAGTCCAAGACATCCAGGCCGGCAAAAGAACTTGAGGACGTCGAGATCAGTGCAGCTGAAGGGTATGCCTCACGGTGGAACAGCGGGGAAGGAGAAGGCATTGCTGTCTACCTCGCCGTGGTCACCAGTGTCAGGTGTGACGCCCTGAGCTCAACGAATCCACATTCCGGGAGCGGAACTGCACTGCTGGCATGAGCCCGGCGGTGAGCCGTGTGGGCGTGGCATGGCTTCATGTTTGCAGAGGCGCACGGCGGACGGCGGCACGGATGCAGCACGCGCGGGGGACGTTGGATTGCACACCGGCATGCATGGCTCACGCAGACGGCACTGCTGAGGTAGAGTAAGGGTCAGGAGGCACTCCTGAACCTCGCAGGTGAAGCGAGCGCTGGCATAGGACAATATGTGAGGTACGCAAGGCGCATGCGTATACACATGAAGCTCAAGTGAAGGACCCTACCAAATACGGAAAAAGGTCGGGGGAGCGTCTTGAGAACCCTAAAGTACGTTGATGAGTGTCACCTTCCATGACTATATTGGCCGCTTTGTTCTCGTATACTTCGATCGCATTTTGGCCTAAATGGATGAAAATATTTATTCAAGCATCAGATTATAATACATGGAACGTGATCGCAAATGACAGATATGAGGTAAAGGTGATGCAGGATCATCGCTACGAACAAATAAACAAAGTTTTTATATTCTAGTGAATTCAATAGTCTCTCTATGTAGTACTGAAAAAGAGATTTGGGATAAACTTTAGAAGTTACGTATGAAATGACCAAATGAAAAGTGAAGGAATCGAAAATTGATCAACTTACTTACCAATATGAGCTATTTTTTATGATTGAAAATAAATTAATTTTAAAATGTTTACAATATTTACTAATATTACAAAAGGGTTGAAATATCTAGTATCACAAAAAAAAAAAAAAACTGTGAAGTTATCTATTGATAGTGATGACAAAGACATTGCCCTACTTACTATGAAGCTTAAGAGACAGTTGACCAAAAAGGGAGCCCACAAATCTGGAAAAAATCATTTACATCCTCAATTGATGTAACCTTTAGTTTCTAACTTTAGTTCAAAGATCTTTACACTTTTATGTTCAAATTAAAATTGGTCTGAATTTCTCCTAGATATTTCATCATATTTATAATATTAGAATATCTTGTGAACATTTTCTAAATCAATCCATTTTCAGTAATACAAAATAGCTTTTAATAGTAAACAAGTTAATTGAATTTTTTTTGTCCCTTCGTAAATAACTTAGAATTTATCTCAGATCTCCTTTGTAATGTTGTTTCAAGAGATTATTAAACTCATTAGAATCTTAGGCACGATAAATGATATTCACAACTCTAGCGACTCAAAATTTCTCAAATCCTCTTTAAAGTCTACAACCCTAAGTAGTTACAATCAGAGAAGCTCCCAACTTCTCTCTTCTTAAATTTTAGGTTCCAAGGAAACATCATTTCCAATATTTTAATGCAAATAAGATGAAAAAAAAGGCCCAATTATAATCAGTCAGATGCAATGGTGTTGGATCAATCAATCTCACACACAAAATTAATCGTTTTGTTTGTTAGGTTAGTAGTAGATCTAACTCTCACATGGCATTCTCTTCAATCGATGTAATTTCTTCATTTATTACGTTCTATCACTCATTTTTGTATCAAGGCTCCCCATAATATGATAATTCTACAACCATAATAGTAGAAATACATGATTCATGTATTTCACTTAAGATTATTTGAATATTCATTGAATTAGGATTAAAATAATTATGCTTGTCAAACCCTCTACAAGGACTTGTAGACTCTATCCAAGGCAAACTAATGACGCAGAAATTTAAAGCATCACACCTTCCCCTAATTGCGTCAATTATTATTTTTTTTTGGAAAAATATGTTTGTCTAATTAGAACATCTAAATCTTATAGTTATTTTCATAAAAAATAACACTTTGACGAGCCAATAATTTATCAGTTTAAAGAATATATAAATAAACACATGACTAAAAGAAATAAAATTGTATTTATTTATTTATTTTAATGAGATCATAAAAATCAATTAATATATATATCTAATACAACCAAACACTTTCAAGCCTCTGGTTATACCATGTTTCACAAGGAGTCATATATGAATATAAATTATTGTTGCCACAGCTTCTGCCCAATAATCATTTTGAAGATTCTTCTCACTAAACATATTTTGTGCCATTTATATTACTATTCTAATTTTTTTTCAGCATTACTATCATTACTCCAAAAAAAATTAGTTGTTAATTCCATACGAATAGCATCTTACATGTAAAAGAAATTAACCTAGTAAGATAAAAATGATCTCCCTCTATCTGTCCAAATGGTCCTTATACTTGCTCACTTGAGGTTCTACATAAGTTTTAAATTCTAGAAAATTTTCAATTCCTTAAAACTTACGAATCAGAAAATATCTTCAACTCATGTGGGTAAGACTATTGATAATCAGTAAAACATATTAGTTGTTATTCGATGATGTACTCTTCACTTGATCACAAATATCAAAAACACACCCGCACAAACAGTGATAAACATATCAAAGAACACTTGACAGCATATTAGTTGTTGTTCGAAAACTGACTTTGGCCTCTAAATTTTTTTTAATTGAAATGTTAAACAGTGTTCTTTACCATAAACACACCCCCACAACATCATTCTGATTATAATCAGAGGCAAATAAAAAATCATATTTTTTTGATGTAATAATTTTAGTATATAAAATGTAAATGATAACTTTATTTTTTTTGGTGTGATATTTTGTCATGATTTTTCATGTGCACATATAATCTAATCTTTATAGCATACAACCATAAAAAATGTCAATCCATTAATGTTATAGCAACCAATTAACGTAAGCATAATGACTAGTCTACAACACTTTAGTAAACAAATCACACTTCTTTTTTGTCAATTTCATGCTTTTTCTATTCAAGGTAAGTTTTACTCACCTTACTCAAATAAGTGAACAAAGAAAACTTCCATCTCTTATATTTTTTTGTATACTTCTTCAGAATGCAAATACATCCATTCGCCATCATTCTCGTCACGTCCAATGGTTATAGGTGATTTGAAATTATCATTCTACAGCTGTGATGACACCTTTTCATTATGGAGTGGAGCATACCAAATTTATTCATTCATAGGATGTTATGAAATGGTGAGAAGATCTCAACCCACGAAATCACAAACACATCTATTCACAATTATTCTCACATCATCCAATGGTTAGACGATGATTCAAAATTATCATTCTATCCTTGTGATCAAACGTATTTTTATTAAGGATTAGAGCACATCAAATTTGTTCATAGGCTTCTGTTCTGAATTGGTTAGAATATTTGAAAGATCAAAACCCATGAGATCATAATATACGCTAAACTATAGAATCTATTACAGAAAATCGTTATAGATGATTAAATAAAAAAGGGATAGTAATTTAGTCTAAAGCAACTAATACAATCTACTAGTTCTTCAATTCATAAGACTAAGTATACTTCATAAAAAAAAAAAATCACAAAGCACATTGTAGCACGGAGGAAAGAATGTGATTATGCATCTGAACAAATTAGCTAGAGGGATTTCATTTAGCAAAGCATAAAATTATTATGTTAGTAGTGTGGAAAGAAAGACACCTTCCTAGGGACCAAACTATTTAGAATACTGCTCATTAAAAGGAGCATTACGTTACATTCTTGTCTTCTATTCATTAAACCAATACATTAGCTTTACCCAAATGTTAAGCATACAAGAGTTCACATGAAACATCACTTTTAAGTTAAGTTCCACATGTAAATACGGCAAAGTTGAAGAATAAGTGATTATGATCTCATGTTGCAACACACAACGAGCAAGGCCAATATGTTCTTCAACCAAATTGTGTAGAGGTGGCGTAAGTATGATAGAAGCCCCAAGTTCCAAGTAAAAAAACTAATAAAATGTTAAGTTGTAAAACTCTTACATGAATGAAAGGCTAAGGGTCTTAGTAGCCAAAACAGATCTAGGATACCAAAGAGGTTTCAAATACCTTTTCAAGAAATTATTTGTCAAACATCAATGAGAACATTACTGATATACCCCATATATCAAAGGCAAAAAGTAAGAACAACAGGGTTAAGATATATAAACATTCCTACATGGGCAAAAATTCATCAGAAAAAGTGACCATAGTACAAATGCAGAACAATTTTGAACACCCATTTGGCTATTGTAAATAAGGGACTTTGATGCGGGACAGCAATATAGACTATAGCATAGTATCAACAAACTATTGCGTAAAATATAACCAGCACTTTTAAGACTAATAACAATCAATGCAAAGAAGATATAAACATAAAAAATGTTCCCATACATCAGCATTCAAAACCTTAAGGCAATAAGCATCAAGGTTGCTCAAAGACTAGCATCTTAGGACAATTTAGTTGGGACAGTAGAAAGGAGTAGAAAGGGGTATCGTAAATAACTGACCAGATGAACAGGCACAATAATCCACAGTGGGCGCTGGTAAACATATGCTAGAGCAGATGCATAAAACGTGTTTGGTGTGAACAGATCCCTAACGGGCAAGCTAGGACTGAGGGACAAAAGCGGACAAGGTAGCACATCAGACAGATGCGAGGTTCATAGACAGAATCCAATGGATACTATGGCCCTCCCTCCGATAGGCCATTTGGATTATAATACCATGAAAAGGAAAACGAAACGAAATAGATGGAAATGGTGCATCAGATATTTGGTTGTCCACATAGAACTTACCTCAAAAGTTCAGAGATCAAGTGTAAGCCATCATATGCACATATTCCAGACAAAATCAATCACAAACTTCACACAGTCACCTAGACTTAAGCCTCTCAGACAATCTACACCCTAGAGATCAAGGAAGGCATCTTTCTGAGAAAACCAATGACGTAGCTAAAATATGAGAGGACGGTGCAGAATGCCTGAGAAAAGCTGAACTAAAAACCTGCCATTTCTTCTCCATTATAAAATTTTGGCATAAGGTGTAGCACGAAATATGGATCTGGGATATGTGATAAAATAAAATAAAACTCAAATGGAGAAACAGGTTGACCATTAAACAAACAAACCAGCATCAACTTTGAATTTCGATTAACAGAAATACACCAGTAAGCTCCAATCAACGGCGAACACTAAAGTGTAAGATAAACTTTATGACATAATTTATTAATCATAACAGGAACAGCTCACAATTGGAGAACTGATATCACATTAGTTATTCTCGGCAAGTTCTGAATATTGACGATCAGTCCAAATGCACATTGAGCCTATATAGAAGGCATTTATCTGAAAGTAAGGAGCAAGAGCAATGTAGGTGCTAGCCAATTGCGGCAATAATATGAGCACACTGCCTTTAGAGAACCTAGAAAATGATTCGAAAAAAGTAAAACTTGCATGGGCTACAACATAGGTACAGACCACGGTCTTAAGGAGTAGACAGAACCAAGAGCCACGATCAGAAACGCACACTGGAAAATTTCCAACACATCAGGAGACAGTTAAGAATACAGATGAGCCAGCAATCACTGACCCTTCAGTCAGGGCAGAAGGCATGTAAAAGAATAGAGTAAAGGTAGAGATGGTGATGGAAAGATAATAAACAGGACTGGTAAAGTTCCAATATCCTCCACTGAACATGGACTCCAGATTTGAGCATTGAAAAGTTCACTGCAGCGTTCTTTGAGAATTAATAACGAACCTAATACAACTAGGAAAACGAAGGCTTAAAAGGCAACTCTTTTAACATAATTGTTAGCTGGTTTGTAGCGATACATCCGAGTCAGAGAAGAATTGACCTGAGTACGATATAAGAATCATGCCCAGGATCGTTTGGATACTAATTGAAAGGTATGATATTTGTTGCCGCACCATTTTATATGCGTTCATCTCATTTAAACTTCGGCAAGAAAATTTAGCCTTTCCAACAAACTAGAGTCGCATCTATCGAGGAAGCATACATTTCTCGAAAGAAAAAGCTAATGGCAAAAAAGATAGAGGCCTCATTGTGCAAACGGGAAGGTGGAATGTTGCATGAAGACATAACTCTAGTCGAACAAGCTGAAGCCCATGTCATCGTCGCTCTCTTCCTTGGGCTCCTCCTGAAAAAATATTGAACTCGTTTTCATAATGAAACTGAAACAAATGGTAAAATATAGTGCATAAGGCATGGTGTAACCTTCTTCTCTTCCACTGCGGCTGGTGCAGCAGCAGCACCACCGCCTGCACCACCCGCTGGGGCAGCAACTGCAATAGGAGCCCCGCCTCCGCCTGCACAATCGATTTCGATAAAACAAATTACTAATCAAAATGCCCGGAGATTAAAAGAGCATCGACGGTATAGCGAACCAGAATTAAGATCTAACCAGATCCAACGTTCATGATGAGGTCGTCCACGTTCCTTTTTTCTAGAAGCTTTGCAAAAAGGGACGGCCAGTAGGAATCTACTTTGACGTTCGCCGCCTTCACCAAGGTGGATATCTTCTCGGCCTGCCAGGAATTTACTGGTCATCAATTGCAATCCAAATCCTTAATAACCTGATCTCTTACTGATCTTCCCTTCCGCGAGAAATGCACAAAATAACGAAGAAAGCGCAAAGGAGAACCGCAAAATCACCAAAACCAACAACATACCGTGATGGAGATGTTATCGTCATGAAGAATCAGAGCAGCGTAGGTGCAGGCAAGCTCTCCGACAGACATCGTGGCAGGAAGAGATCCGTCTGCGACAATAAAACCGCGATCAAAATACACACATCCATGAAATTAAATTCATTACCTCGACTCGCAGTAGAATTTAGTCCTGCAATATGCGCACAGGGTCACCGACTTTACCAGGTGGGATGGAGAGAGCATAAGCGACGGCGTGACCAGCGGCAAGATCTTCGCTCGCCTGCCCATCTCCGCCAAAGCGAGCTCTTATACCACTCCCCCTCCCATGGCTAGGGTTTTCGGCCTAGTCCGGTCGGGTATCGTCCCCCGGTTCAACTTCTTGGACCGGGTCAACAACCATTATTGACCCGCCTAAGCGGTTCAGTTTTGGGCCGGATGCCCTCTCTTAACCAACGGGTACTGCCCTTATACTGGGCCGACCATATTTTCCTCCTTTGGGACTATTACCCTGCTACACTCGCTCCCTCTACTATGTCTCCTGCATAGTAGACAAATAGATGATTGCTATATTCTAAAAAGAAAAAAAATAGAAAATTTAAATATTCGACTTATTTCTCATCCATATAAAGACAATATCCAGATGGTCGATGACTTTGATGAAATCCTTCCATGCCACCAATGGATGGGTGCGAGTGGGACATAATATCGTCTTGTGATATGCATAGCAAGATCTTTGTCTAAATTTTAGTACTATTTTATGAAAAATTTATTTTATGCGTTTATTTTTATATTTGTATTCCACTACCAAAAATATGTATTTTTTGTTATCTGGTTTATATATAATTCAAAATTATATAAAAATAGTATGAACAAATGATTTCAGTACTATCATGTGAAAAAATTGTATTTGATGTGTTTATTTATATATTTCTATTCCACTTCCAGAAATATCTATTTTTTGTAAATTTTTTTATATATAATTAAATTTGTTATAAAAAGAGTATGAACAAATTATTTTTAGTAATATTTTATGAAACTTTTATTTTACATGTATATTTGCATTCCACTACCAATTTTTTTTTTTGTTATTTAGTTATATATAATTAATTTTTACATCAAAACTATGGAATATTGCTATTATTCATTTTTTTTAGTACTATTATGTGAAACTTTTTATTTGACGTGCTTATCTACATATTTTTTATTCCACTACCCAAAAAATATATTTTATTGTTTTCCAGTTTATATGTATATATTTAAAGAGTATGGAATATTGTCGTTATTCAAATTATTTTTGGTCCTATCATGTGAAACTTTTTATTTGATGTGTTCATTCATATATTTATAATCCACTACGAAAAAAAATTAATTTTCTTATTTAGTGTATATATTACTAAAATGTGTATAAAAAGAGTATGAAATATTGCCATTAATCAAATTACTAGACTACGACTATGGCTAGCATGGTTGCTGCCGCTGGCTGCCGCATTATTCAACGGGAGGGACCAAGCGTGTCATCTAGATTTTCCAACTTCGGTCATAATTGTGGTTGACAATAATAATTGACTTGGAGATTGAGTTGACCACGACTTGGGTAGTAGAGAAGGGTGGAGAGAGAAACACGAATGGGTTAGAGTGAGTAAAGGATGGTTTGAGCCAGGGAGAAAGAAGAGTCTACGAAACCTTTACTTGTTTTGGGCTACATCTTATTGTATATAGGTTGTGTAGCCCCTGTATTGGTCAATTCTCTCATGCCACGTGTCATACCCACACGATGACACACTCTATGAGTGTGCAAAGTTGAGAGAGCCACATCATGTCCACGTCACCTGTACGGTGGGATATACAGCTTGTCACTTGTGTGTTATTTCGTGCCAATGGCCGCCGAGGGTCGAAGATAAACCACACGTGATCGCCTGCATGAGTCAGCCACGTATGCTCATGTGCGATTCTCGATATTATTCCGCCTGCCCCCACTCACACGTCACCCCTCTCTTAGATGGGAGAGGATGGCACGCCCGTGCGTGAACCTCTCTTGAAGCGACACGATGACGAGAATGCCCATCGGGGAAGCGTTATGAGAAGAATCTTCTTCCGGTGCATTTCGACGAGAATGAGAGCCGCGCGCGCCGACGATTCGGATCGGAAATCGACAATGGCTAGCGTAGAGAAGCATAGAAAGAGAGGGGAGAGAGAATGGAAAGGCGGGTGGGGGAGAGAGAGTAGGCAAAGCGCCGACCACGTGGTTGTGATGAGAAAGAGGTGTAATTACGCTGGGAGAGGGATGTCGGTAACTCTATTGGCGGAGGCCGCCAATCGGATTTGACCCGTTTAACCGAGGCACCAACCGGCCGACAGTCTTAGCTGGCATTGGGCAGCAGCCGGGCTGCCGTCCACTCAAAGCGGGGCCTTTTTCCACGGCGGAGGGACGCCCCCCCCCCCTAGCCGGCGTCACCTTCTCTCTACACCCTCATCCCACTCTCACTCTCGTCCGTCACTCCCCTCCCCGTCCGGCCATGGCGGCGCTGCCACGAGCTCTGCTACGGCTACTGCTCGGGCTTCTCCTCCTGGTCACCCCCTTGCCGTCGTCCTCCTCTTCTCTGGGCATCAACTACGGGCAGGTGGCCAACAATCTCCCGTCGCCGGAGGCCGTCATCCCGCTCCTCCGGTCCATCGGCGTCTCCCGGGTCAAGATCTACGACGCAGACCCCACGGTGCTCCACGCCTTCGCCGGCAGCGGGGTTGAGTTCGTTGTGGGGCTCGCCGACGAGTGCGTCGTCAAGGTCCGCGACGCCGGCGAGGCCCTCACCTGGGTGAAGACCAACATCGCCCCCTTCGTGGCCCACACCAAGATCTCCGCCATCACCGTGGGGAACGAGGTGCTCACCGGCAACAACAGCGGTCTCATCCACAGCCTGCTGCCGGCAATGCAGAGCATCCACTCGGCGCTGGCGGCCTGTGGGCTCGACCAGCAGGTGGCGGTGACCACCCCTCATTCGCTGGCCGTGCTGGAGACCTCCTATCCGCCGTCGGCGGGGGCATTCCGCAAGGACCTCGCTCCTTACATCTGCGAGATCCTCTACTTTTTGGAGAAGACGGGGGCCCCCTTCCTCATCAACGCCTACCCGTTCTTCGCCTACAAGGCCGACCCCAAGCGGGTCTCGCTGGACTACGTGCTCTTCCAGCCCAACGCCGGCGTGCTGGACCCCGCCACGGGGCTGCGCTACGGCAACATGCTGCACGCGCAGGTGGACGCCGTCCACACGGCCATCGACCGGCTGATGGGGAAGGGGAAGGGCTTCGAGGTTAAGGTGTCGGAGACGGGGTGGCCCTCCAATGGCGACTCCGGCGAGACCGGCGCGACGGCGGAGAACGCCAAAAAGTACAACAGCAACCTGGCCCGGTTGGTCTCGCAGAAGATGGGGACCCCCCTGAGGCCCAATTCAACGCTGCAGGTCTACATCTTCGCCCTCTTCAACGAGAACATGAAGCCCGGCCCCGGGTCGGAGAGGAACTACGGCCTGTTCAAGCCGGATGGCACGCCGGCGTACGATATTGGGATAAGGACGTCCGCCACCAAGGGCGGCGGCAGCGGCGAGGGGGACGGCGGCGCAGCGGCGGGAGGAGACGGGGGAGCCTATCCCAGCAGCTCTTCTGGGTTCTATGCCATCTCTGCTGCGACGAAGGTAGAGTGAAGACCAATTCCGACCATCTCTTCTCCCACGCAGGCGTCTCTACTCACCGTCGTTGGTTCCTCAGTCAGGATCGTTCGCGGGGTTCTCATTCCTGCTGGTGCAAGCCCTGGCACTGCTCGCCGTCGTCTTCTTCTCCGGCGCCGGCGATGCAGGCGGGCGGTGATCTGATCGCGGACGCGGCCGGCGAGGATCATCAGATTAGGCGTGAACCGGTGGGAAACCACCTGACGGAAGCACTTAAGATCTCTACTCTCGTTAACCCAAATGTATCCCCCTATTCTTGCCGAATTCTCATTCCTCCATTCTTCTTCGGCGCAGCCTTTCTTCTACCTCATCAATCCTTACCTTCGTTCACACTCGACGGCGGTGCTTTCCCCAGACCCCGTCCCCTACTTTACCGACTTTACCGCCGCAGCCGGGATTCCTCTTCCGGATGGAATCCGGGTCTGATGAAGGATCTCGCAACGGCGACCAGAGATTTCAAGATCCCCAACGATCCTTCCAAGCGAGAGAGAGAGAGAGAGAGAGAGCACACCACTACTTCATTAATATCTGACTCAGATCAATATAACTACAGACCCAATTTACATAATTACTGCTCGCCAGACGCCGGCGGGTTTATTTTGAGCAGGGGCTACAACGGCACCCCGCCGGCGGGCTACAAGGGGGGCGGCGCCGCCGCCGCTGCAGACGGAGATGGGGGGGGGGGGGGCGCGGGGGGCGACTAAGACTCAGTCGGAATCGACGGAGCTCGAAGAGTTCATCTCGTGCTTTCTACTGGGATGCGGCCTCCTTCCCTCGGGCTCGTCCTCGTCGGTGGAGAAACTCCGAGCCTCGTCGCCGCTCGATGAGGACGAGGAGCGGAGGGCGTCGTCCCCATCCGACCCCCCCGCCGCTGCCGGTTTCTGCCGATTCCTGAGCACTCGGCCCCGGAGGACGAGTCGCCGTCGCTTCCGCGCCTTCCGGCGGCCCTTGGGGAAGTCGTCCGGATGCGAGTCGCCGTCCTTATCCTCCGCGTCCTTGGGGGCTCTCGCGGCCTCTTCGCTCTCAGACTCGGCGAGGGAAGGGTCCGTGTCGGAGCTGGGCTTCCGCCTCTTCCTGCTGGAATTGGTCTGAGACGTTTATCCCATTCCATAAACAGATGTATGAATGAAAAGAGGAATCAGGGTCATCGCTGACGAATGATATGATCTTCCCAAGAACATTCTGAGAAGGAAAAGGATTACAGAAGACCATGGGTAGGAGAGGAATCTACTTTCTCACAAGGTATGCCTGCTCATGGGGAAGGGAAATCGGATTGAGGGGGCCTTGGTGGGTAGGTTCATGGAAGGTAAGGTGGTGATTCTTAAGAGGACGGGTTTTCACCAAATCTAGTGGAAATTGTAGACCCGGTTTTATAGCATACCGCTGGGTTTTTCTGCTATTTTTCCAAAAGAATCAGGAAGATGGCGACCACAATCACGTTAGAAAAAAAATTTAAAACCAGTCCGAGGGTCAGCACGGGACATCAAGACAAAAAATAGGCAACTTCAAACAGCCACAATCCTATCAATACCAATCACTTCATGGCGCATATACTCTGTATTAGAAGATACATACTAGACTTACATTCCTGATTGTCTTAGCGAGCGAGAGAGAGAGAGAGAGAGAGAGAGAGAGAGAGAGAGAGAGAGGGAGAGGGATGAGGAGTAGGATCTCATCTGGCACCTAGATGTGGATTTCTACCAAAACTCAGGACTAGAGCGGGGGCCACAATAATTAGAATATAAAGGCAACATCGAGTAAAGAGCTGATTTCAGACATGACACGATTGATAGATATTCAAACCCTATGAAAAAAAAGAAAAGAAAATTGGATTCAACTGTAGCGCTGCTTTTCAAGAGTACCCACCTTAGGCCCTCGATCAATGAGATGCGCCCACTGGCTCCTGTTCCGCAAGCAATCAAGCACGGCCTGAGAATGGCTGGAATAAGCATATTTATCTCCGTTGGGCTTCCTCAAGTTCTTCCAGTGCTGGCAAAATATTTATATCAACCACCGAACCAAGAAAAGGGAATAGAAGCGATCATGCCAGATTGGGGAATCATACCGGTAGAACTGCACTGCAGAGTTCCTCATATGTCACGCAGTTTCCTTTACTCATGATCTCGTCAATCAGACCTGAAAATGGAAGATCGACCCAAAGGTCAACAGAGATCATCGGAGTGAAAGGTTAGGGATCATGAGAAAACTTGAACCATGTACCTGGCAAAGTATGGGCCTGGGAGGCAGCCGAATCTGGAGATAGAGTCTTTGACGAGCCGCCCATTGACAAGATGCTCTGGTCATTGGCCTTGGCGGAGGAGGAAGAATGCATGCTTGCACCAGTGGTGGAACTGAGCTGGGTGCTTTTCTTGGCAGAAGACGAAGCGCCGTTAGGTACGATCTGTCCGCCCCTCCTAGCAGAAGCATTGGCTGGCGTGGCAGCATCCTCTTTTCTCACGTCAGGAGACGGAAACCTATCTGCCTTCTTTGTCTCTCCACTCAAACCGTAGGAGCTGCGAGAGCTATCTCTGCATGAATCTTCCTTGTTCTTTCTCCTAGAGGCCTATATATTGGATCAAAATACAGGTCGTACATGCAGACATATACGTATAGATATCTTAAGCTCATGAAAAAAACAACATACAGTTCCTAAAACTGGAGAGAAGGTCTTCGTCTAGGATGGCATACACGAACATACCAAATATCGTACCTGGCTTTGATCCTTTCCGCCAGAACATTTCGACAGCATGCTTGTAGTGGCACCAGACGCCGAGTGGAAACCATCAGGTTGCCGCATCCGTGGAACACGAGGAACTCTGGGAGAACTGTTAAGTTCTTGATGTAACAACCGTGCAAGCTGCAAAAAGGAGGAAATCAGATGAATGATCCAAAAGGGTCGTGCACCCTGAGAGCAACTGTGAAACTGCTCTTACCTCCTCATCGCTTAGAGTGGAAGCGTTGACACTTGGAGGATGAATGACTGTAGAACTGTTGAATGTGCTGGAGGATTGGTGAGAAATTGGCAGGGTAATCTTTTCCCTCTTTTGGCAAGAATCCGAAGCAATTAACTTGGTCTGATTGGAATCACTTCGAGTCTGAGGAAAACTAATGGCATCTCCATGGTTCAAAGCCGTCTTTTCTAATCGAGAAGCCATACTGGAAGATAGAGAATGCCGCTTCTCCTTTGACTCTGTTGAGCCATGCTTAGCGGACTGAGAACTTCTACATGATGTGGAGGCTTTCGAATGGTTTCTTGTTAGCTGTTTTGTCGCTTCTTTTGTGATTTCTTCACCAGGTATAGCAGTCATCAAGTCATTTTTGTGAACAGTATTTGTGTTTACCTTCATCCTCTCTTTTGTCATTGCTTTTTCAGCTGTTGAAGACGTAGTGGAACCAGGCGACTTGCAACCTGAAACGGATGACTTGGAGAAATTTTGGGTAGATGATGCCGCAGAAGACTTTCCAACAGCTGGAAGAGGCTTAGCCTCAGCAGAGGCAGAATAACTAGAACTAACACAAACGGACTTAACTCGTTCTTCATGTTTCAATGTATGAATAGATTGTGAAGAGCATTCCCCTGCTGAGAGCTGGTCCACAGGTTTCACTTTCTCTCGCACACTTTGCTCAATGCCACGAGTTCGGAATTCAACTCCCTCTGAAAAGTTATCCTCAGTCAGATGCTTTACTCCAAGCTCCATCTCACCGTCCATAAGCTTCTCATCACAAGATAGCGAATCTTTAGCTGCGCCACTGATTTTAGAGTTCTCACGTGAGCACCCAGGAGTTTTCTCTGATTGTGCACATAAGAGCTCCGAGTGATCCAACCTTTCATCAGTAACAATCAGAGACGGGCATTCCAACTGATCAGAGCCAACGCCATCCTGCCCCATGGTTTCTGCTTCAAACTTAATTCTAGTGGAATTTTGAAAAATTGGAGCATTAGAATATTTGACTGCAGCACCCAGCGAAAGTGAAGAGCTGCTTCTGAAATCTCCACTAACAAGGGTTGGTTTTTCTGATTTTAATGAACCGGTAGATGAATCTTCATCCGTTTCCCCAAGATTGTCACTTTCCTTGTTAGTTGTTCTCTGTCCACTAACGCAAGTTGTGAAATCCTTCGAAAAAAAATTATGCACTTTAGTAGTAAAAAAAAACATATTCAGATAAGTATACAAAAGCATTTGAGATTATTGAAAATTTATAACACGGCAAAAGTAACTCCGCTTTACAACTATAGATAGGGTTTTCTGGCGACTTTTTATGGTTATTTGATTTTTTATGGTCGACTTTTTATAGTTAGGAACATGGCAGCTTAAGTGTGACACTACTCCAAGGTCCTGTCTTGCTTCACTGAGGTTATGGCGAAAAGAGTTCTTGTTGACTGCTACATTCTGTGTTTGGTATGTTGTGATTACAGGCGAACAAATTTGGGTAGTTGACATGAAAAATGACTAGAAGCAAAACGAGATGCATGTTTCAAGTTTAAGCAAATACTAGGATAGGCGAATGTCTAAATCGATTCGAACACGGATTACCTAACAAGACGAGAGAGTAATAGTCATGGAGAAACAAATAGTTAGTTAACATGGAAACCGCTTTCTACAGAATAATACAGATTGGGCATAGTGGACTTAGATGACTGAAACCGCTTAGGCAACTTTATGGCATGACGGTAACTGTTAGCGAGATTGTAAGGACGACAACAGCAATAGAAAATGTGCGAATTATTTAAGTTAAGTTCGATCCCTGCAATGAACACATCAATCCAAATATGTAACCAAGAATTCTGCAATTGTCAGGGGAAGAGAAGGAAAACCAAATTGAGAAAGGTAGAAAATTCAGGCTGAAAATCGTCTTTTCACAAGCTGAAAGCTACCTATGAAATAAAGCAGCCGAATACCAGGCATATGGTTACTAAATATGTCAAGGAAGATGGATAGAGAATGAAAAGAGCAATCCACGGCCTCACCTCCAACGAGCTCACTTCATGGATAAAAAGATAGAATTATTTGGCACATTTAGTAACAGGGGATCACTAGACAGTCAATTAAATTACGCTGTAAAGGGCTGAAAGAAGGATGTATCCGCATCGTGAATAAATTATCGCACTGATTAACCATCAATGATCCTATTTCTTGTATGCTGATTGATGTCATTATTAGCGTAAAAATATTAGTATCACCGCACTTCAATCTGTTTCATAGGACGTTTGACCTTATATATAAAATTGGATACTTCTGCAATAGTGTAATAATGATATTGATCCAAGAAAAAGCCATGGGAAAGTGAAGTTCAGTTAGTAGTGCATCATTTGATGCCATGCTTACCTGTATCTCTTCTTTGACAGGGCCACTAGCTTTGCCAGAACGCACAATGGAGATGTTTAACTTAGGAGAAATTTCGGTCTTCGAACTATCATGTTCATCACAGGTTTCTGGCTTGACAGGTAATTCCATACGATGTTTTTGCAGTGGTACCTCATTAGCTGAATCATCGTCACAAGTCTTGGCTGCCAACATGTGCTTCATCTTCGGATTATTTACATGCACTTCGTGGCAATTACCGGACCTGGCCTCTAATGGCATAACATCCTTCCTATCTTCACTCTTTATATTTTCAAAATCCAACCTTGCAGGCTTGGGGAGATTATCTTCATAGATATTAGGTTTGCAAGTATCGTCGCGAGATGAGGAACCTCCTAGAATAAGAAACCAATTTAAATGTTTGAGTTAGAAATTATGTAAATCTAAATGCCAAACCAACAATATTGACGTATAAAAAATACAATCTCAGTACCTTTCTTTCTGTTATCCACCGCAGATTTGTCACCACTGCTCCTCGACTTTTTCTTCCCACTCTGATCTTTTCCTCCTGTAGATTCCTTGCGCTTACCTGAGTTTACTCCAGCCTCACGAATTCTACTTCTCTCTTTCTTAGCAGAGGTCTGCAATCGACCGCCAATAACAGCATCACTCCCTGGACCCTTTCTATCTTTTCTCACCGTTTTCGGAATTTGCCTATACCCATAAGACTCGACGGGACCGCGGGGTGTAATATCTTTTGAGAGGGAGAATAGCAAGTCCGCCCCTCTGCTAGTCGGGTTCTCTCCCTCCTCCTCGTCCTCCCAGCATGGAAACTCCCTGTACTTGAAATTAAACTTCTTGGCCACGTATCCGGTGCACTTCCACAACTCAGATGTGAAAACCGACGACAGGCCCTGAAAGAGTGCAGGATCGCCACCGGGAACACCCTGGATGTGAACACGTTCCTCGATGGGAGCCCTAGTCCACAGCTTGAAAGCCGGAGGACGATGGGATGCCGAAGGTGGGCAGTGATCCGTCTTTGTGGGCAGCTCCGCGAGCAGCTGGGCGACTTCCGTCTCCTCAGTATTGGTGATACCACCGATACCACCGTTGCAGCTGTAGAGGTTGCCGTTGTTCTCGGCGGCGGGAGAGACGGAAGATGTGTGCTGCCGTTTCCTGCCCTTGCACTTGTCGCAGGCAAAAGACACCTCGCCCTTGACGAACCGGGAGCAACGGGTATGAACCCACACACCACATACATCGCAGTTCACCATCTCCTCCCCATCGTCGAAGGTGACCCCACATGCGCAGTCCACCGTCCAAGAACCATCCCCCCAGTCCTCCGAGGGGGCGGACGGCGCCGGGGGTCGGTTCGATCGCCCTTTCATGGCTTCACGATGCCCTTCACCCGATCCCCACCCCTCCAACCCTCGTCGAGACAGACACCCGATCCCTCGACACCCTACCCCATGCCCCCCCTCTCCGTCCTGTACCTAGACCCCCGGCATGGCACAGCAACAGAAAGAAATCATCCTCTCCGTCTCCTCCTCCAACAGCCGATCCAGTTTCCAAGGGAAAAGAGGAGGATACCTACCGGCAAGCCCGAAGCCTCCAATGTCCCCCAGCGCTACGCCGAGGTGTGTGTCTTTCCTCCTTCAATGGCCACCATTGACAAAGCTCCGCCTCTGGTTCCCCCTCTCCATTCCGCGTGCGCTCCTCTCTTCCCCTGCGTGCGCTCCGACACCTCCGACCGAGGGAGTCGCAGAGGGGGGGGGGTACATACAAGGTGCTGTGATCTCAGAGAGGGGCGGAACCGAAGAGGCGGAATTCAGATCCGGTTTTGGGGAATAACTTTGGTGTCCGGGATGGGGTGCTACGCGAGAATCTACTATCGTCCCGTTCCCGCCAGAAAATGCTAACGGCGACCGCCCACATGTGACGGCGTTGGTATGTCCGTTAGAGTCCGATAATTCTAGTCGGGTCCCTTGTGGAATATTGATCCGATATTATTGTGCCACATGACACGATATAATTGGCTTAAAATTCTCGTTTTCAAGAAACTGTGAGATATTATCGTCTTTCTATCTAATTACGTAGAGCAATTCCTTCGTTTAGCCTTGCCGAGTCACAGACGACGGCAGTCTGGTGGCCACAGACCGGCGAGCTTGGCAGCTGCCGACGGCGGAGGTAAGAGCGCCAAGTAATCTACTCCTCGCCATTTTTCATTATCTTCTTCTTCTTCCAAGCAAGGTGGTACAAATGTTAGGGCTGACGGCGGCCGGAGTATATGACGGTGAAGGCGGAGATCGGGCAGGGACGTTGATTCCTCCACCTGAGATCCGAAGGGGATCAGTCGATCGGAATTGGCCTCGTCCGAGACCGCGCGTACGTACCACGAGCAGGCCAGGCGGCAAAGGACCTCCGGTGGCTCCCGCGGCGTTGTCGTTTCCTCACGGCCGGCGAGGAAGGGCCGCGTCGTTATCAAACCGGCAGGGAGCGCAGGACGTGGCCGGCGCCGCCTGTCTCCCGGTTGTAGCGTGGCTTCCCCCATTGGGATCCTAGCGTTTATTTCGTCTGACGGAGCACGCTGGTTAAAGAAACCCCCCGGTAGGTCGTCTTCCCCGCGGGCAAGCGACTAAAAACCCCCATCTCCCCTGCTGAATTACGACCTGCCACATTTTCTCTTCGTACGTCACCTCCCCCAACTGACCGGGTTATCGTGTAGCAGAGAAGGCCATGAACCTTCTCATGATACCGTTAATGGGCGCACGGGCGGTCGGCGGTGAGTTTTGACATGTACTTGAGGTGTACGTTCGGTGTGACGGCCACAGAAGATCGGCATGGAAGATGATGGATGGGAGAAGCAGTTGGCGCTTGCGCGACAGCTACGTCTTCCTCTAGTGCTCACGGGAGAAATCGTCTGCAGGGTAACTGGTGACGACGAGTCAGCCTCCAGAAGGCAGAAGCACACTGGACGGGAGGAGGAGAGCGACGGAGAAGCGAGCGTTGGGGAGATGGCCTTCGAGGTGATCTGCTACTGAACGGCTAATTATATTGGTGGAGGGCGAAGGGTAGAGAGAGAGCGCTCGGAGTGGCAATTTCAGGTAAATTTACGTAGACGCCCCTTCATTCTCTCCCTTCCGCATTGCCGTATCCGCGTAGCACCAGCGCAGGGTCCTTTTCCTATTTCCCCTTCCTCCTGATCACCGATTTGGTGTACCTGCTGGTAGCGTCGGCAACGGCGGGGGCGGCGGCGGGGGAGGGGGCGGGTCTCATTTTCCTTCTGGCCGGGGGATTTGGATCGGGCTCCTCGTACTCTCTCTCTCGCTCTGTGTGGCGTGCTCTTCATCTATGTCTTTATGTTAGACGGTGTAAATAGAGGACAGGGAAGTCAGTGGATAGCCGAAGAACAGGCGAGGAGAGTGGTCGGGACAAAGGTGTTCCGGAGATAGCCATGGCGGTCATGGAGAGCACGGGTGGGGTCGATCTAGGGGTGAAGGTTGGGTCTACAAGCGGCAGGAATTTGGAGCCCCCATCTGCGGACTCGCTTCCGGAATCGCACGGCTCCGGCAAGGAGGCCGATCGCCAGCAGTCGCCTTCAGCTCTGTTTCCACCGATGGAGCAGCACACTCAGCCTCAGCAGCTGCAGAGATCGGCGGTGATGGTGCGTATGGTCGACACAAATCTGTCCCAGGATGGCATCCCACTCGTGAGACCGCACTCAGATCCGACAGTGTTCAACGCGAAGGTCCCGCAGCATCGGTTTCTGCCGCTCGGCCAGGCTGTCGACCACGTCCCGTCCGACGCTGCCGGCACTGGAACGCAGGGCGTGCAGGGTAATGGTGCGATGGCTGCGGCAGCGCGATCTAACAGTTGTGGTGTGGGGAGAGATGGCGATGTCCCAGGGGAGGGCTTTAGGAAGGACATCAGGGACCTGGAGGAGCTGCTGTCGAAGCTAAACCCGATGGCCGAAGAGTTTGTGCCATCTTCTGTGGTTACTCATCGCGGACCTCACGTTGGTACCGATGGGAACGTAGGCAGTGGCTATGCAGACAATATGCAACATGATACTATTAGTAACGGAAATAGCGACGGCATCGGACACGGTGGTAGACGAGTAAGCCTGCTGATTTTTCCTTGCTCATATGGATTTCTGAATACATTTAATTTCAAATCCATCAACGTGATTTATTTCTCAGAAAAAGAGTAACTATAGCCAGGGAAAACGGCGAATGAATAGCCGAACCAGTATGGCACAACGAGAAGAGATAATCAGGAGGACAGTTTATGTTTCTGACATTGATCAACAGGTAAATGTCATCGAGAGACACCGAACATCTGTTATCTTCTTCCTATCGGCTGGAGAATTCAGTATAATTCAAAATTCTTTCTTGCTGAAATGAGTCGTGAGTTTCAGTTGATTCTTTGCCATTGATGCCTCGAAGCAGGCATCGACAACAGGTTCCAAATTGCGTGGACTTTTAACTTTTGGAATCTTTTCTCTTTTTAAACGTGTGGTTATGGCCTGCTGATATTCTTTAATGGATTCTTTTACGTTTGATCTGAATATATATCCTCTCTACTGGTATCTTTTGTGCTCAATGTGTTTCCGTTAGTTCTGTAGGTTACAGAAGAGCAGCTTGCAGCACTCTTCATCACATGTGGGCAGGTTAGTCCATGTTTATTTTTGATAAAAGATGAATTAGGCACTGAGCATGCCCCCAATGATACAGTTGGAATTGTACAGTTACGATTTTCTGCATGTGGCTAACTCCTACAGACCATCTGGGATTACGCACTGGACATTTTTGGGGTTTTCTATGCATAAGCACATGGTGCATTTTTGTTCAAAGGATTCCCCGACGTTTGATATTATTTTTGCTCATGTTCATCCATTTTGGTTGATGCACATCAAGCCTCATGATGCATCTAAAAACTTTCTTTCTTTTCACACTGAAGGTTGTTGACTGTCGTGTATGTGGTGATCCAAATTCTGTGCTTCGATTTGCTTTCATAGAGTTCACTGATGAAGGTGATCCTTGCTATTTCAACTACCTATCCATATATCTTCCCAATTTTTTTATCCTCTGGCATATGGGACAGATATTTATTGTTTTGAATCCTGTTTTTTTTCTTTTAATCCTTCAGAGGGTGCTGGGGCAGCTCTAAGCCTGTCAGGGACAATGCTTGGTTACTACCCAGTAAGAGTTCTCCCTTCCAAGACTGCAATTGCACCTGTTAACCCTGCATTTTTACCCCGGGTAGGATATGAGCCCATTGTTATTTTTTGTTTTCAAATGTTCATTGGAAACTTATGTCTCTTGTCAATGAAGTTTCCATTTTTTATTCTTTAACTAATAGTGGTTCCTGTGGTCAGTCTGAAGTCGAACGAGAGATGTGTGCCAGGACCGTCTATTGTACAAATATTGATAAAAAGGTTGATTATAAATGGCATGTCTTGTCTCTACGAAATATTGACTCAGGCATCAATCCCCTGTGAATGAATTTTTTTTCTATGTGGAACCAGGTTTCTCAAGCAGGTGTTAAACTCTTTTTTGAGTCAATTTGTGGAGAGGTTCGGTTTCTAAATCAATCTCTCAGCTTATTTGAATCTTTCCCATCGCCATAATAAAGGTAGAGGTTCCTGAGGTAACTTTTAAATGATGTAGGTGCATCGCTTGAGGCTTCTTGGGGACTATCATCATTCCACTCGCATTGCTTTTGTTGAGTTCGTAATGGTATGCATTATTAGCCGTAGTGCAATTATTTCCAATTATGTAATTTCATCTTGTGTTCCTTTCCTGTTTTACAGAAGAAACACTCGCCTTACGTGGGAATATATATCAAATCAATGCCATATGTGTTGTTGGTCTGTCAAAACATTAAAGGAAAAATGGATGTATATTAAGTAGAAACAGTATCCCAATTCGTACATGCTCATTTTGAATGCCTTACATTCTAATCGTCGTGGAAATGCGCCGGTGCTTAAATGAATTATAGGTGCACGTATGTACACATTCTGTCATGGTTTATGATTGAAAAATAGTTTGAAGGAATGATATTCATTTGTTATAGAGAATTTTCTGATACGATTGTGTTCGTATCATGTCTCATGTGTGAAGTCGAACAAGGTTTATAATGTGGACGAGATTAGTTTCTAAATATGACCTATCGAAGAGTGCCTTCTGCATCGTTCCTGATACATGATCTATGCTTCTCTTCGATGAAAAATGATCACTGCCATGGGACATCAAACCACCGGCGTAATTTTTCCCCTTGCTTTTTTGGTGGCCATCTGTTGTCATTTGATTCTACATTTACTTCCACGCCATCTTAGAACCTATTTTCTTTTGGCCGCTTCCAAGTTTTCCCTGGGAAGAGTAGAGCCTCTATTCTTCAATTATAATTGTGGTTTTATGTTATGTATTTTGGGGGTGGGGGGAAGAAGAGGTAACATTCCAAGAATTAAAGCAAACTTCTTTCTCTATCTTTTCGCGTCTTGTTTGCTTCTTGTTTGCTTCTTGTTAGCTTCTTTTGCTTTGGTCATCACTCTGCCTTCATCTTTTCTGTCTTCTTCTCTCTTCTTATCTTGCTGGCATTCCCTGAATTCAAGGAGACTAGAAGTGACCACTCTACTCTGTTCTGAGAATGCCTGATTTCAGGCAAATGTAGGTCCTTTCTGGCCTTATTTCCCTTTTCCTCAGAGGACACCTGCATTAAAGACGAAGAGGTTCCCTTACCCTTTTACTTCTAGATCACGGATAGACTATTCCACTGCTAGGTTGCGTGCACCAGTGGTCCCGTTGGAGCCGTACAATAATAATGAGCTATTTAAAGGATGAAATTATTAATTCACTCTTGTCACTTTTCTAGGCCCCTTCGCTTAACTTAGGAACAGCAGTGGTAGAGTACGCCGTAGGTCTTAGTCAGTGCCTGTTTGACCATTTATACATAAAATTATTGTGTTCTGTGTCGGCTGAGATAGTCAGGTCAGTTTTTGAAGCATCTGGAAATCGCATCACTTGCAATTCACATGTATTTATTAAATCTATTTAATCAACAACAAATTCCATAAAAGGTACTTAGAATATATAATATATATTACACCAATATCTGGTGCCAGGAACCACAAGCCATTTTTAAAATGTGCAGGGATAGCCTTCCTTTGAAAATTATTTTTCGTTTTTTATGATATTCAGGAAGTCGTGTTGTTTGTGTTAAGTGCATCATTACATCCCAAACCCCCTATTTATTTCAAAATCATGTCCACTCAGAAGATAAAAATCATTATCTTAATAATCGCAAAAACCTTGGGTCGAGGACTGATTCCTTTTAAAATGCTATTCAACTCCTAGGTTCACACACAAAATCCTAGGCCCCGTAATTATTTTGCCATTTTTATCACCATTTGCCGAAATTAGTGCCTGGTTATTGAACTCTTGGTCACACTCTACCCATTTCACAATGTCTCAACACTTCCCCTAATTTCTTGCATGCCTTACCATTTCTCCTTGCTCTCATTTCCTTCTTTTCTATCTATGGCTTGGCAGGTGGCCTAGATTTTTGAAGTTCTAGGGCACGCCTTTATTTTTCTCCTCCTCTCTCTTTCTGCCTTGATAATAAAACATTCCATTTATAACCCAAGTGGTATAATGACTCGGATCATCTTGCAGGCGGAGAGCGCGATCGCTGCTCTCAACTGTAGCGGGGCTGTTCTTGGTTCTCTAGCCATAAGGTTCGTTCTTCCCTTGGCCTCGGACTCCACCTGATACTTAGCTTCTACGAGCGATCTGTAACAGGGTTCCTATCCCAGGGTGAGCCCATCAAAGACCCCCGTCCGCTCGCGAGCTCCCCGGCCCTCCGTCCGCTGAGCCCCTCACGCTGCCACCGAGGTACAGTACATCCGTGGCATTCCCATGTTCATCTAATCCATCCTCCGCGATAGTCGAAACAACCTGGAGTGAGTCTTTCTCTCTGGATTTTATCGTTATATGTCAGCTGATATGGCGACTCTATAAGAGGCCCGAGTAAGCTAGATAGTTGACTTTTCGTTTTTTACACCGCGGTGAGGGGGGAGGGGGGTGTTACTCTATGGCCACCTCGATGACCTTCCGGTCAACCTTGGACCTGGGGGCGGTTACGGTCAGGACCCCGTTCTTGAGCTCCGCTTGGATCTTCTCCTTCTCGCAGTCATCCGGCAGGAGCAGGCGCATGCTGTAGGTGCTCGAGCTCCTGCCGGACCAGTCACCGCCGCCGCCCTCTTCCTCCGCTCCCGTCGCCTGGTGGCGCCGCTCCCCGCGGATCACCAGCACGTCGTCCTCAACGGCCACCCTCACCTCCTCCTTGGTCAGCCCCGGCATGTCGAACCTCATCCTGACAGCGTCCTCCTCCTCTCTGATCTCCCACGGCGCGCGCACCTCCCCTGCCGATGCCGCCGGCCCCCTCTGCCCCGACACCGCCTCCTCCAGCAACCGGTCCACCGTGTCTAGCATCTGCCTCATTGTCCTCATCTGCGCCAGCGGGTGCACCAGCCCTGCAACTCTCTCACGTCGTCAGTACTCGAGAGGACGACAGATTGATTATATTGATTGATCGACTGATTGATTGAGAGATGTTGCGGTTACCGAAGGGGGAGAGCTCGAGGGCCGTCCTGCGGGGCCGCCGCGTCTCCGCCGGCACGTTGCGGGCGGCTCCCGCGCCCTCGGCACGCGCAGCGGCCAGGCCGCGGCGGAGGAGGGCGCGGCGCCGCGTGGAGAAGGCGAGCGATGGGAGCGAGCGGGAGAGAATATTAGCTGAGAAAGTAGCCATCGAGAGTCGAGATTCTTCGATCTGCTGAGGAAAGGAGAACAGGAGAAGCTTTTTAAGGGCGAAGAGGAGCATGGCCCGTGAAAGCTCGCGAAGGATCGAGAACTGAACTCGGGGGACTGCTGTCCGAGCCGACTTTCTCGCTCTTTCCAGAGAGCGCCAGCTCGTGGGTTTAATTCCTGATCTGTGATGGTCACACATGCCAGATGTCTCCCAGAACAAGGGTCAACAGCTCACACGTGCCAACGGCTCACACGGGCCAACGGGTTTTTCCCCCTACGCAACAAGTACGTTGAAACCGGCCGAGTAGAAGGCCGGTGGCTGTCTGCTCTGGCAGCCGAGGGTGGCGATGATGAGGACGGCGGGCACGGTATGAAAACAGAGTGGACTTCGCAAAGTTTCCAACTTTACATGGCGACGCCAACGAGATGCATGCCTCACTAGTCTTGATGCGCCATTAGAAACTCGAAACACCGGTTGTTTCTCTAGAATTATCTGCCTCTCTCTCTCTCTCTCGCTCGACAAATATTTCTCTCTCTAATTTAACGAGTATCCACTAGCGTACCCATGCATCTAGATGAAGCAGGAGAAGAAATCGCCAACAGTTATACAGATAGATCGGCTTGGTTGAGAACAAGAACCAATTCATACTCATTTTAGAGATAGAGAGGGAAGGGGGGGGGAGAATACGTTTCCCTTCGTTAAGAGTTTCTATAGAGAGTGAGAGAGTAAGCTAAACTTAGTAATAAGAGATCTGCACAATCTAACTCGGAATATGCTATTTTCGAAGTAGAAAAATCCTACTTTTGTTTTGAATATTCCGAAATTTAATCAATATCTACATGATGGACCTGGCTAACTTATCCTGGTTCGTCTACTGGCTTTTGACATTCTGGGCTGGAAGTACATGTAAAGTGGATAAAATGGGAGGGTTTGATTCTGTGGGCCGTCCCACCACGCAGCCTTGGGTCTCTCTCTCTCTCCTTCTCTCCTGGTACTGCTCGCGCGCGCGCGCGCGCATTCGGTTCATTCAAGTCCGTCGTCTTCTCCGACAGGGGAAGGGAGGCGGAGCAGGACATATCCCCAATCTTTGCCTGAAGCTCATTGAACTCCCGCTTTCCCTCTCGTGATCATCGCAGTATCATCCCCTCCCATGCTGCAACGACATAGTTAGGGTCGCAGTGTGGTGTTTTTTCTCTGCAAATTACTTCATCACAAGTTCGATCATGTCTCCTAAACTGTATTCCTCAGGCCACTAACGACTTGAGCGGTTACTATTCTCCTAAACTGTTTTCCTCCAAGAAGAAAATGTGTTCCACGGTTTACTAAGTTTGCTCATCCCAAAAACCTACCCACACAAGTTTGAATCTCCGTTATATCTTAGTAGATTCCACTGATTCGCCTGTTGGAAGCTGAAAGGTTCTTGAATATATCCGTCTCTTTGAATCCTTTTCATTGTTTGGTACAGAATTACAAATTTAGAAATTAGTTTCTCTTTGTGGTCTCTTGTGGGTTCCATTGTCCAGAAAGCAGGTAGTAATCCCTCTAGTTTTGGTGATGATCATACTTATCCGTCAGTTGTAGTCATTCATGGGCTGATATTTCATTCGGTAACATTCTTTAAGCCCTTAAACTTTGCTATCCTGATTTATTCTTCCCTCTCTCTTGGGTGGAATTTCGTGCTGGATTTGGCATGCAGCCTTTGCTTGACTTGCTAAATCGGGTTGGTTTTTCATGTTTTCCTTTGCTTATTGTTTTTTAAACAGGAACAACTACATGAAAGAGAGAAATTTATGCATGGGTTGGAGATGAAGTTGGAAGAAGCTAAGATCTACACTGAAGCAGTCTCCCTCTCTCTCTCTCTCTCTCTCTCTCTCTCAACATGGATCATTGTTGTCTTTTAAAGTTGAAACTTAGACCCTATGTTTTCACTCTTGCGTGCGTGATGGTTTGCTGTCAGGAGCTTAATCTCTCGACATACATGTAGAAACCATATAGTTGACTTCGTATTTACTATATTTGTTGTCTGTCTTGACTTCCTCCTAATCTTGATTTTGTAGTTATATCTGGAATAGCCTTTGTTTCAGAATCCTTTTTATCCAAGCTAAAACCTTCTTCTGCAAATATTGATGTCGAAGCTAGTTCATTAATCCCAATTTTTTATACTCTTAATTTGTCTTCGAATGAATTCACGCTGGACATGTGGCTGCCGATCCATCCGCTCTGCTCGGGCTAAGATCTTTTCTTCCACCAGGCCAAGTGGTTGGACCCTATCCCTTTGACCCACCTATACACATCCAATTGTGGGTATCACCTCGGATCAGAATTGGCAGAAGTCAACCCGTTATAATTCACTCTGCGTTGCATCTTGTTTAGGTATTTACGCTGAGCTGTTGAATTTATCAGATACGCACCAGATTCCCTGGGCTGATCGTACGATCATTACAGTAATGAGCCATGGGCTGAGAGACAGGTTGTCGAGTCGAGCTACAAGGGGCTTATCAAGAGCTCGAGGCAAGGATCTGAAGCTGTCCCCGGCTGTTCTGAAATGGAAAGGTCAACGTTCTGGATTTTGTATCAGTTGACCTCGACCCAGTGCATGGATAACTCGGGAGCCGCCGGTTGCCTCTCGTGGCTTGGATTTGCATCAGGAGGGTGGTGGCGAAACTAAGGTTGGCTGAATCCTTAGATAACATACTTGTTTGAAACTTGTGTTGATAGAACGTTCTCCTTTTCTTCTTCTTTTTTTTAATTGTCGTGGAGATAATGGCTAAGCCTTAAGATTCTGCGGGTGGTCAACTACTGGATCAGGCTTTGACATTGAAGCAGACACGGTGCCCATTCAGTCATCGCCGTTGACCTGCCTGAGTTCAAGCATGATGCATATAATGGGCACGAGTCTATTCAGTCATTTCTAATGTGCCCAGCTGCCCCCCCGCCATCCCAAACTAACGCCCAATCATCAAGCCCCCAACGGGTCAAATATGGTCGATAGAATGGGCTTCTCTTCCCAATGGGAGGATCGGCTTTTGAGGTAAGCAGGATGGGATCTCTGATAGAGGCCGTTGACCGATTTTTAGCCAAAGACTGGTTAGGAACTCTGATCGAGGCAGGCCCATACCTGTTCTTCTCCTTGGCCTCGAATGCTTTTGATCTGCGGGCGGCAGCCAGTGTCTAATAAAGCAGTGGAATGATCACGCGCCTGGTACGCGGGTAGTTGTCAAACTTTTGAAGGTACCATTGATGGGTCTCAGCTGCAGCAAAGACAAGGTTCGCCACCTGCAGGGAAGCCGGGAAGAGCTTTAATGATGAACTAGAACTTTGCAAAGAGAAGGCAATCCAAGGGCGCAGAAGGCAACACGTACCACGAAGGCCAGTAAGAGCCACAGGGTGAGATCTGTGACACCGCTAGCCAGTACAATCCCAAGATACATAACCTGAGCATTGGAATGAAATTATTAGAGATGGATATCTACTGTTTTTTTTTTTTTTTTTTTTTGTTTTTGCCTGAATTGGGATGAAGCATGAGTGGGCCTAGGCTATGAAGGACCTAGGCCGGGTGCCTGTTTTCTAGTGGTAACAATTGGTTCTAACCTATTGATACCCATAGAAAGACATGAATTCTTTTTTTTTTCTTTTTCTAGAAAACAATTCAATAAACGATAATTACTTACAATTTCGGCAAGGTAATGCCCACAGGAGGCGACTTCAAACCAATCACCATGAGGGATGAGGTATTCATCTGCTCTCCTCTGTTTGCGCAATGATCCCTGTGGAATTCGAATAGCTAAATCCTTTTAGCGCCTTAAGTGTGTACGAAAAAAAAAAAAGTTCAGTCCAGGTGTCACATATTCCCATGGGTATTTCATAATAGTCAACTTAATTAATCAGAAAAAAACTAATCAACCAGTGGAGGGATCTACTTTCATCAATCATGTCCTACTGAACTTCTCTATTCATCAAAGGAGTTTTTTGAAAAACAACAGAGATTAATACAAAGACAGGGTGATCGATCTGCAGAAATTGAGTCGCTTGTCATGCTTAATTTCATTTTTTTGTACCAATTCATTCATAGGACACATTCTTGTTCGCTGAATAATTTCAACTTGTTTATGTCTTCCACTAGCACAGCTTTTATTTCCGATAAAATCTGGCAATACATCGAAATAATTATCATATGATTTTAAGGGGGAGAGTGGGGAGACGCTCAAGATGAGTTGATCTTCCCATAGCAAAATAGTAACAAGTAGATCACGCTAAGATCAATAAATAAGTTCATCGAAGACAACAAATCCTAAGCTAGTGAAGAATTCCTCTCCCGATGAATGAATTTTGAGAACTATGAGGCCACCTTATTTTGAAGCATGATTAAAATGAGATGATTCTCATTTTTGAAATGATAACATTAAATGTCCCCCCAAAGAGAAGCACTGATGAAAATTAGAGGCTACAACATGGGAATAAACTAACCAGAATTTTGTGACAGTGGAACTGATGGATCCAACCCCAGAAAAATATCACTGCACCAATCCATTGGAGCCATCCCACGTTCGTAAGAGGCATCATATAGTCCCAGAGGTCAAATTCGGCCTCCGGGATTCCTTGCCAACCTTTGACCGCATATTCACTGATTTGGGTACCAGTGTAGGTAAGCGCCTCTAGAGCAAAGGAGCAGCAAAGTGAAACTGGTTCTGCAACATAGAAACTAATCCACAAAAGGTTTATAAATATACATATGTAGATAAAGATACATAACATACAACAAATAAAGTAGGGTTTTTCATCCCAATGGTCACACGTATGTACAATAAGATAAATGAGTTGCTAGTTCAACTATTTCCCGTCTTTTCCACTTTAATTAATGAATGATTTTGTAATCAGCACCACAAACTTGATCTATATGAGAAGATGTCACCGAGATTAATGACTGAACTTGTAGGTTTCTACACGGATTAACAGGAGATCCAGTTTTCATCGAGAATCACTGAAAACGGATTTATTCCTCAAGCAGAGGATTACTCACGAAATAACATTAGAAGTGGATGATTGAGTACATCACTATGCCTTGTGTGATTCAATTCAATCTTCTCCGTCAAAAGTGAAACAAGTTCATTCAACACCTTTCAAACAGATAATACAAATAAATCATGATGAGTGAGCACTAGTTCTTCGCAAAAAAATTACCATGATCAATGTCAATTTATTATTATTAAGTGGTTTGAATACGATTCTATCATGGAAAACAACAATGAAGCGAGTGTGAAACTTACACTAAGCCAGTCAAGTAGCCAAGAACGTGCATTCGAGCAGATGAATCGTATTTAAACACAAAGAATGACTCATACAGGCGTCTGATGACCTGTGCTTCCATCAATATTAGAACAAAGACAGTTTTCCATAGCTGGCCTGTAGAATCGACATCAGCATCCATCTCTGTTTTCGTGCGTACATAAAACCACGTGGAGAACAGCAGGCACGTTGTCCAGCACACTCCGAGGATATAGAAATGTGAGAAGTAGCTGTGGGGAACAGTGAAGCTCTGCAATCCAATAGAAAGAAAAAATCGAAGATTATGACAGTGAAAAATAAACTGATGAGAGCGGACTGACTTTCACGGATATTGATTCTTGATTACGAGCGACTGTGCTCGGGGAAATGACGCGCACTAACCGGAGGGAAAGAGGGAGTCGTCTTCCCCCTCTTGGCTATTTCCAACACTAATCCGTGGAAGCCGTGGAGGCAAGATAAGGGGAGAGAAGCCACGACAATGGGGAGCATCCCCGCGGTCCAGATGAATCTCAGCACGGTCACGAGATCCAACTCCATCTGAGGATAATGATCCACAACGAGGATCAAACGAGGTTTTCAGATGTAGTGGACGGAGAAGAAGGGGGGCGATGGAGCTCCTCCGACGGCTGCCGCCGAGGGGATGAGCATATACTTCCAACCCTGATTCAGTTAGGCCAGTCACCTCCCTCCTCTCTGTCTGCATATCTACTCTGAGCCTTACTGTGTCATCTCTTTCTCTTATCTTCCTATAGTATCCTGATTTTGCGCCTAAACTCGATACTCTTCTCTCTTACTCTTATCTCTCTCTATATATCTCCTCTCACTCTTACTCTCTCTTCTCTCTCTTTCTCTCTATATATCTCTTTTCTCTTCTCTCCTCCATATATCCCCTCTCTCTCTTTCTCTGTATCTATCCCATCTCTCTCCTCTAGATATCTCTTATATCCTTCCGCTCTCTCCTATCTCTTTCTATCACCTCTTCTTCTCTCTATCTCCTCTCGCTCTCTTTCTACATCTCTCTCTATCTTCCACTAACGGCTGATCCGCTGCTACTACATATACAGCTATAAACTCGGTGTCATTATCTTAAAAATAAAACCAAGGGGTAATGTCAAAAACACCCACATTTTCCCCAATGTTTATTTTTATCCTTATTATTATTATTATTTATTATGCCCCGGATATTCACGAGAGGGGTGTCGCCCAAATCTATTTCGGAGCTCGATTGGTGCCACTTTTACTGTTGTCCTCGCGTAAAGTCTACGTAAATAACTACAATTGCATATTCATCCCGAGTGCTAATATTCTTATTTTACAGACCTCCAAATTATATCGAACAATCTATGAGCATAATTTTAAATATATAGGGGTGGTAGACTCGAGTTTTGCCGCGCGTCCTCATCAACGACCAAGGTCAAGTATAAGGGAAAAATATTACCAATATTTAGGAAGAGAGTAGGTGGATCTTCACGTTTTTCGAACCAGAATGCCCCGTATTTTTATTTATATACATTTTAGTCCTCACTTTTGGCGCCTAGCCTATGAAAATTAATATTCTTAAATATACTCACCGCTCGAAATGACGGAAAAAAAATTTAGAGCCCCAGAGGGAAACGTTGAAAAATTGGTTTATTTGTAGTTAAAAAAGTTTGGTAGGAATTAGAAACAAAATGGGCTGAATCCGGTTGACTGAATGGACGGTTGGTTGGTCACAGACGAAATCGTCGACCTGTTCGAATCGACGTCAGAGAATCTGCCAGCGCATCGATCCAAGTGGGCTTTAACCAATGGGAAGTAACTACGAAGATCGTGTGCTTTCTAAAGCATCGTTCCACCGTCGGATTCAATCCATTTACGCTAGAAGATTATCCTTAAACAGAAGACTCGAACACGATTCTGCGCCGTCCTCGCGCATCGTTCATATAAAAAGTCTCGCGCGTTTGCAGTTTGACTTCTAACGCTCATTCTTCTCCTTCCGGCTCGTCTCCTCGTTTCGTCTACCTCCTGCGACTTCTCGTCCAAGCCACCGGCGCAGCCCCGCGGAGCGATCAGGGAGATTTGAAGACCTCCTTGCAATAGGGCTTCGTCCTCAATGGCTCGCACGAAGCAGACGGCCCGCAAGTCCACCGGTGGCAAGGCTCCCAGGAAACAATTGGCCACCAAGGTGCTCAGATCTTCCTCTTCCCCTTTTTCTAGGGTTTTCGCTCCTCTCCTGCTTCCTCCTGGATTAATTCCTTCTATCGATACATCTGCAGGCTGCTAGGAAGTCTGCCCCGACCACAGGCGGGGTGAAGAAGCCCCATCGCTACCGTCCCGGCACTGTTGCTCTGAGGTAACTTCGTCCCGCTATAAATCTTGTTGTTGACGTGGTGTGTTGTGTTTTTCCTTGGTCTGATACCATTTCCACGATTGTTATTCAGGGAAATCCGCAAGTATCAGAAGAGCACAGAGCTGCTGATCAGGAAGCTCCCGTTCCAGAGGTTGGTGAGGGAGATTGCACAGGATTTCAAGACCGATCTCAGATTTCAGAGCCACGCGGTCCTCGCTCTCCAAGAAGCGGCCGAAGCCTATCTAGTGGGACTCTTTGAGGACACCAATCTCTGCGCAATTCACGCCAAGCGCGTAACAATCATGCCCAAGGATATCCAGCTCGCCCGCCGTATCCGCGGAGAACGTGCCTAATCGAGAAGACCTCATCAGCTTTAATCCACAACTAATGTTTTTAGTGATGTTAGATTTCTCATCTCTTTTCTTTAGCCATCAATACCAACTGTCGGAGTGCCGATAGATCGTACTACCAGGTGATTGATGCAGCGGCGTTGGAATTAGCTTGTTTTTTATTTTTCTCTTTCGTTCTTCTCCTCTCCCAACCTCGATGTACATCATCACTATACTGAACATGTTGCGTCGAGTAGCGTAGCCTATAATCGTTATAAGGTTGTTGAATTACCAATGATTTTCTCTTTAATGGCGTAATCGCTCTAAATTCAAATATCTGTGTACTGTTCATCGATGAAGAACCGATCCTCTTGATCTTCTGATCTGATTCCTGAATCTGTTAGTCTCGTGGTTCGATTCGCGGAGCTGCCGTAGCGCCAGTGGGATATGAGTTGGAGTGCCGATCGCCGTTGCTTCTGCTGTTTATATATTAAGAACTGATCGTCCTAATCTTCTGATTAAGAACTGATACGATTCGCGGATCTGGTTCTCTTGGTTCGACTCGCGGAGCTGCCCTATTGCCAGTAATGGACGAGTTGGGATGACTATCGCCGTTGTTTCTCGATTCAGAGTCCTGTAGATTCTCCATGTTCACAATGAGAGCTTCGGTTTTGGCCGCAAGTCCGAGTCGTTGTTGTCTTCATCCTTAGGGTTTGCCATTATCCCGCAGTTTCTTCAGTGGGCCTCTTCCCCTGTTCCTCCCTTCGATCAGTCGTCTATTGGGGGGGGGGAGCTAATTGGTTTCCTTCGGCGGCGGCTTTGAGCTCGTCTCCGCGGCCAGCTTACTCGCCGCCGTCTAAAGTTGAGATCTTCGGGTAGGCCCAGCAAGGAAGATGGCCCGAGTGGCCCAGATTCCGACAAGGGAGGAGTCCGAAGTCAGAAATGTCGGATTCTCCGCCCAAAAATGGAAAAAGGGTCTTCGGATCATCCGTCTAAAGAAGGGGATGTTTCAAGAGTTAGGGAGCACCGTTTAGCGGGTCCGCCGCCTCCCGCCTTCCGAGGGCAGTCGCATCACAGATACAGCGAGAGAGAGGAAGAGAGGCAGGGAGGGGGCTGGGGCGAAAATTCGATATCAGGCAAAGGATTCGCGATCTCTTTCTCATTCCGACGGGTTCTTACTCTCTCTTCTTTGACCCCTTCCTTCCGAGTAAAGTAGGCATTTCCAACCTGGGATCTATACTTGTCTCCTTCTCGTCCCGTCGAACCCTAGGGAACAATCGCCACAGGGCTCTGGTAGCCAGGTTAGTGGAGCGGTTGCCCGGTTGGTGACGGCCACGGGACCCAACATGTCCGCCCCGGAGGAAGAGAGCAAGCAGAAGGAAGGAGAGCCCGCGGGGGAGGTGCTTTACTGCGGTGGGACAAGCTGGGAGACCATGGGGCGTCGCCCTGCTCCGGCCAATGGGAACTTGGTCTCTCCTACTCGGCTCCGCCCGCTGATGGGGGTAGATATCCGCTCCGTGGCTTCTGGATGCGGTAAACTCCCTCATTCCTCCCTCTCCATCTTCTATTCCGGCGTTTTTTTTGTCTCACGCCTGACACAGGTTCCGTGATTGTTTTCTGGGTGCCTCTAGCTTCGTGCCATTGCGTGGCTCTGGATGTGGAGGGGCGCTGCTTCACGTGGGGACGAAATGAGGTAGGGTCTGGCCCGAGAGAAAGGTTCCTTCTCGGTGTAATCAATGTGGTTAACTTCCTGCTCATTTTGTTGTCACGGAAAGCAGAAGGGGCAGCTCGGTCATGGGGATACTTTGCAACGTAACCTACCAACCATTGTTTATGGGCTCTCAAAGTAAGTATTATCATTCGTCTGTATTCTGGCCTTGCATATTCGTTGATTACGTAAAATGCAGTTGCCACAAAGCATCATCTGATGTTCAGCTGGTCCCCTTTGTAATTTAGACTTACACTACCCCCTGCTATCTTAGGATTGGCTTTGCCACTTTCCAAACACCTCGTTGGTTGTGTTTGCGATTAATCGGGAGCAGAGAAGTGACTTACTGATGGCCATTTTACTGCATGCTGATCTGTATACCATTGGAGATTATTTATCCACATTGGTGTTCTGAATGTTCTTTCGATGCTTAATTAGTTCTACTTGAGCAGTTTGCATTTTTTTATAACTTATTATTTTCTCACCCTTCGCACATTCTATGCAGAACTTATTTAGAAATCTGCATAAATTCGTGACCTTTTTTCACTTTTATTTGGAGAATCTGGGTCTTCCCTCGTGCCATCACTTTCCCACTTGTACTATTGTAAATGTATATAAGCATTTCTTGGACTCAATCCGCTTTTTTCTCAACCATTTTTCCAAGATTCTTCTTTCTTGGTATACTGTTCATAGTTGTTTAAGGATTGTTTATGCATTTACATGCACTATTCTTCTAGTTAATCATTTGAATCCACGGCAAGGAATCAACCACAGGATGAGAAAGCCCCTAGTATACATATGCATTGGTTACTGATGTCTAATTCCCCTTCTCCCTCCTCCTCCGGAATACTTCTATAGTATGACCTTTTCAGATTAATTCACCCCTTCAACTATGTGAAATACAGCTATAAGAACCGAGGGCCCCCCTTTCCCTTGTTTAGAATATGGTATATTCAAGGAGAATATTTCCGAGCATAACGATTGTTTATTCAAGAGATTAGCGCTACGGAGTCCCTGATCTGCGGAAAACTGAATCACCGAAGTTTCACCTGGACGGTGATGCCCAGGTGCACATAAAACAATGAAGTGAGAAAGGGGCAGTGAGTGCCATCTTCTACCTATCTGGAATGTCAATTATTCTCTTTGTATTTCCTTTTTTTCTCTATTACTTCCTCTACTCTCCGTATATATGTGTCCGTGTAGTAGTCATTTTTGTGCAAGTTGTTCTTTTGCCATTAGTCTCTGTGGTTCTCATGATTTTTCTGATTATACACGTATACATATGTTTCATCAATTTTGTGAGATGGAGAGGGAGGGGGAGAGAGGGAGAGGGAGAGAGGGAGGGAGCGATATGTCCTCTATCTCCTACTACTCAGTGCCACTATATTCTCTGTTATCATAAGTGTACATATCCATATATTCTGTATCTCTATCTCCCACTACTCAATGTCCAAACTATCTTTCTCCATCTTCTTTTTATCTTTTTTCTGCTTCATCTATAACTCTACCACTTGCTCTATTTCTCTCTCTTTCTTGAGTGCAGTAACAACAGATCAGGGTGCAGATGGCCCCCTTCTCAACTTTTGCTGACATATCAGTGCTCAAGGCATATTTATTTACTGCACTTCGGTCATTTCAACTCTACTAGGGATAGTTTAGGCACTCTGAGTTAGTAAAATGGACGATTGCCATGACAGCATATATGCATAGCAGGAAGAATGGTATAAATGCCGTTGATTTTTTTCCTCGTTTACTTTTTAAACTTAAATACTGATATAATATATACACATATTACTTAACTATGTTGTCATCATACGATGAAGATGTCTATCTAATTAAAGGTTTTTTTTATGGAATTATATTCCTGTGACATATATTTTACTAAATTATGTTGTCATCATACAGTGAATATGGGTATCTAACTAAATGTCTTTTATAAGGAATTACATCCTGGTGCTTCTCTACTGAATTTTCTGATCGATTGGAACATGCAGTTCCTATGACGAATTATTTGGAAATTTTATCTCACGGTTATGTTTTGCTGAAAGATCAGACAATAGTTCGTTATATTTTTTTTCTGCTGTGGTAACATAGATGTTAATGAATGTTTTTTATGAATGTAGATACAAAATTGTTAAAGCAGGTGCTGGGAGAAATCATACAGTTGTGGTTACTGACGATGGCAAATCTTTTGCTTTTGGTTGGAACAAGCATGGGCAGCTGGGAACTGGTTCAGCACGGACTGGTTAGGCCCAATTTTTTGATGTTTATACCCATTTTTTAATCCATTTTTTTAATATATAGTAATTTTTTTAAAATTATCTTGAAGTCAGGGTGTGCTGAGTTTGCTGGGTTCCACATATTGATAGGCATAGAACATGATATTCTTTCTTTATTTTTCAAATGTATGAGTTGGTTACCATTGCCTATATATTTAACTTTTCTACCGTTTACTTCAATCTGTTAATGAAATGGTGGGGCATGGCTGCCTCCCCCCCTACAAAGAAAGATATTTAATGTTGGAAGAGTAGACTATTTAGAGAACAAGACTCATGTGTCAGCTTCTCTGAATGTCTTAAATGGAAATCTGATTTTATTGCGGATCTTATTTTTCTGCCCTTGTTCTTCCATATGGCATCTCGTTCTTCTTTATCTTTGTTACTATTCTGCTTCCATTTTTTTCCTACCTGATGCTTCCCTTCTTATTTTTCTTCTGACTCAATTTTTTCTCCATGTCTCCTGCTTCTTCATTTCAATACTTAATAGTGGATCTATCCTCTTACGTTTTCTTATCTTGATGACGCTTTTAGCTGTTCGCCCTCACTGTGAAGGTTCCTTTTTTAAAATTTTACTTTGTTTCCATTGCTTTCCAGTCATTCTTAGCCGCGTAGCCTCGAAATTAATGGATCAATAAGATTTATATATTACTACTCGAATTTCTTAAATGGGTGGTCGGTCCTGACCTAGTTATCTACATTTATTCTACTAGGTTTGGTAATCATCTACATTTATTTTATTAGGTTTCTACTCGAATATATTTATTGTGTTGATGTACTTATTGATTTTTAACTTTTGTGATTAATAAATCTCTCTTTGAGGCAGTATTAGTTCTGTAGTATACCTGGACCTATTTTCTTTTTTTTTTATTTGTGTGCATGAAAAAATTTCGATGCCTTTTTTGTTTACTCCAAAGAATTCATTATTTGATGATTGTGTATCCTCCACAAAATCCTCAACTTCTGAAATCAAAATATGTAACATCTTCAGAGATAGAACGATCTCCAGTTCCTTGCACGGTTTCCCAAGTTACAAGTGCTGTATGCGGGGCGGATTTCACCGTGTGGCTGTCTTCACTTGAAGGGTCTTCAATATTGTATGTGTGCAAACTCTTGTAACTTTGTCGATTGCTTATCTCTTCATTTTGTCTTGGATATGTCTCAATTTTAGAAGCTGGATCTTTATGATGCAATTTTAGACTCCGTTTCAGAGGACACATGCTTAATTTTGGTGGTCCCCAGTACTGCAGGTCTACCACAATATGGACAACTTGGGCATGGAACAGATAACAAGGTTAGAAAATGAATTTTTTTCCGTTGTTTAAATCATATTCCTGCTAATCCCTTTAACAACACGACACAATTCGCAGTACAATACCAAGGACAGTTCCATTAGGCTTGCTTATGAGGCTCAGCCTCGCCCTAAGGCAATAGCTGCATTTTCAGGGAAAACTGTCGTTAAAGTTGCATGTGGGACAAACCACACAGGTTTTCTTCTTGAAAAATCACAGTAATTCAATCTGTCATTGAAGTTGCCTTTTTCTGTCATCCCGGTTCTCATATTAAGTTTTTCTTCTATTCTTTTTATCCACATTTTACAGTGGCTGCTGACTCAAGTGGATTTGTTTACACGTATGTTTTTCTAACCTTCTACTATGATTACCATGTTTATTATTTTGTAGGATACGCAAATCGTTGTTTATTGCTGTAATTAAAGAATTTCTCGTAAATTTTTCATGTTGATTATATCTTTCTGCTATGTTTTTGTTTTTTTCGTTTCATTCCTTAATATTCCACGCTTTATGCTTTTCAGGATCAAACTCTTTTTCTGAATGCTGTTGTGATAATGCACAGGAGAGTATGGCTAGTATGAAATTCGTAAGCCCCCCTAAATAATCAAACTATACCCAGGCAAACTCAAGTCCTAATATCCCCACAATGGCATCCTCCATCTCTTTCCTCACGCAAAAATGCTGCCCACTTTTTTTGACCTCATATATACCACCAGGATAAAAGTTTCTATGTTTTACAAAATATACTTATTTCTATTTTGCCAAGGTATCTCAAACTACTGCATGAAGTGCAGGCCAAAAAATGCAGCTATCTACTTTCCATGCCCAGCGCCAATTCGATTTTACTCGAAGCTCCATAATCTGACTTGTGCAGTGCTCAGCTCGTTTTGGATATAGTTTGCCAAATCTCTTGAGATAAAGATTATCCAATGAAGATTTTCTCCACACCAAACTATCAATTTTTAGCGGGGAAGGGGTTTTCAATAACTGATACACTACTTGGTATCTATAATGTGCGAAAAATGTGATAAGTTGACTTGACTGAGAAGGATCCTCCACTTCCCATGAAAGTAGAATTAATGATCTATCCAGTGCCGTGCCTTTAGCTGGGAACTTTTGGAGTTGGACATTAAGTCAACTGATTGTTCATGAATTTACGGTCTTGTTATAAACTATCATCTGATTAGTGGATTTGGTCTGGACTACGATGAAATGGCGTTCGGATTCTTTGTGGTGTATGATGAAATACGGACGTTCTCATTTCCTCATATGGCAAGCTATGACTTGTTCAAGGGGAGTTACAAAAACGTGAATACTACGTAGCCAGGTCCTATTACTGTTTTCATTCTTTTGTGTCACAATCTTGTCGTTTATTGTCTTCCATAGATCTTTGTGTTGATCTTTTTTAGATCTTTACATTGATTTACTTATACGTTATCAACTAATTTAACCTGTCAAATTTCAGGTGGGGTTTTGGTGGCTATGGAAGGTGCGGAGAATGTCTACAGCTCTTTGTTATTTTAATTTAGGGTAGCCCTTACGGGTTCATGTGCTCCTTCATCATAGGAGGGATACATACTGAATCTTTGTTTCCGTTTTATTAATTTTAAGAATATTTATTTGGTTCTGCGTTATACTTACAATTAGTTGATTCAATGACAATCAGGCTGGGACACAGAGAACAGAAAGATGAATGGGTTCCGCGTCTTGTTGATGTTTTCCAAAAGAAAAACGTTCTTCCACCAACTGCTATTGTTTCAGCTGGTTCAGCTAACTCTGCTTGTACTGCTGGTACGCCTTCTTAATTTCTCATGTTAAATCCTACGTGGATGTAACTAAATTTTAACTATTTTTCGTAAGTTGTACCCAGCCATTTTTCAGTGGAATTGGCCAAAAACTTTAATGATTCAAATGGAGCTAAAAATTTCAGTACTGCCGATTCCATATGAAAGTCCTTTGTGGCATTTTCCATGGCTTAGAATCGATGGTCTTTAGGGCTGAAGGGCAGCTGGATGGGTTCGAACTTAGATGTTTTTCTCACTACAACCACTTAGTTCCAAATGGTAGCTATTGAAGTCTTCAGAAGCACAACATCAGGGATAAGTAATTTCATTCAGTTCTTAACTCTTTTCAAAGGTTGAAATTATTAGTCATATTTTACAGTGGACATAGACGAGTTTGGAGCGTCGTTATGGATCATAAATGGCATCTTTCAATTGATGTTTAATGACTTGCATTTATGTTGAACCAGTAGAAGCTTTTTTTCTTCAAATTTTCTCGTGAATTATTTGTACAACGTTTGAGAAAGTAGAATGCGAGTATATGTAGAGCTCTCTTTGCCAGAGTCCATGTGTAATGGAATGAGCAATAACCGTTGTTTTTAGTGGAACGCTTTTAAGATCTTTGTTTCAGCGGGATTATAGTTAATGAGGTTCAGTCTTTGAGAAAACATTGATGTATCTGCTAAATGTAGATACTGATGGGCAGAACAGGAAAACATATTTAGTTCAATCCAAAGCAAGATGGAAAATAATCTGGAGAGATAGGTGTGTGGAAATATTTAGTTGCCGTTTTTTAGTTCATGGTAGAACAATCGAGAAAGAACATCATTTGATTGTACTTGTCTGCATATATTTTTCGTTGTTGAGGAATGATTGTGAAGTACTACATTGCCTTTTATTTCTTGATTATATTTTTCCAGGAGGAGGGCAACTGTACATGTGGGGTAAGCTAAAGAGCACGGGTGATGATTGGATGTATCCTAAGCCTGTTATGGATTTAAGGTATTCTCCTTGTGTGCCTTCTTGGTTTATTTACTTTTGAGCCGCTGTCCTATGGACAATTTGATTTCTCATTTCAGTTTTCTAATGCTATGTGCTAATTTTTTGCATCAAATATGATATTCCTCATTTTTGCTGTTGGGTATACATTTACCCTCTTAATGAAGGAGTAAAGCAAAACAAATGCAAGACACCATTGAAAGATAATACGATAAGACATGGAGTGATGAGGGAATTTCATTTCCCGAAGTAGATTTCACTGACAAGCTGACGACATAAATGCTTCTAGTAATTGTTGGGACCATCAGATCTGTCCTTTCCGAACCTTACAAAGATCATTCTTCCCCGCTATTGTTTGTGGAATTAGTTCAGAACTCTGGAAAAGGCGGGGGTGGAGCCGAATTAAAAGATTCTGCAAAGATCCGGTTTATGTAACCAAACCGAGAAGAATCTTCTTACAAATATTTTTGATAAAAAGGCGCCAACACAAAAATCTGTTAAGATATGTGTCCTTTGTAAAGATTCATTACTAAATACCATACGCTTGATTCCCAATCAATGCAGTGTGATATGGTGTTTGTGATGATATTGATGTGTTTGAAACTTATGCTACGCCTCACTATCCTCCTCACTTTAACAGGCTGTAAATTTTTGTCTCCTACACATCCTCAGTTAAAAAAAACTGTGGAATCAGCAGTGACCCTCTTCTTCTGTCAGGGTTACGCACAATTACTTCATTTTTTTTCACTTCACGTGTTCTCAAGAAAACTGTTTCTGGATGAAAGACGTTGAAACAGGCCATAAAACAAGCAGAAGATCTGCAGTAGAGGAAAGGCAGTGCTGTGGAAACCGGTTTGTATGGGTGATATAATGGTACTTGAGGTTGTCCATGCAAGCTATCTTCACATGTTTGACTGTTCATCAAGAAATGAAATGCTTGGATTTATGTTCGTGGTTTCACTACTCGCATCTCCCACTAGCACCTAGATTTTCTAATGACTTCAACTAACTGTCGCTTCAGAGAAATATATTTCTTGGGAAGTGCACGTCAGGGGAAGAATAACATTTTATTTAGATTTATAAGTGTTAATGCACGCTTAGTACTTGAGAAAAGTCAATTCAGGGTTGACTTTCGTGGACTGTACTGCTTTCTGCCCAATATGCTAGTTTCTTGGAATTAAGACGTTTTATGCATCCTCTTTTTTCTGGCTTGTAGAAAAGAACACAATAAAACATCCTGTATGCATTATCCCGTGTTTCCCTCCCAGATTCTTCCTCTCAACTTATTAATATTAGCCATATTTTGTGACCATAGTATGTATTGTGTCTTCTCATCGGCCGTATCCTTTTAATTTCTCATTACAGTGGCTGGAACATAAACTGCATGGACTCGGGTAACATGCATCACGTCGTTGGGGCCGATGAATCGTGCATCAGTTGGGGTCTTGCTCAGCATGGCGAGCTTGGATATGGTCCTCTCGGGCAGAAGTGCGTCTTTGGCAACCTTCAGTTCAATGTCATTTTACTTGTATCTTGAAGCTACGGGTTACACAGATTTCAGTCAGCTTAACGTTGACAACACTGATGAGTGTATTCCTTTGTCGTAGATCCTCTTCAAACCCTAAAAAAGTAGATCTCCTCGAGGGCATGCGCGTCACCAGGTAAGAGAACTATTCCTTTTTTTTTTTTCCCCTAAACTTTGTTATTTGATCATAATAGTGTGGGTTACGGAGTTTTGGCAATTTTTGTGCAGTGTTGCATGTGGAATGGGCCTCTCCCTGATCGTTGTGGACAGAGCGATTGCTGGTGACAAGCTGAACCAGGTACCTTTCAAGATACTCTTGATCGATGCGTTCGTCTGCTATATCTCCTTTGTGCTGTTCATGTGGCTGCTCAAGAGCCCAGTGAGTGAATAAAACCCTCCCAAGCTGTTTTTGGATGGTATAATGGAAAGTGCTAACATACCCACTGGGATACAGCAGCTATAGTTTGCTTCATTGAGGATCCAGTTGATCGCTAGAGAGAGAAAGAGAGAGAGAGAGAGTCACCGATTCTAGCAACTTTGTAGATATACTTGTGAAAAGGTTCTCTGATCATCTTGTCAATCTTTTCTTCCTACTTAATATAGTAATACACATACCCGACTGCTCTCATCTACCTGTGAATTTTAATGCTGCTCTGTGTGGGTGTGGGTCTGTGTTTTGTGCTCGATGCGCGAGTTCTCATGTTGATTACTCTTCCGTTGTGCAGCTCGAGGTTTATGATGGGGGTTATCCCGGAGGTATTAATGCTCTTCTGCTGTTCCTTTCGCCTCCATATCTCTGTAGATAGCACCAAACTCGGTACCTGGTTCTCTCTCTCTCTCTCTCTCTCTCTCTCTTGCTGGTGCATCCAGAGTCTGGCCATGGGTTCCCCTCTGGTTCTTTAGCTTCACTGAGCCTGTAGTTTTTTTAAAAAGGGAAAATAAAAAAGGAATCTTGACTGGTTGATTATTTGCACGCGTCAGTGGCAGGAGAGGGCGAAGAAGCAGAACCCGCCGGCGCCGCCACCAAGGCTGCGGCGGCACCCAGAAAGCGAGCCGCCGCCTCTGCAAAGGCCCCGATGAAGAAGAATAAGAAGAAGAAGAACGAGGAAGAAGGCTCCTCAGAGTCCGAAAGCGGAGACGATAGCGGAGACACCGGGGGCAGCGAGAGCGACGGCGACAGCGGAGACGCCGGCGGTGAGGTCCCCGCTGCCGGGAAGAGGAATCGCGGCGGCGCAAGGGGCCGCGGGAGGGGCCGCGGCCGCGGCCGCCCCCCAAAGTCCGCCGTCGCCGGCGGTGGCCGCGGCCCTGGGCGAGGCAGAGCCGGCAAGAAGGTCCGCCGCAGCTAACCAGGTGATTACATCCTTCCCCATCGCGCGCCTCCTTTCCTCTCATCCACCCGTGAAATTCTTCCATTGATTCAACTCCTCCCAGAAAATGGGGTCAATCTCTTTTATCCAACCCAACCCCAACCCTTTTTTGTCCTCTTTTTTGGCACTGTGCCGCCATGTGCGGCGGCGGAAGGCAAGTCCCTCACCAACTCAAAGTTGACTCCTTTGCTCTCTCTCTCTCTCCATCTCTTTCTATGTCTGCGCCGCTGGAAGAGTGGGCGGCGGTGGTCCCTGTGGAGAGATTAAGGTGACGTGGGCCACTGTGCGGGGCAGAAGTTCACATGTGCCCGCCGGGGGCCCCTCCCATCCGGCCCGTTGGGGATTACTGACGATGCCTACGTTGAATCGTCTACGTATGCGCAGAAAGTATTTTTATAGCTCACAAACAAGCGGCATGCTGATTCGACGGAGATCTAGTGGTCCGGCCCACTGGTGGGGCCACGTGGCAGCGCTATCCAGATGATGATGGGCTAAATAGTGCAGGCCTCAATCTTTGGGCTTGATATTGGTCGAATTTACGAGGCGGACACGTGGCGCAGCGTTTCGAGGGGGCCCACTGGACCTGCCACCGCTAGCGAGTCTGAGCAGATCCGAATCCGGAGTACATGGTGGGCCCATTAGAGGCCCGATGGTCGGCAGAAGCACATGGCGAAGCGTCAATCAGAGTGTGGGATTCGGATTTGCGGGTAAATGCTGGGCCTCTGGGTGTTAGTGGCCGTCCGCAACCGTCCGATCAAAAAAAGGCTACTTACTCTGCGGATGCCGATGGGGGAGTGAGCTGGATTTGATAAAGCCAAGTGGCGTCCTTCACCTGGGCTGGCAGCGAGGACGGACAGGTAAAGCAGGCTGGAGATTGACTAGTATATGTTATTGGTTTTAGTGAGAGGAGATAATAATGGAGCGGATGATGCAGACGACGTGGCGGGGGGGAGGTAGATGAAGCCAGAGGACAGAGTAGGCAGCAGCGACTGGTAACAGCAGAACGGCTCTCAACTCTTTTTAACGTTTTCCGAAGCACCAGGAGGAGGAAGAGGAGCAGCAGCAGCAGCAGCAGAAACAGCTGCAGCGCCGAGGAGGTAGCAAGACGAGGGATGGGGAAAACAGGGAAGGCCTGTTTCAACATTGTCGCCTGTGGCAGGGGTTCCGCCGACCACGACGATGTGGAACCGTCGGAGGTAAGTGCGGATCCTCGCCGATCCCCGCCGATCCCCGCCTGTTTATTCTCGCTCTTGATGGGTTGGGGATTTAGATTTTTGTTTGGCGCCTGATCTCGCTGTTTTCCCTTGCTTCTATTGGATCTGCTGCTTGTTGGTGGTTTTCTTGTCGCAGCATTGCCGGGTGCAGCAGGCCTGGACATTAGTTTTTTTGTTTTTTCCTTCCGGATGCTGTACTTTATCCACCTTGCTTGTGCTCACTCTTGCCGTTGATGAAAAAACTGTAAATTTGGTTAGCTCGCCAGCGAAAGTAGACGTGGAGTTGTAACCGAAGTGTCCGCTGAATCTACATTTCATTCATAGTGTTGATTGTAAAGTTTTTTTAGCTTCAATGCACATTAGATCCATCATTACAATTCGGTGGAGCCTGAAGCTGGTTACGGCTAAAATGATGCCGTTTTTTTTTTTTTTCTCTTGGTGGCATTTGTGCTGTGTTTTCCTGTGTTGACGGGATTTGGACCGTTGAGGCTATTTTCAGTGTGTCAGTCGCATAGGTCGCTCGTGCCAGGGTTGGATGAATTCAATGAAAGATCTCATTTTATCTTTGCTTCAAATGGTCATTTTCATGGAGCCGTCAAGTGATGATGGTTCAGCAGATTCGTCGTATGTCATTTTTTTTAAGGTTCCAGGTAGGATCAGGTTACTTAGAACAAGTTCGGAAATTGGATTTAGGAAGATGCTAGGCTGCCTGATATTAGAATTAGTCAGCCAGGCCGAGCATGACACTGTTTCAGTATTTCATCAGATCAGGTGGTTCCGTGGAAACCCTTTCCTCTTCCAAGAAGATTGCTGTGAAGAAGAGAGAAAATGAAAGTTATTACTGCTCCAGTTTTAGAGGTACCTGTTTTTAGTGATGAAAAAAGTAGCTTCCTGGGGCTGAGGCGAAAAATCATGGAGTTAACAATTTCATTATGATAATGCCCTGTTATTCAGTGAAATTTTTTCAGTTTGAGGTTGGATTTTTTCAGCGGGACGTAATTTTTTGCGTCAATATGAAATTCGTAAACTGTCTGGGAAGCATCTCCTGATCACCCCTCTTTACTTTTCAGTCTTATGTTCTTTCATCTAAGAGGTCTTACCCAACGCCTCAAGAAAAACTCCGTGTTCTCCGTGCAGTGCGATTCTGCGGTGCTGAATTATCCTATTGCGTAGTGGATTTATTTTCCCCCTGGGATTCTGTATCTTGTTCTACCTCCGTCGGATTTGAAGAATTTTGTTGAGACAGCTCCATATCTTCCGTTTTTATAGTAGCAAGGACAAGAAAATTTGAATTTTTTTTTATGGAAAATCAAAGGACAAAGTATTCCTTGTGGAAAATGGATGCATCTGGAAAATTTTAGATTTTTATGATTATCCAGGTGATTCTGCCATAAGTCAGTATCGTCATTGATGGGCTTTCTTTGATGGAAGATCGTGCAGGAAAGCACCTTCTGGATGTTACTTACTCTGAATGCATCTCTAAAAACGCACGAAATGAATTTGTGTAACATAATGTGCAATGCGTCTGTCCACATGAAGCTAGTCTTTGGCAATGAGTGTTTATTGAACAATTGTTGCAGAAGTTCTTGGTTAAAGCGAAATGTCTCTAGACAACAGAATTGTTTCCAGCTGCATTTTTAAGAAAATATAAGTGGTTGGGAATGAGTTTTCTTGCTTTTTTATGCATCTCTAGAAGAAATAAATGCATTGGCGTGGTCATGGTGCTTTATGTAATGATTTTTATTTATTGGCCAAACGCAAGGGAGTCGACTTGCTGAGATGATTCGTAATTTCACTCGAAAGGCATGGAGTTTGTTACCGTCCCACATGCTTGTAGTTTCCATGGGGGCAAGAGAGATAGATCAGGGAGGTATTGGATGACCAAATGCATGCAAAAAATCGCAACTGGGTGGGTTACTTTTATATGGTATCTTTTTGTGATGGCCTCTGGGGTTTCTTTACGTTATCTCCTTTTTTCTCTTTCATTACGTCGTTATTTATAGATTAATATTCTATTGGAAATCATTTATTACAATTCATACTCTCCCCCTTCTGTTTTAGCCCAGTAAATGCCCATGATGGACTTGGTAGTATCAGGTGACATGCAATAACGGGCCTAAGACAAATTAGCCGAGTGTCAGGGAGGGTGGCAAATGGGTAATGCGTCCATCTCATTTCTGTAATATTTTCTGGCTGCCCCTGTTGTTCTCCAGGATAAGATAACTGCTCTCAAATCCAGAGTCTGTAGATTCCTCAAAGTTATGGTGCATGAATCCTTACAGAGGCTTGGTGTAACCGCAAATGCTATGCGTTCAATATAATCCCAGGGACTCGAATATATCTCATCAAGGGTGGCATTTTTTGACGACTGTTTTTGGTTGAATAATTCGAAAATTCAGTCATAAGTATTTGTCCGCCGAAAAAATAAAAGAACTAATTACCATGGTAGCTTCTGCTGAATGATTTACTGGTTGTTGAAACTCTTCATCTTGCATTCCATCATGAGTCATATTTTATATTAGAACAGCTGTTCCTGTTTCATAATCAATGTCGCAATATCGCTTTGGAGCTTATATTTCATTTCTATCAGACTATGACAAGCATATTTGGTAAAATGTTGCATGTTATGATAAACATTATGCATCTCTTGAAGGCTTTAAGTACGGTCTGTATCAGAGACCTGGGATAAACACTCAGTGGAGGTTGTTTCTTGTGACAAAAATCTAATATTTTAGTGCACAAAGATTTACTTCCGTCAAGCAAGGTCGTGATTCATGATACATATTCTTGTTTCATATCATCATACATGTTAATTTTTTTGCCGCTAAAACTTCAGAACTTACTTTTAATTTAGGCAATGAAGGAAGATCTGTTCGTGTACGGATATTTTCTTCACATTGTATTCCTTGTTCAAATTTTCTGACTCTTTCTATGTTCAATATCCTTCAGTCCAGAGTATTGTCGAATAAATGTAGATGGAGTTTCCGAAAGAGATCTGCCCATCATCGTGTCTTAAGTAACACTGTCATCTCAGAACCTTTACCTCTCAGCAAGGAGAGCCCAAATGTCAGCCGTAAGGATTCCGATCTGCCAGATAATCCATTCAACTTTGAGAAGCTTGCTTCACCAAAAAAGGCAGATGACAGTCTCCCACCAGCAGTGGACTCGGTGGATGCAGAAGTGGTTGACGCTTATCCTACCACTGAAGAGACAATTAAGCCTGATCCTGATACCTCGGAGTCTGCTGCTGCTGTGATTCAGGCTGCTATTAGGGGATACTTGGTATTTCAACTGCTCGAGTATCCAAAATTTGAGGATTTTACTATTTTCTTACTGTCTGATTTTGAAACTTCTGCTACTTTCCACTAGGCTCGCAAGGAATTCCGGAAGCTCAAGAGTGTAGTCAAGCTGCAAGCTGCCATACGTGGACATCTGGTGCGGCGGCAGGCTGCCGGCACCTTGCGTTGTGTCCAGGCAATTGTCAAAATGCAAGCCCTTGTCCGGGCTCGTCTTCTGCAACAATCAGCAGGAGCCTTTGCTAATCAGCTGAAGCTTGGTGAAACCTGCCAGACAAACATTGATACGCCAAGATCGATTTCCTTGGTAAGACGAAGTCTTATTTGCTACATTTTTGCATATTAAACTATTGATACAAGCAATGTAGCATGGGATTGGCTTGGGTTTTATGTGAATGAATGCTCTATGATCCTTTTTTATCTTTCTTTGTTCCAGGAGGATAAGGAGAGTTCCAGCATCAAAGAGAAAAGATCATATTCATCTGAGAAGATAACCAGAAATGGCTTTGCCCGCCAGGTACAACCTAGTCATTGTCTTCTGTTAGTCTCGTCACATTCAGCTGTTTTTACCCTTTATATCGAATTTCTTATTTTTCTCATTTAACATGTATATGCAAGCTGTTGGAGTCAACACCAAAAACCAAACCTATACACATTAATTGTGATCACTCGAGATCTGATTCAGCGTGGAAATGGTTGGAGCGGTGGATGACCTTATCCACCCCTGACATTGTACACGAGGACTTCAACCTGAGTTCTTCTCATCAGCAACAGAAGGAAAATATAAAGCTTGATGCTTCAGAGGTGGCAGATGAAGCTCTTGTTGCAGTTCATTCTGCATCTCCAGTTGAGAATTTGACAACATCATCAGTCCCTTGCCATGAAGAATCTACTATAAAAATTGCGAGTGATTCCGAGACCAAGAACAATGATCCGAGCGTGGCGGAAGAGAATCATGCATATCATGAGATCGCCGAGAAACAGTTGGGGCCCAGCTCAGATGGTGTGGCAGCTCTTCAATCAGCTTCCACACTGCAGTCTCCAGACGCCATCTCTGATGGGTCTGAAGAACAATCAACCCATTTTGGGAAAAGCACTTCCAGTGGTTCTCTGGATGATGAGGGTAAGAAGCCTTCATTCGGGGCAAGGAAGGCCTGCAATCCTTCATTTGCTGCCGCACAAGCAAAGTTCGAGGGGCTGAGCTCTGCAAGTTCCCAGAAGTCGTTCAACTCCTCGAAGCCAGTCAGTCTCCCTTCTAACTTCGCAGAAGATTCAGCTTCTCACGATACAAGACTGTTACAAGCAGCGACCTCTGAGTGTGGCACAGAGATCTCAATCTCTTCAACTCTTGACTCCCCAGATAGATCTGAGACTGAAGGGGGAGAGATCGTCCTCGAAATCCGAAACCTCGAGAGAAGGGATTATGAAGAGGATGATGGCTCTTATGATGATCCATCCACCCGCGCAGAAGCCTTCCAGCAGCCCAAGCTCAAAGCAGTGAACGGAAACTCCACCGAGGTGATCACAGTAGCTGCTCATTCTGCTGAAGCAGAGCATCAGCTGAAGCCGATTCCCTCTGATGTCAAGCTCCTCCAGGAAAATGGTATAGATCAAGATCCAATCGGCAGATCCACTCCTGAAGGTTCTCCCAGAAGCCACATAACAGCGCCCGAGTCAAATGCAACGCCATCTAGCCAGATCTCTGTGAATTCTAGAAGGAACAAGGGGGAGAGAAGTCTACGCACCAGGAAGCAGAGACCCCCAGTGGCGGGCGCAAAGGTGTCCCCATCGAACATGAACAATATTACTAATTCAGGGAAAGGCTTCTCTGAGGAACCCACCCAGGACGCGAAGAATGGGAAGAGGCGGGAGTCGTTGGGGGCAGCCGTGCCCGACAATGGGGAGCCGAACGAGCCGAGACCCAGCACCAGCAACTCGCTTCCCAGCTACATGCAGGCCACGGAATCCGCGAGAGCCAAGTTCAACGCCAATTCTCCGAAATCAAGCCCGGACTTGCACAGGGAGATCTATGCGAAGAAGAGGCACTCCCTTCCCCTGGTAAACGGGAAGCAAGATTCGTCCCCTCGCGTGCAGCGTTCTTCACCACAGTCGCAGCAGAACACAAAGCAGAGTGGCGCCAATTCTCCTTACAATTCCGCCGGTAAGATCCCGACCACCTATCTCTAGCTGCCAATCACTGGATTTCTCTGAATGTTCTTGAGCAAATCCCCCATGAAAGGCACCTGCTTGCTGGAAGAAATGACAGCGAGATAGGATTGGAATCGTCATCATAGTAGAGTGTTAACAGCTTATCTTGTCTCAAATCTTGGCTAAAGATTGGTTGCATTAATAACAGTTAATGTGGTTTGGTAGAACAGTCTCTCTTCTTACTCAGCGTTGACCCCGATGACTCACAGACTTTAGCACACTTTTTTTTTCAGAAAGAAGATGGCAGAGGTGATTTCGGGGAGCTTGAAGAAGATGGTGGCGGCTGGCTGTGTAGCTGGTGATTCTTCCCTCGATTCCCCCCCCCCTCTTCCCCTTGTGGCCTTCACCGGGGAAGGAAACGAAGAGTGAGTGACTCGTTTCGAGTGGGTTTGTATATTGGGTTCTGAGAAAGCCTCCCTTCCCTCTCTCTCTCTCGCTCCCGGTGTGCCAACATGTTGGGTTGTGAAGGGTATCTCGAGTCCCATGACTATGCAAAGTCTGTGTGATCTTCTGATCGCGGTATCTCTCTCTCTCTCTCTCGAGACATGCTGTCATTTCAAGCATATGATCATCTTTTTCAGCGGTATCTGTAGATTTCTTCATTCCAGGCAGGCCCCTTGTGCTTCTTCGGATGTTTGGTTCAGTCTAGAGGTTAATGTTTTCCCTCTCATATATACCCAAGCTTTGAGAAGAAAAGTCTTACCAGAGACCTTGCAAACCGAGCCAGGCCCCTCTCTCTCTCTCTCTCTCTCTCTCTCTCTCTCTCTCTCTCTCTCTCTCTCTCTCTCTCTCTCTCTCTCTCTCTCTCTCTCTCTCTCTCTCTCTCTCTCTCTCTCTCTCTCTCTCTCTCTCTCTCTCTCTCTCTCTCTCTCTCTCCTCTCTCCTCTCTCCCTCTCTCTCCTCTCTCTCTCTCTCTCTCTCCTCTCTCTCTCTCTCCTCTCTCTCTCCTCTCTCCCTCCCTCTCCCTCTCTCTCTCCTCCTCCTCTCTCTCTCTCTCTCTCTCCCTCCTCTCCTCTCTCTCTCTCCACTCTCCTCTCTCTCTCTCTCTCCCTCCCTCCTCCATCTCCCTCCCTCCATCTCTCCCTCCCTCTCCTCTCCCTCCCTCCATCTCTCTCCCTCCCTCCCTCCATCTCTCTCTCTCTCTCTCTCTCTCTCTCCCTCTCTCTATCTCACTCCCTCCCTCGCAGAACCTTCCTTGTGGAAAGACATGAAGAATCACCTTCAATAAACTTAGTGCACTTAGCATAGTGGGCATAATTTTCCCAGCATAGCTGAGGCTCTCGTTGTTGCATATCTAGCTCGGTGCAAACTGGGGCGCATGTGGAACATTTCAGATTTGCTTGTGGCAAGATAGAATCTCACCCATATAGTATGATAGATAATGTGCCCATGGGACGATATAGCATCAAGCATATACTCTTAACATTATCATGCACCTATGCTTGACAATAGGCATTAAAGATGCTAAATATAAGCTATGTAAGGGACTAACTTAGGGATGCATAACAATTAAAATGTCAACTAATTAACTTCATTTTGTCTATTTATATATAAATGGAAACAAATCTGGCTTCTTGGACCTTGGTTGCATGAGTTGAACATCAATCTATGCCAATACCTCATGAAATATTCCAATTAAAGTGTTTTAATAATACCCATGAAAAATAAATCTCTAACCTAATACATAAAGTTGAACAAACGAATGAGCATATTATTACGATAATGCCATTAGTGGATCTCCACAACCATGCAAGTAAGCGTAGAGTAACACATGGGCTCACCTCCAAATTTAGATGGTTACTTGAAACTCATTACAATAACACAGTTGGGGTAATTAAAGATGTATAATGCCATGTAAGAGAGCTTAGGGCGTTATAAGCTCATTACCCTCATTTAAGGCAATACTTAAATGGATGATCCACAAATACATTCACATGATGCACGAGTGAAAGCACAATGGAGTTGGAGAAATTTATGCAATGTCACAATGTAGAGTATAGTGTATGGAATAATGAGTGAATACCCTACTAAAAGTATGTCATTTTTGTATCCTAATCAATGAGATACATCACATCTTTTTCTGGCAATATTTACGTTTTCATCCGAGTTATCTAACAACCAAATAGTAATGAAAACAGCAAGAGAAATTGACATGAGTAAAATGAATTGATGGGACTATGAATGAGGCCAACTATATTGCACTCATGGATCAGCTTGTTTGATGACTAAGATAATGCCTATTTTTGGCAAAGTTCCATGTTAAAATACATTATATTTATTTTCAGGCTATATACTATTTTATCATTTCCAAGATTAATGTCCATTGATAGCTTGCAGTATGATGACCATTCAAGTTCGATAGTAAAAAAATAATTTCCAAATTTCCATTTGATTGTTTGCTACATATGACTTGGATTAGATTCTCCTAAAAAAAAGAATATTAGGTGTTACTCTTATTTAATAAATAAATAAAAAGTACTTTGAGAACGAATAATTAATCATAACTAAGCCACAATATAACAAAAATCACAAGAAGATGAACTAGTTGGGTGAATTCCTTCCTTTTGATGATAATAATTTGGTTTGGTCAACTTATAAACAAGCATACATCAAATATTTATATTGGTTTAGTTTCTCAACCAATCCGACTGATCGTCAAGAATCTCTTCTACTCTATGTTGTACATCTTTGTCACTAATGGTTATTTTATACGGGCACAAAGTTCTTCATAAGATTGTCTTTCTTGGTCAACTCAGACTTTTCTATCTTGTGGTGAACAGTTCACACAGGATGAGTCAACTCACATAAAAGATCTAGCCAGCTTTTATTTAATCTTTAATTTTCATAAGATATTTTTTGTGTTATTATCAAATATTTCACAAGCATATGAAGATAGTATTTTTTTCATAAATTTAAACCTACCATTTCTACTCTTGGAATGTATTTTATTAAGTAAAGTTAGCAAGGACATGTGATTATATTAAGTTTTCATCGCCTATTATTTCCTATTATCCATCTTTTTTTTTTCTTTTTTTTTGGATACCAATATTTTTGGACAAACTTATATGGGAGTGGAGATGGCGATTTTTTCCCCTCATCAACAAGGTTAAGTGAGAGTGGAGGTGCCTTTATGTACATATGTTATTTCTTACAGGTAAAGACCAGCAGTTTGGGCCGAATTCAGCCTCAAACCGAGCGGATGGGTCTATCTCCGAGCCACCGGCCCAATAAAAGCCCAAATATTTTGGGCACTTCAGGCCCATTAAACCCCCGTCGCTGTAGCTCACAGGACCAATAAAGTACATTCGGAATCATTCTGAATGTGACAAGAGACATTGCATTATTACCACGTGGGTAAAAGCCGACAAAACTGGTTGTCCCGGTCAACTCGAGCAAAGGTTTGGATAGGATTAGTATCGATCGACACGTGGACCACCAAAGGGAGTCCTTCGACGTGGTCAACCACAGGCGGCTTTGGGCGGACCCATTAGGGGGGGGCCTATTTGTCTAAATGCATTGGTCCACTGGGCCCCTATACGATATGGAGGCCCGTTTCACAAGTAATTGGAATTACAGGGGCTTATGCTAAATTTACGGTTAACCGTCTTCCTTCTGTCTTTTAACCTCGTTTTCCTCCTCTTCTGCGTAATGCCCTCACATTCCCTTCTTCCCCCAATCTCTGCTGCGTCTGTATTAATCGATGGGAAGGGGGCAGAGGGAGGGCAGTCAGTGAGGGGGAATATAAGCGTGTGGCCGCCGCCGTTGCCATTGCCGCTACCGTCACCGGACACTGTTTGTTAGTCATTTTTTCCTGTTCGGAACTGGACGCGTTGTCCCGCGGAGCAACTGGGCGAAGATCGTCCGAGCATGAGTGATCTGGTGGCGCGAACGGGTCGGCACCAGCAGCGCTACGAACAAGGCCACCGCCTTGTTGCCGGGTCTCCTCTTTATCCCTCAACTTCCAGTCCGTCGTTTACTTGTTAATTTTTTTTCCCCCATCGAATTATGCTATCTAGGGCCCAGACATGTTGCATCTCAATTTTATCAGTGGCGTGATAGTTATGGATTTTTTGATTATTTCCGCCAACTTGTTTTCGTTTGATAGATGGATGACTGATTTCCAGATGTGTGCATTTCCACTTGTTGGTGGTCCGGGGCCATTTTTCTTCGGCATATTCGTCAACAAGATATTTTATTTTAAAGATGGTGAGGCCTGATAAAACATCTGGCCTGAGCACATACCACGTGGACCATTTGGTTCTAAAATTATTGTCCATTGCATTTTCTATTGCTCTCCACTGCGGCCTAGGACTAGATCTCCTAAATATTTCTTATGTACCTCTTTGTGGAGATTTAAGAACTCTTCCGTTTGGTCATTCGTTCTCTCATTTCCAACTTGTTAGTCTTTGTCAGTACTTTCCATCCATTTTAATCTGCTACTGGTGGATGGAAATGAAATTTTAATGCCCAGTTTTTTTTAGTAAATAGACGTGAAATTTATAAACCCCTTGGTTAAATAAAGCGTGATTCGTTTAAGAGAATGATTTCAAACTTAAAGAAAAGAAAACAATGGGAAAATAAATAAAAAATCAGTGCACTATGCATTATAAAAGAAAGGGTTAATATGGTCCCCTAAAGAAACCCCTGTAAAGAAGAATGGCATTTATAAGGGAGAGACACAAATACCACGGACTTAGACAGTTGTGGACACTTGCAGACGGCCAGCACATTGGTTCACCTTATTATGTTTCACTTTTTAAACCATGTAGTGATCACTGCATTATTTTAAACATGAATTAAATGTCAAATAATGCTGAGGAGATGAATATATGGAAATTTTGTTCTCATTAATTAGCCTGGATATATTGAGCCGATAGTTTGTGGAAAGCAAGTTTCTCTGCTAGATGGAGAGCTATTTGCCAGTTAGTTGCACTGGTAGAGGATCATATCACGAACCCGAGTTTGTGATTTCGGACTATCTTGAGACTGACTCTCAACTTCTAGTTCTTGTTGATTCTATCTCATATTTTTAGATTTACTTAACTCGGTCTATAAGTAATGTAGAGCAAGATTATAGCAATCGTAAAATGCCGAAGAAGTATGTCCCAGAATCTTCAAAGAGGTAAAACGTGGAAGAATCAATTAGATTTGTCTAGGCAACTCATAAGGCCGCAAACGCGTTTTTCCATTTATAGGGTTATTAACTCTTTCCTTTCATCTAAGATTTCTGTTGTGTAAGTAGGCTTCGAATGAGATATTTTTATTTATGAGATTTATAACCCCCTTTTTTACCTATTTGAAGAAGCCACACACTGTACTAGATGCAAAAAATCCTTTCATCATAAGTGCAAAGTTTATTCCATTTCTGAAGATTTAGGGCTCTAATAGAAAAGAATGGTAATGTGTCTTAAACCTTCAAGGGAGATAGAATAAAATTATCAATTATTCTAAATAGTCCGATCAGAAATCTACTGACAGAGAAGCCCATGAAAGGAGAATGTGCTTTCAACCTCATGGGCTGCCTAGATAATTCCATTTGAGGCGTCTACATTTGACCCTGTTTGGCCGTCTGAGCTACATCTTTTGACCTTTCTACAACTGTTTCTTCTACATCAAACAGTTCAAGCAAATTGATGAGGACATTGGAGTCAACCGCACGCCAATCAATGTCTACACTCGATTGAAGCAGATCGGTGGACTTGGTGAATAACGTAATAAGGCTTTCTTTTGCGGATTTCCATACGTCATTCAGACCAAGTTTCTCTTCAACTATTTTGGCAGGTTCTACAAGTATTTAAGATCTATGAAAGACCCTAAGAATCCCAAAATACATGAAAGACCAAGTTTCACTATATATTTAGGACCATTTAGTGCCAAAAATTGTAGTCCATTAGGTACAGATGTTGCTTAAGGACTGAAATCTTAAAGTCAGATCTAAGAGCACTCCTTCGAAGGACTGATGTTGCTCCTATAAATAGGAGGTTGAACTTGATGTCAACAAAAATAATAATGCTTTTAATTAAAATTTGGCTCCTAGATCCTTCTCCAAGATAGTCGTGAAGGTCCTCCAGCGAGAAATTAGGGTCCCAAAGGGTGAAGCTGAGGGATAGTTTGGCCTTGCTTTATCCCTGGTGTCCTCCAGAATGTGGGATCACTATAATTCTAAGATGAGTACTGGTTGGCTGTTTGCACAAAATTCGTCAGCTACAAGTCCTTGTCCACGGGATCAAGATATTCTGGACCTCTTATCTACTTTTCTTTCAGACATCTTTTTTTTACTGACTATACTCGTCTGTATGCCCTTACCAGCACTAGACCCTTATCTCCTATTCTAGCCCACCACCCTTAACAGATCCTTACAAATTATTTTGGTCAAGTATAATTTTCATATTTTTATGCGATATAACTTCTGTTTTGAAAGCAAGGCACCTTGGTAGTGACCCTAACTACGAACACGATCCTGCTGCGACTATTCAAAGAGGATATTTATTTAGTTGGCCAGCCTTCATTTAAAATTGACATTTTCTGATTTCTCTTAAAATCAGACATACACGTGGTTTCTCCCACATCATAAATGCTGGAGAAGAATGGTTTAAATTCCATCATAAAATTTTTACATGGATTCACATAATGTCTCGTGATCCATAGGCTCTCTCTCAAAGGGATTTTAGAAGGGATGGAGTTATTGGTGACCTATACTGAAGCAATTTTGAAGCAACTTAATATTCCAGATAAATCGATAAAAATGGTAGAAAAACTCTGGTTACAATCCTCTTCGTTTGCCTCTGGTCATAAATTCTTTGCTGAAGCTGCAGCAAGATGGTGATTGATATTGAACAATATTTTGGTGAGTACATCTAGAATTTAATATAATGGCATATGTGTTTGATCGCATCAACGTCTATATGCACTTTTTTTTTGGGTATATCACGTGGTGAATCAAAGCTATGAAGAGGTTTATTTAATCTTTTTTTCCCTTTTTGGCATGGCCTTCTTTCTGTTTGGAGTAATCAAATGTCTGGTTAAAGTCAGTATTATGTATACGCTGGATCTTTGATCTTGTATCCCCAACAGGTGTATTCCATATAAATATCGATATTCTAATGGCAACTCTGGTGGCAAACGGAAAAGAGCCGTTGAAGTGCTAATGATTAATACACCGAGTGGCCCAGGGCTTCTTTTTCCAAAGGTACCGTCCACACCGTTCAGCATGATTTCTTCTGTGAGCTCCTAAAGGAGAAATACACACATTTTTTGTATACACGTTTGTGTCCACAGGCATTTACTATTCAACTCGTTTGGTTCAGTGTGCATTAACTTTGTAATGCAATTCAACTTTATGAATATATTCAGCTCTTATTCATCTAATTTGTAACGCAATTAGACTTCATGTACAGTTCCTTCCCCACATCCTTGCTTTTAATTTGGTAGGATAGTTAGGAACCCTTTGCTATTTTGAGCCCGACTGCCAGATTTGGAACTTTTCTTGAATTTCCTTGAATCCCTGGGTCAAATCCTCGCCTGACTCCACATTGATAAGATAAGCTCTATGGCTCTGTGATACATGGTCTGCATCGTTGGGTTATGAGAGCTATGAGAGAGAACGGTGATTTCTTAGACACTGTAAGTTAATCAGATGTTATAACATCAGATTAACGTCACTATGTTATATATAATCACAGGGAGGATGGGAGAATGATGAGACTGTGGAAGACGCAGCAGAGAGAGAAGCGCTAGAAGAAGCAGGAGTTCGAGGAGAGATAAAGGTGAATGATTATTTTGACGTAAAATTCGTAATTATATTATTTTCTCTCACCTCAAGATCTTTTTGCACCGAATAGTTGCTTGTGCTTGTGGAGAAGGCCAGGAGAAAAAATCATTTTTTTTCGTTTTTTTTACTTTTTTATGTATTGCAATTAAATTAAAATGCCAAGGCAGATTTTAATTTTAATTTTTATTATCAGTATTATTATTATTATTGCATTTGGTCATTTATATATCTTGGCTTCTTCTCCATATTTCGTTCTATTTCTTTTATAAGGTTGCTGGTTTCAATGTCCTCAGTATATTCAATGTCTCTGGATAGAAATTACTCAAAAGGACTGTTATTTAAGGTTATTAGAGACATACTCTGAAGATATTAAATCATATATAGTTTAGAAACATTGACGTATACAGGTTTCCATAGTCTCTCAAAGAGAGGCATGTGGAGGGAGCTAGAGAGAGAGAGACAGACAGCATGGATCTCTCTGAAAGGTGGGATTGGTTTGACCCAACCTCAGTCCATCTAGCTTCACCCTGGTCTGACTTTTGCTTATCTCATACAAGTCAATCAAGATTATCTCCTAAGATGTGGCATCAACAATCCAATCCCTCTCAGCGAAACAAGGTTTATGAAAACCTATTTGACAAGACATTTTTCTGGCGATGCGTTGACCAGATATATTTTTACTGCTCGGGATTGAGAGATCTAGGAACTGGGATTGAGGCCTCAAGACTCCTGGAAGTAGATTTTAATCTGCACTATCGTATAATAATCTCCTTCACTCTACCGCTGGGGCAGTCTCTGAAGTTGACCTTGGGCGGAGACCAAGAACATCCGTCCATCCTTTACGTTGACTTTTTTGTTTACCGCTGTTTTCTGTTAGGTCATCAGTCCCGATTTATTCATTTGGGAAGCAAAAATGGATTCATATTGCAGGAGCTGCTGGGGCACTACTACTTCAAGAGCAGGACCCACAAGGACGAGTTCTGCCCGGACGGATCCTGCAATGCCGCCATGTTCCCCCTGCTGGTCAAGGAGGAGCTCTCCACCTGGCCGGAGCAGGGCACCCGTCAACGCAAGTGGCTGACCGTTCCCGAGGCCTTGGAGCAGTGCAGGCATTCCTGGATGAAGGAAGCCCTCGCCACCGGCTTCTCCAGGTGGCACGCCGCCCACGCCGCCGACGACGACGACTGACCCGTTGACCACAGACACCCTCCTCCCTCCCCTTCACTAGATTCATAATTTTTTCTGCACTCCCTCCTCAAAAGACACTCAGTCAAAAGCTTTGATGGCATTCTGAAAGGAGTTCCGGAGAAGAATCGATTGACTTCACAAAAACACTTTCTAATATGAGCGAGGAAGTTCAACGGAGGAAAGTCGCAGGAAGAAAGCATCCTCATCACAGCGTTGCTTCCAAGAGGAAGCTACAAGAGAAAAAGAAAGCGTTGACCGGTCCAAGAGGACGAAGACTACGAGGGTGGGGACGACGATGAGACTCTTCAAGAACTCTTATCTGCCTTGGCGGCGGTGGCGGCGGCCTGCCCACGGAGCCGACCGGTTCTCCTGGCGGCGATGAGACCGACCTTCTGGCCTGGCGGCGCATCACGGCGGACGGTGCTGGCGTGGCCGATATGCTGGTGGTTACCTCCTCCGTGGGGATGCTCGACCGGGTTCATGGCCACACCGCGGACCTTGGGCCAGCAGTTCCTCTTCACGCGGTACTTGTGGAAGGCGTTGCCCGCTTTGAGCATCGGCTTCTCTGTCCTCCCGCCGCCGGCGACCTGGCCAATCATGGCCCTGCACCCACTCGGCACGACCTTCTTCGCCCCGGAAGGCAGCTTGATCCTGTGCAATCATCGATTCTATGAGAAAACCAGGGCGCGAATCCTCTCAGCGGAAGTTGAAAACTCAAAAAAAAGTGATTATGAGTAATAATAATATTTTTTTATGAAAAAAATCTGTGTGAGATGCTCAACGACTCGAGATTAGAATCGCCATAACGAAGCTACCACGGTGTGGGGAAGTAGCCCTAAATATATGACTAATCTCTGCATCTAAACCTCTACGGTGGGAAAAGCAGAGGATAACCTTTGATGGACGTTGACTATTGAGCTCGACCCTGAACTGGGTAGCAGTTCTCAATCGTCAACGTTGAGAGTTTAAGAAAATATATATGGCTTCATAATTATAAATCTGATAAGACCCATTCCAGAGATCTGATCGACAGCACGTTAGAGGGAAAGATAATGGACGAATAATAAGGAACCACTTGGAGAAATATCTTAAAGACTCTCACGTTGTTAGCAACCAACAGAATTAAATCAAATCTCACGGAATGTATATTAATCATTCAGGAGTAAATTTCGTCATTTACGAATCCGATTGAGAAACGGAGAAAATAAGCTAACAAATTCGATAAATTGGAGAATTATTCCCCCGGAGAAAATAATCTTACAGACAACAACTTATTTAATGAACTAATAAGAAGCAAGAGATCACCAGAGTACGCAGTGGAATGTTGCCGATACCCACAGTAGAAGCGTAAACCCAGCGAGATGTTGCGGATATATCATATGTGAGTGCGTTTGTGTAATCACAGTGAGGAGTGAAGAAAGGAACGACGACGCTCACAAGATATAAACCTACACGGCGCTGACTTTAAGTGTCAAGATATGTATCTAGTTTTTTCAACTGGATCTAGTGTTTATGCAGTTCCAGGAGATCTAGCATTTGCAAGCAACAGTCGTACCCCGGACGATGGTTCGCACTAGAGCCCCGAGGTCAGTACATTTTGGGGCATGGGATCCTAGCTCAAGGCTGGTGACTGATAGGAAGAAGGCATTCAAATACAGTGGATGGAGACTCCAGGCCATCAACTCAGGCCTGATACCATTCCCAATAGCAGAGGTTGACAACGAAAAACCGTTAAAGAAAAACAAATGAAATGGGAGCAGAGAGATTCACCTGCTGGTGCCATTGTCGGGGTTATGGCTGATGACGATAGCATAGTCACCGGAGCAGCGCGCGAAGACACCTCGGTCACCGACGTGGTGCTCCACGTTGCAGATCACAGCTCCCTCGGGGATGGAACGGAGAGGGAGGACGTTCCCCACCATCAGGTTGGCCTTCTTCCCGCAGAACAGGAATTGGCCGGTGTATATCCCCTCGGCGGCGATGAAGAGCTCCTTCTGCTGCTTGTATCGAAACGGATGGCGGAAGGTGACCCTCGCCAGCGGCGCTCCACGGCCGGGGTCGTGGATGATGTCGGTGACGACGCCCTTGAGGTAGCCATTGCGCTCGCCGAAATCGAGGCTGCGGAAGCGAGCGGGGCCCTTGCGGTGGTGTGTGTGGGACTTGAACACAGAACCCGCACCTTTCCTCTGAGCTCTGATCACCCGACCCATGGCGGCGGCGGCGGCGGCGACGGGAAGAGGAAAGCAATCGAGCGACGAAACAGAGGAGCAAAGATTAGGGCATCACCTCAGTATTTATAGTTCTCTTCGGGGAAACGACGGGCTTTCGTCTCATGGCGAACGCGAACGGGGCCCAACTTCCGCTACTCGACTGATTTTTTTACCAGTCGAATAAAATCAGACCAATAAAATAAACCCAATAAAACCGAATATTGGGCCCATTAAAACAGAACCTCGACAGGGCCCATAAAGGCAGCTGTATAGGGCCATTTAAAGCAGAATAATGTGCACTGGGCTGATAGGGAAGCCCAATTAAATCTGGTATCAGGCTCATTTTAACAGCCTCGGCCTTGCCCATATAAAGCAGCTGGAGAGGACCATTTCAAGAAAAGTAATGTGCATGTGGGCCGATTAGGTGGAAAGTTCAATAAAACTTGATATCAGGCCCATTAATACATAACCTCAACTTGGCCCATACAAGCAGCTTAATAGTCCCATTTAAAGCAAAATAACGTGCATGTCGGCCGATCGGAGTAAGCCCAATAAAGGATGATAGCGGGCCCAATAATTAGCTAGAGTCCTCCACCTTCCCATCTTTGTAGGGCTTTTATGGGCTGGGCCCATAACTCAGTGGCATAGTATGTCTTACCACTTCGGGCTTAGATGGGCCGTTACCCCGTACTCGGGCTGGAAAAGCATTCTCTCCACTTGGGCTTCAAAATCAGGCCTCTAACATCTCCGATTTGGGGATAGAGCCCAATTAAAGTGCACCACGTGGCAGACTCAGGGATTTTTTAATTTTTGGGGGTTTTGGGGTTTATAAATAAAAATGATAAATATTTTAATTTTTCGATGTACAGGTGATGTCATTCCCACCTTGTCACGTCTCGGCTTCGTGGGTTCTTCGCGTTTTAAACGCCTTCTTTACCGTCGCCGTGACGACTTCCACCATCGCGGTCGTCTCCCAGTCGCCTACCAGTGGCGGTGGCGGCGGCGGCGGCAGCCATTCTCTTTCCGGTCAGATGTGACAAGCGCAGGCACGAGACGACGCGCACGCTTCGGAGCAGGCGGGAAGGTCATCCTCGGCTCTGCTGAGGATCAATAATAAGAAGAAGGAGAAGAAGAACGACAACAACGTTCTGACTCGCCAAAAATATAAAACTCGCTGAGTCGACCCGCTTGAGCAGTCTCGGAGTATGACTCGGTGAGTTCCCATGCAACCCTGTGGCTTGATTTCCCTCCGTGTCGGAGGGGAGGGGGAGACGGAGTGACGAGTCTGACTCGGCGAATCGGACGTTACGGGGACACACGAGGACGACGTCACTGGTCAGGCTCGCCTTATCGCTGTGCATGCACCGGTCTTCATTCACAGCGTGCACGGGGAGCAAAAGGGGGGATTAAAATAGAAAGGAGGAGGGGAAGGTGGGAGCTTTTTGATTATCTTGGCATCGAGGTCCCGCGGCCGAGGTGGGTTCCCCATGAGGTTGGATTCCGACTTGGCTTCTTCTCGATCAGTTGGGTTTCTGCGGCTGAAAGCTTCATCGGAGAAGATGATCCGTTCATGGTCTTCGAAGAGCAGGGAGAGGATCGATCTCTCTGGTTTCTCATTTCCCCCCAAAAGAATGGAAACGATCTGAGAGAGAAAGGGGGATCGACTCCAATGGCGGTTCTGTACAAATCCGACCCACGAAGCAATCGCGTGGGTTATATCGCTCAGTAGAATGGCGGCGGAGTCAATCAGAGGGAGGAGGAGGAAGTAGGAGGAGGAGGAGGACGTCGAAGGGTGGTTCTATCTTCTTCTTCTTCGTCTTCTTCTTCTTCTTGTTCAGGGCTGGGAGTGGGTCTGGCGGAACCGCCGCTCACCGGAGCATGGAGGTGAGGGAGCGGAAGGCGACCTCCTCGCAGGGAAGGGTGAGGCCCATGTCGTGGTCGAAGCCGAACTCCTCCTCCGCTCGCCGGAGGAGGAGCTGGAACTCGGGGTGGGAGAGGAAGGAGATGGGGACGATGTGGCGGCTCCTCTTCTCCCCCACGTAGACGGCGAAGTGGCCCTTGGGCACGTCCATGGGAGTCCCTTCCAGGTCGTAGTCGCCTCCCTGCTTTCTCCCCAGGCTGGAGGAGCACCTCCTCAGCAGCTGCTTCAGCGCCGCTCCCTGCACGAGCTTGCTGCTGCTGCTTCTCCCCATCGTCTTCCTCTGCGTCATCTTAACCCCCCCCCCCCCTCCCGCTGCGCCCAACTGAGTGGAGGAGAGAGAGCGAGAGCGAGACTGTGGGCGGGGAAGGAACGCTGGCGAGGGCGGTATTTATCGAAGACGAGGGGAATGGGCGAGGTAGATGACGTGGGTCTTGAGCCCTGGAAAGACGAAAAAGCCCTTCCTCTTCGTCCTCTCTCTCTCTCTCTCGACCCACAGATGTTAGTCTAGTTCACGTCCTGCATGGCGATAGCGAGAGAGAGAGAGAGAGGAGAGCCAGTGCTCTCCTCTCTCTCTCTCTCTCTCTCCCCCTCTCCGTGATTATTGGACGCTCTGCGGGGCTCATCTGTTCTCTACCCACATGAAATGGGCGGGGAGATAGAGAGAGAGAGAGACAGAGACTCTCTCAAGTCTGCGAGAAACTCTTCCGGTATCCTGCCATTTCTGTGTGCTTTCTCTCTCTCTCTAGATATATAAAATATCTAGACGTTTATATAAACATCTCCTTGATCTTTCATATACCAGGAGTTTAGAGTCCCGATGCAGATCATCGCGACTCTCTCTCATGCTAAACAGAGCACTTCACAGCCGATCCGATTCAAATAGACTCACTCATCTCTATAAAGAATAGCCAACTCGTTGATCTCCCTCTCTCTTTCTCTCTCTTGTGCGGGGGGAGCCCATTGATTGCGGTGGCGGCGTCGGCGGCAGGATGTTCCCGCGAGGCCATGTGCGGGGTCAAGGTAGCGGCCACTCGCGGTGTCGCTATCGGCCAACCGGCGTGTTCCGAGAACGTAGACGGAGGGGAAAGATCTCAGCAGGCATGTTCACGTACTCCGCGGCGACGGAGATGGCCGACTGATGCCGTCGTTTTCCAGCGGGAGGGAGGCCTCCGCCGCCGCGATTCGTCGGCAGGGAAACAGTTTGAAAAAGTCTGACGCCGTTCAGCGTCGAGGTGCCGAGATCTGGTCCGTCGGGAAAAAACAGATCAGCAGGTGGATCTGTTCCGATTGCTCCTCATACTTTTCACCTTCATCTGCTCCTTTTTCTGCAGAGATGGAGGGAGGGAGGGAGGGAGGGAGGATGAGTCCAGGAGGGGAAGCTGTCTCAGGAGGCGGCCTCTGGTTCGAGTTGCTTCTTCGATGGGGAATCTCTGCGTGTAAGATTCTGACGATGCTTCTTCATTCGCGATTGACAGGTATTCCACACTCTTGCTCTATTTCTCAAGAAATTTCTGGGAAGTCGCGTTCGGTGTACAGATTGGAAGATCTCCGTGAATTACTTTACTGAATTATCTTCTCACAGCGGCATCATCGCAGGTAACCGTCGATCCCAGAAGAAAAAAACCTAGAGGATAGAGGGAGGAGCAATGGAGTCGACACTGAGGCGAGGCAGCTTCGTAATTTGGCGTGCGCAGGAGACGGGAGAGGAGAGGATCACTACTATTCGGATCCAGAAACTGGAATCAAGGCAACGGAGAGCTCTGGTCCACATTAGAAGAACCGGCCGAGTTGCCGCCTTGACGGCAGAGGAATCTGTGTTCTTCATTAACTGCAGCTCCAAGGTCTAAAACAAAGCATCCCGACGGATGACTGCGCCATCGCTGCTCCTTCGGACTTTCTCCTCCCAGGACCAGGCTCTAGCAAGCTTGCTTCTCCGGAGGAAGACGACGACGACGACGATTTCATTGCAGGAGAAGCATGGCAAGACCTGATCCAGATTCTCGAAAACGGCACCAAAACCGGCTGCCACAGATCGGCAGCCGACGGCAACGGTTGCCGTCCGCGGTAGGGACAGCAGCGAGAGGGGTGTGACGGATGTGAACGCTCTGCGATGTTCAGATTTCTCCGCCGCCGACGGGGTTACGGACCGTTGACTGCCCCCAGTCAAGGGCCAAGCCAGCTTTTCGATAGTGGCAGGGAGTCCAACATTTACTCCTCTCCTCCGCGTGGGGGCGGGAATTAAATACCATTGATAATTTTTTATATAAAAAAATAAACGAAGTATGATAAGAATTTGTCTTAATGACAAAAAACCCCGGGAAAATGTCCTATTACACTTAGCCTCTTGTTTTTGCCATATTTTTCTGATGCCAGAGAAAAATTGTTACTACTTGAGTCGATGTTATGACACGTCGAAGGAGAAGAAGGCTTCTTTTTCTTTGTTTTTGTTATTGTTACCATCTGGCCACCGGGCCCAGACCCCAGGCCCGGTTCAACGCGGTAGGTGGTCATCCGACGGCCGAAGGTGCCTGTCTCCACGTGTAAGAAGGAATCGTTCCGTTGTTGACACGTGTAATCGGGGGGGTGGGGGGGCGGCGGCCGGGGGCGGGTGGAGTTCCTCCGGTCCGTATAACTGTCATGTTCGGGATGGCATAACTACCCGTTTTCTGCGGCATTTTGCTAAATAAAGGAAAAATCAGGGCAATTTGCATATACAGAAATTTACAGGAGGTTTTAGAGAAGGTTATTTCATTTTACCAAAAAAAAATGGAATCAAGTTGGAAGGAGGAGCTCGTTCTCCGTCAACGGGGAGTGAGCTGCGTCCACAGTCCCACCGCGTTGTCCTTTGACACTTCCATGCTTTTCCCACTTCCTCCGACCTTCCCCCCGCCTTCCTCTGAGGATCCTCCAGGGATGCGCATTTCTGATATAGTCCAACTGCGAGTTTGATGGTCGTGTCGGAAATCTCAAGGAGAGGGAGGGGAAGGAGGAGGAAGGGGAGAGGAATTGCGACGGGGAGGAAGAGATGGGCGCGTGCCTTTCTAACGCCACCAAAGTGACAGGTTGCAGCAGCAGAACCGCCAGATCGGCCGCCACCGATGCTGCGCGGCAGCAGAAGGATAAGCCGCCGCGGGAGGGGAAGAGCCCGTCGACGAGGCAGGATCATCATGAGAATCAGCGGCAGAGGGAGAAAGATCAAGGGAGGAGGACGAACGGGATTATTCCCTGCGGGAAGAGGACGAGTTTTGGATATGGCCGGGATTTTCAGAGCAGGTATTGTATCGGGAAGCTTCTGGGGCGCGGGCAGTTCGGTCAGACATTCGTTGCGACGGATAAAGCGAAAGGGGATAAGGTTGCCGTGAAGAGAATTGACAAGAACAAGGTAAATCAGCGGTTTCTTCTGCGCCTGGTTCTCAGTAATGACAAGTTCCCGGGAATTCCTCTCTCTACTGGAACGAATTTAGCCTTCCGCTCTAGTTCTTTGGATTAGTTCGACTCTTCGAAATCAGATCGTCCGTGAGGATTCCGATTGCGCCTACGCGACGTGAAATCACATTTCAAACGTATTTATTCAAACTTTGGAGAAATACGCCGGTGATCGGGCTACAGACGGGATCCCCCTCCCCTCCCTAGAAAGTCTAGGTGCTCGTAACGATGTTCTTGAGTTACAGTTCCGGATTTCTCGCCTCCAACGATTAAGGTTTAGTCAATTCAATTCAGAATAGATTATCCTTTCTCAGCCTTATACGATCAAATCGACGGGATGGTTTCATTGTTGTTCTCGAGTGAAGAGTCGTACATATTTCTCTGGGTCCTTTCTTAGCAATCAATGATCATGGCAGCTACTAAAGTACTAAAATTATATAATCTTACATATCTCAATTGCTGAAAATTTATATACGACTCAATTTATACGCGTTGCTCTTATTAAAAAACTATATAATTATCTAAATTCCTCCTGTTTTGTGGCAGATGATTCTTCCAATCGCTGTTGAGGATGTTAAGAGAGAAGTAAAGATTCTGCAAGCTCTGACCGGGCACGAGAATGTTGTTCAGTTCCACAACGCCTTTGAAGATGATTCTTATGTGTATATAGTCATGGAGTAAGCTTTACTTGTTTTTCCTCTAATACTGGTAGTAAACCTAGTTTTATTTTTTTGGTTACTCCGCAAGAAAAAAAACATTTGTTACTGCCAAAATTTGGACTGTATTTCTTAAATGATTGTGATTCTGGAACAATTTTCTGAATACATCCTACTACTGGACATTGTTTGGACTTCCTTTCAGAACCGGCCAATTTTTGCATCTGATATCAAACAGATTAATTCGGAAGAAGACTTGTTCAGGGTGTGGGATTTATCATGAGCATTCATTTCTGGGAAAAAAAATATGAAATAATTTTCTAGGACCATGTTGGGGCATATTATCTTAGCATCCAACCAGGCTCTAATTTGTATATAATTTCTTCGAATATACTGCCGAAAAGGGAATTCTGACCACCTCAAACTCTCTGTTTTAAATGTTTTTTTATTTTTTCTACATCAAATATCATGATTACTGTTTATAAATGAAAATTTCAGATTTTCTTGGTGCTTTAAGAAGGGTAAAATAGTAATTCAATGTCTAGTATATGTTGGGATGTCTTCTAGGTAATGGTGTAGAAAGAATTGTCATTGGTTGTAGATTCCGATGGGTTTCTCTCTCTTCTGGTTTTCAGATATTTTAATGGCAAATGATGAATTCGCACCAGTTTCTGTTCAACATACTGACAGTGCCTTTTATTAGGTTGTGTGAAGGCGGAGAGCTACTGGATCGGATACTGGCCAAGTAAGCCCCCTCACGATCCTCTGCTTCTTTTGGGAATCACTTATTACAGAAGAAATCAAAGAGGATTGAAATGGAAAATCTCTACAGAAGAGTAGACCATCTAAATCCAAAGTTGACTTTTGGTTCTATCCTTTGAAGATGTGTCATGGGATGACGCACTAGAGGCAACTATGCTGTTGCAGCTAAAAATTTTATCTATTTTTTTATCTGAAAAAAAATCATTTATCTTGTCTCTAATCATCCAAATGAACCCAAAACCTCCCAAAACAGGAAAGATAGCCGGTACACGGAGAAAGATGCCGCAAAAGTGGTACGGCAGATGCTGAAGGTTGCAGCCAAATGCCATCTACACGGATTAGTACACCGAGACATGAAACCCGAGGTAGAGCACAAACTCTTTCATGGACTTTTATATATATATATATATATATATATATTATTTCTGTTTATAAGTACCCATTTTTCGCACGATGACCGAATAATATTTAAATCTCCAGAATTTTCTTTTTAAATCGACGAAGGAGGATTCGCCACTCAAGGCAACAGACTTCGGCCTGTCGGATTTCATAAGGCCAGGTTTGCCCGGGAAAACAGATCCATTTCTCTCGTATTATCCCTCCAAGCTCCTTATTATTCACTTGACGTGAGCCTCCATATTTAACGCAGGGCAGAGATTCCGTGACATTGTGGGTAGCGCCTACTACGTTGCTCCAGAGGTTCTGAAGAGAAAATCTGGGCCCGAGTCGGACGTCTGGAGCATCGGCGTCATCACCTACATCCTGCTCTGTGGAAAACGACCCTTTTGGGACAAGACTGAGGATGGAATCTTCAAGGAGGTTTTTCTTCCAATCCTTCAATCCTCGGCGTTCCCCACTTTTTTTTCATAGAAATTCAGACAATATTGACTGCGATATGCAGAGCATGAAGAACAAGACTGACTATGATCATGAATATAATTATAATAATAATAATATTCCACTGCAATATCCAGGTCTCGAGGAATAATCCCAACCAAGATCGTGACTAGGACTATAATTGACTGAAATATGCAGGTCTTGAGCAATAAACCCCACCATGGTCATAATTAGTACTATAATTAGATGCAATGTGCATATCATGAGGAGTTGACCAGATAATAATAATTATATACATATATATATATATACTATTATTTTGTTATAATTGGCTGTAACGTGAAGGTCGTGAGGAATTCATTATAGTCCACTGTAATATGCAGGTCCTGAGGAACAAACCCGACTTTCGGAGGAAGCCATGGCCGAGCATCAGCGCCAGTGGGAAGGACTTCGTGAAGAAGCTCCTGGTGAAGGATCCTCGCGCAAGGTTGACCGCCGCTCAAGCACTGTGTGAGTGTCTCTACCGCCACCCCCTTCCTCGCAGGAAAAAAAAAAAAAACAGAAGGCATTATCATTGCACATGGCAGTTTTTTTTTTTAATTCTACATTATATTAAATGACGACGTATTTTTTTAATGATTTATGAAGAATATTTAACTCTGCCTCTCAAAGAGATGCAGCCGCTATGATTTCTTCAGAGTTTTCTAATTACCCCCATTTTGATTATTATTTACCAGCACACCCCTGGGTGAGAGAAGACGGTGATGCGTCAGAGATCCCCCTGGACATTTCCGTCTTAGGCAGCATGCGGGAGTTTGTGAAGTACAGCCGGATGAAGCAGCTGGCGCTCCGGGTGGGTTGACTTTTTGTCACCGAGAAGTAGGATATGACTTACGGTTGACACCTGATTCCGAGAGTTGACTCTGGACAGGCCCTGGCGAGCACTCTCAATCCGGAGGAGCTGGCGGATCTCCGCGACCAGTTTAATGCCATCGACGTGGATAAGAATGGATCCATCAGCCTCGAGGAGATGAGACACGTGAGTCGTCCGGTTGACATTGTTCAATTATTTTGTTTATCTCTCTCTCTCTCGTTGACTTATTGGGTTAAATTAGTTAATTTTAGGTTGAATATAATGGATATCATCTGGATCCATTCTTATCTCCTTCGACCGCAGGCACTGTCGAAGGATATCATCTGGAGGTTGAGGGAGCCACGTGTCCTTGAGATCCTCCAAGCGGTAAATTCTGCACGTGAATCATACATATCATTATCTCCCCGTTGAAGAAACTGGATTATATATATGTACTTTGGATCTCGCTGACCGTGGGGTTGGCGGGCAGATTGACAGCAACACGGATGGACTGGTTGACTTTGACGAGTTTGTGGCGGCGACCTTGCACGTGCATCAGATGGAGAAGCACGACTCCAGGAAGTGGCTCTCTCGCTCGCAGGCTGCTTTCGAGAAGTTTGATGTGGACAGAGATGGCTTCATCACACCCGAGGAGCTGAGAATGGTGAGTCTGAAGGACCAACTTACCCCTCCCTCCATACTCTCTCTCTCTCTTCTCTCTCTCTTCATGCATTCAGTATAGCGAAGGGCCCAAGACTCTCTCTCTCTCCTTCTCGCCCTCTTCTCTCTCTCTCCCTCTTCAAAATGTGACTGTAATTAAAGGCTCCAAGTATCTTCCTCTCTCTCTCCCCCCCATCTCCTCATGCCTTCAGGGCAGTTTTTGCAGTGATGGGTCAGACTCTCTCTCTCTCTCTCGCTCTCCTCTCCTCTTTCTTTTTGCATTCGGGGCCCCCTCCCTATCTCTCTCTCTTTCTGCCTTTCCCTCTCCTCTTTCTCCGTGCATTCGGTTGGTGACTCTAGTCAAAGGCTTCAACTATGTCCGCCCCCCCCTCTCTCTCTCTCTCTCTTCAGGCATTCAGTATAGCGAAGGGCCCAAGACAGTCTCTTTCTCGCCCTTTTCTCTCTCCCTCCCTCTTCGAAATGTGACTGTAGTTAAAGGATCCAAGTATCGTCCTCTCTCTCTCTCCTCTCTTCTTTCTTTGTGCATTCGGGGGCCCCTCCCTATCTCTCTCTCTTTCTGTCTTTCCCCTCTCCTCTTTCTCCGTGCATTCGGTTGGTGGCTATAGTCAAAGGCTTCAACTATGCCCCCCCTCTCTCTCTCTCTCTCTCTCTCTCTTTCTCTGTCTTTATTCATTCAAGGTAGTTTTTGCAGTGATGGGCCAGACTCTCTCTTTCTCTCTCTTCATGCATTCAGGGTAGTTTCTGTATTGATGGACTAGACTCTCTCTTTCTCTCTCTTCATGCATTCAGGGTAGTTTCTGTAGTGATGGGCCAGACTCTCTCTTTCTCTCTCTTCATGGATTCAGGGTAGTTTCTGTATTGATGGACTAGACTCTCTCTTTCTCTCTCTTCATGCATTCAGGGTAGTTTCTGTAGTGATGGGCCAGACTCTCTCTCTCTCTCTCTGGTTTCTCTCTCTTGGATATAGGAGAGGTGATTAACGTCTCCCCATCTGTGTGAATTTTGCAGCACACGGGGATGAAGGGGTCCATCGACCCGCTGCTGGAGGAGGCCGACATCGATAAAGATGGGAAGATCAGCTTGTTCGAATTCCGCAGGCTTCTGAAGAACGCCAGCATGGGCTCTCACAACGTTCTCTAGCCCTCAAAGTCGACGCTCCACTGACAAAAACAGGGAGGGTCAGCTTGTCCGAATCCCGCAGGCAAAGTGGTGATGTGTCGTGCTCCTATTGGGCGTCTGCGAATGTTATCCCAGTTTGCCCTTCGACTACGGCTGTAAATACCTGCTGAGCGGGGCACTCCGAGCGGGGAACAGTTTCCTTCTTTTATTTCGTCTCTTCAGAGGGGGCTTGAGAATGATGCGACGCCGAGTCGACTTGGCCAACTTTGACTCACTCGTCCACGTGTCACCTGGGGGGGGGGGAGGCGGTTTGACTGGGCGCCGCAATTTTTTTTCCTCTAAAGGTTATTACGGATTAGTTAAGCAACCGACAGCACGACGTAAGGGGTATAATGCAAATTAATCCCAGTGACAGTAAGTTTTTGGGAATCCAAAGTTAAATACTGTAAGTACAGGGGAATAATGTAATTTAAAATAGTTTGGGTGCAATAAGATAAATTCCGTTTCGAAAAACCCCTCCGTCTCAGCCTCTGGAGGGGTTTTGTGACAGCGAGCCGTTGCCCAACTTCTTCTGATTTCCTGCCCTAGAATTCTTCCTCTTGAATCTCTGGAAGCAGGATTGGGAGGGAATAGAGAGGTAGAAGGGGAGAATGGGCGAAGAAGAAGGCGGCCACTCGCCAAACCCTAATAGTAAGGTTACGTGGGAGGGCTGCAGCGTCCTGCTCGACATCAACGGTGGCGATCGGCTCGTGTTCGCCCGTCTCTCTCCCGCAGCGTGAGTCTTCAGCATCGTTTTCCTCTCTCTCTCTCTCTCTCTCTCTCTCTCTCTCTCTCTCTCTCTCTCTCTCTGTGTTGACTTGACCAGGTTTGCGCTGCGCATGATGGACCTATGATTTCCTAGCTTTGTATCTGTTGCTGAGACACAGGTCTCTGAAGATTGGAGACAAGAAATGCTCATTGCAGCCGCTGGTCGGCTGTCCCTTTGGGTCACTTTTCCAAGTAGAGACCGGACCTAAGGGTGCTCATCTGGTGCTCGTCTCCTCCCCTGCCTCCTCTTCTCCGGGGATGACCGAAGGTGGGCGTTGACATTGTCGTCATTTTTCTTCGTTTGCTTATTCGCCTACTTAGGGATACAGCTTCTGCATGTGCTGGTTACGGTGTAAAGAAGGGATTTTGATCTATTTTGTGCAAAGAAGGGCGAGACGTCCTTGCATGAGAATTGAATAAGCTGGAATATTACCCCATGATTCTGTGATCTCCAAGAATCCTGATATTCACCCAGATACGTACTTTTTTGGTATTTTGAATAAGACGATCCGATCGTATTGATATCACTCTTCTTGATTCCTTCATTGGATTCAGAATGTTGACCTTGCATTTTATTTTAATTCATATACTCCAGTTTTAATTCCAATATGGATCCACGATTTAGCATTCCGAATGATCTTTAACAAGAAACGGAAGGACGTTGAGTGTAATTTGATATTCTGATATTTTTTGATGTGATCGAAGGAATTGCTATTCTTCATTATTCGGTTATTCTCTAGTGTAGATTATAAGAAAATAAATTCATAATGCTTTTTGCATCCGAAAATCACTGGTCAAGCCGACATCCAAAAATCACGGTTGGGGCAGAGTAAATTGATGGGATCGAACATACTCAAGCCAGAATGCGTTGGTAGGGGAGCGTTCTGCCTTAGATAGAAGCACCCGTGCAAGTGGGTGTGGACGAAGCAGAGATTAGAATGTCGGCTTGAGTAATGGATACAATTGATGATAATCAAATTCCCCAACAACCTAAGGGTCGTAAGGTTCGTCCGCGGAAATCCAATGTATACTTTTCCGTGCTTCTAATGCTTAATCCCAAGTATTTACTGCAACATCTGACCTCTTGATGAACTTTCTGTGCTATGCTTGTATGTTTTTCTCTGAAGCTTTTTCTCATTTAGCAGGTATGGATCCGCAGGAGAAGAATGATGGAAAATTAAAAGGTGACGAAAAGGATAATAGGGCGTTGATTGATGACAATCGAGCCCAAAATTTAACTGGTGAGGACATAGATGCTATGCGAAGGTTAGTAACAATCCCTTTTATTGTCAAGCATATGCGATTAATTTTGACGAAAAAAAGTGTTCTTCATGACAAAGATTCTCTTCAGTTTTTGCTGACTTAGAGAGAGGAGAGTTTGTACCTGAGATTTTTACCTCCTTTTCGCACTGGGGATGGTGACTTCTTTCTATGTCTTGTGTTTTGTCTTTTTTCCCATGATGATGACTCTATAAGCACAAAATGCTTTCAATCTTAAGATATCTATGCATGGATCATTGTTGCAAGATCGTACCAGCAATCTGGAACTTACTAGGCTCTCTTTCACTTCTATTGTCACCCACTAAGTCCAACTAATTGGGGCTATGCATGCATAGGATGTCCTGCAATGGCACTCTATCTGCGAACAAGAAGATAATGTGCGATCCATGTGAGGGCCCTCCTTCATATTGGGCTTGGGACCGGCAGTATGAATGGTGGCGACCTGTAGTCTTCTAATGCAGGAGCTCACTATGCATTGTAGTTTTTCTAGGTTTTTCCTTATTTTGTTGAAAAGTTTATCCGTTCATTGCTTGTTGCGTTGCATAACACATAAACATAATACCATCTACATAGTCAGATGCTTGGGAAAGATACCGGAATGGGTGAGGGAAGAGCTCAAACGACACAAAACTGTAGAAATGAGATAAATATGAGCTATATTTATAATGATCCAAAAGATTCCTATATTTAGAGTCATACTGATCTTGCATAGAATACCCTCACCAAATGGCCAGAATACCCTCAAATATAACAACTTTTAAGGGCGGTTATGTCAAATGCGAAAATATGAAAACATTTGCAGAGGGCTACATCTGGATTATGCTAGGTTCTGTACGTCTGTACTGTGCTCTATTACATATCACCTCTTCATCTTAAACTTTGACATATCTAATTTATCTAGATATTGAGCTGATTCATCTGACTTATATAGATATGGTGATCCGATCCTTAATGTCAACGGATGCTTCCCCATGCTTTTCAAGGAAGTGTATTATGGAATTTTCTGTAATCGAACAGAACTTATCGAAAATTCCCTATCATGGCACATTCCAGGATCAGGATCCGCAGATTATTTGGCCTTTTATTTATTTTGAGAATTTCATATAATTAATCGCTGTGTGATCATTTTGTCATTCTGACTTCATTGGAGTGTATTTCTAGTAGTGCTATCTCTTGTGATCTCTCTTAGCTCTTTATGTCCAGACAGTTTTTTGTGGCTTTCATGATTCATTCTGATTGCTTTTTTGGTACCTAATCTCTTTATTACTGACGAAAGCGGAGCACCTGTTTGGTTTTCTGCTGACCCCCTTAGCATTCACCTAGATTGTTTAAATGCCTCCAGATTACCCTCATTGTTCCGCCCATTTTTCTACTCACCTGATTCCTGACCATTAAATTCTGTTCGCATTTGATACATTTTGTATTTTATTTGAATCGCCAAACCTCCCATTCCATCTTTTCAAAACCTGCCGTTGTGAGCTATTGACGTTGTATTTTCTTAACAATGCTGAAGAAGTTGATATGTTTACCTTATATGCTCGACTTATACTATCCATTTAATATGCAGGTGTGGTGCATCAGGTGATGAAATAATTGAAGCTCTAATATCCAATAGCTCAACATTTGAAAAGAAAACTGTGTTCTCACAGGTAGCCCTAAGATTAGCTATTGTAAACTTACTAGCTCTCATCTGTTCGGTACTGATGAGAACTACATTTACAGGAGAAATATAAGCTAAAAAAGCAAAAAAAATATGCTCCTAAGGTGCTTTTAAGACGCCCTTTCACCCGAAGGTAATGTCTGCAGACTTCAATTACACGTACATCTCACTTCTGTTATTGTTTGTACAATGATGAGACGACCTTTCACCTGAAGCCAATGCTGTCCAGCCAAATAGAGATACAAATAGGAATTTTCATGTACCACACCTTGTCATAATGGAATTGCCATGCATGGCTAACATCAATATCTAATCTTGATCCGTAGATAAAGCATTACAGGAGCTAGTGAAATTAATGACATACATTATGACGGTCCTTTTTCAGTTCATCATTGATTAGTGTTGTTAAACTCGTGTAGCTTCTTGTTTTAGACTTAAATGTTCATTGATAACGTCCATAAAAGCGTTGCTTTTGCTTCATTGATGCTGTCATTTGGTGCTTGATACCCCCCCCTCTGCCATGGTATGGAGTGCTGTTCTTACTTTCTTAACTCGTATTTCTTTGTTCTCGAGTCTGCGTATTCTTTCAACACCTGACCTTTTTGTAATTAACCCGAGAAGCTTCTTCACATAGTCCCTTATGGATATTAGACGCCAACATCCTCACACTTTTATATAATGAAACATATTGACTGCTGTACCACTGGGAACTCCGAATGCCCTGACAAAAGTTGACATTTATCTAAAAAACCTTGGGACATCCTTATATAACTCAAATCCATTGGGCTTGAGTTGAGTTCGTCCACATATTTAACCTAGTGATTTAACTGATTCCTTTCATTATGAACATTTGTTTTCCAATTCAGATCCGAGTTGGCTTTGTTTAATGAACTCTTTTATGCAGTCAAATAGACATGGCTCACAAGCCATGACCATGGTTAGAGCTATGGTGCCATGCTGAGAAATCGAACTGTTCAACTGAAGATCAATTTACCGTTAGTGGATTAAGTTCATATGTTTAACCTCGTGATGAAATCTCCACTCTGGGATTAGTAGAATCTCAAAACTGGTTCTCAAAGAACGGAGTTGGTGCATATCTCATGCATAAAGTCTTACTTTCATTCTGAGATTATAATAACATGCTGTCGCTCCCACCCATCCACCCATACACATTCAAGTTTTGTTTTTTTTATGGCTCCACCATGTAGAGTGCATAAATGGGACGACGAACACAAAATCAGTAGTGTGAAAGAATCAAACTGTCCAGGTCAAGCGCGATTGTCCTAGAGTAGAGTAGGCCCACATATGCTACATTCATCTTTTCCCTTTCGATGTAATTTGTCTATTTTTTTTAAGAACAGTGACACATGCTCCACCATGTTGATTGTGCTCAACAGATTTTTCTTGTTTTTGTTTATGAAGCACCTGTTAAAATTTAGGTTTTTGCTCATGGGTAAACATTGCGGAATGCTTTTCCATAAGGTTGCAATGTATTCTCATTTGGTCTCGTTTTGCCTCCACTTTGCAGCATTTGTGAGGCATACTTCAAGAAGTATCCTTCTCGTATAGGGTAAATTCCCTCATCTTTGGCCCTCACAAGTTTTTTTTTCTTTCTTTTCATGGTCCTTTTGGTTTTATTCTCACTATCAGCCGTTGAGATGACATTCATATGCTTATCTTAAACATACCATTCAAATAGCCTCATGTCCTTGGTTAAACTTATCTTAATTGCTCGCGGAAAATAAACTAACCCTTCTTCCTAGTAATTCCAAAGAAATTTGAGACTCAACAAGACTGGAAAATTTAAATTGGGGAAGAACATTATGAAAACTCTTGATTAATAGTCAGTACAATCTGAGATTTATGGTGGTATGATTTAGAAATCATAGTTACAAACCAGAAACCACAAGATACTGCATAAAAAAAAATGCTTAGGTCATGTATGTTATATAGCTGGCGGATGATCAGAGCTGGGAGGATCGAGCATTTGCCACAAATATTGCTGGCATGTGGTATTGCGCTCTGATCACATAATCAGTAGACAACGGAACATTTTCTAGATTAGTTATTAATATAAATATTAGGACATTTTTGAGCTCAGACATGAAATCCACAGATCTTGGCATGTAGACCGATATGTCCGGTTTAACAGTCTCCATTAGTAATGTCTAGATATTCAGAACTTTAAAATATTATTAAATCTCACAGATAATAATTATCCTCCATAGTTTATCTTCGTTCTCCTCATTGTCATAAGCATATGCAAGTCCTTGGATCTCTGCCGATATATGCATGATATGGATGATTTAATTCTCTATGTGAGAAATAAACCTCCACATATGCTTAATAGGATTTGCATGTATGTGCTGCTGTCTGAAATTAGTGCTGGGTTGAAAATTTGAATTTTCTCTTTATAATAATAATAATAATAATTATTATTATTATTATATCATCAGCCAGAAATAAAACCATTGGCCCACGATGAGATAGATAAGAGAGATTTTAATGGCTGATACAGGAAATCGGTTTGAGCATGTTACTTTTTCGTGGGCTGTGGTTGCATCAGAAGCGCACAACGTATTTTAATTTATTTCTGACGGTTTTCTAAATATCCAATCCACTTTGGTGGTTGTCAGGTTCTTGCGGGTCGATACATTATCTCTCCTGCTCTCCATGGCTAACGTCGGTGCCTATTCGGATGTCCTTGTGGTGGATATGGTTGGAGGTATTCTTACTGGTGCTGTTGCAGAGCGCCTAGGAGGTGAATATGGATCTAACGAATCATCTAGAGAAAAAAATAAATAATTCACTTTTGCCTTGCTTGATCTTCAGTTTCAACGAGTTCCTCCAGCTATTATGATTCTCGTATCCTTGATTCTCGTCCTTGATCTTTCATGAATCTGAATGTAGAGAGAGAAGAAATCTTTGCATTTAGAAAAAAAAAAAACAGTTTTTCTTAAGCGTTCGGTTGTTGGCACTGATGGGTCATGCTTTGTGTCCCACGAATGCGTTGACTTTGATCATGTTGACTTGTGATCAAAGCATTTTTGTTGATATAATCCTCTTTCTTTTAATAGGTACCGGCTATGTATGTTGCACCTACCCTGGCTCTGCGCCATATTCCATTGACATTGTGAGGATGTTCAACTTCAGCAGTGAGATTTGCAGCAGGTGGACTTTTTGCCATATTTACGTCAGAATGCAGATTTAATCGATGCGATTTAAACCACCAGATTAAGATGTTGTTGTTGATGCAGGATCGTGCAGACATCGTCATCCAGTCTCCTTTCAGCTCAAGATGGAGATGATGAGGACGATTCGTCTTCTGATCCCCCCTCCAACAAAGATAACGGTTCAATGATCTCATCAGACGAGCAGAGTAAGAAGTCAACCACTGATGGTTCACCTGTTCCTGTGCCCACGAGTGTGGTCAACGCCCCGCCGACCAAGAAATCTGTGAATCCGGGGATGCCGGCCTCGCCAGATGCGATCAAGTTGTGGAAGCGGAGGGGTTTCAGCAGGTACGACCTTCACCGGAGTTGACTTCGACCTGGATTCGTGGCCCATTATTCTCCTATTTTTTGGCAGCCTCATAGTCGCAGCGCCAGACATGGACGCGTGGAGCATGGTTGACGAGCTCCTCCCACTTCTTTCCTACTCCTCCCCATTTGCCTTTTACCACCAATATCTTCAGGTTTGACTTTTTTTCCCTCTCTCCATTGTCTTCACGTCCTCGGTGTTTTGACTTTTCTCACACCCGGAAAATATGCAGCCTCTGGCGACGTGCATGCACAGGCTACAGACGGAGAAGAAGGCGGTCGCGTTGCAGGTCTCCGAGTCTTGGCTGCGCGAGTACCAGGTCAGCGATTCAAAATCTTAGAGGCCCACGTAGTGACCTACTGTTGACTAATAACGTTTCCGTTAATTCGACCGTTGGTGGTGCAGGTTCTTCCTTCACGGACACACCCCCACATGCAGATGAGCGGCTCCGGCGGGTATATTCTGAGCGGCACCAGAATATTCGACTCCTGAGCCGCCATTGGAGGGAATTTTTTTCCTAATTTTTTTGGTTACTATTAAATATGAGACTTTTTATTTTTGAGTTTTTCAAAATTATCAAATTCCAGTTAAAAATATAGTGAGGGGTAAATACGTCATTTAACGTGACCGAGGCGAAGGATAAGGTGACGATTCCAGCCACCGGCAGAGCGGGGCGAAGTGAGAGAAGAAATGGAGGCGAAGATGTTCTCGCCGCCGCACAGCCGTTCCCTCAGAGCTCGAGCGCCACCGTCGCGGCCGCGCGCCGTGTCCCTCCGATGGCTGCGAGTCAGCGCTACAACCGGTGACGGTCCCCTGGAGGAGGAGGACGGCGGCGTCTCGGAGGGGAAATCGGCGGCGGCGCCGCGGGCGCCACCAGGGACGCTGAAGATCCGGTACCGGTCCATATCGCGGAAGCAGGCGAGGAAGCGGGAGGAGGAGGAGAGCGCGGCCGCGGCGGCGCCCCCGCCCAAGCCGCCGGCGAAAGCCTGGGAGGAGATGACTGTGGGGGAGAAGGCGGTGGAGCTGTACGTTGGTGAGAAGGGGCTGCTCTTCTGGCTCAACAAGTTCGCCTACGCCTCCATCTTCATCGTCATCGGAGGTTGGATCCTCTTCCGGTTCGTCGGCCCCTCCCTCGGCTTCTACCAGCTCGACGCCGCCCCCCTCTCCCCCTCTTCCTTGCTCAAAGGATAAGAAGAAGAAGAAGTAGAGGAAGAAGAAGAGAACGGATGATTCCGTTTCTGGAAGAAGAGAACCTTCGAGAAATCAGTGCCTTGGGAATTTTTGTTTGCACTGGGCGAGTGACTGACAGGGTTGGTTGTCCGAACTGAGTCGGGAGGCCGGGTCGCCGGTTCGGGGGGGGGGGGGGAAATACGTAGAAAGGATACATTTACGATTTTATAAAGTATAGGCGTAATTATTGTATATTAGCAAATATGTTCACAGTACGTTGGCGCCGCCGCCGCGGTCCGGCTGAGATCGGTTTTCGGCGGTAGAAGGGATCAACGTGAAGAAAACTATGGCCCGGGCCGGTCCCGGGCTTAAATGGTAAGGCCCGGGATCGGAGAAAGCCCGGAAACTATATTTGTTTTAAGGCAGGGCTTTCACCTTCGACCTTAGCGGGAGAAAATATTGGTCAAGAATTTCTGGCGCATCGAGGGTTTTATTTGAATATTATCATTTCATTAAGTGTTTCCATAAAAATGTAAAAGATTCCGTCAAGGGTACGAAAGTAATTAATTATTGAAATGTAATTTTTGTCTGAAAGATATCCACGCCTATGAAGCGGATGTGTAGAAAACATTTAGCGCTATTTGATTCGTTCTAGTTTTTAAGGTATATCTAATAGCTAAAGGGTATATACATATATATATTTCATAATAAAGGTATTTCCGTACTAAAGCATCGATATTAGGCAGCTCGCCGAACTTTCCCTAACACTTCACGGAGAGAGAGAGAGAGAGAGAGAGAGAGAGAGAGAGAGAGAGAGAGAGAGAGAGAGGGAGTCTCAAAGAGCTGGCTGGCCGGCACTTCCTCGCCTGTTTCTAATTTCAATCCATCTGAAATCTTCGATCGGGAGTGGGACACTTCGGAGAAGAGCATGAGGGTATCGAAGAGGTCGCTTAACGCGGTGGCGGGATGGGTGGGGAGGCAGCCGCCCAAGGTGAAAGCCTTCCTCGGCGTCGTGGCCGGGATGGGGGCCCTGGTTTTTCTCCGCTTCATTGTCCATGACCACGACAATCTCTTCGTCGCAGCCGAGGCCTGCCATTCCATAGGCATCTCTGTCCTCATCTACAAGCTCACCAAGGAGAGAACCTGCGCTGGTACTCTTTCCCTTTCTTTCCGTTCTCGTTTTCTCACCGATCGTCTACGATCTCGGGTTGGATTTGAGTGTTTGCTTTTATCACTTTGTAGTTGTCGATGGGTGTGAGGGGACCGTGGGAAAGGATGTCCCGATGGGATCGTTTGCGCCGAAAATATTTGTTTACTTAGCTTTCTTTTGAGGATGTTTGAAATTCGCTGAATCTTCGTCGCTCTAGGGTTTCCAGCGAATCTTTGCGGTGTAAAGTTTCTAACTTTTCACAGACGGCGGAGCTCTTTTTTTTTTTTTTTTGATAGCTCGAAAAGGGTTAAAAAATCATTTGCTTTCGAACCATTAAAATTTCTGAAAATTCGGAGGTGAATGGCGTTCGGAACTCTGATTCTTTTTCTCGATCAATGCTTCTGTTCTAATTTCTGATTCAACCAGCCGTTCGAGTTTCTTTTTCCCATTACACGTGCATCTATCCTAGAAAAGGTGATCAGAAAGGTGAAGCGCGTAACCTGTTGAAAATGATCTTATAGTCGTCGAGGATTGTAGACTAGATGCCTTATCCTATTTTTTTTATCAGGTCCTTTAAAGGCGATTTACCTATTTTTCATGTATATCTATCTTTCATTAAAACATATATTTTTTTAGATTATTACTCTTTCAATTGCAGTTTTTTTACCTTAAATGCATTTCTTCGCTTGCAGGACTGTCACTCAAATCGCAGGAACTAACGGCTCTATTCTTAGCTGTTAGGCTTTACTGCAGTTTTGTCATGGAATATGATATACACACACTTCTTGATACTGCCACGCTTGCGACTACCTTGTGGGTAATTTATATGTTTAGATTTAAATTAAGGTCCAGTTACATGGAGGATCAGGACAACTTCGCAATATATTATGTGGTAAGTCCTGTTTCATCATCTCTGTGGATGCTATTGATCTGATCCCTGTTTCAAATTATCCAGCTTTACATGCTTGTCAGCTGCTTACCTTGTAGTTCACATTCGATGTTTTGGCTGGACTTTTGTTTCGCTCATGTGACAAGTGCTGGTTTGTTTGCTATGGAGTTCTTGCATACTGTTGCTTGGAAAACTGATTCAGAATGACCCTCCTCTTTGAAATTTGAATTAATATGATTCTATCGTTATAAAAATAGATGGTGCATTGATATATCTCTAACTACAAAGATGGCTAGAATTTCACGTGCTTTTATAAAAGTAGTTCTTTTACTCCCCAATCCCTTTGATCTGACATCCTGGTCTCTTCAAGCCTCTGTTTCCTACACTCTTCTCGTACAACAGTGGGCGAAACAGCAGTGGAACTGGTGTGAATAGTGAGTGGACGAGGAAACAATAGATCGGGTTATGGAATGTTTCGGAAAGGATGGTGCACCTGGAGGGCATTATTATTTGTGCAAGGGCTCTCTATGAAGTTAAATCTTTCTGAAGGATTGATACCTCTTTGAGAGGAAGCTGCTAAGAACAATGTTTTGGTTCTTTAATTTTCAGTTCGTTGAAGGAAAGAGCTCGGCTCAAAGAATATCCAGAGAGCTGATATGTCGAAGGGCTGTATGATTTCTGGGATTTCAATGGGGAGACCATGAATTATTATAGTTCTGGAAGCACCAAATTCTTATGTTGGGGATTTCAAAACTTGTGGTGAGATGGAAGTTCTGATTCGGGTGGAATTTGGAAGGAAAAAAGTTCTACTTCTTGATGCATCCTTCTATAAACCCCTTGAAGGAATTATCCATCACTGAGAAGAAACGATTGGTTCTCTATGTTGCCCATAAGATTAATTGAAAAAATTATCCATCACTGAGTACACATCGAAAATATTCAGTGTGTGACAGTTGTGACTCTCAACTTGAGAAAATTTTAATTTCATAAAAGTTGGTTTTCGTTTTAGACAAGGTGAAGATAGGCCAAGAGGGCTTTTGATTGCAGATTAGTGTGTTCTTAACTTCAGGGCGCGGCAGACATGCATTGGAGAGGATATGTATATCTGTCGAATCATTTCGTATAACCCTCGTTAATGGATTTGGTGTTAGATTCTTTTCTGAAATTCATGAACTCTGTTGGGAGTTCATGACCAAAGATAAATATTAGACCCAAAACCGATAATTGAAGCAGAGAAATCGTGGCTCAAGGCCATTTTTTTTCCATAAATTATTGGCTCTTCTGTTCTTGGAATCTGCCAGTCAACGGTGGGTTATTCAGGAAGATCTTAATTTGTGTATAAGTTCCTAAATACTTATGAGTACTCTAGTCGCTTAAGATACAATATAAATTCCCAGTCTTGGAATCTGCTGTCGTATGACATCCACCAATGAACTTAGACATATCCTTTTGGGTTTATCAGCGTCTTTCATTATCTCGGACTGTCAACTACGTGACATTTTCTGTGGGGCGTGTTTCCTCGTGGCTATGGTATCATGAGGATAAAGCTATTTATCTGACGATTCACATCATGTCATTTAATTTTTTAAATGGTAAATTTGGCATGATTTCAAGTTCCCTCACATATTAGAAAATGATTATTCAAAGGAAGGTTGGTTTCCATTTTATTGCTTTTCTAAATTTTGTGCTTCCCAGTGACCAATAATATTCCTTGACTAAGTAGGCTGAATAAAATCATTTCTTATTTTGAAAGTTGCTCATAGTTCGATCTGGAATGATATAGACCTGTTAATCAGATCTTTGTGCCTGGAAGCTAAACAACACTTTCTCCAGCGTCCCATGTTTGTCCAATTCATTGAAGCTGACTGGACAATCTGGCTCTATTTTCTGGCAGTAATAGTCACTCCTTGCTTTTCTTTTTCTCAACTATCTTAAACCAAGTCCAGACGCTTTTTCTTTGAAATCTGGTTATGAGCTCTTCACTTTGGGCAAAAAAATTTGTCCTCTCTAGTCCGATGCTTGCTACGACATACTTTATATTTCTGTGTGCTCTTGTCCATATTTTCTTTCATGAACGATGAACACATTATGAGGGCTTCCCCATCAACCAGTTTCTTTATTTATTTATGAAACTATTGTTGCTGAATTGGTGATGATCTTATCAATTTCATAAAAGAGCACTGAATATACGCAGCATATCTCCAAATTAACATCTCTTTCGGAAATCTGATATCATTTGGTCCTTCTTGTACAAGTCAAAAGATATCCCTGTGGGTCCAATATGTGTGAAGTCAATATCAGTGAAAGATATAGGGAAATCAACAGCGTGCTGATTGAAAATTTTGATGAGAATATCTGCTCATTGTCAGTTTGATGAGGAAAACATCATCTCCTTCAGTAATGAGACCATCTTCTGAATGTGTATTGAAATGACGGACTTGCCCTTTTTAGCATGAAATCAACTCGAGGGTGTTTCCTTGATTAGAACCCTTCTTATGGCATCCCACATTGCACTCTTCTGGTATTAATACTATTTTTGTGAGCAACCAGAGGAGTTGCCTTCTATGTGAGTTTTTTTTTGCGGTCATCAAATCTTTTAATGGTGAAGCTGTTCATCTTTTTTTTTTTTTAAATCCGAGATTTATCTTGAAACCTTTGGAACTTGTGCATTTATTTTTATTTTTTTCTCAGATGAGATATTTCACCTGGGTTTTCTGTGATATTTATTCATCGATATATTTTACTAATTTTTTATTTTCAACATCTGTCTACGCAGGTTGTGCCTTGTGCCGTCCTGGCCCTTTTGATCCACCCATCAACGACCCACAACATCGTCAACCGGATCTTCTGGGCGTTTTGCGTCTATCTGGAGGCTGTTTCAGTGCTCCCACAGCTACGCTTGATGCAGAACACAAAGGTACCACCAGTTAATCACTTCAATCTCCTTAACATTAACTTGTTGAAGCGATTTCTCATCTCTCTCTCTCTCTCTCTCTCGCTCTCTCTCTTGTCTTCCAGATTGTTGAACCATTCACAGCTCATTATGTATTCGCGCTTGGAATTGCCCGGTTCCTGAGTTGTGCTCACTGGGTTCTCCAGGTCTGGTCAATCAGCCCACCAATCCTATGGTTCCCAATGTTGTTAGCTTATATATATATATATATATATATATATATATATATGCAAGCAAACGTATATCAATGCTTTTGTTTACATTTCCTGGAATAGGAACATAATTTTCTCCTTCTACGAGGATAAAAAGTGGTTCTTGATCCGACAGGTGCTCGACACCCGGGGCCGCCTGCTAACGGCCCTGGGCTACGGCCTGTGGCCCTCCATGGTCCTCCTCTCCGAGATTGTTCAGACCTTCATCCTGGCCGACTTCTGCTACTACTACGTGAAGAGGTGAGCTCTCTCTCTCTCTCTGTTTTTCTCTCCTCTCTCTGAGAGTAACAGTGGTTCCTTCTCTCTCCTTCGCGGCGGCAGTCTTGTTGGTGGACACCTGGTGCTGCGCCTTCCTTCAGGGGTTGTGTGAGGCGCCATGGCCATTGGGGGCCCCGCCCTTCATCTCACCTTCCCCGTCAGAGTGGGCATCTAAATCCAGTCGACTTCTCGCCGAGAGGGCGGCGCGCCTGCATGGCGCGGGCGGAGGAGACGCTGAAGATACTCTCTCTCTCTCTTTCTCTCTTTTTCTTCGAGGTCCAAGAGTGTAGTACTCTGCAACTGGCTTCTTCTCCTTCTTCGTCTTTCTCTGTCGTTCGAAGGATGTGTTAGGGTAACTACCAAAGAGAGACCTTCCACAGAGAGACCCTGTGAATTCCTCGCCTTTATATTTAAAGCGCTGGAGATGTTCGAGGTCTTTCATGCTTTTCTCTCTCTACACGCATTGGTAGCCACGTGTCGGGTGCATCCAAGGCCGTATGTGGAAATCATTTATTCACCTGGTTGAAACTAGTAATATGCAAAAAGCCCTTGCAACCATCTATAAAGTATATTTAAAAAAGTAGGGTTCGGATTTTTCAGTGTAGCAAATAGGAAGGGTTTTTTTCGCAAGTGATTTTCAATCTCTCTCTCTCTCTCTCTGTAGACGCATTTGTTACCACGTGTTGGGTGCGTCCACGTTGGTCATGTGTGAATTATTGCTTACCAGGCTGAGTCTGTAATTTTTTAAAAAAGACCTTGCAATCATCCAATTGCATCTGGGTTGTCCATTCTAGGACATATTTATAAACTAGGGGTTTGGATTGTTCACTGTAGCAGATAGCACGGTTTTAATGGAAAGAATGATTTTCGATTTCTGAGGTTTGAGGGGGTTTTTTTACGAGAAAAAAATACTTTGACCCGAGTTGAGTTGACTCGGGGAGGATGACCAGAATCCGGAGGGTATAACATCGAGCAGGAGTAGATAGATAGCCAGAGAGAGAGAGAGGGAGAGCATGGTGGGGGACGGATCGAGGGAAAGTGGAAGGAAGCTGGTGATGAGTTTTCACTGATTTCCAGTCGAAGGTGGTCGCCGGATCGCAGGTGGTTTGCTGGTTCTGGAGGGCGATCGGAGGGAGGGATCGAGGGTTAGATGGCAGAGACGTACTGCCCGGACTGCAAGAAGAGCACGGAGGTGGTGTTCGATCATTCGGCGGGGGACACGGTGTGCTACGAGTGCGGGCTGGTGCTGGAGGCGCACTCCATCGACGAGACCTCCGAGTGGCGGACCTTCGCGAACGAGTCCGGCGACAACGATCCCGTGCGTGTCGGGGGCCCCTCCAACCCTCTCCTCACCGACGGCGGCCTCTCCACCGTCATCTCCAAGCCCAACGGCGCCCAGGGCGAGTTTCTCTCCTCCTCCCTCGGCCGATGGCAGAACCGTGGTGCCAATCCCGACAGATCTCTCATCCTGGCCTTTCGCACCATCGCCAACATGGCAGACAGGTGCCTTTTTGCATTCTTATTCGTTCTCTGCATCCCTCGTTCATACATTATTGCTGCCTCCTCCTGTCCGATTGCCGCGGTCTTGCTGTTCATCTGTGATTTCGATTTATGAACGGTTTATATGGATATTTAATATTATTTTCTGGTGATTTCCGTACCCGTTTATGGAAGTGGAGAAAGAGGCGAATTTGATTGACCCTTTTGTTGGTTAAAAGCTGGTATTTTTAGAGATGATATTATAAATTGGATTGCGTCGTAGTTTGGTCCCTATTTCCTGGGTTTAGTGCTTCAGAGGTTGATCTATTTTTAGCATATTAATATCATTATCTAAGGCGAAAGGTCGGAGGTTCTGATTCAATAGAATGCTATCACAGCAGGTGATTTTTTCGTTTCTTGGATTTGCCAACCGAAGAATCGGCCGCCTCATGAGTAAAACCGAGCTAGGGTTCCGGTCGGAGCCAAATTTTGATCCCTTTTTGATTTCATCCGTGAATCATGGTTATCGAAACGTGTGCATCCACGACATGGGCTATGATCATGGTGGTGCATGCTACTTGAGCAAGCGGAGAAAATTTGAAGACGGACCTTTCGCCAGAGTGCCACCTGGGCGGAGATATAGCATAGAGTAATAAATAGGAAAGGTAACAGTCTTTAATTTTTGATGAGCGAAAGGTTGGCTCCGACGTGAAGAAGTTGACGAAAATGGATAGGCCCAGAAGTAAGCCAAAATGTGAGCTTGTCTGAAAAGAAAACAAAATTAGTAGTTACAAATTGGTTGCAGGTGAGGTTGCATTACATAAAGGGAAAGTGACGGAAACTGAAGGAAACTGCTCATCCAATAAGCTGGGACAAGAATAACTTGTCTTCTTTGCTGTTTTGATTTTGGGCTCCATTGGCGATTTTTCGTGAATGGATTCCTCATACGTACTATATTGGTGACATGACTATTCAATTTGGCAATGGTGCTGCGCAATAAAGGAAATATTGGAACGTAAGTTCATAATAGAAATTTAGAAGATGATAGCAGCTACAATCTAGTTAACCTTCAGAGATCTCATTAAACACAGCAGTTTCAGAACTTATGAAGACACATCACTTGAGGAATTGGGTTCTGCTTTTGGAAGGAGAAAAAAGCCTCTATCACTTGAGGAATTGGGTTCTGTTTCTGTGGAGAAAATATTCCCATACCTCGGTTCATGGTGAATCTTTGAAACTATTAACTTTGTCAACGCTGCTGCTCAATGAAAAAGTGTACAGATTGATGACGTTATTCATTAAGGTATCAGCGGGGCGTACATTGTTGCTTCTCCCGAATGCATGCAGGTTTTCATTCTCAGTTAACTTTGTGTACTGGGGATGGATAATTCATCGTGTATATTACTTTTGGGGAATAGAACGTTTTAGAATGATAGATTTTTGGGGAAGAGTTTGATGACTTAGATGATAGATTTTACGACGAGTAACATACAACTGGTTGCACTTTTGACTTCATTTTGCCTATAGAAATGCCATTCGGTGAAGATTAAAATTGGACGTTGTGTAGGTTAGCAATGGAAGAAAGAGTCATTGATCAGCAAAAATGAATCAGAATACATGACGTTATATGACGTGGAATGAGATATTGTAGGATAGGACCCTATGATAGATCAATATTGATGTGCAAGCCTCGCCTTTAGCCAGCAACTTTTTTGTATCTTGGTTATTTTGTTCAGAAGAAGGAGAAACTCATGTTGATTGTGACAAATATAATCAACAGGTGTTGGGTGAATTGCATGGTGAGGCTGGTATGCTTTGTAAACCTCTGGTGCTGTTGAAACTTGAAGGCAGACCTCCTATACAGTTATTCTGCGGTTTGACAAAGTGTCAGTTAGTTTAGAACGACCACAGGTTGCTGATTTTAACATGAAGTTGGAGGACCTTGGGTTATATTCGAAAAGATATGTTAGAAAAGCTGGTATTGTCACAATTGAGAATAAACTCGGAAATTAAGTAGATTTTGAACAGTTTCACATATTGTTTACGTAGTTCAGTCCTTGTGAGAATCAAGAGTGCTTTATTTTTTGTGGGAGGAGCGGGATGAAAGATAAAGCTAAAGAGACTCGAATGGATTTAGCTAAAGTGAATCTGGAAGAAGTTGAAATGTTTGGATTGCTAGAAATTAAAAAGGAAAATTTTGGTTAAATATTAAAGATGCTCATAGTAAAGGATGGCCTTTGGTCAGCATGCTATTGTGTTTAACTGGATATTTCGGTTGCATATTTTATGGTTATGTTCTCTCAACTTTCTGCTTGAAAAGAATTACGCATATCAAAGCATATAGAAATTTGAAACTTTTTATTTGTCTTAAATTGTTAACTTCCACTACGTGATGAAAATTTGATGTTATGTACTAATTTAGTTGTTCTTTTGTTTCAGGTTGGGTCTCGTTGCAACCATTAAGGTATATCCATCTATTTCTGCATGTTGTTAAAGCCAATGCTTGTTCCGTTTGTCATACATGGGGCCTCTAGTACCTTAGTAATATGTCATCTGATAGTACGTATTCCATCTACTTTAGAAGATGTAGACTTGGACTCTCATTCATGACTGAGTATGAGATGTCAACTGTCTTGATGCATAAGTGATGTCAGACGTTTTTACTTTCCTTTTTTTCTTCCTGTTATATGCATGAATGGAGCTCACTTTCTGATGTACATAGATCCATTCTTATATGCATGAATGGAGACATTCACATGTACTGATCCATTCTTGACTTCAGTTGCTATGTAGATCAGGAAATTTCCTCACCGTAAACCACGAAGATGGTAATTAATCAGGGCAGACAAGGAAACGCTTGACCTTTCTAAATTCCTAGGCTTAGTGCCCTCTTTCAATTATAGTCTTCTGGATGAAATTTCATTGATTCGGCCGTCTTTGAATACTAATTCTATCATTTTACCGGTCTGCGGAAGCGATTTGACTATAGACAACAGATTTGAGGATGCTGCGGTAAAATATCTGAGCACGATATATCGAGTATGGTGTACTTTGTTGTTACAATGAGGGTTTTTAAACGCCAGGCTACTACAAAGAACACTGTCTGAGTTAACTGTGAACCATATGGGTCCATTCCGTTGGCAGATCCAACTTGAACTTTGCGTGAATCTGGGATTGCATCAGCTAGTTTGGCTTCTACCCAAGTAGACCTCATTTGGTTTGAAATGAATGATCGGGTTGTTTTCCACAATCAATTTCTGATTGCTCTAGATTTCAGTTTTGTTCGGCAGGTTTATTTTTTTCATAATATTTTCTGTGTTGACTGCTTGAGTTCCTTGTTGGATCGCTGTAGCTTTTTGATATCAATCTTCATCCCTACTCTCTGGTATTGATTTTAGTGAAATTCTTGATTTGAGTTAACGATGAGCAGTTTAGTGAGCCCTCCCAAGGAAGAAAACATGATTCTTTCGGCATATTATTTTCCCTCTTCCGATATAACATCCTATGCTCTTCAATTATCTCTCCACTGGGCTGTACGTGTGTGTCCTCAGTAAAGCTGAATGATTTTTTGAAGGACCGAGCCAATGAAATATATAAGAAGGTGGAGGATCTTAAATCTATCAGAGGAAGAAACCAGGATGCCATATTAGCCGCCTGCCTTTACATTGCATGCCGACAGGAGGACAGGCCTCGCACTGTGAAAGGTATGCCCTGCCTTTCCATTTGGATGCTCTGGTTTCCTGCCTCTACTATATATATATATATATAGATATGTGTGTGTGTGAAGATCTAAGTGCAATATTGTAAATGACTAAGGGTATTATGGGAAAGGGCATGTAGGGTTTGTCCTTACTTAAGGGGCATTAAAGGTGAATGAATGGGTGAGGCGGTTTCCGCAGGTCTCACCTCTGTTCTCTGTGACAGAGGAAGTTTCTCCTCCATTTCAGTGCTCTCAATGTCTCCAATATTTTCAACATGGTTTTCTCTCAATTTCCAAGCATATATATATATATATGTATATGTAAGCCCCAATTTATTTCTTTGCATAGAAATCTGTTCCGTTGCCAATGGAGCCACAAAGAAGGAAATTGGGAGGGCAAAGGAGTTCATAATAAGGCAGCTGGAGGTCGAGATGGGGCAATCAATGGAGATGGGTACGATTCACGCTGGGGATTTCTTGGTGAGCCGTCCTCCCTGATATTTTTCTCAGCACATTTTATTAATATTTATTTAAATGTTATAATATTGGACGCATGCAACTCAGGAACCATATGATTTTGTTTTCCTGTGGGTCAGGGTGCCGACAAAGCCCATCCACAGTAGATCACTCCAAAAAAAAAGGGCTGAAATAAAAATTAAAAAATACCCATGAAAATTCATAACAGGGGCCATGAAAATATAACTTTAAAAAATAAAATAAAAATTAATGCTATCTTCATGGCCTGAATGGATCTGGGTTCTGTTCATGCTGATATTCTCATCTTCTGAAAGCCAAAAATCTCAAGTTCTCTGTTGCCTACCGTAATTTGTAGAGACGGTTCTGTTCCCACCTCGGCATGACCAATCAAGCAGTCAAAGCTGCGCAGGAAGCGGTGCAGAAGTCTGAGGAGCTCGACATAAGGTATCCATATCGACTGATCGTGCTATTATTTTCCTTTTGAATCTTATTGTCTGGGTCAGATATTTCACTGGATCATCCACCTCTAGGTATATGCTCCTGTCGAATTATTATTATTATTATTATTTTATTATTTTGTCTGGTTGAATGGAAGTAATTGTGCTTGTTTTTTCTTTATTTCTTTATTATCATCGCCAGGAAGATGCGATATTCTGCAATATTTACATTATGACGTGGCAAAATGAATCGGCCACAATCCAACTGTTGACTCTGTTGGAGACTTTTCCTTGTTTGGTTTAAACTCGTGGTTTGGGTTGACGTTTGACTTGTGGTAAACAAGCTTAAAGGAAGAGAGAAGTGGCGGCAGTTGTGGGAATTATAGTCTGAAGAATCACCTATCCTCTGCAGGAGGAGCCCCATATCAGTGGCAGCAGCCGTCATTTACATGATAACTCAGCTATCCGAAGATAAGAAGTCAACGGACGACAAGAAGCTGCTCAGAGGTACACCATTTATCTTCACTTAAAAGGGCATTGACCGGGGGAATGGGACCCATCAGTCCTAGGGGGCGGGCAGATTGTGGGCCTGCTACGTGGCGGCAACCCAGGTGCTCGACTCTAACGGACATCACCCTTTTGAAATCTTCAGATATCTCTATAGCGACAGGCGTTGCGGAAGGCACCATCAGGAACTCGTACAAGGATCTGTACCCTTACGCTTCAAGGTTGATTCCTGCGTCCTTCGCCAAGGAGGAGGATCTCAAAAACCTCTGCAGCCCTTGAAAGAGCAGAAGAAGCCATCCCTGTGGAGCTGCGAAGGCCACGGCGGAGCGAGCAGAGAGAGAGAGAGAGAGAGAGAGAGATGATGATGATGAAGTAAACTGTGCATACTGAGAAGAAACCTTGCCATTCAAAAACCTTCTGTGCTTTTTGCAGAGAAATTCGATAGGATTTCCTCAATATCCTCTTTCTTGATTTTAGTATAGAAGGAGGGGAGAGAGAGAGAGAGAGAGAGAGAGAGAGATGATGATGATTATGAAGAAGTAAAGTGTTTCTGCAGAGAAAGTTGATAAACAGAACATAAGGCTTTAAAACTAACCCCTTTCAGAAATTTGAGTGAAGGACGCACAATCTTCTCACGCAGTGGTAGCATGAACAAGAGCCACTAATGGGCCGGAGAAGTCTAAAGGCCCAATTATCTCACCACACAACCTCTCTCTCTCTCTCTCTCTCTCTCCCTTTCTCTCGCTGCGCCGTCCCTTGCAAAACTCCCACGTGGGATCAGGCCGCAGACAGTTGACCTTGGTACGGCCCAATCCGGAATCAGCATCCAAGACCGAGTTGTTGACCCACCCTCGTGAAGTCTGGGCTTGACCGTTCCAAGGGGGGGGTAGGAGAAGGTCAATGGAATGTTCAAGTGACAGACAATATGGACTTTGGGTTTGACTGGGGTTGACTAGGGTTACGGACGGTCATGATCAGACTGAGATGTGGCCCACTTCGTTCGCAGAAGAAACAGAAACAGGTGGAGACTCCGCATGAGCACGGTGATAACAGAGCAACTCACAAGGGAGGAGCATATGATAAAAATAATATGTCAGAGAGAGAGAGAGAGAGAGAGAGAGAGGGGTCAGAACCAGGGATGCCACGTGGGATCCATCATGCAAAGGTTCCTCGGGGCCAGTGCCAAGTCCACCAGCTCCGTCACCCCCCTCTGCACCGACTGCGGCGGGTCCGTCGTGTTATCCTCTTCCTGCCACGTGGAACAACAGAAAACGATATTGATTGCCTGGTACATACGCTAGGTCCACGCTGAGAGAGGGAGAGAGAGAGAGAGTTGACCTCTTCGGAGAAGTACTGAGGCGAAATGGACTTGACGCGGCTGATGACGTTGTCCACGTTGATGGTGACCTTCTGCTGGAAGTCGAGGGGGTTTATGCCCCCCGCTGGAAGAGCCGCCGCCGAGGGCATGCCCAGCGGCCGCCTCCACGACCACGAGAGCAGCTCGTCCCGGAAGAACATCCCGAGCTGGTACCATATGTGGTTGCTTTGCTGAAACCAAACCCAACGGCAGCACACCATTTTTAGGAATGAATTATGATCCAAAAAAAGAAAAAGAAAATCTTTAAATTTAAAAAATAAACCTTTGGGGAGACGATGGCCTGCGCGGCGGCGCACATGGCGGAGACGATCAGGCCCTCCACTCCGAAGTGCGAGAAGAAGGCCTGCATGTTCCTCGTCAGCCGGAAGGGCACCGGCTCGTTGAACTCGATCATGCCATTGGCGTCGTAAGCTGTTTTGCTCCAAGCACAGAAGAGAGAGAAGAGAGTTAGCGAGAGAGAGAGAGAGAGAGAGAGAGAGAGAGAGAAGGGATGAGCTAAGGAGGGATTAGAGAGAGGGGGGGCAGACCGGGGTGGAAGTCGGTCTGGAAGATCTTGCCAGTGTTCTTGGCGAAGAGGGTCTTGTTCGGGGAGCGGCCGCCGATCTGGAGCATGTAGGACATGAAGCAGGAGAGGGCGAGCTGGACGGAGAACTGCTTCTTGAAGGCCCAGAGGTGGTTGCCGGTGGGGAGTGTCTTGTACATGAACTGGGAGAAGATGTTGTCGGCCACGAGGGACTTGGCGATGTCGTTGTAGGCCTGCAGGCGGAGGTCGATTACCGCCTCCGGCGAGATCTGCCCGGAGATGGCCTGGTTGAGCTGCTCCTTGAAGCGGGTGATCGGCAGGTCCGCCTCCCGGTTGTGACGGGCGCAGTTGATCTCGTACACCTCCAGCAGAGTGCTGTACATGAGATCGTCCTCCACCATCCTCACCTGCGACCATACGGGGATGATGATGGGGGTGTGGATGCAGAGGTGGCGCCGCCGCGACTCCTTGTGCTTGTCAAACATTTTGTTCAGGACGCGGAAGATCTGGAGGATGCGCTCGTCGCTCCTGGCGTTCGGGGTCAGCGAGGTCTGTACGATGAAGTGGGACTGGGAGCCGTCGGACCCGATGAGCGTCAGGCGGCGGAAGCTGCTGCCGTGTCTCCGCACGATGGGGATGTCCGGGCCGATCCGGTCCAACTTGATTGTGTGATCTGGAGGAACTTCCTGTGATAATTGATTTTTTTTAAAAAAATATATAAGTAGGAAGAAAATAATCTGTTTAATGATCAGGAAGAGACTCCCGGGACGTTGAAAAAAAAAAAATCGGAAATTGTCGCCTGATATTCCTGGGATGTTAAAGAAAATAGAATTATAGCATGATCAGGTTAAATATAAATAAATAAATAAATATCGATTATTTCAAAAACCATGAGGAGATTTCCTGCGATTTTTTTAAATAAAAAAAGAAATAGAATTATAGCATGATCAGGTTAAATAAAAATAAATAAATAAATATGGATTATTTCAAAAAAACCATGAGGAGATTTCCTGCGATTTTTTAAAATAAAAAAGTAATTTTTTGTTGTAAAAAGAAAAAAAAAGGGAAGAAAAGAGGCTGAGGTGAGGTCTGGACCTGATCCGTGAAGTACTGCCCGGGGATTTCCACGTCAACCACATGGAAGTCGCGAAGGGTTTTGCTTTCATCTTCCAGCTTCAAGACCGCGGGGAATCTGTCCTCCACGTTGCTCTGGAGAACATTCTTCCATCGTTTCAGCCGCTCGGTCAACTCAGAGAGCGTGGCAGGGAAAGTCGACGTGCTTTCTGGATCAAGGTCGGATTCGAAGTCTTGCTTATACTCTCGAACAAAGTCAACGTGCTTGTTCACAGCCTCTGCCGAGAAGCAAGCCTTGCAGACCCCAGAGAGCTCCTTCTTGAGGGACTGCGGAACCTCGGCCACGGTGGCTGTTGGGTACTTGTAGCAGCGGTGGAGGAGTGCGTTGACCACTGCCAGAAGCCTTTCCTCCGGCAGAGTCACGAACCTTGAGCCGATTTCAGATAACAGAGCCTGCAACAGCGCATCGCCCGGTCAGATATTCATTCGATAACACATCTTCTTAGATGCCTCATTGCACAGGCAGTCTGATCCGTTCAGGGATTGACCAGAAAAAAAACCAAACCAAACCAAAACAAACGAACGGAGAGGATTCACCATCAGCCAGCCCATCACTGAAGTGTGTATATGCTACACGCGATCCCTTCTCACCTAACATGGAGCGATCTACAGAGGCCAATCGGTGGGGGGAAAAGCTCAGGGAGGTGTGCAGACCTCGTGCATCCACCCTCAAAACCCTAATCTAATGACTGAAATGCCCTCAGAAAAATGCAAAGACCAGTTATGCAGCTACAAACCAGCTAGAGCACGTATTATTTCTTCATAGTCTCTGCTTAATTTTTCATATTAAGGATAACATTGGTGAAGGATTAAAATTAGTCTCTGCTTCACTTTCCCGGGTTTCGTAGCAGCAGCAGGCAGTAAAGGGGAAGTTTGATGTATTTCATGAACAAAAAAGAAATAAATAAATCATAAAAATGAAACCCATTCCAAGTTAAATAGGAGAAGGGCGGGTGATATTTGAAATATTTTGGAATATCGAAGTTACCTCGAGTTCATTAGCCAAATTTGAATGCTTGTTCCTGAGAGCTTCCATGATATCCTTCGCAGCTTCAAAGGCACTGGCAGCTGATGCCACATATCCCAGAGGACCAGTGCGTTTTGATGTGTTGTTTTGGCCACTTTCTGAAATAGATGGAGGGTTTTGCAAAGGTTGGTCGTGCACTGTACTTGCGCCACCTTCTGCGGTCGCGGGCTTATCAGATTCGCTTCCCAGAGGGTTTCCACCATCGTGGGAAGTGGAACCAGTCTGGGGCCCCTGGGTGGCAGCAGATTCATGGCCGGAACCCCTTACAGTCCCATCAGACAGGCCGTGGGGGCCACCAGTGCTGCCTGAAACAGTCTGCTGCATGCGCTGCGCCATTGCTATGCTCCTCCCGAGCTCAGACTTGTTGGTGATATCACGACGTTCCATCAGATATGTGCGCAACCAGTAATATAATGCCTGCAATTATGGTGGGTTTTAGAAGAAGGAAATCCCCATCGAAGATATCAAAGGTTATGCCCACCTGTGCTTCGATGTTTACCTGAGGATAGACTGCAGCAATTTTAAGCAGGACGAGCTTAGCATGTGGTGCTTCAGTTCTCTGCAAGGACAACAAGAGCTGTGGTATCCACGAAAGCCAAACCCAATGTGGCACCTGGTCCATGTACTTGTCAAAGGCTCTCCCAACAGGCTCGTTTGGTGTGTCAAAGCTGAGGAGGTAGAGAACGCGGGCAAGATGGCTTCTAGAGTTTGAAACCCCGCACTTGATGCCTTGGAGAAAACAGCTCACAGCGTATTCTAGCCAGGCTTCTTCACCTGTTTCCTTGTAAACCTGTTGATTGAGATGTGCCCCGTTAATGCTATAATTAGAAATGAAAAAAAAAAAACACAAAATCAATATAAAGTCGGACGGTCACAGCAAGTACCAGATCACAGTAGTTTCCCCAACTGATCCATCCTTTTGGCAAGTTCTTGAAAAGAGTTATAGCGTTGGAATACACGATATTAGCATTTTCAGAGTCGTTCATCTTCGCTAAAAAGTCTCCCTTGAGACGGAAAATTTCAGCTTTATTTTTCACAGGGAAATACTCAAGATTCGTACTGTTGATCAGATTGATACCACTAGTTAATTCTCCTTTCATCTCCAGATAAGCTTTTGCCTGCTCTCTTATTTTTACAAAAGCCTCCTGAAAAAAGGGAAAGAGAGCTCGCGACAGTCATGATATGTCGACAACAAGGCCAGAGAAATATGATTGAAGAATATGCATTCTTACCTGTACTTCCATGGTAGAGTGTCCATACATTTTCTCAAGTATTGACACACAAACATCATGCAATCCTTGCTTACGAGCCACATGGGCAAGCTTATTGACATTCCAGGCCTTATCACGGTAGCCAAGGTGATGCAGCTGAGGATTGGTCGAAGCAAAGTCCTTAAAATTCTCAATAACAACATTGTAGATCTCGTTTCTCCACTGGAGTAAGTCGTACCATACGGATAAATTATCCCACTCATTAGGAGTCCTAAGCCTCCATGTCTCAAGAATATCTTTGAGCTCCATGTAGCCATTATGGACTCCAGAAGCAGAACTCCCAGAGTGTTGCTTGTTTCCATTGGCGATGTCCAAAAGTATTCTTGACGACTCTTGCACCTCAACCAGCTGTTGAAATTGCTGCAGGAGTGGTGTTCGAGACTGCACAGACATGTCAGGCAGCTGCCACCAACGTTCTAACGCCAATTCAACACCTCTCCCTACAATATTTTCAGCTTCCCCAACACCATTGTGGTTCCTGTCATGAAGTGCGGAAAAAGCTTGAATTAAACGAAGTTTTGGGGTCTCTTCGACCTGAGCCTTTGAAATCACGTCTTTTAACTGTACCCAGTCTGGAATCTTCCAAAGGCAGTTAAGAAGTATTTCATAGTTCTCTACACTTTTACCAAAATCCACCAAGCCATCCCACTGACTTAGCTGATTGGCACAGTAAAGCCATTGTTCTTCCCAGAGGCACATTTCAGCCTTGGGGACCGCATTATTGTAAGTACCCTGGGTCGCCTTAATCATGGCCTGATAAAAGAGGTTTTGAGCTTGTTGCCAGTATCCATGCTGAACCAAAGAAAGTCCAGCCCTCGTCTCTGCAGTAATTGACCTCTTTTTCCAGAGCCCGCATCTCATATCTTCTTCATTAAGAAGTCTGTAAAGTTCCGCTAGTGATTCACAGCATTTGGTATCATTCGTGAACAACATGACATGGTTCTCCAGCAACGATAGTGAAATATTCCATGCGTTGTATGTCTTTCCAATATACTTGATTAACTCACTCGGCATCCGAGGCTGTGGGTGGCTTAGATGAAGTCCCTCTATAAGTGCTTGCACGACATTTGGTCTACTGGCCTGCTGCTGTTTGTGATAATCCTTGGATAACAAGCCAATCATTGGCTTAGCAAGTTGGACTTGTTCTTCCTTGTGCAGAGTTACCCAGACGATGGGGAATACTAACACCCACAAATGGTATGCAACATTCGCATCTGTGTGTGCTAGTTCTCTCAATGGAATAACAAGATCAGATACCTAAAGCAAAACAGGCAATTAATGGGATCAGTTGGCAAACATTAAATGTGCGGAGTAAGCTGACAACCATAATAAATAAAGAAACAAATAATATATAAAAGGAAAATGTAATGGTCAAGATAGTTTTGAGCATTGCAATTTGTACAAGCTGGTTCGTCTCAATTTGGGTACCAAGATTTTATTTAGTGAGAAAAGAGGCGACCTAATCTTATGAATTAATATGTAAACAATATATGCAGGCACGCTGACAACGCAAAATATAAATTTACGAACTATTTGAATTTGATAATATGAAAAAAGGAGATGTTTATAAAAAACAGAAAGGTGTACCTGAAGTTTAGGGTTTATGTAAACTGACAATGCAAGATGTAAATTTACAAAACTATTGGAAGATAGTAACATGGGAAATGGGATATTCTAAAAAAAACGGAATAAGTGTACCTGAAGTTTTCCCATCTCATTTAAAAAGTGCACATGCTTGGCTACAAGGCTTTCAAATGACATCATATCCCCTTCAGACCTTTCAGGAGTGTCAGAAATCGCCTGCTGGGCCAAAGAACGATCTGGAAGAGAACCTGATATCATCATGAGTGGAGGAATGCGTGCAGAATTAGGAGCCAAATTGATAGGTTCATTCTCCACTAAAATTGCCAGCAGCAGATCAAGACCCTGTTTCAACCAGAAGCAATCGCATATAGCTTCCCAGTCCTGTTGTTGAATGATAAATTGAAGCCTCACGAATAATGTCTTGTCAATAGAATCATGGTAAAGCAAAAAGAAACGTTGTCTGATTTCTGGATCCTTGGCTCGTAGACCAAGCATGAATTGTCTCTCAACCTTCTGGAAGACTTCGTGACGAAGGGGCGATGGATATCTGTTAGCCATGAAAATTGTTAGCAAAAATTTGTGTAAATATTCGTTGAGGTCGGGATGGATTTTTTTACACCACCACTAGAAAATCTACGAGACTACATACTTGTTCGAATCAGCACAGACTCCATAAAGAAGCTGGAGATATTTCCTATCCCATTCTTCAACTGCACTTGGAGGGAAACTCTGCCTTTCAACTTGTGAGAGCTTTTGAAGGTATGCAACTGTCTCCTTTGGAGTGAGAATAGGACTTGACGAACCAGATGCAGCTGATCTGAAGTCGTCTTCAATCCATAATTTTATAGCATCGAGTATGCACAAGAGAACACTGTGATCGGTAGCCTTTTCTGAAAGCAGTACATGTAGTATTTGGGTTGTTAATCGCTTGCAATCAAGAGAATGCATTACCCTTTCACTGATGAGTTTCAAAATGCATTTCATGTTGGATACAACTGAAGCAGAGTCCATAAGGGCATGTGAACTTACTGCTGAATCCATATCCATTTTTTGACCCTGAAAAGTAGACAACTCCTAACATCACTTAACATGATAAACGACCAGGCTAAAATAGTTTGCATGACTATCTAATTTACGGAGAGTTCATTCTTGACCATAGAATTTGGATTGATGCATCATATAGTGATGCATTGATGAAGAATATTGAAAAAAATATTCTACAAAGCATGAGTATATGGGCGAGGATATACTACAAAGCCCCATTCGCCTTTACTTACAACCAATAAATCCTTCCGACCTTCAAATACACATAGTATTCTCGGTTTAGTACGAAATAGGTCTTCATGGAAATCGGAGAGTGAATTCAAGGAAAAGCAATGTTTAAATCTGGCCGGAAAAGTTCAAAACTTGTCATAATTCCTTTGCTGAAAATAATGAAAGCATAATACAAAGCAATTCACAGTCAATTTCACACTCAAACTTTCCAATTAAAAACAAAAAAAAATCCGTCAGCATTGATGCAATATAGTTCTCTGAACATAAACTTCATATTCCAGAATCAATTGTGTCATATATTTATCAGAGTGTAGATGCTACTGTTAATTAAAGTCCAGTTAAACTTTGAGTAACAGAATATCAAACCAGAACAAAAAGTTAAAAAAGAAAAGTGCACATAGACAAACCATACTTGTCTAACATGAGAACCAGACGATGGTACCATATCCCGTGTAAGACGCTGAAGGACACGAACCAACGAAAGAAGGAATGGGTCAATGAAATTGGTATGCACATCTGTTAAGGTTTTCACAACAAAAAGTATAAAGCTTATCACTGCATTGGCAGAACTAATATCAAGAGATATTTGAGGGGTTGCCACTGCAGCAAGATGTTTTTGTATTAGATCTTCAACCCTTTGGTATAGCATCTTAACATCTTGTGGCGTATCAAGTGCCTCCATGGGAAAAGCACTGAAGACCATTTTCAATAAGGAGCATAAAGACTTTCCAGCATCTAACATTTTGCTGTTGAAACAGGGTTCAAGTATCTGCAAAGAGACACTTAAGAACGTTAAAATACTTTTAGAATTTTCCAACAAAACAGCACTTATGACTGAACTGAAGAAAACGTACTTGAGAAATATGATTAATGTTGTTGCGGATAAACAGCTGTGGCTGCTTCTCCAGCGCCTTATTCATTACATCAAGACCCTGTGCTAAAGCTGCAGCAGGGTCCCTTGACTGAGATGGTTGGATACTACCAAGTATCTTCTCTAAATAGTTAAATTTAACATTAGCATTTGGCCACACCTCCAGAGCATTAGATAGCAGTTCCAAAGCAGTATTGTACATAGAGGTTGACTCTTTATCTTTGAGTTCTATAACCAAAGCAACCTGTCCAAACGGTCGAAACATTATAAGTCAATAAATAATGAAAGTAGAAAATCACGAACCTAAGAATGCACAGGGCAGGAACCATCAACCAAGCACACTTCAATTCCATAATTTCACGGATCGCAATCATCACATAATTAGAAAAATAAAGTAGTAAAGCAGTACTAAAATGACTTGATAGATGCCATCATGGACTAGCCAGCAGAGTGAGTACATAGTAGATAAGCTCAGATATTTTTTGTACAGATTCAAAACTGGAAATAACTCATGTCCGGAAGATGAAAGAAGTTGCACCTCAAAGTTGAGACCGCTAAAAAGGGACATAAAAGGTGTGAAAAAAGTGGACTAAAGACTCATAAATGGCTCTTGTGCTGGTAAAGACGAACTGGATGGTTCATACTTGTTTATTAAAAAAACTCAAAATACAGAAAATACCAACAAATTCCCCCTCAACTTTGGCTGGTCTGGTAGCATTATGTCTCAGAATGGCAAAAACTAGACTATACATACAGTCCCAATACAGTCACCTGTCAGACCAGGCATGGTAAAGGAAGCAATACTAAGAACAACAAGGATTATTGAAGAGTTGGAGATCATAAGAAAAAAGAAACTTCCAAAAATAATTGTCTCTTGATGAGGTAAAGGAAAAGCAATGAACCAAGAAATATTGACTGATTGCAGGGTATTTTCACGAGGACAACAGCGACAGACTGATAGACATGTTGTGCCATCTTCCTCCAAAAGCCTAAGTTTATCGGCATTGGTCAATTCAAGCAAGAAAGAATCTGATCAGATAGTAAAAGTTAGCAACATTGGATGAGGATCAACCAATTACGAGGAACTTGAGTTTTTAAAAAGATCCAAGATAGGACCCCCATGAAAAGGGATAAAGGCCCGCAAAGAGGATAATGGTGAGAACGATAACAAATGTAACTAGTACATATAAAAACACATGAAAGCTAAACAAATCCTGGCTGTACAAAAATTAATGTTGGGCTAGCAAAACAGAGAGACTAGCAAATCCAGGGTAATTATAAACATAATTCAGTTCACATAAGTTCAGTCAGGCGCCGAACATAATTAAAATCTTTCTTAACGACTAAAAGAAAGAAGCATTCAGGAGTTACCAAGGCCCATCACACCATTGCATACTAAATAGACAATTCAAATTCCCTGAAGAGAACTGAAGAAATAGCATATATGATTAAAAAAGCGAGAGAGAGAGAGAGAAGTTACACACTCTGATGAGAAAATTTATAATCATTTCCTCCATCGCTGGATTAGGTTTATACTCCTCATCAGCATGGCTGGCAGATCCTGGTGTTTCAATATTGCTGATGGATCCTCCACCTGGTGACATGATGCAAAGAGACTGCAGTCCCGGCTCAACCTTCACCCGTTTACTAAGTTCATCAGGAAATGTAGAGACATCTGATGGACGCTTTGAATCAGCACTAACGGAACCAGAGCTATAAACATCAGCAAGTTGGCCATGTCCCTCTCTGTCGGGTACAGCTTTTACTTCGTTCTGCCTTTGTCTTTCCCAAGAAACAACCAACCCAGCAAGTTCGATGGCCAGCCGTCTATTTTCTGTAGTAGTATTGAATGGTAATCCAAGCCGACTAAGAGAGTTCACCATTTGAGGAACAAATTGTGCTCTACAGCTATAGAAGAGGTCTGAATGGCGTACTATTAGCTGGAATATGTGAATTAAATTAGGAATTGAGTGACCTTCTTCAACAAGAATCTTCTTGGTGTAGCGAATCCAGATTGGCACACGAGAATCTCCAGGAGGAAGTCTTCTCGGCAGTGCGGGCATTAGTATATCAAGAGCTTGTCTCACCAATAGCCTGTTTTCTGGCTGACAAGTTCTCAAAAGTGCAATGAAAACCTAATAAAAAATAGAAAAAGTAAATTGTTAATCGATACAGTAAAAATCACAATGACCTGACCAGTTCTTTGATATAAAACACCAGATAATTACAATGAACTGAACAGCAGTTATCACTTTTTTATTTCTTCATTATATCTATTTTTAAAGGGAAAAAGAACCATGCAACGTGATATGCATGAAAACTAAAACAAAACAATTTCATGAGAATAAAGACGTCGACAATCAAACATATGATCAAGCTGATCTAGGTGTAGACCCATCATGAGAAGAATAGAACTAAGAATACATGGTGTCAACCAAAGATACTCTTCAAAAAATTCACCTAATAAATGTCAACACATTACACAAAAGAGAAAAAATGGAATCCACTCAGTATCCATTGATTGAGTTGGATGGCCCATAAGTTTTATATGGCATTTAAGCCGATGGTTGTCCTTGGTTGCATGTACCCTATTTACGTTGTTCGAAACTCAAAAGTTGACTTCTATGCAGGAAAAAATAGTCCATTATGATTACTCCAAAAGTTACAAAGATGGGCCCACTCTACTACCAAGCATTTTTTTAGATTAGATGCCCCAAAGCCTTTAATATAATCATTAATAACCAGAATTATGGACATCTGTGTAAAATAAGAAGAGTACTAATGAGAAGTGGCATAATTAGAGTTTTAGTTGTACCAAATATTCTTCCACGCTTTAAGTGTCCTGGTAGACCTATTGGGGGCTTTACAGTTCAGGGGATGATGAGGACCCACAATTTTCCCAAATTGAGGGAACTTAGAAGTTGTTCATAGAAACAAAACTCTCATCCTCCAACACTTCTAATAAGAGAAGCCACTAATAGCATCCCGCGGTAGTTTAGTTCCCAACTTAACTTCCTAAGATGTAGTCACATGAATCATCCATGGGAGTTTCATTTTCAATGGGCCTTTGCGTCCATGGAATACGTTCATTTGATAGTTTTACAACTTTCAGGGAGTGTATTGCCAAAACTATCAGGCAATCTAGGAAGAAATAGGATCCCAACCAATGCAAAAATAAATGCCCTGCAACAATAAAATGCTCATTGCGTTATCTTACTACACCATCAGTTTAAAAAGTATATGTCCCAATCTGCTGAGTTAATTTCTGATTTTTAGAGACCAAGCAAGTTACTGAATACTCATGTTTATAAACTTTAAGACTTACATCCAAAATCAACTCATTAAAACAATCAATAAAAAAACTGCCGAGTAGTATGCCAGCCAATATGGAGTAGAATTCCAATTTCCTGGTCCATTACACGTATTATACATTATTAATAAAAGATATTGGAGTCAACACACCAAAAACAAAAATTGTCGGTGCCACACCTTTTATTTTACATTATGGATCCAAACATCTTCATTTCATCACAAGCAAAGCACGTATTTAGTGTTCACATAGATCTTCAAGCTTAAACATTCTATTTAAACCATTCCCAGCTGATAACAATGAAAAGGGAAAGAGAAATGATGTATTGCAAACGGATGCCAGGAGGGAAAAATACTGGTTAACTTGAGAAGGAAGTATAATTTCCCATCACATGAATACCTGAAGTATAATCTTTTCCGGGGCCTGATAGGCCTCCAGAAAGTGACAGACATTGACAAATGCCCACTGTTTACTAGAATTATCTTCACGCTTTAGATGATTCCAGCCAAACTTTATTAGTTCCTTGCGATGGTGAACGAGATCACTTTGCAGATGCTTGAGGAGTAATGTAGCAAGCTGTAAAAGTTCAACTCGCATAGGTTCGTCATATTCTGCACTAATCTGCAACAGAACGAAGCACTTTCAGATTGATGAACCTGTAGTCCTAAAAATGTAAAAATGTGAAAACAACACAGAAAAAGAGACAGGTTTCCAAAGTTCCACAGAGAACCTCTTCTGGGGGGTCGAGAAGCTTCTCAACAATTGTTTTCAGAATTGCAGGATCAACGACCTCAGATTTCATATTTTTCTGAAAGGCATCACCTAGCATTGGAAGAACAAGCATTTGCATGGCAACAACTAACTGATCTTGTCCCAACTGTTTTGACTGAAACAGATGGAGAAAGTGCAAGAGAATGGTCTTCCTCAAATTTGGAGCATAACCATAGGCAACCTGAAAAAAAGATCACACGCCAGGAGAAATAGAAGGTGAAATATTAGCTAATAAAGTATCTGATTCTCAAAGATGACTGCTACACTTTTACAGCCACCATAGAAGGACATGAAAAATTACCAAGGTTTCACTAGTTTCCGAAAAGAATACAAGAAAATTAGCTATATATAAAAGAGGAACACCCCATGGTTTCATGAGAACCCCATAGATAACAACTTTATTTTATGAATAATAGGCATCATTCAAGACAAATCATAAAATAAGTCATCAAAATGTGCCATTTTGCAAAAAGATGACAGACACTCTCACAACTGATCCACTATAAACTCGTCTGCAAAGGGGAAAAACAGAGGCTTTCTTTGACCATTACTCACCCTCCTTTTCAAGGCTTCACTTCTGTTATCTTTCAAGGTTTGTTCTGCGACTTAATCATGAAAAGAGACATGAGGAAGCAGGTAGAAAAGAGAAAAGGTTGGAAACGACAAATATGGTAAGGCCGAAGGGGGGAAAAATAATCCCAGACGAAATAAATTTCTCAAAGAATAAATGGCTCATTTATAAAAATGGTATAAAAAAATTGTAACTCGTATTCAAAAGTTCAAATATTTAAATAAAGAGTCATGCCTGAAGAGGAGACAAATGAACATCACGTTCTTCACACTATGGCTGGGTCTAAGAAAACATGCAGTTTTTACCGTATTTTTCAGGCATGTGCTTGGGGGAGACAATATTTGGGGACGAGCTAGAAAAGGGAATTTCACAAAAATTCCCAAGTACAGAAGTGAAAGAATCAGCCTTATGATTTCTTTAAAGTCTACACATCTGGATGGTTTTCGAACAATTCCCATTTAACTGTATTTGGGACATTATCAAAATGGATTTTAAGGCAGCATTACGTGATCTTAGAAATTTCTCCATTTGACACTTGATCGACAGCTTGTGTTCATTCCAAAGAAAGAGGGTGCTGAAAAGACTCATGAAACTGGCCTATCTCCCTGTTGAATGGAAAGGAAAATAACAATGAAAATAATAGTCAGCAGATGGAAAGGCGTGCTGAAGACTTTCTGGACACTAATTAATCAGCTTTAATAGGATGGAGACTTATCTTCAATATCCTTCTCACAAGTTTTAAGGAAAAAAGAGTGTGATCTTCAATGATTGTTTGGAAAATGGTGAAGAGGAAATGAACCAGTGTAGGATAGACCAAGTCGAAAATGTGTATATTGACAATGACTTTAGAGTAACAGATCAACAGGTGTGAGCAGATGAGGTTAATCACTCACATGATAATACCCCGAATCCCTTTTGCATTGATTACCCACTAAATTTTGCATTTCCGAATGGGATTCCGAATAGGAACATAAACACTCATATGGGGAAATTTAATGACAAAAATGGGCAACCATTGATGACATTTCATCATACGAAGAAAAAAAACTCGCAAAATAACATACCTCCATGATGTAAAATCTTTTCAAGAAATCATAATCTATACATGTGCGGAAGAGAAAAATCGACAGCATATCAAAAAGGACGCCAACTTCAGACTTGTCATGTCGTAAGTAATTAAGAAAGCATTTCACAAGCCATTTGCTTTCCTTCACCTGCAATGCATTATCAAATAAAAAAGACAGCTTTGTTAGACATGAGCCCCTTCCAATTAAAGAAGATAAGACTAGATTCACGGAAGAACAAAAAAATGATATTACAATAAGTACCGTGCACTTAGATTTTATGTTTAAGTTACCTTGGAACATCGAACATATATGTTTATTTAACATAGCAAGTGACCATTAACCTACTAAGAAACAGTTGGATCTTATTTGATTACCACTGCCTGTTTTCTATGTTTCTTTATAATAACCTTTTCACGAACCATCAGCTCTACAACCTAAATATGCAATCCATATACTGGGTTGGAGGTGAAGGAGAGCATGATATGCGATACATAGTTGAAGATAGAAGGGGTGACCAAAATCTGCTGAATTGTCAACCCAAAAAAAATTGAATCACGTGAAGATCCCTTTCAATACAACGGGATGAAGATTAAACCAGACATGTATATCCAACTGTTGTTCACGAGAAGCAAACATTATTTTCAATGAACAAGGTAAAAAAGCAAGAAGGTGCTTAAGGTGGTGGATCCAAAGTAGTGTTCGAGGTACATATGTGATTTTTTAGAGGAATGGACAATCTAGAGGTTTTCAAGGAATTTGATTGGCACTGACTATCTGGATAAGTTTCACTGGGGCACGTTGACCTGACATACCTATGGTGAGATTTTCAATCAGTCTAATCATGAAGAATGTTTCTTATAATTCAATGAACCCAGAAAGTATGTCCTCCCTAATTTTGACACCATTTACAGATGCTCATCTTGCTTCACATTAGAACTCCAAACATGTAATATGTTCAGATTTATTTGGTATCACAAATTTCAAGATTCTCAGAAAAATATCAAGCATGATTAGTATTTTACATTAATACAGGGTCATTTGAAAGGTACAAAATTTCGTAGTATGGAGGATTCTGTTTCCCTCTGATGGCCTTCTTCAGCCACTGGTAATCCTATGGCATCTTGTTAGATACTAATGTGTAACTAGGTCAGCGAGTCAAAATATTAAGAAGCGAGGTCCAAGAATGAAGAAGGGGTAGAATGACTGAATGAGTGGTGCAAATCCGACCCACTGGTCATTGTTGGCACGTGGACCACTGGCATGCCTTAGTTGGTCTCACATCAGTAGCGTCCACCCTTGCTGAGGTCCTTCCACTAACCGGTGGGCAAGATGTTTTCCCAAAGGTGGCCTTTAAAATTAAAGATCTCAGTAGGTACCTACCCTGGATTCAAGATATATAAAGGCTCTCTAAGAATCCTCTAAGAGTTAGTGGAAGGACCTCAGCAACAGTGGACGCTATTGATGTGGGACCGACTAAGCGATGCCAGTGGTCCACATACCAATGATGGCCAGTGGGTCGGATGTGCGCCACTTTCACTGACCTTGTTACACATCAATGTCTAGCGAAATGGCAAAGGATTACCAGTGGCTGAAGGTCTATCAGAGGGAAGCAGAATCCTCTATACTACGAAATTTTGTACCTTACAAATGACCCTGTATTAATGTAAAATCTAAGCATGCTTGATATTTTTCTGACAGGATGACATTTAACAAACTATTGTTCACTAAAAAGACTCAAAAACATATATACTTAACCCGAATGTATATCCAAGTATGTCAATTATGGGATGTCAAACCAAATGAATTCTAAAGACAAACGTTGTAAGAGATGTTATACACTCACTTGCACTAAGTTCAGTTCTTGCTCATTTTGTAAGCGAGCTATTCTTCCAGGTGACTTCCAAATAAGTACGAGAGCATCAAAGACTACCCGATTATTATGCAACCACTCAGGCATCAACTTAACCAACGTGCAGATAAGGCTGAGTCCGTGAAAATATGCATCTGAACCGGAACCCAGGTTTGGTTGCTGACCCTCAAAATTTTCAGTGATTGTAGGATGAGCTTCATTTTGCAATGCAGAACCACTATGAACCATAGATCCATCAACCATTTGCGCGAATTCCGGAAACGCCTTCTCTAGTATCTTTCTTGGTGACCTTGCAAGCTCCTCTCTTAAGGGCTCACCGGCATCAGAACGTATTATATCAATGAATCTGAAACAAAGTCAACTAGCTGATAGGATTAGAAAATGTAATGAAGGAAAAAGGTAACATATCCATGTATTACTAGTTTTCACATGAAAAATACATACCGTCTGAAATATTTCGGTTGATTCAATCGACTAAGAAAGTAGTCAACAGCTTCTGTCGCATATCTATTTAAAAACTTTGTAAGTGGAAGGGAATAAGGGCTATTAATTTCACTGTAAAGTTGTCCTGGAGGAAGAGCCCCTTCAAGATCAATTGTCATGGTGACAAGATCATCAAGAAACTTCCCAGCTGCTGGCGGGAGCAGGTGAAAAAGCTCTATCATCGCTGCATGAAAAGAGGATATCTTGTAACCTTCTGAATTTGAAGGAATACCGGAAAAACCATAAAATAATTCATTACCTGCTGCAACTTTTGGCTCATCACCAGCCTTCCATGACTTCTGACTCTGTGCCAATTTTTCAGGTTCTAGCCATTTCTTCAAGTGATCCAGCAACTTTACACCAAGGGTTACATTGAACCAGTTGGATAGAAGTTCAAGTAGACGTGCTAAACCTTGCAAAAGTGGCATTGTAAGGCTCTTCGTGTGGGCTAGATTAACTAAAATAGGCCTAAGACTGTTTTGTAACAGCTCTTTTGGCATCCTTTGTTGCTGAATAACCTGTGAAACAATTTCATCATAATATGCAACCAAACTGAAAATTTCTGAAAAAGATATGAATAGGATTTAAAGTATAAAATTGACAAATGAAAAATTATCTAAAGTTGTGAAGCATTTAGCAACTACAGTATCGGTGAGAGGGTGGGGAATGGCATATTATGTGAATAAGAACCACACCATATTCATCTTACCCACTTTAATGGATAGGCAGCCTCTCTGACGTAAATGGCAATAAATTACTCCCCACTTGGGAAGGTTATAAAAAATCCCAACTATCGCACCCAAAATGTAGCGTTACCTCATGTCTACGTTTGGAATAATCTCTCTTCACTGAATAAGGTTATTTCCCATCATTCCCACCCTCCCCCTCCCCCACCCCCTTCCCCAAAAAAAACAGAAAGAAAAAAAGGTACATGATATACTACATGATATATGTATAAGCATGCCTCCCTCAAAAGAAGAACGAATGGATTGTCATTTAAAAGTCATTCCATGTAAACCATGTTTAATGAGAGAACTAGTCACCAGTCGAAGTCCTTCCTTTGCAGCAGCAACAATTTCCGGTGTACGACAAGTCAATGACTTAAAAAACATAGAAATGACCCTTGCACGAAGATCAGCATGATTTGGTGCTCTGAAGTCCGCCCAGATCATTGCCGTGCAGAGAAGTTGAATGCACGCTGTCCGAAGTTTGTTTAATGTTGACACGACCTTCGGGTTTATGAATTTCACAACCCACACAGTCTCATCTGCGTCTGCTATTTGCAGAGCGTCTTGCAAAAAACTCACTACCTCCTGAGTCATCTTAAGCAGAGGAGGTCGCAAGGACAGAAAGATGTTCATAGCAGCAACAGTACCAACCTGACACAAGAAAATTAGGAAAGCCTCTAATTACTGTTTGATAAAATAAACATAATTCAAATAGAATTCTATGAGTGCATAAATCTCAAACGAAATCTACCTGTTGCTCAATGTTTTTCAATCGTAAAGGTCGCATTATGAGAGGCTGAAGAAAAGGCTGATAATGAGGCTCAAGCAGCTCAGACACTTCACTGCCAGTCCTATTAGCCAGAAAGGTCAAGCAAGACTGGACATTCTTCCTCACAATAATGGATGCATTAGGATTAAATAGTTCAGAAGCAAGAAATTCAACAACCCCTTGAAAGCTTTGCCTTCGGGATTCATTGATTGCCTCTTGAGCAGTATTTACTACCCGGAGAACTTGAGTAAGAACCTGACTGGTCTCATCCTGTTCCTTATTTGCATGGGCAGGAAGTCTTTTAAGAACATACACAAGACCTCTGACAATCCTCACCTGAAATACACAGACAGTGTCGACAGGAACCTTACTAACCAGTGCCCCAAGTCCCATGACACCACCGATTTGAGCTTGCCACGTGCAACCATAACAGCAATGCAACAGACGAGGTAGTAACTGTTCAAACACAGGGATCCGGATGCCTGAAGCTGGCGTGTAAACAGTATTCAAAGTCGGACTAGAGACTGTCATGGGAGTACTAGAAAGTCCTCTAGGGTTTTGTACACTTGTATGCTTGGAACGCACAAGAAGAAGAAGTGTTTCCACAAACATATTCAGCGCATGAAGAGCAGCCTTGGCATGAAGTCGATTTTCACCTGCAAGGACTTCTACCAGAGCATCCAAAAATATCGAAGGATCTAGCTCCTTAAGACTAGAGCATACACTACCTCGTGACCTAGAATTTGGGTTGTTGTTGGATCCAAACGTTGAACCAACTTGCTGTGCATTTGCCACTGAAGCATTAGCTGAAGTACTATCAACATGGAACATCATTGCAAAATGATGACAGACATTTTCAACAAAATCGTCATTTGGGATGGTGAGGTCTATTTCTGCGCTAGCAGATATAGAAGTCATCAAAAGAATCTTGAAGACGGATTTCTCAGCCATGAGCTGAGTCTTTGTCTTCACTCCCAAGTCAAGCTGTCGAATAAACATATTTAGGAGGCAACGATTTGTACATAGAAATACATAATATCGCAGAGAAAGAATCCATTGAACGTTCATTGTAAAACATGAAGGAGATTCTACAGAGAACAAACGGATAAATAATGGACATTCATCTACTCATGTGTACGCAATTCAATGATAAAAGTAGGTAAACTTCAAAAACAATTCATAACTTGCATTCCAAGTCACCAATATATTTGGCAAGGAAATTAAGATTCACTAAAACAACATAATTGTGGATATGTTTGGATGAAAAACTGTCAGTGAATCAGATAGGATACCAAATCCACATAAATATATATGACATTCGGCATGGTATCATATCTCACGGTTTTAGAAGCCTGTGAAGCAGCCATCGTCGTCGGCCATAAGCTTCACAAACTGTGAGTGAGAGAAAGGCAATGGCGCCAGCTGACCTTTAATCCGCCAGATCGACTATACCCACCCTTTCCTACACTGTTTTTGTCGGTGACTCCACCTCGTACAGCTTCAGCTTCATTCTTCCCAGTTGTGTGAAGCCACACAACCACTAAGTCTCCTCCTTCGCCATCACCTTTCCTAATGCCTTCTGCTCCACAAGTCTGGTGTCTCCTACTCAGGCTTCCACTCCAAGAATTTCTTCTTCCTCTATTAACAGACTCCCAGTCTAGGATTTTCGAACATTATTGTTACTTGATCGACCTTATTAGTTGCACATTATAGTAATCACAATTGCAATAGTGATGCAGATTGGCACATTACATTTCGCTTCCCCCTCCCGACCTCCTGCCACAGCTCTACCAAAGGACTGTCAGACCCTTGTTGTGTGAGCAAGTTTGCAGTGTACAAAAGAGTTATTCACTTGATGCCTCAACCCAAAACCCGTAAAATGTTTGCATGCATGCCTACAACTTTTCACAAGATTGTTGTGGACAAGATTATTTATGACTACTATTTGTTAAGTAGCAGTCGTTTATTCCTTAGATAGCAAGCTATAGCAAACGGAGGACTACAAAAGGACTGCTAATGAGCCTGTTAAAGTATAGAGTTCAATAGCCACATAGTCTCTAACTAGTTTGACAATTAGAGATGAGTTGACAATTCGTCTGTTTCCACATTTACATATACACAATTGCAGAGAGAGGTCGCGAATCAACTATGAAATTTCCTTATATCCTTCGATTTAGAGGCCAGAACGTAAGGATAAACAAAGATGAGTAATAAATTTGACACCAATGCATGCAAGAATCCCAATGGAGGCGGCAAATAAAAATTATCCTAAAATAAACAGGAGAAAAGAAATAACTAAATGAACCAATATGCTATCATAAGGCCATAAAGAAAGACAAATGATAATGCAGAATGAAAAACTATTTCAGAAAACTTACAGCGAGGAAACATTTTTGTGCTACAATTAAATTTAGGAAAAATAAGAAATGGAATAAGATTTAAGATTTAAATAGTATGGACCAGGCGAAAATAGAATTTCTTTGAAGAGATATTCATGGGAAAGATCGAAAAAATATCATCGGAATGCTGAAATGACATGCTCGATCAGAATGTGGACCTCTGACCTAAATCTAGTAAATGGAAAATTGACATAGACAATCTTTCATCAATATGCATCTTATCTAACGAGGATAAACTTCTGTTCTCAACTGATAGGGAGTAAAGATTGTGGCTGCTAAGGCAACACTATGGTGATCTATGTGGTTACCTACTACCTTACTGCCGGATCAAGAAGCCATAATCACTAAGGAAAACTATGATTTGCTAAACCTAAGATTTAATGATTTTCGTGAACAGCACATAGAAAGTGAAAACCAAAATATTTATGTCTGTACAGCACTGTCAAACACTTATTGACAAGCTACATCTCAGAAACTACTTAAGACCATTGTTGAATGACCAATCTACTATGAGAGACATTTTTTTATGCGTTCATGAAAGTGTCCTGGTATCGTCGCTTAAGAATTTATTTCTCAGAACAATATCAAGTGAAAAATGATATTATCTCTCGAATGAAACTTTTGATGACTGAATATGTTTTAGAAATGTAAAAAATCATGATTCTAAATACTTATTTTCATAAAATAATTAGCCAAAAAGATATCAAAGATGACAGACAAGCTAGCCAAGACACTAAAGGGACCAATCCAAGCAACTTTTAACCATACTCGCTTTGGTACCAAAACATATTTTATTCCTGTAATCCCTAGTTAATCACAGGACACCAAGGCCTAGTAGGTGTCATATTGACAGCAGTGCCAAAGGGATCCAGAACAATAGATTGAAGTCCAAAGTATATTTATGGAGAGGGATTCGAGGACTTGCTCGGTACATGGTAAGTAGAGGCACCAGTAGTCAATAAGACATTTAACCTTCTCAGCAACTGGCCAAAATACTAATTTGGAGGCAAATGATGGAAACCAACTGGCCAACATGTAATAGAAAAATGGAAAGCCAACACAGGGAGTGAACTTCCATAGAAGTGAAATGGATACATCCAAATACTTATATTTCAAAGAGGAAAGCAAGACTTTCATACCCTAGTTATCAGTAAGAAACGAACTCCAAAAGTTGACCACATCAAATATAAGGACACTTTTTACCAGCAGGAAGGAGTGATTGGAACACCAAAAAAAAAAACCAAAGTTGATGAGTAATAAAACCCCTTCCAAGAACCATGGGTCAGAATAGCATTTCTTACTGGATGCTCTCAAATTTCCAGGTCTAGATTCCTCCCCGATAGGATTCTGACAACTTTATTGGAACATCATTAAGAGTGATCTCACAGTTGCCATCAAAGAATTCCGGCTGTCTATCAAACACCTAAAGTCTCGTCCCGAAAAAGGGCTAAAAAAAGATTCAGAAGGCACATGTATCAGACTACTTGATGGATCCTACAAGACAATCACATACATGACGGTCAACAAATTGAAATAGATTCTGGATGAACTTATGGACAATAATTGCTGACCAACAAGCTTTCATAAAAGGAAGGTTTATCTTTTTTGATAATTTTACGCTTGTGTAAGAAACAACCCATGACAAGAAATAATTAAAAGGAACAGGAGTATCAAGAGCAAGGAGCGAATCCTTCAAATTCTAGCATGCGCAACTGCAAAATACAATTACACGGCATTTCAATCCTCATCTAGATTATAAGCAAAATATGAGGCACACCAAAATCCACAACTAACCTTTGCAGCAGATATTTCTGTCCGACGCCGAGAAGGATCTACTGTAGATAACAACAGTGATCCTAGATGACTTGGATTCACTCCCTCGCTTGAAATATTTCCCGATAAATTCAAAAGAGATGCCAGGCATACCCTAACAAATCTCAGTGCCTGTTTCCTGTAGAATGCCTCAATGCTACCATTGTTTTGCAAAACTGCCGCCACAGCCAGGTGTATGCAACGATCTAGTGGGACCAAGAACGGCGTTGATGGCTCAAAAGTAAGAATTAAACGTAGCCCATGCTCAGGGTTCTCCTTGCACTCTAGAGAAAGCGGCTCTTTCAAGAAGCGTCGGTTTCGGCCCCCCAATTTTCCAAGCAACTGCAGGGCTTTTGCACCCCAAGGGTATGGAGGAGGCCTCAGGTGTGACCATAAAGCTAGAATAACCTCTGACATGACATTTGCCATATTAGGCTCCAAAAAATCAGGATTCAGGCTATCAATCCAATATTCAAGTGTTCTTAGACCCAAACTTACAAGATCATCATTTCCTTTCAAAGCATAAACTAGAGGCCTATGAAGACGAGGAAGATGAGGAAGCAATGAACTTAATCGGGCAGGTAATGTTAAGCAGAGTTCTAGAACAAGGTCTCTCATATCCTCACCACTAGGTCCTTCAAGCATAGCTAACAGCGTATTCAGACAAGGTTGCAGTAACGGTACTAGATCTCGTAGTAGACTGTCAAACTTCCCTCCAGTTAGTGCTCGGAACATGTTTCGAAGGAGCTGCATATATCCCAGTGGATTGTCAACTTCCATGGCGTTCTTCATGCACACTTCCATGATAACAGCAACATGAGGCTGAAGGATACGTTCACATTCTGCAGAAGCTTTACCAACCGCAATGAATACAAAACGAAATAACTGTAAAACCAGTTTCGCAGCAGGTGTATCTGGTTGCTTCAAAATATCAAGTTTGCTACTGACAAGAAAATTAACCAGAACATCTGTGAAGGGCCTTAGAACCTTGGGCACTTGCAGGAGGGTAGAAAATATGTGAAGCAATTGAGTACTGCTACACATGCACTCAAAAAGGTGTGGCATACAGAGTGAAAACATGTCCATAAGATCACGAGGCCCCATTATAGTTAATATCTGTGAAAAATGGTGCACCATTTCCCTCTCTTCATCTTTTTCTCTGAACACAGCTAAGCAATGAACACCGTTCTTTAGAACGCCAGAGGCTTTCCTAACCTGCCAAGTGCTCTCATTAATGTATTCAGAATGGAACTAGCATGAGAGTTAGGATAATTATCTACATTAAGCTAGAAGTACCTCATCGTCTCTCATTCCTTTGAACATTTGAGGAAACGCAGAATTGGAGGGAGAGGCCGGCACCTGTGAATGCATCCCCTGTGAGGTTGACGAAATCTGTAATGAAGAAAGATTGTCATGACATGACACCAGTAAGAAAACCAAACGTTTGGAGAAGGAGGCGAGGTGGAAAAGGGGACCTGAGATCGTGGAATATGTGCATTAGTAATGCTCCAAACTATCGTCTTCATTCCTGCAGAAGATATACATAAAATGAAATCTCCTATGCATCAAAGATTAGTCCATTATAAGTTATAACAAGAAAAAAATGATACATGACTTTTTCAAAAAGAAAAACAGATCTTAAAGAAAGAGAGCATGAGAATCGGAGATTACTCAGGGACCTGACTTATTTACAAAGAGAAGAAATGGCAAACTCAGTGTAGGAAATCCCTGATGACCTGGATCTGCTATGAGGCTCTGAATCCTAAATCAATTCAAAGACTGTTCAAGGGTTTAAGCGATGGATAAGAAGTACCATTATAGTGGGAAAGTTTAAAGAACTTTTGCTGCTATGAAAATGTTCCGCATACAAGAATTATCATGCATATGCAGGGAGGTATATAACGCAGGTCAATTTAGAGATCTATATATGAAGATAAAATGGCATAACGCCTGGTGAAGGGATCTACATACGAGACTCATCTTTTGCAGGTTCTACATCAGCAAGATGCAGGTCCATTTAGAGACTATGTTCAGGGTGCTTCATTGTTGACCATGCGGACACCAATCCTCGAGGAGCACCTCTCAGTAGACAGTTTAAGTATCTGGGACAACTCTTGGAGACGTTGGAGAGTGGGAGTATGTGAACGAATGGAGATTGAATGGAACTGATAAAGAGAGTGAACATAGAAGGTCATCCACTAAATTCACACAGTCAGCTGGTCAACAGAAATTGATGCCGATTATATTAACAAGTAATCTTGAAAAGCAGCTCATGGTAGGAGGGTTGAACAGGTAAGCCAGCTGGTTTAGACATTGGAAAGATGAAATGCAACATAAATGAGACCGTTAAATTGACCTTTTTTTTTTCTTTGTTATGAAGGTGGAGGGAAAATTCAACTATTCGAAACTAAGGAATCACATTGTATCTCGAGAGAAAAGCCAATTATAAACCCCCGTTTCGGCGTACAATCTTTGACTACCCTCCATCCAACTCAATTCCCTGTAAGATGCTAGGTAAAACAGCATGACAAGGATTCGGAAAAAATTAAAAACAAAACACACAGCCCTCTCGGGCCCACCTGGGCTCTATAATAAACCAGAAATTCTTTGTTGATGAGAAGAGAGCATTAGGCATCACAGCAATGGCTTCCATACCGAAAACAGTCGTTGAATCTTCTGCAGAGAATAGAGTACAAACTGAAAGGTCTCAAATGACTATTGTATATGAGAGAAAAACCCACAGGAGCAGTGAAAAATCGACGACAATGCATTGAAAGATTCTTGAAGATCGTTGAAAGATAACAAAATTGGCTTTTCTTTCTCACGGTAAAAAAAAAAAGGCAAACAGTGCATGTTATAAAAGGCAGAAAGACTCAAGAATGAGATCAGTACATTGGCAGACTAATTAAATAAGATGAAGCGCACGGTAAGAGATCAATGAACTCGTTAAACAACCCCCTAATAGTCCTTGGGAAAATACACATAACAGCTGTTTCGTTTGATGTCACACCATGCTAATAGTGCGTCCATGCTGCAAATTTCTTTGCAAGGATAGTAAGAAATTATGGATATTTTTAATGGAAGAAATCAAAGGATATTTAAAAAAAGGAGGATTTAAACAACAACATGTCTTCTATCCACTTCTCTTCCAAGCGTATACTTATGCACCTGCTCATGGTCATGTTTTAAATGTAAATGCATAAACTTTTAATGAATCCTCGGAAATTTCAGGTTTTGACAATAAATCTAGCTCATTACTTGTGAAACGTTCAATTACTCGAATATATCAACAGAATAGTTTGATCCATTCTGTTAATGATTCTAACCAAAATAGATTCCTCTGAGGCAAAAAGATTTTTCATTATCCAATGATATCAGAGGGTTTTGCTATCGTGTGGATATTCCTTTTTTGCTGCGGCTGACAAAACCTAAGACTGCAGAGGAAATTAACTGAAGAACTCCAGAGAAAAAGTATGGAAAAGTGTCTATAATTTCCCTGACCCACACCTAACCTCCAACCTAGAACCGTCACACGTCATCCAAAAAAAAGTTCTCCTTCAGATAAATAAACTGAACATAAATGGCAACGAAAAACAAAAATTTAGAACCGTAGCCTGTGTAATTACATTGGACCGTCAAACTTACGTTCTTGGCAAGTATATGACCCATCTATGGCAAATCGGTAATCATGAGAAGGATCGTATTTCAGAGAAAGACAGTGGCAGATTGGTGTACACACACGTCCATATAGATGGAAAGATTGGATCCACCAGTACTATTTCACAAAGTGGACGTTGTTCCTTACCCATGACTAAAGTTCTAATGAGATGTTTGCAGTCACTGACTTCCTTGGCATATTCTGAAGGGGACGATTGGCTCACAATTGTCTGCAAGAAAGTTGAATACCACAGTTCAGCAAATAACGGACGTACAAAAATGAATAATTGCAGAAACAAGAAGTATATGGTTTTCTTGCTAAAATTCGTTTTTTAATGTCATCCGTGCCTTATACTATATCAAACCAGAAAGAATAAGAACCATACAGACACTAATACTATCACATTGACATGGAAACCAAAGAGCTGTGAACCATAATCTCGGGGCAGGAAACAACAAAAACGTACAGCCAACCTAAAGTGTAGCGACTAATCAAACGTGTAAAAGTTTCAAGCAAACGAGTTCCCTTCATCATCGATCAGCAACAAATCCCACATGCTCTTTATTTCGTCTAAAGTTATTTCGACAGTAAGGGTGCAGGTGAAGTCAGGTATATAACCTGAGGATTGCCCTGGTGAATGCCCAGAATTAGAGTTGATGATTTTTTTCCGTAATAGGCCATAGTAGAAGGGATAATTAGAAAATGAAAACAATGATGCCCCAAGGAACTAATGAAGGATAGCTGCTAATGATTATTCCTCAAGGGACAAAGAGACAGCATGTTAGTACCACTGTATATCCCGATTTAGGCGCTCATGTGGGGAGAAGGTGACAAAATATTACTTATTTCTTGGCATTCTCATTTACATTGGAGATATAGCAGATGGTATTATAAAAAATAGGCGATGTATGAAATCTCCTAGTTGTACAAGACTAGTGGGCATGCTGGCAGCAACAGAGGATTTTCAAAGGTGATTGTAAAGTCTTATGGTTCGCATCAGATAGAGTTTTTTAGCCATCTGGCACGAGAAGAGAAGCTTGATGTTCTAACAAAACAATAGCTCTGCATAGAGGGTGGTTATTACTCTTGTCAAACACGAGAGAGCAGGCAATGACCTTTTGAAATGAGGACAGATAATATACCACGGTCTAGATGTTTGCTCAGCACAGAGTTTTGAAATAGACTTTGAAGGTGCTGTCTAGAGGCTTTTCAGACAACATTGGACATACATATATATATCATTGTTTCATTTTAACACTTGACGAATACCTGGATTTATATAGTCAAAAAAACAAGCTCAATGAAAAATTGTTCAGACTATCATCATCTCCGACAATAATTTTAGTCAATAACTTCAATCAGTCGTCCTAAATAAGCTCAGAATATCTTTTCAGATCTGAGATTACATACCACAGAGTTCAACATTTATATCCATACTTGATACTCGGATCTTCTGTTACCATATTTTTGGGTTACTAAAAACGGGCCACAAGAACGATATTAAGTACGAAGGTTCATCGAACTACCAACAAATCTTCCCGTCCAAATGGCATTCATCCCCAATGACAGAATCACATAACACGTTCCTGACAATTTGCAGAGTACAATAACAAAATCCAAAATATTTGGAACAAACTTCTATGGGATAACTGTACGAGTAGATGTAACATCTCAACATGCAGTACAAGACATAAAGGACTGATGAAAAAAGAAGTCACTAAAGCACGGAATAAAAGGTAGCATCAGCAAATAGATTTAAGAAAACGAACCTGAATTGGCATCTCAACTGTTGCCTTCGGGGTTGTGGACTGATCCCTAGCCGGTTCAGCACCTTCCAGCAACTGATTCATACACAAGACTCAAAAATGAATGGCTATAGAAATATAAATACAAAAGGAAAAGGAAATGTCTCAAACAACCTACAGCTTTTGTAACACTGTAAAGATATACTATCCAACATAGAGGCAAAGATTCAGGGTGCCCGTTTACATGTATTCGGTCTCTTCTTCGTATTCGTAAAGCTATATACATTACCCAGGATTTCTGATTTAGATAAAACCAGATAATAAATAGCCAACATATTGCTGCATTAAAGAAATGAGTAAAACGAAATAGACCTAATTCCTACATCACAGAACTCAGATTCTACTGGAACATAATAGAAAGATCAGAATTCAAAGGGAGGACATCGAACACTACCTTCTCAAAAAATCAAAATTAAAAAAACAACCTCCAGAATACTCTGGAGAGGGAAAGCCTGTGTAACCGTTAAGCTATGAATGCTGTAACTAGGTCACAAAAGCTCGCCAAGATGTCAGAAAGTTAGCAGGTGAAAAAAATCAGGGTGTTAATCCAATATATCAATCATATTTCTGGAGCACAATTGTCAGAGCATAAAAAAAGAATACTCTGGCTGGACTACAGAAAGGTAAAACTAAAAATATTCTGGATAAAAAAATAGCTGTTGTCTGATCATAGAAGAAATAGTGCAGCTAAACCAATTATACTGCAGAATAGCACAAGAAAAAGAAAAATATATAATTTAATGTGTCCTTCTACGGAAAAAAAATGATAGGGAGGGATACTGAGAAGAAGGCTGACAGGAAGAAAAGTCCAGGAGTATGGAGAGAAGGAACCAAAAGTTTCAGCCATATTCCCTCACTAGATAGAGGTGAGATGGAGTTTGAGCAGTAGCAATTAAAGAACATCATGTTCGCTTATAGTAAACTTATGTAGTCTTTTTTACCCTAAGTTTGAGGAAAATGAAATTATTAATTGATTCCATGGTCAGTAATACGGTTACAAACAAGTCAAAGAACTACTAACAAAATTCGGCAGTATAATAGATAAATGAGGATCACAGTGTAATACCCGGGGAATATTACGCTTGAGGGAGTGAAACTTCCCAACAAAAGCATCCAAAATCCTTCCCTGACAAATAAAAGATGAAAAAGAAATGAAAGAACTTCAGCATCTACTGATTCAAAAAATATAACCCCCTCATTAATTTATGCGTAAATAATAGCAATATCCCAGGATCAACTAGCTGTTAAGAAATCAAGAGCATTCCTCGAAAATATAAAGCAATTGCCAAAGATTTGTCTGCATTAAAACATTTCAAATCGGCGCTCTACCAAAATGTGTTTTCAACACACTTTAGCGTAAGCAGTTATTCCACAGAAAACAATGAATACTTTAACGAGTAAATCCAGCCATTAAAGGTCCACTAGGCATATTAGGGAAACCCTAGGACCAAACCAGTAAGATCCGAGCTTCATCCATAGTTGGCTGGTCAACACCTTTCTCGTAGATTGGCTCCACCTTAAACAATATAGAAAAAATCATCATTATATATTTGTAATTCTGAAATAAGCAATTGCCAATATTTTGTTCCTCTCAAAAACGCACCAAATTCAACAGCAGTCGAGCACATGTGGTACGGATAGAAAGGTTCAAGGATGAATCATGCAAACTCCTTGAAAACAAGTAAACCACTCGTGACAGCTGCAATGTGACCCGAATTCCGTCAGGAAAACAAGAGAGAAAGAAAGTGCTCCAGCAATTATCAAAACGATTAAGGACCAGCTGGATGTTAGAGAGCTAAGCAGATGAAAATATTAGGGTACATAAAACAAAAATTGTGAAAGCACACTAATCAATGCTTTCTGGTTTTGTAACTGTCTTTTAATCTAGCTTGATGTAAAAAACCTAGGCAGATAAACATCAGCAAACATAGAATATAATTTAACAAAAGCACAATATTCAAAATTAAGAGAAGAAATAATACACGGTGGAAAATTAGTACCAATGTCAAGAATCGTGATGGTACGTGCTTGGGCCTACTGGTATGTACAAAATTTGGTGACGAAGTTCAACTTCCTTGTTAGGAAGCTAGAAAACACGGCATGATCGTTGAAGCACATATTAAAACGAGAACGATCAAACTCTTAAAACCAAAAAAAAAAAACCCTGTGCCTAGAAGACCAGATTCTACCCACATAATGAAACATCATTCCCCTATTTCGCATTATAAAAGAAAGAAAACTCTTAGTAAGTAGCTCTCATCCATAGATATGTGATTGTTTCGTTACCTCCCCAAAGCATCAAAAAGTCACCAAAGTATGAGTGCTCTCTCTCTCTCTCTCTCTCTCTCTCTCTCTCTCTCTCTCACACACACACACACACACACACTCTCTTACACATTATTTCCAATAGTACTCCTTCTTGGAAAGAGTATCCTTCCAATGCACTTTCACGTCTCTCATTGACCATTTTCTCTTCGTCGAGCGATCCTGGTTATAACAAAGCATCAAGGCCTTCAAATTACTCCCAAATCATATCTATTTTGTTCAGCATGAACCATTATATTAGCCCCCGTCCCCAATGATTCAGGATCAGGATATGTGGCTGTCCAAGGAGACCACCCACTAATCTGGATCATGCCCGAGACCATTATAACCCCTAACTCAATAATCTACAGAGCATCCCTCCCTGATGGGTAGCAGGAAAAACAACCACTTTGAGATATATCAAGCGGATCAAATCCCTGATCGTCTCCATTCCCCTCGCACTTCCTTTACCCATTTGGAATAGAGATCCAAATACATCTTTGCTACCAAGTGCTCCCATTCACACCATTGTACAAGATCCGAGATGCAAGCCATCTTATATACACACCATTGTTCATAAACCTAACAGCTATCAACAAGAGGGAAATGCACCGAAAATCTTGAAACCACGTCCGTGAAGATTCGTCAAACTTGGTCTCTATCTAAATATTTTACTTATCTCCTGTGTTATAAGCACTGTCTTGTTCAGGCAGCTCTCCAAGTCATGACTCAGTATCACGCATTTGGAACATCTTCGTTTGAGATTTGACTGGCCAGCTTTCGCCTGCAAACACCAAAAAGAACTTGATGTGCACCAGATCCAGGAGATGCCAGCTGAGAAACCCCTGGGAGGTACTGCAGAGCCCACCAGAAACTGACTAACATCCTTGCGGCCCCCTTAAGAAGCCATGTGTTCACTTATCAACGGGTATTCAACGATACAAGTCAACTTTCAAAAAGAGTTGTTTTCCCCCTTTTTTAACAAATCTTCATCCCTCCTTGAATTAACTCTCGTATAGCAGTTTTTCTCCCCTTGAGAAGCAGTGTGCATTGTCACATTCGTATTTCTGACATCTGTAATTGGAATACTAACTACAATGAAAAATAAGGAGGAAATGATATTTCTGATCTTTCTTTGCTCATCAACAATAACTAACTCGATGCATAGTTAGTGTAGTGATGCGTTGTTTTCTCTTAGATGCACATGAGTGTGACGTCCTTGAAGAGTCATGTACCATAGGAACCTGAGTTTCAGCCACAGAGCTCTACATACACTACACTAAATAGTATCTATTATGTTTCAAGGTGGTTTCTATAACAAAACATTTTAAACATAAACGAAACCCCACAATCAAAGATATTAATTCTATTAAAAAAATTGCCCAACAAAAGGTTTCCAACTCATAACAGAATTTAGGCCATAAAAAAGAAATCAACAGCAGATTTTGTTTACTCAGCTTCCATAGAAAACCCATTGATTACCTCCTTCTGTGGTTCAGAACTATATGTTTTTCTAATAGCAAGTACTTACAATCAACAAAAAGGGCACGAAATAAGAGTTATCATTTCTCACATTTTCTCAAAGTATCGCTTCCCACTTTCAAACTTTGATATAAACAGCACATTTACGTCATATAAATTTCTTGTAGAAGTAGAAGAATATGAAGAAAAAAAAATGTGTATCTTTCCATCCTAAATGAAAACCCTCCCCAACAGAGTCAAGGCATTTTTCTTTTTCTATTTTTTTAAATGGAACCTGCACATTTTTCTTAAGAAATAAACTTGAAATTGCTTGTCACTTTCTATGTCCAGAGACCTATAACTAGCATGACATGTAAGTCGTTCCTAGAATACAAGAAAAGTCACTCTTATTCATTCCAATTAAAAAATTAAATAGAAACCGGTTTCGGAAAAATAAGCCCATGGAACAAGCCTTCAAAAACCAGCAGCAGAGAAGTCAAAGTTCAGCCACTTTCATTTATTACAACAAAATTGTTGAGTATTAACGACAATAGATCTCAACAAAATAAGAAGATGCCGGAAAAACAACAAGAACAAGAACCAGAAAAAAAAAATTGAGGAAAATTTAAACCTGCGTTAGAGATAAGTCCCCCCGAACATGATGGACAATCTCAGCAAGAAGACTGTAGGCTAAAGGTTTTGATGATTCTGCACATGTACGTCCAGTCCCCACCAGAACCCTGGTTACCAAGGAATAAAAAAAATGAAAATGTTGGCTAACATCAGAAATAAGTTGACAAGTTTTTAAAATATTAGCATCGTAAAATATGTGAAAAATTATACAGAAGAAGATAGAAAAAATCAACTACAACTCAGAACAGTGAATACAGAGTAAAACATAAGGGAAAACGTGGCACTTTCCAAAACAAAACAAAAAACTCATTAAAACAGGTCCCTTTGTGTTTCTAGATCATGATAACCGGTACAAGATGAACTATATTACATTTAGGTTGGAAAAAATCTTCTGAAAGAGAATTTTAACTCAAAAAAATAAATTTTATGGGAAACATATATTTAGGAAAATCTTCATGCGCAATAGAGAATATGCCAAAGCAGCTTTCATTTATCAGAGTCTCTCATTCTTGTCTAAGTTGTAAGAGAAAAAGGCTATCAACGGTAAGGTTTCAGTAGATAATGATTTGACACAATAATGCAGATGAAAATAGAATCAGCCAGAAGGGGTATAATTTATTTATTGAAACAAAGAATTTTAATAGGTACTTAACTGCATATAGAGGCTTTTTTATGCATATACCAAAAGTACCATTTTATGTGAAACACAGCAAGTTAAATTTGTCAAAAAATTGCTAAACTAAAATAAAATTTTGATGAAAATGATGTAACATATGAGAACCAAGAAACTACACACCAAGAGGAATAAAGACCATATCTCTTTCACATTCTCTTACATCAAGAAGAGAGTAACACTAACAGGTGGCAAGACTATTTCATTAAATGGCGAAGTGACACATGGTCCAGTTTCCCACAGCAGCAGTTCTATCAAGATTGTATGAGACAACCAAAGGACCCAACGTCTCATCCACTAGAAAAACGCATCAGTCGCAATGCAATAAAGAAGCAACATCTGAAGTGCTCCAAGTTCCAGCACCAGACAACCCCAGAATCCCCAGAGCTCCACTAAATCCTCAAGCTTCAAACAAGTTAGTCACTCGCACCTCAGCCACATGGGGGTCTTACATGCTATGCAGTTATTTATAATGGCTACATATTAGATTTCCTCCATCTTGTTCAGAATATAGTAACGGTGATATACTCTGCTTCGACCAGTCATTTTCTGCTGTGATGGGCCTTTCCGTCATCCACATTAAAATGTACAACCATTGGATGAACTTCCATCGCAGGCATTTTTTATGTTATCATCCGTGCAACATTAGCAAACCCCAAAGTTATTTTCGTGGATGGAACAAAAAAACCTAAACATCAGTTTCATAGAATATGGGATTATACAAGTGTGCCGCAATGTCTCTTCAAAATCATGGATCTGATGTGGCATAAGTTCAATGGAATCCATGAACTGAAGTTTCCATTAGTCATAACTGAAACTATATATTACACATTTTTATGGTGTAAACAATGACGTCTAATCTTTCATAAGGTAACCTAACCAAAGTATTATCAAAAACGAAATCACGTCACAGATTCATCTTGAAAACTCCAGGCTACAATGTGGACAAGTACATTTAGAATTTCTCATTAATGTCCAGTAACTCAAAAATGTACAGGATAAATTATAATTTATTTTTATTATATTTATGCTAAAGTTTGAGGAGCAAATTCAATTACACGTCTCTGTCAACGTTTGTCAAGCAGTTGCCAGTTTGTGCATGGCTTTCTCAAATAGGGCCTATCTTCTAGGCAACGTTCAATTTTTTTCATATCTGACTGACGTCTGTGAGGAATAGAAACAAGGATAATCAAGAGAACAGTACCTCTCTTCCAATAGTGTGTCTATTAAGGGAAATAGACCCCTCTTGAATTCTGTTCCCAGAACATGTTTTAAAGCTATCAACAATTCCTGCACGCATAACAAAAAGTTCCAAGTTCAATTTAAGCACCCAATAATCGAATTGATAGATAGAGGAAGGAAATAATCACTCAAAAAAGCAACAGATGATGCTCAGGGCTCCATATTCCCCATACTCCACCTTTCTAATAGAAATTGAGTCAGGACACGTAACAAGCAAATTGACAATGCTCTTGCAGATGCTCTCTTCGTGCGGCTTTATGTAATCAGCACAACTCTTTAGCAAGTATGTCAAGAAAGAAAGTGTCTGAAAAAGAAATTAATGTTCAGTGTCGTCCACTTAACCATGACGAGTAATAGAAATGATGAAGACAACATAGTACATGGAAAACTGACGATTGCAATAATTTAATATACACACACCTTAACCTGCGCTCCTTTCAAATCCACGAATTGGTTCTTGAGGTGAGAAGGAACCTTCTCAGGTCCTGAGACAGATATTGCAGCAACCATTCGAGGCAGGAGGTAGGGTATGTTAGTCTGCACCAGTTTTGAGTACAGTTGGAAGAGGAACATAACAACAAGGGGGCTCTCTGTAACGATCTTGAAAGACCGTGTGCTAGGGTTAAGCTGTCCTGCGCCGATATATGGCACGACAGACACACCAGGAACATCCAGTCCAACATTCCCCTCGTCACCGCCCACTGAAATTGATGAACCAGTGATAGACCCACTACCACCACTCGGTGGCATGCCTGAGTTGCCATCGACACCTACAGAAGAGTTGCTGAAGAAAAAGGACACAGTGGAAGGGAAATTGAGGTAGATAGCCCCAACAAAGTCTAGGAACGGCTGGACCTCAGCCTCAAGAGTGGGCCGAAAGTTACGGAGAAGATCAAAGATGATGCGGATAGCGACGAGGGCATTGTCCTCGTTATCCTGCGTGAGGACCTGGAGGGAGACCTTGAGGAGGTCCTGGACAAAGGGGCGAAGAACCTCGCTGTGAGGGAGTCTGTTGAGGATATCCACCACCACATTTCTTAGCTTGTGCTCCACATTCTCCGTCATCTGAGGCTTGGTCGTCTGCGTCAGAATCATCGAGAACGCTCTGAAGTAGCACTTGAGAAAGTTCAGGTACTCCGACGTGTGCGCGATCTCCAGGCTGTCCCGCACCTCCACGGCCAGCTGCAACCTAGTCTGCAAAGCTGCATACAAGACACAACAAGGATCACAACCGCTGGTGGGGAAGAAGACCACACAACAATCACCACGGATGCTTACGCAGGTCAGGCTCCATCAGCCGGTGAGCATGCTGCTCGTAGTTGAGTATCCCCATCTCGGAAGCCCTAGAGCCCTCTAGGGCTCCTGAAGAGGAGCTAATTTCGCCAACCCTGGCTCTCCGGTCGATCTCCTCTGCAACTACTGAGAGAGAACTCGACAGGCTTTTCTACGTGCCTCCTTACTGGGATCGCGCTCCCCTCGTTAGAAAAATGCCGGGCAGCTCTCTGGGCGCCATTGCAGACCTTCGTCTCTCTTCTCCAGAAAGGGTTCTTGGAAAGCATTCCGATAAATACGGAGTCCAATGGGCCTTATTAGCCCATTTCCCTCTCCCCATTCTTTGGGCTTTGATGTGTACTCATTGTGGACCTAAAATTACGGCCCAAATAAGGAATCGGCCCATATTTGAGACCAGGCTTATTTCAGAAAGCATTCTCGGAAAGCATTTCGAGAAAAACAATGGCGGAGTCCAGTGGGCCTTGTTGACCCATTCCCCTCTCCCCAGTATTTGGGCTTGATATGCACTCTTTATGGGCCTAAATTTCTGGCCCAAATGAGGAATCAGCCCATAGTCGAGCGAAGTTTCACCGGGCTTCTAGAAAGCATTCTTGGAAAGCATTCTATTAAAAACAATAATGGACTCCAGTGGGCCTGGTTGGCCCAATCCTCCTCCCCAGTATTGGGCTTCATATGTACTCCATCTGGACCTAAAATGTAGGGCCCATATGGGGATTGGCCCATATAGAATTTTCTTTGGGCTTTCTTGAGCCCCGTCGCTACAGTCACTCGCGTACGGGGATCCGAGGTCTAACTATGGCAGGCGGTAAGATAACACGAGGTGATGGCAATACTTTTCCTTCCGGTTTCCTCTTCCCCAACGTTACTGAGCTTGATCTCTACTCATCATGGGCCTACAATATTGGCCCAATAAAAGGATCAGCCCAACTTCGAGATAAGTTTCTTTGGGCCCTCTTCCACCTCCGCTACAGTCACCCTCCCCCCCCGTGGTCCGACGTGTGAATGCGGCTGGCGATAAGCTGACCCAAAGTGAGTTGCTTTTTCCTTCGGGCTTCGTCTTCCCCAACGTGCTAATTAGCCTGGCAGCTGACCGTTTTGCCTTATTCTGCGATCTCCGTAGTTTCCACGTTGCCACCTGTTCTCTCTGCTCCGCTTTCAGGCTCTCTCATGGCGGTCCTGAGCCGCCTGCTGAGAGCTTCAGCTTTGACGGCTTCGTGTTCTCTCTACGCGGCGACGGTGCGGCGGCGGGGGCTGTCGCTCGTAGCCTCCGAGGGGGACCTGCGGTTGCCGTCGTCGGCGCATCTGAGTCCCCTGGGGACGCGGAAGAATCTGACGGGGAGGAACGTGCAGTGGGCCTTCCTGGGGTGCCCCGGCGTGGGGAAAGGCACCTACGCCAGTCGTCTGTCGCAGCTGCTCGGCGTGCCCCACATCGCCACCGGAGATCTCGTCCGAGAGGAGCTCAGCTCCTCTGGCCCCCTTGCAGATCAAGTGATTCCTCATTCCCCTGTCTAATTCCACATTCTTCGCGGTTGGAGTGCGTTTTCCTTTCAACTCGGTCTCCTTCGGCTCCTCTTTGGCTTCATCGTGTTCCTTGCTGTTATCATGGGTAACTTTGAAATCCTCTTGCACACGATGCTTCAAGAGTCTTGTGATCGACCATCAGTGTCCACCGAGCATGACTCATCCAAGAGGGCATCGGATCCTGCAACCCTAAGCATTTTTGGGACAGAGGTAGGATCCTGTCACCTTAAACATCTAACGAGGAGTCGACTCTGGGATCAGGTAAAGTCAAAAAACAACGATCCAACTGCTGCCAAAAGGCCTTGTAAGATAGTGGTAATTCAGCGCCGACTAGAAGAACTGAAACATGAACTACATAGCCAAACTCTCAGGAATCCAAATAGTTGAAAAATATGTTGCGGCTGGTCAACCATGCTTTGACTTATTTGGTAAATCCACAGTGGGGTGTGTCTAGATGCTTGACTGCCCTTTTCAAACAATCTAGTTGTTTCTTCCATTACCTTCCTGCGTTTGAAACCCTTTCTTGGTTTCTTTGGTGTCTGCCATGCAGTTCTAAAAATCTTCCAAGCTTCAAAACAGTTTCCCCTATGATTAGGAGAATAAATGTTATATAGTTTTCTATTTTCAATCTTCGGTGCACCACATCAACGCAGGCAACATTTTTATTTTGATTCTCTGCATGTTCGCTTCGTCTAACATGATTTCCCGCTTCAATACTTGCATCAATGTTACTCGTTGGATGCCATATCTTCCTTTTCCGTCACATTCCTTTGCTTCCTGTACAAATAAGTTTCAAACAGCTGAAGATGTTACTGATATTGGCCTCCCTCTGTATTCATTCTCACATGTAAAAAAAGCTAGATGATATTTAAAATGCTATTAAAAAAAAAACTTATTATGAATCATAAATACACAAGAGAACCAGAAGAAAAAAAACTCTTAATATCCAATTTTAAAAAAAGAATTAATTCATAGACCCCAATCCTTCATAGTGTGCAAGGATTATCATCTGGTTGTTATTTATTCATTCCTTACTTTCTTAAAGTTTCTCTGCAAATCAATGCAGCATAGTCGCATGGGTTCCAGTGTTTCCCATAGTTGTCGCTTTGCTTGTTCGGAAAGAAGATGTTTGCAGCCTACGAGAGCTGATTTGACCGCATATTTTGTAATCCTTTCTCCATGTCAACGAATCATCGTTTTCTTGGACTGATGGAGGCTCCTGGTCAACCAGCATCAATGTGTCTCATTTGTCCTTGTTGCCGTCATGGAAGGCCCAGGAGTAAAGCTACTCAGGCATTTCAGTTATTCCAATAGAGGCAGATTATTCTCTCAAATATAACGAATTTCCTCTCCTCCGTTTCCCACATCAAAATCTTCTACTTCTGCTACTACTTCTCTCTCACTCTTCTCTTCATGAATTTATTTATTTTTTGTCTATTTCCCCCCTCCTCTAGCATCTTCTTCCTCCTTTTTTCGTTCATTTCCTCCTACTTTACTGTTCCTGTTCTGTTCTCACCCCATCTTCCATGGAGTGTTCTTTATTCTTCCAATTCTTCCCTATTCTGTCCTTCGGCCCTTTTTCTTTCCACCTCCTCAGTTGAACTCGGCTTCCCCCTTTTGTTTCATCCTTTGTTGTTCTTCTCCATGATGATATATAAGTTAAGCATGAGACAAAACCTTCGTTGCTGTGTTGGGAATAGGAGTTGACCTTTCTTCAAAAGAGTCGAGCTTATTGGAATCATACGCATGGGAAATCGTTTGGAAAGATGGCGATAACATGTTGCTCCCTCATGACCATTGCACAGGGACACATCCTCTGAATATATACACCATGTATCATCCCACTCTATCTCTAGTTTTCAGTTGGGTACTTTGCATAACTGAAGACTCAGGCGATTGGATCCAGTAAATGAAATCTGAGTATGATGATATCTGTTGTATTGACTTACGGAAGCCCAATGGCAGGAACTTGGTCAACGGCCCTGGGGCTTGACCACAGTGCAGATGACCGTTCCTATTGGCTGTTATATTTTCTTCATTACTAGATTCGACATCTCCTTGGGCTTCTTGTGCTGCTACCTCTGAGAACTCAGAAAAAAAAAAAGGTAAGATCATGTTGAATACTGCTGCTGCATGAAGCAGTGGCCATTTCCATTCATGGCAAGGTCAATAGCAGGAAGAAGGGATCCAGGGTTTTATGACTTCTTTTTATTATTATTATTCATAAGTCTTAGCTTGTTATGGTTCTTGTATGGTTGCATTCATTCTGTGTCCCAGATTGATATCCATTTTTCTCCTTGCAGTGAACATAGCATGATTATTCTTCTTTCTTTCCTCCTCTCTAGCCATGAATGTATCATGTATGAGTTCCTTTTAGAACACTCTTGGCCGCGCTTTCTCTCTCTTGAATGATGAAGGTTGATGTTGCTTCCTGTAACATGCCTTAGAAGTCTCGCTGATGCTAGCTGGTGTGTCTTTCTCCACATCCCTCGTTATCTTTCAGCTCAGAGGAATCGTGAACCAAGGCAAACTGGTTTCTGATGAAATCATAGTAGACTTACTATCCAAGAGGGTCGAAAAGGGGGAGGCAAAGGGCGAATCAGGCTTCATTCTTGACGGATTTCCTCGTACTCTGAGACAGGCGGTGAGCAACTGAAGCCTAGACAGTAATAAATGAAAAGCATAATTACTTGGAAGGACCCATAATTTTTTCTATCTCCATGAACTGACAGGAAATACTAGAAAGAGTGACAGATGTAGACTTGGTGATCAACCTGAAGCTCCGGGAAGATGTGCTGCTTGAGAAGTGCTTGGGAAGACGGATATGCAGCCAGTGCGGCGGAAACTTCAACATTGCATGTATTGATATCAAGGGGGAAGATGGAAAGCCCGGGATATATATGGCTCCTCTCCTCCCGCCTGAAGGCTGTGCATCGAAGCTCGTCACCAGATCGGATGACACCGAAGAAGTAGTGAAAGAACGCCTCCGCATTTATAATGAAATGGTAAGATCTGTCGCCCTCTCTGGTTCAGTTTTCTGGGCTTCTCTGGTCATATCCAGCCAAGAACACTTCCAGATCCAGTAACTTTCTGAATTGCCCACAAGAGTCCCTCACAAGGAGCAATCTGGGCTCTCTTTCTTGGGAGGGCTGACCCGCTGTCACCACTGCCATCAGGCTTTAACACTCCCACGTATCTCATGCTCCATATCAGAGAAATCGCATGAATGGGAGGAGATTATCACTAGGTATGTGGTCAATAGAAACCCTCACAAGCTTTGGCCGTCTCTGCAGACCCAGCCAGTGGAGGACTTCTACCGCAAGCGGGGGAAGCTGCTGGAGTTTGAGCTGCCGGGGGGGATCCCGGAATCATGGCCAAAGCTGTTGCACGCTCTCCACCTCGACGGCCTCAACCGCGAGCAGTCCCTGGCAGCATAAAAAGAGGGGAACACTTGAGGTTAGTGGCTGTATATATTTTTGGTGTCCACAGTCATGGCTCGAGAGCATTCTTTCAAGTAAGAACTCAATATTTGGTCAGGATTCTCACTCTTGGGCGATGTCAATTACCTGGAAATTGATGTAATAGTGGCTTGATGTTGTATACGAATGGGGTGTATCTAGTAATTTTTTTCTAAAAAAGGGTGGTGTGGAAGCTTCTTCCCTCCTCATCTTGGTCAGGGTGTTTCCTTTTCTGGTAAAACTGGCCGCAAAAGGATATGCTTCTTCTACCCCTCCTGCATCACGGTTTAAACCCTAAACCCAGAGCAGCAGTCAGTGGAAATCTTCCCGTGCCCATGGCCTCCTAGGGTTTTTAGGAGGGCTTTTTCTTCTGTGAATGGGCCCAGCCCGAGGCCCATTGGCAACCCAATAGATTTCAGCATCCACCCCCTCAGCTGGAACTGGTTCTTCTTCCACAGGCCCAGATTTCTTAGAAAAATAATGCATCAGAATAGAACAAATAAGAGTATGTTACCAGTTGACTAATTTACAGGATATGTGGCTGTGGGCAGCACGGGAGACTGAAAAAAGGTAAACATTGAAGCTCTCCAGAAATTTTGCAATGAGCCCATCTGCAGCATGAAGATGGAGCATGTAGACAGCCAGAGGAGAAGAGGGCGGCTTCAACAGTATTCGTAGTAGTCTGAGCCGTGTAGGATCACAAAATGGTCGTCGTGGATGTTCTTCAAGAGATCTTCGCTGGCTCTCCAAATGTACCAAGATATTGAAGCTGAAAGAACAGACGAGCGTATTTAGAAAGGCCCAGATCAGGGAGGTTAGAATAATATGGTATTCGATGATGGAACTAACAAGATGGTTGACTATTACACCGAGATAGAAGTCACAAGTTCATGAATTTTCCCTGCTAAATGTGGTAACATCCTGGGTTTCACTCGTTATGATCCACTGGGTGAGCCCATAAACAGGGAGCAAGCATATCACAACTATCGGATACCAGATGGATGCCAATTAGCTCAAGGAACAACCGACCAGTAATGGCGTTTGATGAATTATGATTTGATTCTAGTCTTGTATTGATGAGCAAAAATCCTCAGATTGATAGAGTCTATTATACATGATTCATGGTTCCTTTTTATGTTCACCAGACAGCTAGTAGAAGCACGAATATTTATCCAACCATCTCACAACAATTGAAGAGCAATATGAAGGAACACACACAAGAGAGATGAGGTGCGGGTGTTAGTTAAATTATAGCCTAAGTTTCCACAGAAGTTGAACCGTTTATATTGAAAGTTTGGCAGTGGCTGATCTTATTCGAGTAATCTTGTTCAGTCCATTTTACCTGCCGCTGGATTCGCTTCCGGTTCCCTTGAGCTGTGCAACAAGACTGTCCCCGACAGAACTGTGATGAAACCGCAGAGTTCTGAGGCTATGCTGCTAATATCTTGGCTGGACCAGTCCTGGAGGAGCATTATTAAGAAAGGATGATGGCGAGACTCAATGGGCAACAGTAGGTTTGAGCTCTATCGTAAAATAGATTGCGTACCTTGAACATTATAGCACTTGCGATTATTGTCAACGTTGTGAACATAACATAATAAATTGGAGAGACAATAGCTGTGTTGAAGGAATCCAGTGCCTGGAGAACAGAAGCCAAGAGTGCTTTCAGAGTGGTCCCACAGAAAACTTATGGCCTTGATTTTACGAAAAACGTCCGTCAAGATAATAACTTTGATACAAAAATGTTGCAGCAGAAATATTGCTAAGAGGAAAATAAAATACAAGAATATCAAATCTTTCACGAAAGGAATACTGGTGAAATAATCACCATTTGTGTAGAATATCAAGAAATAACTTCGGTATTCTGCAGCATGAGATTCTGAAAATCTGGAGATCGGCTCCTCTTAAGATTACGATGCAGTCGAGGATGTATTTACGTTAAAGATCACTAAGCATGTAATCAAGAAAAAAAAATCATATTTTTAAAGGCAATTATGAATGTGAAGGATGCAGAAGCAAGTTATAGTAATCATTCTAACCAAACGGGTTGGCTGATCATGTACCAGCAAAGCACATAATCGTACAAAATTTGAAAGATGTTGGGAGTTTAAAAGAGTAAATATGGCATATTCGATATTTTTACCATGCTAATAATGAAAATTTTCATGATCATATACTCCTAAGGGTGCATGTTAAAGCAAAAGAAGTGCACGAATGTATGGTCTTGTGTATGCCTCATTAGTTTTCAGGTCTGAAGTCAACCAACATAAAAATCCCATCACTGATCGTTATTCTGTTTGACATTATGAGTTTTCTCTTTCATGAGAAGTATGCATTTATACCAAACCATTGAAGAGAAGTAATGTTCAAATATTGTACTAAAATGTCTCACAACAATTGCACTTCAATTAGGCATGCAAAAATATCAAGTAGATTTCATGTCATGGGGCAATCTTATACATACTAAACGATCATGGAGATATAATATGGATTTTGTATGCTGGAAATCGCCTATATACGATCATCATATGAGTCATCTCCTATAAGTCATCATCCAACTATATGCCATTTCGTATGACACATAAGTTACGTACACAGAAAAAATCGGGTATTCACATACAGTCGATGATCATGGGACTCAATGCAAAACCCCTTTATTTCAAGAGCAAACCCACCTCTGAGGGTTGCCACGTAGAGCACAGAGCATAATTGTGGAACACAATCATACTTCGATTTTGTAAAAAACATAGCTAGTAGTGGAAATCGATCATGATGATCATAGATAACACCACGTAAAAATCAAATTATGCTCATACGACTGAGACATTACTTAACCAGGAAATGACTGGCTCCTCCATCAAAAGAACACATAATTACTTTGGGGATGCCAAAATAAAATTCAAACGGCAAGATTAGTTGCATCACAGCAGGATTTACCGACCTTGTTAAGGTAATTTAGTTGAGTGAATACACAGATTACAGCAACTGACGCAAAAAGCCAGGTTTGAGGGTAAGCTGCTTGATTGATTCCCTCTAATGTTAGCTTTATGGCAATCCCAATGGCTTTTATACTAACCACCTACACAAGGACGATGAGTAGCATTTAGCACTCAACAATAATCTACTTTGAGAGCTTAAAGCCCTAATAAGTAAAAGTAGCATGAAGTTACCGTCAATGATCCCATCAGAGAGCAGATGCCCAGATAAACCAATATGTTCGACTGCCCATACCGAGGCTCAAAATGCAGCACCAGGATACAAACAATTGATATGGTAACAGTAGCATAGGCTAAGAATGCTGGGGATAGAAAAACGAAATCGTTAGCTAACTTTTAATTAAATTATGAAAAAAATCTGACACAGCTTAAAAATAAGATCAGTCAACGTTTATATGCATATACCAGGCTCCGTCGCAAGCATCCAGATTTCATCAATAGAACTTGGGGAACGCTCCTGAGGTGCATGGAGTACAATCACCACTGAACCAACTATGCACGATATACACCCTAGAACACCCAATTTCTGCAACCGCTCCCCCAGCAAAAAGTGTGCTAACACAGCACTGCCAGGTTTAGAAAGAATGGTGCATGTAAATAATACTCAACAAGATAATCCTTCCTCCTCAACAGAAATACTATACTGTACCTGACTATGATACTCAATGCACCAAGAGGAGTCACCAGAACTGCTGGAGCAAAAACATAAGCTACAAAATTCGCGATCTCCCCAACAAGCACTGTTTACCATCGTACAAGGTTCAGTCCAAAGTAGATGCTTTGAGAACTGAATTAAGGAAATCATGAAAATTTGGTTAATTTGCTCAAACAATGTCCTTACTTGACAACATTCCGGCCCACCATAGTGGCTCCAATAAATAGTCATAACCACCAAATCCTGTCAAAGGAAAGACAGGGTGAACACTTCAAGATGCAGTTTGAAAAGGTAAAAAGGTTATCTAAGCAAGCATGAAATGATTTGAGTGCCGAGTTGGTATTATTCCATGCTCCACATATACGCGTGAAACTTACTGTAAGAACAACTGCTATAAACAAAATATTTGTATAAAAAGAGACGTTCCTCCCTAACTCCAATATCCAAAATAATACTAGAAGATAAATAGGAATTCTGTGTTGCCTAAATTTTTCCTTCGTTTCTGAAAATGAACTAGGTTCATGAAGTTCAATATTACCCAATGAATATATGTGAGCACCAGGGCCGTATAATTCACGTGACCAATCAGCACTAGAGTGAAGCTACCAACAGATAGGGAGAACAATAGAACGCATAATTGCCGACGAGATCGAGGATTCTGTCCCACCTGCGCGCGTGCCAGAAGCCCCGGCGCGCTTGAGCCCCTTCTTCTTTAGAATGAAGCTGACACCGATGAAGGCGCTGGAGAGCACCGCGAGGGCGAGGCCTCTTGTGTTGTCTGAGACCGTCATCTGGCAAGCGCCGATCCCTCTCCCTCCCTCTGTTCCAGCCCCGACGGCGGATCCACGATTACACCGATGGGTAAATCACAGAGAACATCAAAATCGAGGGCGCTGAAAACTCCAAAATCTCCCCGGCGATCTCAGAGAATTCAAATTCTCCCGCCAGATGATTCGAATCCCTTCAAAGGAAAAAGCAACCCTCAGCGGAGAGCGGCAGCGGGGCCAGCCGGGGAATGGTGCCGGCTGTCGCCTTCCTCCAGTTACTGCTGCCAGCTCGGTCTTTCTGATGGAGAGCCAGAGAGAAAGAGAGAGAAAGAAACAGAGAGAGAGAGAGAGGGAGAGCTGATCTGTAGGGGCGGATTGTCTGGTACGGGAAAAGCCCAATCAGGATCTTCCACGCATCGATTCCAGCTCAGCACTTCAGCGTTGTCTTATATCCATTACACATCTTCCGTCTCTACCTGCCCAAGTTAAAATGTATAAATATTTAATATTATTTTCCTTTTCTCCAAGCTCAACGGCCCCCGCCAAGCCACGTGTCAGATCGCTAGATCGACCGCCCAATCCCGATCCCGTGGCTGAGCCTCGAACCGTTATCAAAACCTATAAAACTATATAAAATATAGTATATCCGTCATTAATTTATTATTCCAGGAATAAATAAAATACTTTTACGACGAAAATTAGAGAGAGAGAGAGAGAGAGAGAGATTCATTATTTATAATGGGCCTGGCCCATTAACATGAGAGAGGTACGTCACCTGTGAACGGGCCCATCTGTGCCAAGAAAGAGCTACGGAGAGAGGGACAGACAGAAAGCGATTTCTGAAAATCAGTAATATCAGATTCCAAGTCGTGAGATTTGCCGTCCACCGATCGTAGATCTCAATTACGCCATATTATCCAATTATAATTCTCGGGGATGAAAAAAGTATATAAATAAAAAAATATTCTGTAAATAGTAGTAGATGTCGGATAGTATATTATTTTTCGTCTATGATTGAACCATTGTTTAATTAATTATATTCGCGAGTTCGTGCGAAGCGACTTTCACATTTCCCAAAAGCAAGGCTCCTATGGGCCTATTTTCCGCGTGCTGCCACGTGGCAGAATTGTTTAGGTATCGCGGGAGACCCTTACTGACAGGACCGTTAACGGCATGTGTGTTGGCTTTGTTTAATTACGTAAAAACCCACGTTTAAAAGGTCTTGGACGCCCCAGGGTACAGATTTCTACGGGCGTGAGGCATTTCTGATAAATATGAGGTTTATTGAGCTTTTTACCCAGTCTTATAACTTCAAAGTGGGGTAGAATGAAAATTTCAAAATTAGTGGTGTATATTATAAATAGCCGATATGAGGGGCAGGGGCAGAGGGATTTGGTTACACGCCGTAAAACCAGTTAGTTAGGGACAGGACGTCTTCAGCCGTCCCCTTCACCAACGGCTCTCGCCACCGGCGCCGGACAGGAAGAAGAAGGACGGCGGAGGAGGCATGATCCCTCCGCCATTGCCGCTGCCGTCGAGCATCACCGCCGCAATGCAACCTGCCCCGTCTGGATCGGAGGTGTCCGACGAGAAGCGTTAAGGCTCGAGCGTCCTCTGGCTCGTCTGCGTCGACATCAACGATAGCGTCGTCAAATTTCCAGGATCTGGATCGAGGCGGCACATGTTTATTGGCATTGCTCCGGTGATAGATCGGTCGAGGATATGTGAATCTTCGTAAGAGTGGATTCCAGATGAGAAGGGTGGGATGGTAGAAAGGAGGTAGATCGGGGGATCGTTAAGGTAAGGAAGGGAGAAGATCGAGGAAGGGAGGTGGGATTTATGGCTGACGGGGTGAAGCAGATTCTGCAGGCGCCGATCCAATTGGCAGACCAGGTGACCAAGCTAGCGGATGACGTCCACTCGTCCTTCAGGGCCGACTGCGCAGAGCTCAAGTCCAAGACGGACCGGCTGGCGGCCCTACTCCGCCAGGCCGCCCGCGCTGACCTCTATGAGCGCCCCACTCGCCGGATCATGGACGACACAGAGCAGGTCCTCGAGAAGGCCCTCTCCCTCGTGTGTAAGTGCCGTGCAGCCCACGGCCTCGTAAAGCGCGTCTTCACCATCATACCCGCTGCAGCCTTCAAGAAGATGTCCTCCCAGCTGGAGAACTCCATCGGGGATGTGTCCTGGTTGCTCCGAGTGTCCGCCACCCGCAGACGCAGTAGCAGCGGCGGCGGCGACGACGACGACGACGACGACGGTTACCTTGGACTCCCCCCGATCGCCTCCAACGAGCCGATTCTCTGCCTGATTTGGGAGCAGATCGCGAAACTCCACAACGGCTCCCTCGAGGACCGCGCCGACGCCGCGGCGTCCCTCGTGTCCCTCGCCCGTGACAATGATCGGTACGGCAAGCTCATCATCGAGGAGGGCGGCATTGGTCCTCTCCTCAAGCTGGTCAAGGAAGGGCGAGCAGAGGGCCAAGAGAGCGCCGCCCGGGCCATCGGCCTCCTGGGCCGCGATCCAGAGAGTGTGGACCAGATGCTCCACGCAGGCGTCTGCACTGTCTTTGCGAAGGTGCTCAAGGAAGGGCCTATGAATGTTCAGGCCATGGTGGCCTGGGCCGTCGCCGAACTTGCCGTCGGCAATCCCAAATGCCAGGACCTCTTCGCCCAGAATAACGTCATCCGCCTGCTCGTCAGCCACCTCGCCTTCGAGACCGTCCAGGAGCACAGCAAGTACGCCATCCCTTCCAAGGCTAAAATGTCCATCCACTCCGTGGTCCTGGCCAACAACACCAGCGGCGGCGCTAATGGCAATGGCGTCCACCACGACGGCAACAACGCTGCCACCGACGACGAGAAGCATCCGGAAATTAGGCATCCGATTGGGAGCAACGGCCACACCAACAAGAACCAGATGCACACCCTCGTCCAGTCCACCATGGGCAGGTCCTCGTCCGAATCGCACCCGGTTGTCAATGGCGGGAACGTCTCCAAGCAGCATCAGCGTCAAAGCCAGCAGCAGATATCTCTGTCGGGGGCGAGTCTGAAAGGGAGAGAGTTTGAGGACCCGGCTACCAAGGCCACCATGAAGGCGATGGCGGCCAAGGCGCTGTGGCTGCTGGCCAAGGGCAACCCGGCTATTTGCAGGAGCATCACCGAGTCCAAGGCCCTCCTCTGTTTCGCGGTCCTCCTGGAGAAAGGCCCCGACGAGGTGCAATACAACTCCGCCATGGCGCTGATGGAGATAGCCAGAGTAGCAGAGAAAGACGCCGACCTTCGGCGATCGGCGTTCAAGCCCAACTCCCCCGCCTGTAAAGCGGTGGTTGATCAAATCCTCAGGGTCGTCGAGAAGGCCGACTCCCAGGACCTCCTCCTTCCCTGTATCACTGCCATCGGTTGCCTATCGAGGACCTTCCGAGCCACGGAGACCCGAGTGATCGCCCCTCTGGTTCGCCTCCTCGACGAGAAGGAAGAGCACGTCTCCAGGGAAGCCGTCATCGCCCTCACCAAGTTCGCCTGCTCGGAGAACTACCTCCATGTGGACCATTCCAAGGCCATCATCGCCGGCGGCGGCGCCGGGCACCTCGTCCAGCTTGTGTATCTAGGCGAGGAACCCGCCCTCCAGATCGACTCCCTTGTTCTGCTCTGCTACATCGCCCACCACGTCCCCGACGATGAGGCCCTCTCCCACGCGGAGGCCCTCACTGTGCTCGAGTGGGCCTCCAAGCAGGGTTTCATGGTGCAGGACCAGGCCGTGGACAAGCTGCTCGCGGAGGCCAAGGCCCGACTGGAGCTCTACCAGTCCAGAGGTTCCAGAGGATTCCCTTGATCCATCGCCTCCCTCCGAGGTAACTACACTCGTCTCCTAATTTAATCGATTATACCCCAGGAATTTCATCGTCTCTTCCTCTCCTCATCTTCGTCTTCTGCTTCTTCTTCTTCTTCTTCTTTATTTATGTAGATATCTTCGTCTATAAATGCAAGGACGTACGTGCTCCTGGCGATCTTCTCTGCCACCGAGAAATCCCTTCTCCTCTTCTCACCGTTAGAGGAGCAACATGTCGGAGAATCTGCTCTTTCTCTCTCTCTCTCTCTCAGATCGGGTGGAGTTGCCGGCGGCATGGAAGTAGTGATGAGGACCGAAGGGCATCATTCCATGCATGTCAAGGTCACTTTGCCTTTTCCTCCCTTGGTTAAAGCGCTTCCTGGTGTTAGCATCAATTAGCTTAGGTTTCTTCAACGAAATGTATGAACACAAAAATGAGAGAGTCATTGATCATCGGCCAAGTAAGAGGAAATTAAACGCTAAAAATACCTTTTTTTTTGTTATTAAATTTTTTTTATGGTAGACGTTTTGGAAGAATAGAAATCATACATCAATTCTACCTTGCATGAAATCTTCAGTCCATGAGTTCTTCAATAATAACTTTGAAGAACCTTTAATCTATACAATGTTAAAGGATAAGCTCTAGAGATAATAAAAAAATATTATCATTTCTCACCTCATAATGTTACAATTATTTTTTCTCCCAAAAAAATAGAGCAACCAGCAGAAAAAAAATATATAAAAAAAGAGTTTCTATCAACCACATTAAAATATGAAGTTATGGTGGTTTCTATTGATAAATCAATAACATAATTATTCACATTCATTTTTTTTAAAAAAATAAGCAAAATATTTCTTCATCTTCAACTTGTAATAACTATCAATTGGAAATCTTTCATTTCACATGTGCCCTGAGTCATATATTTCAAAAAGTTTCTACTATTTTGTTCTAACATGTTGATGCTTTCTAATTATTGAAAGCATAAAAAAAGATTCTAGTTCATATTTCAATGAATTCCTTTGGCATAATATGTCCTATTATTATCTATGATGTTTGTCCCTAAATGTTTTAGCAAACAAGTCAAATCTATTTTTTAAAATTAAATAATAAAAAATGAAAAAGGAGATTGATTTGTAGAGAGATTAGATATACAATGGTCTATGAATTCTACTTGAGTTAATGCCATATCTCACTATTTTGGCTTATTTCTTAAAATGTAATGAATCAAATTGTCAAGTTTAAATCAAATATGCTATGATTAATATGCCAAAAATTTTAAAATAAAAATATATACTAATACAATATTATAAAATGGGGAACCCAAAGTAAGTGAACCACATTCCTAAAAAGTCTAATTGAATTGCATTAATTTATTTTATTATAATCAGAGAATCAAAATGTCTGCCATATTTGACCATAGTTTGGTGAAGACATATTTGGCATATTTGTAGATGATTTTCTATCTTTCCTTTAATTGATGGCAATAATGGTGTTCTTCGACTAATTATTGTGTCTCATCACACCACAAATGTTTTCCTAGTTTATCATCATGAAATTCTCAAACATACATTTCACATTACATAGTTAGAGTAAGACAACTGATTTTCATGAAATAATATTCTTTATTGCATAGAAAATCGCCCAATTAATTGATCCATTATGCATACTTCCCATACTTGTGCAAAATATTCATCAATTAGTTTATTCTCATAAAAATATACTCATGCTTATTGCATTTTGTAATGTATTTAGTTTGCTTAATTTAATGTTCATGCTAAAATGGAATAATTGAATAATGACACTTGTCTAAGTTTGGATTATAACAATACTTATATGAATCTTAATAGATTTGAATGATTAATGATTATTAAATTATAAAAATTATTGTTAAATAAGGTAGTGCTCTAAAGCTCTAAGCACTTCATAAAGGTAAAATTCATATGTGATCAACTTTTAACAAGATCAATATGTTTTTATTTATAGCAAGTTACAAGAGACATTCTTCAAATAACAACTACTACTTTGATGAATAGATGTATTGCATTATATGTCAAATAGCTTTTTAAAAATTTAGTAGTATAAAAATGAGAGAGCAAAGCATAAGTTCTTGAGAATAAGATTAAAACTCATATTTGCTTATTCTCCATAATTAAAATTTTATTTTTCATACATTTAAGTTATCAATCTTATGAACTAAAATTTCTAATAAAAATGTCGTAAAAAGATGTCAGTCTTAGGAAACCACACATTGTCTGTTGTTCTCAAGCATAGGTGATTCTTTGGAACTCAAACCTTTTCCTAGTCAACTTTTCTCATTTGTATTAGTTTAAAAAGTCATATATGATTTAATTTATAATAAAACTCTTTTGACCTCTTTCAAGCATAAAATATATGTTTATATATTATCATAAATGGTTATATTACTAAAATAAGCAACAATAAACTAGTTTAATTGCCTAATTTATCACTCTTATAAATGCGGTAGGAGCATCAAAACAAAACAATTAGCATCACCAAGCATTCATAAAGTTCTCTTATTAAAAAAATTAATTTCCATATGTCACTATATGTATTATATTTAATGATCAGTAATCTTTAAATCAATATTGACAAAAACTTTTGAGCATGCCAAGTATATCATTATGGTGTAAGATGGGGAATTTATGTTTCACAATAATCTTATTAATATCAGAATTTTATGTCGACATTTGTCAGCTATCATATTTTTTGATTCATATTCTTTATGATTACTCTTTTCGCTATCATCCCTTTCATGTATTATTGCAAAATTGACTTTTAATCTTGCTCACAATATTTGTAATATAATAATTTTTTTGACAAACCTTGCTCAATATATTTTTATGGCATTATATCTTTAATGATACATTTCAAGTGTCATTGTGTATGTTACATCAACATGTTTCCCTTTTTATTATGGAAAATGTTGAATATTACTAGAAATTTCAAGATCTGGGCCTTGCCTTCTCAACTATAGGTAGCCTATTTTAGTTGAAAAAAAGGTTTTAATATATCATATTTTATTTTAGACTATTTTCTATTTTTGTACCCTCATTTATTCGAAAGAGAAAACACCAGATCTTTGTCAACTAGTCAAAAAATTATTCAATGCTCAAGTCATTTTCAGACACAAGTGTTTTGAATCTTTCTCTTCTGGCCTTACCTCTCATGCTTGTGGGATACAAGTAAATAATGATTATCTACGCCCATAATTTTTTCATTGCCTACGTGGAAGATGCCAAAATAGCACAAAATTTTCAACGATATACCAATGAACGAATATATTTAAATTTATCATTTTTTTCGGGTTAGGATGTAATTTTGCCGGAGAGAAGAGACGGTCAAACGTGGCAGGGAGGGCTCTAATGGCCTGGCCAAGCCTATAATGGGCCCATGTTTTCCCATTATTGGGCTTTGAAATTATCTCGCCGCCCAATGAATGGGCTCGCTTTTCTTCGCGTCACCAGAAGCTTCCAAGATACGAAATACTTTCAAGTCTCTCTCAGTTTTTCTAATCGTCTGTCGGTTTCAGAGAGTTAATGGCGGGGCCCACAGAGAATGGGGCCCACCGAAAAGTATCTAATAATACTCGGTGCGGCCGATTTATATATTAATCGTGGCGCGTTCGGTCAGCCTCGGTCGGTGATTTTGCGGCGCCGTCCCTCTTTTAGCCTTGAAATTATGTTTATATCCATGTTGGGATTAAAAAATACTTACGCGTCCCTTTTATGTTGGCTGGCTTATGGGGAATGTGGGGCCCACAAAGCCACACATAAACGACAATAGTTCAAAAGCCACCGCAGATCGAGCGGCACGTGCGAGATCTCCATCAGCCCTTCGAGGTCGCCGCCGGCGACCTGGACTTGCGGGCGGCGTGGATCTTGGCGTAGAGCTTCCTGGTGCGGAAGGCGAGCAGCACGTCGAGGGCGAAGCCGAGAAGGCAGGCGACCCCCATGATGATGAACACGAGGCGGTAACAGTGCGCTCCCACGCACGTGTGTCCGGCAGCGCCGCCGCCGGACTTGGCGACCTCTGCGTCGTAGAGGATTCCGGCGAGCAGGCCGGAGAAGAGGAAGGAGCCCAGCGGGAGGTTGAGGATGAGGATGTTGTAGATGAGGCCGTAGTACTTGAGCCCGAACAACTCCGACGCCGTCGGCACCGTCACCGCCAACCTGACGCCGTAGCAGAGCCCCACCACCACCGAGCCCACGAACAGCGAACCCGGCAGCGCCGCCGCCATGACGGCGTACCCCACCGCCATCAGCACCTGCGACGCCGCGTTCCACACTGGCCTCGGCGTCGCCGCCTTCCTGCAACCACAACAGCAGTAGCAGCGACGGCTTTATTCATCTTGCACCGACGAGGACGACGGCGGCGCAGCCAGTAGAGGAGGAATGAGGAGGAGGGTTTTTACCGGAGGAAGAATTCGGAGATGGAGCCGGAGCCAATGCGGCCGAAGAAGCCCCAGATGCTAGTCATGGAGACGAAGATGGAGACGTCGGCGTAGCCCATGGCGAGCCCGATCTGCCCCATGTTGTTCATCACCGCCAGCCCCGTGCCCACGCCGCATAGGAAGGAGACGAAGAGCAGCCAAAAGTCCGGCGACTGCACCGCCTCCATGATCGTGTGCTCCTCTCCGATCACCGGCCGGAGGCCGGCGACGGCGGGCTTCGCCGCTTTCTCGCCGGCGGCGGCCACCGTCTCTCCGCTCAGCAGCGGCGTGTTCACCGTCGCCGCCTCCTCCTCCACATCTTCACGAAGAGGAGTGGGGTTGATTTGTTTGGTCCAGATGTAAAATGGGACTCCCAGCGGCACCGCCAGGAGGACGACCAGCACCGCCGCGAAGGCGCCGGATAGGAGGCGGCCGTGGCGCCCGGAGAGGTCGAAGACCAGCAGGTACACGGCGATGACCACCGCGATGCCATTGAAGATGGAGAAGAAGAGGGTCTCCTGCTCGTCGTCCTCCTCCGTGGCGGCCCCCGGCTCCTCGCGGAGGAAGACCATGGCGGCGACGCAGATGACGGCGGGGACGACGGAGAGCATGAGCAGGAAGGAGGAGGGGCTGCTGGAGAAGAGCGCCGTGCAGAGATCGGTGAAGATGGCGGTGCTCAGGCCCACGTAACCCTTGAGAATCCCTGAAACCGGTCCCCTATTCTTCCTGAAGTTGCGGATGCAGGTGACCAGCACCGCCGTGTTCATCCAGGTGGTGCTGTTCCCCCCCATGCAGAGGAAGACGCACATCTACACCATGAAAAAAACGCAGAGATCATTCATCAATGACCTGCAGGTGCTCGAAGAAATGCCCCGAAAGAGAGAGAGGGAGGAGGGAGAGTTTACCTGCCAATAGGGGAGAGGGGTGATGGATTGCCGGACGACGAGCCACTGGACGCCATAGCCGAGAAGGCCCTCGATGGAGCCGATGAGGAGGATGAAGTGGGTGGGGATGCGATCGGAGGCGAGGCCCGCGAGTAATCCGAAGGCCTTGCCCACGTCCTTGGCCACGGAGAGATTGTTGAGCTCCACCTGCGTAAGCCCCATGAGCGACTTGAGCGCGTCCGAGTAGTTGGAGAAGGTATAGTTGTTCCCGGAGATGCACTGCACCCACACCGCCGTCACGAATCCCAGCCACTTCCCCGCCGTCGCCGCCCCTTTCCGCCGCCGCCCCATCTCCTCCTCCCCCCCTCTCTCTCTAACTTTCTCTCTCTACTGTGAAATGAATCAATAAATCGGCAGTCGAGACCGCTGGGAGACGACAAGGGGGAAGAGGGCGATGAGGAAGAAGGGCGAGGGGGGGAGGATCGGCCCGGGAAAAGATCAAGGAAGCAACCTCATTCGCCCCCACCGGGTCGTCTTACCTGCAGGAGAGAGAGAGATAGAGAGAGAGAGAGAGAGAGGGGGAGAGAGTCACGATCGTCGTGACTATTCTTCCAGCTGAGTCAGATTCCAAAGGAATCGACCAGCGCCGATGTAAGTTGATGCTGTTCCCCACGTGTCCGTCTGCCGAGCGGCGAACGACATTTTTGCAAATAAGTACTTCCGAAGTTCTATATTTTATTTATGCACGAAAACATGCAGTATCATCCAAGTCCTGTTCCCCTCTGTCGGCTTGCTTGTCGCCCATTAATTTGTCACATATGGCAAATCAGTATTTGTCACGTTTCACATCGAACGCGTGGAAGTTGCCGTCCAACTACGGCTGACCGTCTGGATAGGGATCTGTCGAGATCGGACGTATCTCGTCCGCTGATGGATTTGGTCGGCCCCACGCGGACAAGTCCTTTAAATCGGCCCACATGAATACAGGCCCATCTGCAGTACTGGACGGCAGGGGCAGTCCCATTTGGGCACTCAGACAAGGCCATGGGCACGAGCAGTGGGGACATACGGCCCGATTAAGACTATGGGCCCAACTTCCGTACTCCATGGCCCATTAGGACCTTTTCTTGTCCACTACTCTTGCCCGCCAGTTGACTCTTTAGGGTCTCCGAGTCACTTGGGACTCACAGTACGGGAATATATATATATATATATATAAACTGATAAATCTGAAAAATGCATGATTTTCCTTTTTCCTTTAATATGACGTCATCTACTAGGCGTAGGTCGTCTAAGCCACGTGTCGACCTTTGGAGACTCCACGTCAGTACATGAGCGGCAAGGCCGCTGGGGCCCATATCTTTTATGACAGCTGGCCGGCGTCTCTTTGTTTTATGATAAGATGATATTATCTGGATAATTAAGATAAATACCAAATTACCCTGACATGCTTAGTAAAAATATGCAATGATTTTTGCAATAATGTTAAAAACGGAGGACATGAAAATAATTTCAGGGATCATCTTCTTCCTCTTCTGTCTCTTGTGCAAGCCATCTTCCCTTCAGATTTCGCACCGGCCAAATCGGTTGGAACCTCTGGCGGCAGGAAGGAATGGACGGCGGAGAGAGCAGCGGCGACGGCGGCAAGCCGTCGACCATTGACGAACTTTCTTCCCGGAGCTCATCTTCGGGTCCTCCCCTCACCCAGCCCCTTCTCTTCAAGCCATCGCCGTCTCCAGATTTCGCCTCAATCGAAGAGTACACAGCAACACATCCGTCATTTGTCCCTCCGGAAGAAGATTCCGTCCAGTATCCCCCAATCTCCTTCCAGGAAGGTCCCCGGCCCTTCCGAGACCTTTCCTTCCTCATTCTCTTCCTCCTCTTCTCCGTCGCCACTATCGCTCTCGGAATCTGCGCGGTCGCGCTCCGCAATCCCAATTTCTCTCGCGTTTCTTCCTTCTCCTTCGATTCCAATTCATCTTCCTGCGTCCTGTCCGGCTCTTCCTCCTCCGAAGTTTCATCTCCATGGATCCCCCGTCTGGATTCGTCCCTCTACTCTTCTTCCTCCCTGGTGAAGGACCTCGTGTGGACCCTCGTGATCACCTTCATCCTCAGCATCCCCATCCTCTTTCTCCTCCTATGGATTCTTAAGCACTATGCCAAACAAATTGTGTACGGTTCCCTCCCGTTCTTTGTGCTCATCCCGACCTTCCTCAACGTGTACTGGTTCGTCGCCTGCACACTGGGGAGCACCTGCAAGGAATTCCTCCCTCTGGCCTCCCGCATCCTTGTGCTTGTCTTCATTTTTCTCCTGATTGGGGTAGTCGTGTGGATTATTGTTGCGAATTGGCATCGCATCGAGCTGACGAGCAGAATCGTCGGCGTTGCCGCCCATGCATTGTCGAATAACCTGGAGCTTTTGGCGGTGCTTCCATCCTTGAGCTTGGGGCTCGTTATTTACTATGTGCCACTGGTGATTTTCTTGGTGTTCGCCCGGCAGAATGGAAAGATTGTGGCTAGGAGTTCAAGTGAAGGGTATTATTGCACGTGGAAGCAGCACAGCTGGGTGCCGGCATATTTTACTCTGGGAATCCTCACAATGCTATGGTCATTGACGGTAATGGTAGAGACTCAAGTGTATGTCGTCAGCGGAACAGTCGCGCAGTGGTATTTCTCCAGGGAGGGTAAGAGACCTCGCAGGATCATAAGGAGTTCTTTAAGGTAACGGATAATTGAAATTGAACAACCAGATTGATTTTCTTCAGTATCTTAGATGTGACTGCTACTTATCCACTTCGATCTTATTGATTGCGGGTTCTATTCTATAACTTATCAAATCCTGCCACTGAAGAATTAATTTGAAGCTATGCACAGAAAGGGGGTTGTCTGCTGGCTTGGCGAAAAAAACCCCACCTCTATGTGTGATCATATACCTTGAATTCTCAACTGCACAGTATCGATGTGTGATCATTGTCTAGTTGTATTGCCATTTTTTTGTGAAATTCGTCCGGAAATTCAAGCTTTTTCTGTAAGTTTTGCCGTTCCTATTGTCTCAAAATCTTTGTTTACTCTTTTTCTGCCCCTGTAAAGTTTCATTCCATTGCATGTCGTTTTTAGGATTTCAATTGAATGCGAAGGATGGTTAGTCGTCCACAGTCTCATTTTGAGCTCCGTGGTGAAAAATGAGGAATTTTTCTCATTGGGTAATACAAAAAGACTGCAGAATTATCTACACTGATGATGTTTTGTTCATGCATATAAGATTTCGGTTGCTAAGTGTCATAATGCGAAGCATCCTAAATTCTTCCTTCATATTACAAGTCCATTCGACACATATTACATAGATGGGTCTCTTCTCAACGTTTAGGTTACTAAACAGAGGACATTAAATGAAATTTTGATGGTTAGCTGCTGGCATGGTTTTACGAAAATTAAGCCTGGTGCAACTTTCCTGAAAAAAGCGTGTATTCTTGAAGATGAATGCTTAGAAGAAGACATCTCATCGTAAATGAAATTGTGATGGCCCCAGGATCAGGAGCAAGCTGAAAAAATAACATAACTTGTCTCCTAGAAGAATTGGTGCGAATTTCCTTTTATTTTAAAAAAGAAGCGTATTCTCAAAGGCGGATGGTTAGAAGACAGCATCTCATTGCAATAAAATTGTGAATACCTTAGGACCAGGATTATGTTGACAATCTCCAAAGCCAGATGAAATCATGTACTTGATAGAAATTGGGGGTAATATAGTCCCTAGGTAAAGGCTAGCCCATCCAACTTTTGACGCAGATATAAATGAAGAATACTGAAATTTTACGGATTCGTTGCGAAAATTGTTCTGGATGAAATTATAAAATCTTTTTTAGGTTGAGACTGAATATTCGTGAATGCCGTCTACTCCTTCGAAAATGAGTAGATAAACTTACATCTATCCTTTCTTCTGCTCTTTTCCATTACTTATCTGCTTTGCCATGCAATTTTAGTCTTTAATTGAAGTTTCTGCAGAAATGCCTTTGGCCCGTCGTCCGGTACTGTGTGCTTTTCGGGTTTGATAATGAGTGGTATACGTGTAGTCCGTGCCATTGTTGATAGCGCCAATCTAGAGGATGGGACTCGTGGGATCGTGAACGTTATGCTCAAGTGTTGTGCGAACCTACTTCTCTCTGCGATCCATTTTGTCAACAAGTTCACAATAAATTTTGCCGCAATAACTGGCGAAGGGTACTGTTCATCAGCAAGGATGGCTTATGAACTCCTGAAACGCAATCTTCTTTCTGCTGTTTTTGTCGAGACTGTCTCCACGCGCATCCTGGTCGGCATTAATTTTGTTCTTTCAGCGGTATATGCCATACTGGTGAGTACGTTCTTTTTAAGCTTCGGCAATTGCTCTAATCTGCACTTATCTGATTTTTTATTTTTTTATTTTTTGCTGTCGAAAAATATGTGGAAAATATTTCCACTACTCCATTATCCTCGATTTTTGGAGGAATTATGAATGTGAGTTTAAGTCTATCTGCTAGATTCCTGCTGATCATCTCGGCATCCAATCGCTCGATGGATGTGACAATCCTGCATAATTTAGTTTAGATTTTCAAAAAGAACTGAAGGGTCATCAGATTCCATCTATTGCTACTTGGCTGCATGAAAGATTAATTACCCCAATAATGTCTACGGCCGTGGTTTACATTCTAATGTATGATCATATTCTCATGATTTTCTCCGGGATTGGAGAGAACCTAAATTCGCTTAGCTGCATGAATGTACTCTGTATGATGTATTTTCTTAATCCTGGATGCTATTTATTTGGTATTCTTATTGAAGTGTATAAACTAAGAGCATGAACCCGGCAACGGGATGATATTTTTTCTTCGAATATACATTTATATTTACACACACACATTTATCTATATATATATATAGTTCTTATGAGGCAAATGAAATAAATAATTCTGTTTCTGTTCATGGATTACTTGCATTTTCTATTTTATCCACCAAAGTAAATTATTTTATCCCATTTTCTTCAAACCCACAAGCACCTAGACTTGTTCTTACTCCCATCTGGCTCGGAACGCCCAAAAAGGGATTCAGACAGATCTAAACAGTTCTCCTGTGGTGGTTGGTTGCAGGTGTGGGTGATTCTGAGGTCCGTCAGCTCCCTCGGCATGGCCTCGTACCTGGTGGCGGCTTCTTCGTGGCTGCTTCTAATGGCGGTTCTGGGCTTCCTGGTTCATGTCCTGGATGAGGTCATCGACACTGTTTACGTCTGCTTCGCCATTGACAGAGACAAAGGGGAGGTGTCCAAGCAGGAAGTCCATGCGGTCTACGTCCTCCTCCCAATCAGTCGGAACGACCGGCCCTCCCTCGCTGCTAGGACCCCCCCCCTTCTTGCTTGACTGCTCTCCCTTGTACAGTCTCAGCCCCCCCCTCCCCCCACCCTCTCTGGAGAAAGAGAGGAGAGAGAATCTCTAGAGAGAGAGAGAGAGAGAGAGAGAGTTGAGCTCTGACTTGTGATGTGCTTGATCATGAATAAAGTAAAGTGAATGGAATTTATTGCTAAACAAAAGTCCCTATGATTTTTTTTTAATTTTAATAAACGGTGGTTTGTAAGAAACTGGTGAAGGGTATTTGTTTCAAATTATTATAAACGTCTGGAATAATTATAAAGTTTGCATTTTTGAATGGGTAAATTGAGGATTACTACCTCGAAAAGTCTCTCATCCTGATTTTATAGGTGTCTGTTAAGCCATTTGTTTTATTTCAGGGCTGATTCCTAAAAGTTCAGATTTTGTGGGGTTATTTCAAAGTATTCCTGCCATGGACACCGTTGTTTTAAGGATGAATCTTTTCGTTGAGCGGGCCGGGCCCACCGAAGCGAGTCTCCTACTCATTGAACGCGTGTACCGCGCTTTAGACAGTCATCTCAGAGGTCCATATCGGTTTTGCGACTCGCTGGGTCGCGACCCGAGTGTTGTGTCCGACATTAGTCCGTGCCGATCCGGCTCCTGAACTCAAAACCGTTGCGACAAGAAAGGGACCGTTCTTCCATTTGCTCTGAAGGAACCCTCTCCCTGATCGGTGCTGCTCTCCTCGGGGCGATTTCTGCTTCTTTGGATCTTCTCTGCCTTCTAGCAAGTCAAGATGGTTCTCGAGGTGCTGTGCTGTGCTGTGATTGCTATGTTCCTCAGTCAGAAAATTTTAATTCTTTTCTTTTTTGGTTCTAATCTTATCACTAGGGCTTCAGGTTCTCGAATCGCGTTTTTTCGGTAAATAGGGCTTTTAGATGACGACGTCGAGTTTGTTTCTCATAGCAGTCGACTATGATCTGCATCGATAATTCGGAATGGATGAGGAACGGTGATTATTCTCCCAGCCGTTTTCAGGCTCAGGCCGATGCGGTGAATCTCATCTGTGGTGCTAAGACCCAGGTAACAGGGGAGTTCTTTTATTCTTTTCTGAAGCTCTCATTCGGCAAGGCCTTGAGCATGTTCCGGGGACTTTGGTTCCTAGGGCTCTTTATTTTGCGTCGGTTCTTATGGAGGATATCCCGGGATCTGTGCAGTCGAATCCAGAGAACACCGTGGGCATTCTAACAATGGCCGGAAAGGGTGTGCGCGTGCTCGTCACTCCGACCACTGACCTTGGAAAGATCTTGGGTTGCATGCACGGTAAAATTTCATCCGATTTTTCGGTTTTGCGTGGTTTCTTTTTTGATCAGGAGTCAAGTATAATTTTTTCTGAAAACTCAGGTCATGTATTTTTTTCTTGGTATCTCCAACTCTGTACTGTATCGTACTAACAAGTGCTGTATTTTGCTCTGTTTTTTGTTTTTTTTCAATCCCCTCTTGAATCCCTAATTTTTCATTGCTTGATGGACTAGTTAGAATTTTGATACCATATTTCCATAACTATTTTTTTCTGCGCATAACAACTAAGATATGGGTTTTCTGTTCTGAATGTGTTGCATTATTTTCAACTTTATGATAAGTATGCAGACTGCGTAGTGTGTTTATTCATCATCGGCAGGCTGACATATTCTGTCCATTTGGTATGTATTTTCTGGTGGGATGTGAGTTGATTCCGACTTTCATTAGATTGCGAGCAAAAAAGACCAGAAAAAATTGACTGTGGTGGGGACAAAGGGGGGATCTCTTTTCGTAATGCCCTAATGTTTCATTCTGTTTTAATTTTTTATGATCCCAAAAGTGTCTGTATTTGTCATGTTACGGACATCCTTACCGAGAGGATATTATTTTTTATGCTCATTGTTTCGTTTTTCAGGGTTGGAAATTGGCGGAGAGATGAACATTACAGCTGGAATCCAGGTTGCCCAGTTAGCTCTCAAGCATCGACAAAACAAAAAACAACAGCAGAGGATAATAGTGTTCGCTGGAAGGTATTCTTTATGAGTCATATTTATGTTTATTGTCAATTGATTTTGATTAGTAATTGCGATTTCCTTATGTTCCAGCCCCGTAACATATGACAAGAAGGCATTGGAAGCAATTGGCAGAAAGTTAAAGAAAAACAGTGTAGCTCTTGACGTTGTTGATTTTGGTGATGAAGAGGATGGCAAAGCTGAAAAACTTGATGCCCTCATTGCTTCCGTAAACAATAACGAAAGCAGCCACATAGTTCATGTTCCTGCAGGAACAGATGCGCTGTCGGATGTGCTTATTAGGTTAGCAAAATGTTCATTTCCATGAAGTTCAATTCGTTAATACCTTTTTTGATTGTTGCTTTCATTTCTAACTGATATCCTGCATTCCTCCAGCACACCAATTTTCACTGGAGACGGGGAAGGTGGAAGTGGGTTCACTGCTGCTGCTGCTGCAGCGGGTGGCATGTCTGGTTTTGACTTCGGTGTGGATCCAAACTTGGACCCAGAGTTGGCCCTTGCACTTAGAATTTCAATGGAAGAGGAGAGGGCAAGACAAGAAGCGGCCGCCAAAAAGGCTACAGAGGATGCTTCCAAACAAGAAACTGATGGCAAACAAGCATCCAGCTCTCGTGATGTTGGAATGGCCGAAGCTGTTAGCAGTTCACATAATGATCTTGACAAAAAAGATGATCAAATGGTATGTCTTTCCTCGTGCGGATAGTTCATATTAGACTTCTCATTTCACGGTATTTGACTTTTGAGAAAAAAAAAGGCCATCATTGGGGTCTCTGTGTTTAGCTTTTAATACTCATTTTGTTATTTCAACATATATGTTGATGTAGAGCACCACTTCAGGAAACTAGAAAGGCCCAATTTTTATGATTCCAGTGGCCTGAGGACATTAAAAGTGAACTACCGATCTTTGAAAGTCTAAAACGACTTTGACCCCGATATTCAAGCAATTAGGCCGAAATCCGTGTGGATAATGCATCAGATTCTTAGGGCTAATAAGTTTTCCGCTTTCATTCACTTGTATATCGTTTTTTTAACTGGTCCGATTTTAAAGAGAGTTACAACAAATTTCGGCCTTCTTAATGGCCAGCACGTTGTAACCTCAAGGGGGAATCATAATATACTATCTTCGTTCTCTTTTTGAGATTTATCTTTGCATGTGGATTCGACCAGCCCTTGTGGATTCAAGGGGCATCATTTCTGATCCTTGTAGATTCAAGGGTTGTCCAAAGCAATCCTCGTAGACTCAAGGATTGAAGGGCTCATGCATTGTGAACTCAAGGTCCGATTTCCATTCTTCGCCTACTTTGCTGCGTCACATGTCAACCAAACATCGATTTGGTTTATTATGTTTCTGCTTCATGTTAGTGCAATTATGAATCCTATGCAGCATCATATAGGTTTTTTTACAGATATTTTATTCAATGATGGAAAATCATATGACAAGGATTTTTCTTATATTCATATGGTGACAGGATGATGAAACTTCGTTGCTACAGCAGGCTGTTGCAATGTCAATGGATAAGCTGGCGCCTGTTCCATCCAGCAGTACGGTTATAGCAGACGCTGACATGTCAGATGCAGTTGACCAAGATTTGGCATTGGGTACGTGGATTAAATCTATTCGAGCATTCCACTATTATTTATTCATAGCATTGGTCCTATTAGAAGCTTTATAATTCGAATTTTTATAATTCCGAAGTAAACTGGCATCATCAGCAACGATAAATGTCGTTGTGGAGGATTATCACCGTTGTTGTGGTGAATGTGGATTAACTAGATCCGCTTGCCTTCATCTCGATTTCTAAACGAAAGTAAAAGATACCCGGTTGAAAACTTGAGCGTTGAAAGGGAGTAATGTTTTGATTTTTACAATTGAAAACGTTTTAGACAAACCTGTTGCCTGGGAGAACCAAGTGGTATCTATGATTTCAATATGCTCTACTACTTTTGAACTTGAGCCAGTGGCCCAAGTCACGTGAAAATAGTGCTCTAGCAGGCAACGCCATCGTTTTGATGAGTTGTAGGACATTTATCTTGCTGTGGGTAAAATATTCAGTGTCTAAAATATATCGTTTTAGATGTCTGTGCTGGATAATGGCAGACATATGCCAGGTTCTTTAGAAACAGAATCGTTGTTCCGTGGTTGAATTTATGACATACTCTTACCTTATCCTTCTCAGCACTTCAAATGTCCATTGAAGATAGTGCGAAGGATTCATCAACGGACACGGAGGTGAACAAGGTCCTTGGAGATCAGTCTCTTATGTCTTCCATTCTTGCTTCGGTATGGTTTTCAGCCTAATCATCCAGAGTTTTGTATTCAATCAAGCTGGACACAGTGTTCCTTTCTGTTCTTTCTCTCTTAATCTTGTCTGCAGTTGTTCTGGGCTCACTAACCTGGAGTTCCGATACAGCTTCCAGGTGTCAATCCCGATGACCCTTCAGTGAAAGAATTGCTGGGATCCTTGCAAAGGCAGTCTGAGGTATTGAAATGGCACTTTCGAATGCTTTGACGTGCACGATATCCCCGGTGCAGTCTCTATATATATTACGTTGGTTTCTTTCATGGTATTGCTAAATTTGTGTAATCTGCTGCATCATTTTGTACAATCAGATTCAATGTAATCCAAGGTAAACCTAATTCCCGGAAGCTCAAAATGGATATGGCCAAGAACAGTAGTACAAGCCTCGTAATGATTGACACACTGCTATGTGATAGATTGCCCTGTTTCTAACAGCTGGGTCTGATTTTCTGCCGTGTTATTTTGTGCATAAATAATCTTCACCTCAGAATCTTGCTCAATATTCTGGAGTTGATTTTTATTTATAAAAAAGATCTTTGTTGGTGACGGTTGTCATTTATTTGAATCCCTCCGTATTATGGTCAATGATGTTTAGTCGTTGAAGACATTCCGACGACTTTTTTCCGCGGTCCCCTGACGGTCAACTTCTCCAACCTCAGGACAAGGAGAATGAAGATGAGAGCGGCAAAAAAGAGGAGAAGCAATGATGGTCCGCGGGGCTTCTCATGGTAAACAGCCTTCTGAATCTAGGGGCTCGTTTTTTTTTTTTTTTTTAATCTTTACGATTATTCAAAAATATCAAATTCCCCACTCTTTCTCGCTTTGAAATTAACACAAAAGTGTGCATATGGTGTCATTTATTTAGCATTTATTTCTAAAAAAAAGAATAATGTAGCATTTATTTATTTGAATAATTTCGGGTCTTAAGAGCCCAAAATCTCTCTCATCACGGCCCGTCTGTCTGTCTGTTTCTGTCTGTCTGTCGTGTTTTTTTTTGGGGCATTATTTCCCTTCACAAGTCGGTGAAGAGGATTGATCGAGCTGTTCTCGGTGTACTAACGTGACGAATCTCCTGACCAGGGCCGGATAATATCGTCCTCCGCCGCCGCCGTCGCCCCTGCCGCCGCTGCCGACGACGACGATCGGAAGACGGTGGGCCCGGCGATCCTCCGGTCAAAAGTTGGGCGTTTTCTTGCACTTGTTCCGACGTGTCGTCCTCCTCCCTCACGCTGTTGAACCGTCCTGGTATCGGTTGATCTCGGCCGCCAGTTTCAGATCCCCTGGTCGTCCTTGTGACGGGCACTTTTTTTGATTTATTTATTGAGGAGGCCATCTTCCTCTCTACGCAGGCAGTGAGTGACCCAACCTTTTGATTGTCCCTTCTGATCGTCTCGTCGTGACGGGTAAGAAAGCGGACGGACGCCACATGTCCCGACGGAACAAGCGCCACCCGAGAATCTAAATGGCCGGTTTTTTCTTCCCTTCGTCGGAGAGCCGCCGGCGGTTCCTGTTCTCCGGCGGGCCAATCTTTCTTCCGAAGAGTCAAGGGGGAAAAAGGGTTGACGACGATGTGAGGAGGTTGTCGGCCAATTCACGCACGCAAGAGATGAGGTCATTCGTTGGGCCTTTCCCTCCCTCTCTCTCTCTCTCTCTCTCTCTCGCTCTGTGTATATATGTATACAGAGTTTGCAGACGTAGTAGGCGTTACAGTTGAGAGAGAATCCATCTCCACAGCCGGCAGTCTCTTCTTGCAGGGAGAGGCCATCCTTCACCAGGAGACACCATGGCTATGGCTTTCAAGATGGTGAGATAGATAGATGGATAGAGAGAGGGAGAGGAGTTTTTAGAGGGAGAGAAAGGGAGATGACGAAGGGGGTTGGTTGTGTGTGCAGGCGACGACGGGGATGAAGGTGGAGGAGGAGTGCAAGAGGTGGTTCATGGAGATGAAGTGGAAGAGGGTGCACAGGTACGTGGTGTACAGGATCGATGAGAGGTCGAGGGCGGTGCTGGTGGACAAGATCGGCCCCCCCGGCGAGGGCTACGAGGGCCTCGCCGCCTCCCTCCCCTCCGACGACTGCCGCTACGCCGTCCTCGACTTCGACTTCCTCTCCGTCGACAACTGCCCCAAGAGCAAGATCTTCTTCATTGCATGGTTCTCTCTCTCTCTCTCTCACACACACACACACACAAACTCTAGCCGTCCCAACTCAAGCGAGTAAATCCTGCCAGACCCTTCCTCACTCTTCTTTGGATGAACGCAACGGCAACATCTGAGGGAGCCCCCACCCAAAGAAAGCGAACCCTCTCTCTCTCTCTCTCTCTCTTCTCTCTCGAGTATGACACAGGAGAGAGGTTTGTCCGCAGGGCGCCGCCGGCGTCGAGGATACGCGAGAGGATGCTGTACGCGACATCCAAGGAGGGGCTGAGGCGGGTGCTGGAGGGGGTCCACTACGACATGCAAGCCACCGACCCCGCCGAGATGGGCATCGACGTCATCAAGGACCGCGCCAAGTAGAAAGATGAAGATTCCGTCCGACCCCAGTTGATGAGAGAGAAACCCCCCTTCACCTTCACCTCCACCTCCACCTCCATTAATGGCGCAATGACCACCGCCTGCCTCTTCCTCCGTCGTATCGACCCACCTACGATACTATAATATAACATAATGTAGAATAGTAATCTTCCTCCTACTCTCTGTCGCTGCTTCTGGCCGGAGCTGGGAAGCCCGGACTGCGGCCATAATCAGAGTGATGTGCTTGTTTCCTGTGGGTCTCTCCACACTTTGATTTCTGCAAGTTTTGTCCTTGGATCAATGGCGTTTGATCTCTCTCTCTCTCTCTCTCTCTCTCTCTAATTTGTAGTGAGAGAACAGAGAAGCGGGGCGAAGAAACTCGGTGGGTCTCAGCTACCAGATGCTTCTCCTCAGCTTCCCTGCGGACAGCTCAGGCCCTCCGCAAGAACATGCACGAGCAGACTAAAAAGAACTTCATCAAGACTCGGCGAGTACGATCAGTCAGGAAAAGGAAGGTGATTCTCATTAACGTATACCCATAACAACCATCCACGTAATTAATTATCCTTCACCATGCATGAGTTGCTGTGTTAGAGTCTGCGAGATAGAGAGAGAGATGTACAGAACACGAAATTAAATCACCCCTATACTTACAATGGAGAGAGAGAGAGAGAGAGAGAGAGAGAGAGAGAGAGAGAGAGAGAGGAGAGAGGACGACTAGACTCCTCCCTTTTTGGCAGTCAAATCTCAAACTATACCTGGCCTTATTAACCGAGTTACCGCCCTCCACACATGGTGAAAGGCAGCATCCGCCTACGAGGCTGACCTGCAAAGCGTTGACTCCGACGAACTACCCGCCAGGTTTCCAGGTATTAAGAGGCCAACCCTAGTGAACCAAATTTAGGAAAAAAAATGATCCGATAGAGAGAAAGAGAGTGCGACACAGGGGAGAGAGAGAGAGAGAGAGAGAGAGAGAGAGAGAGAGAGAGAGAGAAGGGAAGAGAGAGAGACTACTGCCATGAGGTCGCTTGCTTGCACCCAAATGTGTAAGGCGGATCCCAGCCGCATTCTGGCTCCTTCCGTTTCAATACCATGCCCGACCCTGCAGGCATCTGGGAGGCAGACGCCACCCGGTCCTCCATAAACCCGCTGCTCCCCTGCATATGCTTGAAATTCCCAATGATCTCCCTGCCGCCACCGCCTTCGCCACCGTGAGCAGCGCCAGAATTCAGATCCAGGCCGGGCCTCGGGCCACCACCGCCGACCATGTTCAGCCCCGACGGGGGGCCGACCACACTCATGAAAAAAGGCGGCCTGCCACCGCTGCCGCCACTGCTGCCTCCGGTGGCACCGAGCCCTGGTGAGCTCAGTATCTGGGGCACGACGGCAGTGCCGCTTGAGTCCACCATGTAGGGGATGGAGCCAGGCCCATAAAAGGGCGGCAGGATGGACATGGCAGGCCCCATTTGAAGCCCGTGGTAGCTAAACCCATGCGGTGGCATAGGGGGGTATGGTGCCGATGCTCCTCTGGTGGCAGCCCCAGAGTCCAAGCAAAGCCCGCTGCTGCTCCCTGAGAAGGTGGCCCGTTGAGTCTGCTGGGCGGCGAGATCCCTCCTTTCGACCGCCATCCTCGAGCCCATGATCGTGACCGCCGCCGGATCCTCAAATTTGTTGTAGCCTCTGTAGGCGGCCGACTCCTTGGAAGTTGATATGCCGAGGCTGCTTGATCCGCATGCATCGAATGTCGACGGGTCATCATTGAGATCAAAATCCCTCAACGAGGGCTGCCTTGAAGAGGACGATGAGGCAGGGGACGTGCAGCGGTTGCCGTTCTGGTGGTGCTGGTGGTAGGGGGGCCTCCAGTAGGAGGCCTGGTTCGGGATGATATCCTCGTCCTCGCTGCGGTTAAGGTCCAGCTTCAGCCTGTCTGCTCGAGAGCTCATCTCCATGGAGGACTTGTCCGAAGGGATGCTGGAGGAGCGCCCATCTAGCAGGTTATTATTGACTGCAGAATCCTCATTGTCCTCACCATCTGCTATGTTCAAGTCGATCGTGAAGAAGGCGGCCTTCTGCTTCGGGCCTGACAGGGATCTCTCGCCATCCGGGGTTCTCCGAGGGGAGGCTGGTCGGAAGGCGCTGGTGGCGGCAGAGCCCCGCCAGCCCAGCTCCCCCTCAAAGTGTAGCGGGGTGACCGGTAAGGCCGCCGCCCCCTTTGGTGCCGCCACAGGGATCGGGGTGGACAAGTTGGTGGCCGGAGCTGCCGTCGGAGCCATCGGGCAGTCAGCTTCCTCGGAGCAGAAGTCCTCGTTCAGATCAAAATCACACGTCTTCTTTTCAGAATTGCCGACAGACTCGTGAACTGAAGAGACCGACTTGGGTGAGGCTGGCTCGGCGGCCGATTTTTTAACGCCCGCTGCAGCATCTGAGTTCCTGGTGCTGTCCTTTGAAGAGGAGTCCTCAGAGACATCCTTTTTGCTGGAGGACCCATTTTCATTCCGCTCTTCGCTGCCAGCCCCCCCCCTGGTGGTGTTCTCTGCGAGATCTATGCTGCTGGAGTCCATATTCTCGCCTCCAGAGGTCACTTCGGGAGAAGAGCTGCAGAAAGGCTCTCTGTAGTCCACAACCTCTCGTTCTACCTCAATGGCGACCTGCCTTGCAACCTCCAGCGCGTCAATCTCTCCGTAGTCGAGCCCGATCTCTGATCTTCCCTGCTTTAACTCACTAACAACAGCTTTTGCATTAACTGATCTTTTCGAGGAGGCACTTGAGATCTTGGACTCCACGCTCTTCTCCGCCTTCAAGCCGGGCTCATTTCCTGTCGCCTTGCCGTCGCTGGATTTGCCCATGACATCCATCTTGCGGAGAGAAGTCTCAGGAGAAATGTAGGGGACGTCGTTCGGGCTGCTGGCACATGGGCTCGGTTCTTTCATATTCACCTCGATATCCATATCTTCGACCCCGTTAGATGCATCGTTTCCATCGGAGGCGTCGGATTTTTCGTCAGCGTCTTTGTCTCCAGCCTCCGGAGGAGGGGATGGGGCAGTTGATGCCGAACCTGATGCAGCAAGGACAGGCTCGGCTGTGGGGAGGTTCTCTTGACTGGGAGCGGGTGCAGGTGAAGAACTTTGCGCGTTGACTTCCGCTGAAGCTCCATCCTTGTCCACAGCGTTTGAGAGGTCACAAGGGGAAGATTGATCAGATGATTTCTGGTTAGTCACGCTCTCATCTGCCACACCTTCATCAGGCAGATCATCAGAAGGAGGAACCCCAAGAGCTGGATCTGCCGACTGCACACCCTCCTCCTCCTCCTCCTGCTGCTGCTGCTCCTCCCCCGGTGCCTGAGGCGAAGACTTCAGCCCATCATTACAGGATGCTACTTCTCCATCTGCAGGCTGACAGTTCATGTCGCTATCCTCAGAGAGGCTCCACTTCAGGGACAGAGATTCCACCTTTTCTTGGATATTTTCGCCTCTCCCATAGCCATGGAGCTGTTTGATTGTCACCCCAATTCCAGAGGCAGAAGACGCATCCCTCTCCACGGGGAGCCTCTCGAGGGCCCGGAGTGTTGCGCTGATCAACTCCTCTGTGGAGGAGTCACTGTTGTCGTCACTCTGCTTCTGAGCCTCCTGCAGCCAGTGGTTCAGGTACGAGAGCCCATTCAGCCGTATAAAGTGATCAAGACAGTCCTTTCTCTCTGTGGCAGCAATGATGTTGGCAACGGTTGCCCACTGTCTGGCCGCATCCCCTACGATATTTCTAATGCTGTCCTTCTGATTGTGCATGATGGAGAGTAGCTCTTCGACTCTGACAAGATTAGCAAGCCCATCTTTCATCTCAGATAAGGTGAAGAAATCTTCCAGCGCCATCCTGATTCACAGAGTTGCCACCCTGATCCAAGCTTCAACCCGGACCTCGAACTCAACAAACATTCCAATTATTAGTCTCCTGTTGGAAAACTTCAGGCCTCAGTTTCCTTCTGCAACATGCGAGATAAGCAATGAGCCGTTTCGTTCTGATAATATTCACCAAACAAAGGAAGCTGTGCAACATCAAACAGTGGCTTGGAGAGGACTGTAAATGGAGGACCAAAAGGGATCGCAAACAGTTAGTCACTGTAAAGATTGCCGGGTTATAAAATATTAGCAACCGTAATATTTTACAGAAATTTCACGTTTACTACGTAAAACAGGCTCCATCAAGTAGTAGACTTGGTGACCAATTAATCACAGATAAAAAGAATCACTAACATGCAACAGCAAGAATGTTAGACGCGCAGGAATCTACATAAACTTCACGTTAGAGCAGCCAAAGGACTACATTATCCCAATTACATCATATGCACGTTCTCTCCAGGCCTCTAAGAAATAAAGAACGGATAGATTGATAATACTCCATGCAAATAAAACTAATTTTGAATAAGGTAGAGTCTATATTTTGACAGAAATAAGTTCACAAAAATGTCACACATTGAGTGGAGTACAAAAGCATTTGAGAGGGAATAAATTAATATTCGATAGGTCAATGATGCAGATATATTCTATAGTAACGAAAAACAAAAACAAATTATCACACCAACAAAACAGATACTTCTAACATAAGTAAACTTAGGCCCACAAGAACCAGAAAAAAGGTAATATGCTCAAGTTAAAATAATGTATCATCCCAAACGTAAGAACATGACAAATCTTGGGATATTTAATCCTACCTCACCAAAAACTACCTGGTTCTTTGATAAACCCCTCTGTTTAACTTAGCTCTTTTAACCCCCAACAACTATTCAACCATAAGAATCTTTGTTCTAGTGACAAGGACAGAGGACAATATTATAATTCAGGTGGTTAGACCGATATTTTTTTAGTAGAGTCTACACTTCTTGATCAAATATTACAAGATATGTGGAAACCCCAACGTGGAGAAAATAAAAATAAATAAATAAATGGGATAGTGCTCTTCTTTACATGTTATTCATAAGAAAAAAATGATGTGAACATCCTACATTAATATCAGGTACAGCTCGTTTCTTGGCACATATGCCTTAGAACTAAATAATAGCACAAACGATTCAAACAAATGACACAAGTGGGCATAATGCAGAGGAAGGTAGGCAATGAAAAGCAGGTTTTGTGATTAGATTATAAACAATGTTGGTCTCTCTACCATGAAGGATACCTTATATTCTTGAAAGTATTACAATTAAAGGTATTACATATTTGAGAGGGGAAAATGAAAAATGAATCTGATAATTACATCATGAATATCTTAACAAAATGATGCAATATGTGGCCGTATCAATATAAGTTGATATACACTCAAACATGGAGTCCTTATAAAAAATGAACTCTACTCTCTCCCACACACGTTCTTTGGTTGCACCTTTCCTCTCATAAATTACCCATTACCTGGAGAAAGTCTTCTTCCATCAGTTTTAAAATTAGAACCTTACATCCGCATGTGCATGCTAAAAAATGTGCTTCAGCAAATATCTACATATAATTTGGTGCATGACACATTCTTATATTTAAATTTTCCATCCATCAGCTGTTCCCCAATAATATTACTTCAAAAACCACACCTAACAAGCCATCCTAAGTGTATCCATGCCAGATTTTCCCCCCCTTCCTTCTGGGGCAGCGGGTGTTGAGAATGGATGGGGGAGGCAGTCGTCACAAAAGTATATCACAAGAAACATTCATAACTTTCTTTATGCGTTTCCTCACTGTTCTCTCACTTTTATCTTCAAAGGAAAGAGTTCAGAAAGAAAGATGAAGCGTGATTAAGCATCAAAGTTATTAACATGGTTTGGGTCATCACCATACGCCTAGGAGACAAGCCAACACTTCGTTTTAACTGTACTAAAAACAATTTAAAACAGTCACAATATACTTAAGAAATAAAATAAAAATGAATGTTCGTGACACTCAAATTACAAAATAAACATCACCATAAATTTCACGGATGACAGAAACTAGAAACAACAAACATAATGACACCCATTCAACAATATATACCAATCTAGTACTAGTAAATTTAAATAGATGATTTAAATATCACCATTCGTAATATATTTTAATAAATGCTATATCTACATGCATGCTTGGCTGTGTCTTGCGTGTTTCGCTTTATGTGCACCCAAATACCTCGTACCATAAACAATGAAAAGCTTTGCTCTTTGAGCAAATTCCTCACCCCAAACTCGTTCAGGATGTCCTAAGTTGTCTGAAGATTTGTCAAAAAACCTGCACAACTTGAGCCATATTCATAAACATGTAACAATTTTTGGAATCTAAATAGGAAATGTCCTATAAGAACAGGTTCAAATAACTTTTCTTAACCAAGAGAAAGCCTAACCACCTCCCATCTTCCTTTTTGACCCTCAATGCTATAGTGCAACGTGATCACCTGATCCACTGCGTTGGAGAATCACCAAGAAATTGCCATGTCTATCGCACAGCCACACCCTTACATCTGGTAGCACACTTCGGCAACACACTTCACACTTTCGGTATAGACCTGGTCTCCCACTCTCGCTATTCTCTCTGCTACTTTTCAGCATTGTTTTAATGCATGGAAGAAGAGACAACAACAGCAAAATCATAAATACAGAGGTCACGGGTTTGTCTTCTTGGGAGAAGGGATCACTGGAAATTCTACAAAATATTTCCCCCTCTATACATGATTCAGACACACACTGGTCCATGCTTGCAAAAAATGAGCATCTTCCTAGTTCAAAACAGCTCCCCAGACTAGATCTCTGTACATCCGGGCATATGCATACTAACAAGAAATCATCAAAAAATATAATTTCTCTTTTCGATGATCAAACGTTTTCTTCTCCATTATTCACCCATTTCTAGAATATACTGTCCAAACCATTCATTGTGTAGAAATGCAAAATGCTAGGAATCCCCATTAAAGCAAAAAAAGGAATGTAGACCCGAATGAGTTTCAAATTTGAATTGCAAGATAAGTATGGTGCACTGTGAGCTCTTCAGAAACGCCTGACAATACTACCACAACAAATTTGAATTTTTTTTTCACGAAAGAAAAAAAAATGCCTTCTAAAGCTAGTCAGCAGTAAATACACAGGTTTGCCAACTATTGCTCATATTTCCATTTAACAGTCCTAATTGGACCGCATCCCAGAATTACTAAAACTGAGAAAGAAATGCCTAAGTATAGGAAATGTGAATAAGTCTGAAACTATGCCTTGAAACACTGTCACCCACTCTAATTTTCTTTGAAACAAGCATAAATGATCCTGGTCCAATAGAACTGGTAAGAAAATATTTCATGGTTTTTTCATTGGAGGATTGATGAGGATACGAAGAAAGATAGTAAATTGGAAAGTGTGTGAAGCCATGTCCATATACCGAGACATTTTAAGAATGAGTGAAATTCTTTGATGTACCAGAAGAAGTCAAGGATAATTATTATAGAGTAGTGATCGCCATGCATAGCCTGATCAGCATAAGTTCGCCCCAATAAATTTGTTGGCCAACGTCATAGCACAGCCAAGCACCTAACTAACAAAAATAATGTTCACCTCACACACATCAATCATAGACAATAAATCATTATATCGGTATATGAAACGAAATGGAAGTATCAGATTGCTATATTAGCCAATGCACGTATCGAATAAAGATCAGTAAAATATGCGTGGTCGTGCTGCTGCATATTATAAGCGAGAGCTACGAAACCCAAGAATTCGTTCTCAAGAGCACTACAGACTTACCACAGTAGAAAAAGAAAGGAGCAAAAACCCATAAACGGGCATGTTAATGCCTGATTTATTTGATAACCTTTAGATGAAAATTATAACTATAAGAAAACCCCTAAACGGGCATTAAACAGAATTTCACAATGTAATGGGTGAAAAGAACTGAAACACCAAGTAAACGACCCACCCACAAAGAAAAACCCTAAACCAATTCTCCAAATCATGCACTCTAGAAGATCAGAAGGCAAATCACCGTGAACAAAGTGAAACAAGATCAAAACAAAGGTCCAATTGAGAAACCACGAATCCAAGACAGACACGTAATCAAATAATTGGAGAAAACCTCGAAGAGCTCTCATACCACGCGGCCAGAGAAATCCTCGAAGCAGCCGCTCAAAACCCTAACTCCCCGCGTCGAAACTCCAACACGAACACGGCGCCCCTCCCTCCCCCCTCCCGCCGCCGAAAAACGCACTCGATCCCTATCCCACACCCTTCCCCTCCAACCTCCCCCTCTCTCTCCCTCTCTACCTCCCTCTCTCTCTCTCTTCCCTTCCCTCACCAATACCCCTCCAACTCCTCTCCCCTCGCGCACAGAACCCTCGCTTTCTGCGAGGACGGCTTCCGCGCGGAGCCAGCGGGCGAACGAGCAAGAGAGAGAGAGAGAGAGAAAGAGAGAAGAGAGAAGAGAGAAGAGAGAAGAGAGAAGAGAGATGAGAGAGAGACTCGTATTTCCTTTTTCTATATTCTATCATTAGCCGCAATAATTTCCGCTCTGTTCGGTTCTTAGTAATCAACCCCCCACCATCTGTCACGTGCCACAAGAGGCGCCCGTGCGGGGTGGGGGGGTTCGGTTCGCCCTCGCTCGACCATGACCGGCTCGACCGGTCACTATCGTACGACCGCGAGCGGGTAAAGACAACCGCCCTGACGGGTCATAAACGGGTCGGTCGTAGGATCCGATAAGTAACCTTACTGTACGGAGTTTGTTACGCGTGGGGACCACCAAATTATTCCAAAGACTCGGACAGCTGCGACCGTCGCTTTCCGAGGAGGTCGACCGTCGCAACTTGGAGATCCACGGTGGAATGATGGTCACGTTGACCCTCTGTAGTTCCCATCTGATGGGTGTTCCAAGATCAGGGCCGTCCAATGACCGTACTAAGTGGACCTTATAAGATGGGCTGCCGACTTTGGGTATGACGGCCCATAAAATGGGCTTATCGGTTCGGTAAGGATCCGATACCGACATATCCGTGGTCGGCTCCCCCGCGGAACGGACACGTTTGTCGGCCTGTTCCTTGGACCTGAAGTTTTCGTCCTCTTCCTGTCCACCGCAGAGTCGCCGCCGAAACTTATAAGGCGGCGCCGCCACACCGCCACCGCGAAGACGGAAGAACGGGGAGAAGGAGATGGATTCTTCTCGGCAAAACCCCTACGGGAACTACCAATCTCTCTACCCCGAGGTCGTCCGGACGAATCCGGAGCTGCATTCTCCCTTCGTCTCGTCCGCTGCCGACAGCACCCGCGGCGGAGCTCTCTACCCATCGCTCGACCATCCAACGTCTGCGCCGGCGGCATCTTCGGGTTCCAGTTCCTTGTATCCCTCCATCGAGATGAAGGATCTCGTCGATAATCTCTTCCCCGACGCGGAGGAGGTTGGTTCAGCGCCTGGGAACCCTAACCTCGGCCACCCCCCCGTGGAGGAGACCCTCGTCCGCGTCCCTGGTGCGATCCTCCACCTCATCGACAGACAGCGCAGTTTGGATCTCGGATCCGGCGACTTCTCCGTGGTCCGCCTTCAGCAGGGGGACAACGTCATCGCCGTCCTCGCCCGCGTCGGGGACGTTGTCCAGTGGCCCCTCGCGAAGGACGAGGCGGCCGTTCGTCTCGATCACTCCCGTTACTTCTTCTCCCTCCGTGTACCGGAGGGATCTTCCGACGTAGGCGGGGACGACGCTCGCCACAGTGGCGACGGGTCAGATAATCTTCTAAACTACGGGCTCACCTTCGCGTCCAAAGGGCAGGAGGCCCTGCTTGAGGCGCTGGACGGAATCCTCGCCTACTACACCAATTTTTCCCTTCAGAAGGTTGAAACAAAGGCCGAGGTATTGGATGAATCCGTGCCGAAGGAGACCTCGCCGGCGGAGGTGGCAACATCAGGGCCGAAGAGGGAGAAGATAGAGAAGCTTTCAGCCGCCTACTGGACGACCCTGGCGCCAAACGTCGAGGACTACAGCGGGTCCTTGCCTCGGGCGATCGCCAGGGGATCAGGATATCTCATCAGAGGGATCTTGTGGTGCGGAGATGTGACTGTGGACAGGCTGAACAGGGGGAACGACGTGTTGAAGAACAGGATGTCACCCAACTCAAAGCCGACGGAGATCAGTGAGCAGGCGTTGCGCAGGATGAGGAGGTGAGCTCATGCCAGCCCTCATGTTCCTCTTCTGTTGGTCGAAATTACTGGTCCCCAACCCATAACCTGGAAATAGCTCATGAGGAACGAGGTGAAGAACATTATTCTTCCTTGCCTTCTGCTCGAAGACCACATATTGGTGATTTCTGATGGGTGCTAATGCGCGGCAGGGTCAAGAGGGTCACAAAGATGTCTGAGAAAGTGGCCAATGGCGTCTTATCAGGAGCCTTGAAAGTATCCGGCTTTGTCACGAGCTCTGCCGTCAATTCAAGAGCGGGCAGGAAGTTTTTCAGTCTCTTACCGGGGGAGATTGTTCTCGCTTCTCTTGATGGCTTCGGTGCGTAATCCCCCACCCCTTATGACCCTTAATATGATTTCTTCAGTCTGAGATTGTTGATTTTCTCTCCTTGATATTTTGAGCTATATTTTCTGCCGAATTATAGTCGAGATTGTTTTTACTCATTCAATGCAACCCTGCCCATCTGTGTATGATGGAAGATGTAGAATTTCTTGCCGGTTCCACCATGGGTTTTCTCTCTCGTAGCCATTATTGCGGGTGATAGCTGTGCCCTAGCCGCTCTGCTCCATACACAATACACGAAGAAATTGCTCTCGGAACATCGCCTATTCCCCTCCATGCCCTCTTCAACAAGGTTCGGCGATATATTCTCGTCTAACATCATACTCGGTCCTAGAAGATTTCGCCATGTTTTTCTCAAGATCTGGGTCACTATCTCTGTTGAAGAGGCCGATCGAAGCTGTCTCCAGTCCCTAGTCAAACATTATTCAAAATCCTTTATGTGGCGGCGAAATCATTACCTATAACTTCTCTACATTATACTCGGTCCTAGAAGATTTCGCCATGTTTTTCTAAGGATCTGGGTCACTATCTCTGTTGAAGAGGCCAATCGAAGCTGCGCCTAGTCAAACATTATCCAAATCCTTTATGTGGCGGTAAAATCTACAACTGTTGACTTATCTTGAAGGTAGCTGAACTGGGATGACCATCGCCATCATCGATGACAGACTCTTTGATGGAGCTGAGAGTTATAACCTGATTTGGTCTAATATATTGATTAAATATGTTCTTCCGTGATCATTGTACATAAAATGACACTGACTAATCCTCATGATTTTTTGAGCTTCTCTGAATCACCAGTTGTTCTGATATATTTTGCTTTGGTCTTTTGATCTGGTGAACAGCCAGAGTCGGCGATGCGGTGGAAGCAGCCGGAAAGAATGTCCTGTCTACCTCCTCCACTGTGACAACGGAAGTCATATCCCACAAGTAATCCTCCTCATCTCATTGCATGCAGCTGTTCTTGTTGCCCATCTGCCCGCGATCCTCAGAAAATATCTAGAAATCATCTCAACCCAGCTAGGAATCTCTTGATGAGCAGTTCATCCTGTTCATGCCCACTTTTGGGCAATCCTTCAAAGTAGTGGGTAAAGAACCGATTTTTACAGCAATCTCCGAGACCCATAATCATTTATCTCGTGCTGATCATGTTCTTCCTCCTGTTCTCTGAGAAGGTACGGTGAAGGAGCGGCCAAGCTCACTAACGAAGGCCTCCATGCCACTGGGCATGCAATGGGGACGGCCTGGGCTGTCTTCAAGCTTCGGAAGGCGCTCAACCCCAAGAACTCCATCAAGCCGACGTCGATCGTGAAGTCAGCGGTGAAGGCCGCCGCCTCCAAGTCAAAGGCCAAGCAGTGATAGACATGGGAGGTCAGTACGCGTCGTCGTTGTAAATTGGAGATTTCTTGCCGTTGGATGATGATAGATGAACCAATAGTTGCTTTTTTTATGGGAAAAAAAAAAAACTCTTCGAATGTCTTCGGTTTGTGATGTAATCGGGACCAAATTACTTTATCATTTGTTGTATTTGATACTCTCTCTCTCTCTCTCTCTCTCTCTCTCTCTCTCTCTCTCTTCTCCATTAGTTTCTCTTCCTCACTGAGATAGAGATAGAGAGACCCAGATCATTCAAAGGAGAAGCTATTTTTATTGGTAAAATAGTAAACTGCAAGAAAAAAATTAGAAGAATAGCACATCCTTTTGGAGGAGGAGGGATTCACCCTCCAACAACTATTTTAATCAGAAATCCGCAGGCACCCACAACCATCGGAGAAGAGAGAGGAGAGAGGAGGAAGAGATCATCAGACCTTGCAGAAGGCGCGGAGGGTCTCGTCGAGGGCCGCCCTGTCGTAGTCCCCCGTGAAGACGCAGCCCCCAAGAGGGCCCTTGAGGAGGATGAGCCTCAGTAGCCCATCTGCAACCTTCTTATCAACCTGCAGGATTCATCAAACCCTAAAATTAAATCCCACGAGAACCCAATAAACCATGGAAGCCCTTTTAATTTATTTCCTCATCTCCCTGCAACTTACAGCCATGGAAGCCCTGAATTTCTCCACCGTCATCACATCCGGAGGAGCCACCGGCAACCGGGCCTCCCGGAGAATATCACCAACCCGTCTGACGATGGTCTCATCCACCCACCCCAGCCGGTGGGACATGTCGACCGCCATGACCTGGGCATAAGTGCTCTTTTCAGTGCACGGAAGGTGTTTGTAGATACAACTCTGCGAGAGAGGGGACAGAGAGAGAGAGAGAGAGAGAGAGAGGTGAGGGTATTTACAGTGCCGGCGGCAACTGCCTCCCCATGAAGCCACTCTCCATAGCCCAAGCCTGTTTCTATAGCCTGCAGATATAATGCGGGGTGGTGATTAATGGCAAAAGAGGACCAAGCATGGCTCTGAAATACAAAATCAGCGAGGGATCTATATCTAAATAAACCCAAGAGGGAGGACAAGGAGAATTGGTGTTCTCTGAGTGTATATATATATATATATATAGAAGTTAAGAAGCAATTGGTTATGAACTCGAGGAACGAGTGCAGTAATTAGTAGATACGGGGAGGAGTTACCAAGATTAGCAATCAATCAGGAAACAGCAGCTATGAAGAACAGATGATAATCTACCATCGTTATTACCAGGGTCCCGGCAATATGCCTCCCATTAATGATTGAGACCAAGAACATGGTAGATACAATGCATCTCGATTTGTTTTACCGACCTCGTCATAATCCTGATCATTAAAATATCTTGAAATAACCAAGCAGGGAACTATGGTGGTCCTAACCCTCTTCCCCCATTAACCATATAAATGTGGATCGAGAATAACTTACATGACCAAATGTATGGCCCAAGTTCAGAGTAGCCCTCAGCCCGCTTTCTTTCTCATCCTTGGATACAACCTCAGCCTTATTTTCACATGATCGCTTGATTGCATATGCTAGAGCATCACGATCCCTGGACCAAAATTGCATTGACATCCATCAGGATTGGACACCAAAAACTGGGCACAAGGAAATTCCATTTCCTTTTTTAATAATAAAAAAAGCTAAGGTGGGAATGAAATATCTTATGAGAACCAAAAATGTCTATTATTGCAAAGAAATAACTACCTAATGAGAGAAAAATAGTCTCCATTGAAAAAAAAAATGGCGAAGAACTTGCTTCAGTACCTTGACAACAGCTTCTGCATGTTCTTCTCTTGCCATTCGAAGAACTCGGCATCTCTGATGAGGCCATACTTTACGACTTCAGCAATCCCTGAAGCTAACTCCCTATCGGGCAATGTGTTCAGGGTGTCGGTGTCAATCAGTACACTCTGCGGCTGGTAGAAAGCGCCGATCAGGTTTTTGCCCAGAGGGTGATTTATTCCGGTTTTTCCACCAACAGAGGAATCAACCTGGTTCAGAGACATTGATACGCATTATGCATATGATGGCATAAATCTCAGGTAAATGAGGAAGAACCTCAAGAGCAGAGTACCTGAGCCATGAGGGTAGTTGGGATCTGAATGAAGTTAACACCGCGAAGAAAAGCTGCTGCTGCGAACCCACACATGTCCCCTATCACTCCGCCGCCAAGAGCCACAAATGTGCAGCGGCGGTCCAGCCGAGATCCGATTGCCTTGTCAAAAACCTTCATCAATGTCTCCTACAGAAGGACGCACGCACACACACACAAACACATAATGAAGTTGATCTGAGTGCTCGAAAGATCAACAGTATGGCGAATAACAAAGATGGAAGAGACCATAACCAACCATGTTCTTGTACTTCTCTCCATCGGGTAGGATCACGCTTTGGACATTCACATCCGAGTTGCCGATGGTTAGGGCTCTGGTGACCTTTTCGAGGTACAGAGGAGCAACAGTAGTGTTCGTCACCACAAGAACTTGCTTCCCATGAACATGCCTGCAATCAATTGGGACAGAGTCAATTGCTAATCAAAAAACTGATGAGCACACGCAAGCGTTCGATCGGTGGTTGGAACTAGATGTAGGGATGAAGATAAGGGGGCAGTAGACGAGGGTTTGGATACCTCTGGAGAAGCTCTGGCTCATCGAGGAGCCCCGATCCGATGTAGATGGGATAGCTCCGATTTCCCAAGTCGACGTCCACGACAGTCGAGACTCTCGAAATCGCCCCCTCGCCCGGGGCCGTCGGCTCCATAACTGGAGCGGAGCTTGCGCAAATTCTCGACCGACTCCGTCCAGAGTTCGCCGCCGACGCTACGAGTGGAATCCGGCGACACCGACGAGATCCATCGATCCCCCGTGGGCGGACAAACGAAACCGACGAACCAGCGCGGAAGTGAGAGAACTCCTCGCAGGCCCTGGGGCAAACGCTGGAGCTCGGCCTGATCGCAGCAGAGGAGTAAGCCGTCGTCGCCATGGACTAGGACCGGAGACCGGTGGCGGCGGACGGGAGGTGAAGGAAGCCTTTCTCTCTCCCCTCTCTTCCCACTCGTCTTCCCGCTGCTACCATCTCGAGCTTTCTCCGTCCTCTTTTCTCGCGTTTCACAGTGGGTAGGCGAAGGGGGTTGGTGGCCTCTAGCTCAAGCGTGTAAAGCACATTTCACACGTGTTGCCATTTATCACCCTACCCCACCTCCTGGTAGGCGTGGCCTCTGAACAGAGAAGCTCCACCTCTCTCTCTCTCTCTCAAAACGGATAAGCAGATAGCGATGGAAGATCGGCGAGAGGGGGAAGCAACTCTCAAAATCTGGTGGATCATGCGAAGGAATTATTGAGCAAAGAGAGGATCCTGTTCATGTACAAGCACCGGCGGCGAGCTGCAAAATTCGCGCGTCGGGGGAAGGAGGAAGGAGGATAATGGATGAGGATGCTTCTTCCGCCGCCACGTTCGCCATTCTCAGCGGCAGACATTATTCGCCGGAGATCACGCCGGTGGAGATTTTCTTCAGGGGGGAAAACGCCACCGCGCAGAGACGGATTTACAGGATCACGACAGATCGAACGAGCCCTGTCCTTCGCTGATCGCATAGATCAGTTTCTTGTACATGATTTCCTGTGCCAAGCAAAAGAAGAGAAACCAGATCAGAGATCGCCGCCGGCCGGAGGAGAAGTCAAGTTCTAGAGAGAGAAACAAGCACCTTCGTGGAGTACGCAGGGAGCTTGAGGTAATTCGCGCAGGTCATCACGCTTGGGAGGACGTCGTCAGCGGCGGCGTCCGCAGCCGCCGTCGCGTCAGCCGCTCCGGTGGAGGAATGCTTCAGCAGGGACAGAAACAGGTTGAGCAGCCGGTCGCAGAAAACAGGAGGAAGGGAAGGAGGTGGCGGCGGAGGAGCGGCGGCGGCGCCGGATGGCTTACCTTCCTCACCACCGTCAGCTTCGGGCTCAGGGCTGCGAGGCCACCGGGGGGCAGCCGCGGGGCGCCGGTCACGAACTGGCAGAAGGCCCGCTGCTGCTCCGGGGTGAACTCCCCCATGATCTCCAGAAGCTGCGAGGAAGAAGACGACGAACCCAGAATAAGAAGAAGAAGAAAATTGCTGGCGGGCGGAAACTTGGAAGAAGGGAGGGAGGAAGGCCACCCACGTTGATGATCGCGGGGCTCTTGGCGGTGAACCCATGGTCGAATTTTATGTGCTCGGCGAGCGTCTGAGCCTGCAAGGACCGGCGGCGGCGGCGGTGGCGGCAGTGGTGTCAGCGACTGATCTCCCATGAACCAGAAACAAAGTAGAGGAGGAAGAGGAGGAAGAGGAAGAAGAAGAGATTCTCACCTGCCATAGCTCCCGGCGGCCGCAGATCAAGTAGTCCAGCTCCTCGGGGGAGAAGATACGCAGGGAGGAGATGTGGAAGACCTGCACGGCGGAGGGCGGCGAGTTGCCATTTCAGGAAACGAAGCGGAGATCAATCAGAGACCGCAGAGTTCATCCACCGCCATGAATTCAGGGAGAGCAGAGCTCCTCCGCCGCTTACCAGGTTGAACCCGTCTCTGAACGCTTCCATCTGCCGCCGGATCCCGTTCCCCACCGTTGCCTCGACCACCATGTCCACGTACTCTTCCAAGCTGTGAATGTCGACCTGCGGAAAAATGGCGGAGGAAGAAGAACAGCTGATCAACATCAAGATCGAATCAATGGAAACCAGTCGCCCCATAAAAAATCGGAAAGTTGATACCAATTCATCTCGGTCTCTTCCAAGAGCATAGCGCGGGTACCCAGGGAGCGTGAAGTCGAGACACAAGTCTTCAATGGGGGTCCCCCGGAAACGAAGGTCGGCGGCGGCGGCAATGGCGGCGCGCCGCCCGGCCTCGGCCCACTGTTTTCGGCGAACCAGGGCTTGCATCTCCAGCAAAATCATCCCGAATTCGGGATCGAACGACAGGATGTCGTGCGCATCAAGCTCCTAACAAAGAACGCCCACTACGTTATTATGCTGCAGAAATTGAAAAGAAAGCCCACTGGATAGCTAGATTACGATGGATTGGTGAGTTCACCTGTCCGAGTACGAGCTTGTAGAACGCCGTCGAGAGGGGGAGGTCCAAGAGCCTCCCGTCCTGGATAGCCTTCGCCACGAATCGACCCAGAAGACAGAAGAACTCGGCCACCTTGGGGATCACACCCGCAGGATCTGAGCTTTCATCAGCACTGGGAGGCCATGGGCGTGGAAATAAACCCAGAGGGGTGCCCACAAGGTCAACAGCCGGCTCTGATCCGGGCTTCTTCTCCTCCTCTGTGGAATCTCCATGAATCTGCATCGAAGACGACCTCCCTGAGAAAGAACTGTGCCTCCACATCCCCAGTTCAACACTGTGAAACTCGCGGCTCAAGAGGGTGTAGTACTCGAGCGTAGGGCCGAGCCCCGTGCCGACTTCGCCCAAGAACTCCACATCGAGAACAGTCTTCTGGCCGGAGTACATCCCCAAGACCTTGGCAGCGGACTCCAATATGCGAGCCCTTGAGACCCGCACCTTCTGCCGCTGCAGCCTGTCTACCGCCACCAAGTCCCTCTCGCCTGCCGAGCTGTGGCCATCGGCGCTGCGCTGCTGCTGGAGCCGCCGCAGTGCCCGTGCTGGCCCCAAAGCTGTCGAGTAGAAGTACTGCCGACGGACCTCGAAAGGGAACAGGAAGGGGCAGGCCACAGTCAGCTGGCGGCACCATGGCGGGAGCACGCCGCTAAGCAGGGCGACTGCTTCCTGGGTCTGCCGGGACAGCTTGGGGGCCAGCTTGTTGTTGATGAACTCCTCTGGAGGAACCCTCGTGCCGCCTGCGCAGATGCTGAACTCTGAGATCTTCCCCTCTGCAAAGTCCTCGGCTGCGGCCTGAGCTCTCAGGCGGGGAGCCAGCCGGTTCAGCCCCTCCAACACACGCAGCAAGGCCAAGACGCCGTAGGTGACATTGGACTTCTCCAGATCGCATGGAAGCTCCCCCTGCAGCATGCTGTCGAGGAGAGACACCGGCGGCGGCAGAGACCGAGAATCGCCAACGGCAGCAGAGGAATCTCTCAGGGCTTCTGCGGAGGCAAGGTCCGCCCTCTGATAAGTTATAGTGTAAGCGTCGGCCCACCGCTGGCTTCCGCTGCTGGTCGTGGGTTTTGAATAGTCATCTGCCTCGAGCAAGAGCTGGTTCTGAATGGCTTGATACACAGTCAGGTGTCGGCTGAGTTGCTGCCCACCGGAGGAGAATATTAGCTTGGGTGTATCAGTGGGGCTCTGACAACCGCCATTGGCCACGGGGCTTCTGCCGCCGCTGGGGCTGAGTCCGGCCATGGCAGACGCCTTCGAACTGAGAGAGTACTCTGGGGTCTCAAAGCCTCTGCCCGAGGTCATCCTCTTGCTTGAACCAGGGGAGGGTTGGGTCTGACCATCGACGACTGGAGGGGAAGTGGACCCATCCTCCACATCGTCAATCAGCTTCACATCTTGGACCTCATTTGGCGAGTAAATGTAAATAAAGTTGTCCCTCAGCATCTAAAGCCATCACCAAAAAAAATAAAAATATATATCTATATATATTAAAATTAAGACAAGCTAATATTGTCACATCAATGGAGGCAAAAAAAGAGAGAGCATGAAAAAACCCATAATCATATGACACTTCATTTTTTCAAGATTGAGATGGCTGATGATCATAGAAAGTGCCGACTTGTAATCAAGAGCTACCATAAATAGGATGTGGAGAATCTACCTCTTCATCTTCATCTTCTGACATAATATCTTCATCATCAAACACCAGATGGTCGTCAATCTCAACAGACGGCACGTCAAACTCATCCTGCAAGACCACCAAGAACGCATTTCCCTTGATGGAACAGTAGATGACAGTGCTCAACGTAACTGGAACTATAAAAGAAGGAAGCTATATAATTTCCTAGTCATTAGTGGAAGCATGTCTGCACGGGCATCTTCATACTAGAAGAATTATATGAACAGGTTTTGCATAATCATCCAAATTATGGGTAGCTTTCTGCCCATAATTTTATGGTTTACGAAGATAATCCCCAACCAGAGAAAAAAATAATGGAAGAAAGAGCAAAAGAAGCAATCTAAGTCAAACCTCAGAAACGGATTTGGCCGGTGAAGGTTTCACTGGTTCTTCTGCTTCTGACACAGCTCTTCGGCGGGCAGCGCTTCTTGTTTGAGGCCCTCTCACATCGTCCAATGCTGAACCCAGAATAGCTTTACCCTTCCCTTTGGATGACGAGCTTGTCTTCTTCCCGTTTGAATCCTTTCTGCCTGATCCGCTGGAGTAACGCCGCCCCAATGGCGCAGAAGTGGATATGGATGAAACACCAGGTTCAGAGCTTGCAGAGCCGGGCATGATGACTCCAGCAGAAGAAGATTGCTTCTGCCCAGGCTCTGTTCGCTGGATCCTGGGCCAGAGAAACTCTTCGACGCCTGCCAGATTCTCCAATGGGTCGACAACAATGACGTTTGAGGAATAGTCAGACAGAGATTTCTCCCCTTCTGCTCTACATAGCCGTAGCTTGCAAGGCTGTGACAAGGCGCTGAGTCCACTATATTGTCCACACCCGCCACCAGATCTGCCTGAATGGCTCAGAATAACAGGGAAGCTCTCCAAGGAAGACAATGCACTCTGAAGCTTCTGAACCAAGATGGTCATGGGAGCGGGAACATCATTGCTCCCTGGGTCAACGCTGGTCGGGAGAGAGATGGAAATAAAGGACTTGAATTTTCTGAGCACCTGCTGGCGGAGCTTTGGCAGGCTGGCCTCTGATACCTTCTCCTTTGGGAAGGTCCCGCAAGAGAAATAGTTCAGCAAGGCTGTGACCACCCCGCTTCGGATAAACTCAAATGTGGACACACCATCTTCTTTACCCAGTTCACGCAGCATCTCGGATATGACTGCATTCAAGCGCCCCTCTGCATTCCCAGACACATCAAAAGAACAGAGCCCAGAAGCTTTAGACTTCCCCTTGTTCTTCGGCCTGGAGTCCTCGACCATGGCGTTCAGTTTCATGCAAAGATTCCTCAGATGGTGAAGATCGTCGGTCTCCCAAGCTTCAGTGACTACTGAATCTGCAGGGAAGTATTTGTCTCTGAAAGTCTTTGCTCGTGCGCTGACAGCCGCCCGAAAGCTTGAGTTCCCATTCGGAACCTCAACGTCCACTAGAGGCGAGCCACGGCATTTAGCCAACCCCGCAGAGCCACTGCCATCTGTGTTCTTGCAGCCGTTGCGCCGCCGGTAACGCCTAGAACGCGAAGAAGTACGGGAAGATGGGTCAGCTGCGGCCTGTGCAGATGCTGGGTTTGAAGCATCTGGGAGGATAAGCTTGTCCACAGCATGTACAACCCCTTCCCTGACAAACATCTTGGAGAACGTCTCAGGGAGCTTCTCCATAAGGATCTCCACTATCTGTAGGGTCGGAATCAAAACCTGTGGATCTTTCCATGCTAAAACACCAGCTAAGAAACTGTAAGGGAAACAGCAGATTGATTCAGCGACAGAGATCCTGGCTAAAAAATGGACCTTTAAAGAAAAGGGTGAAGATCTCTCAGGTACCCAGAGTTCTAGTACCTGGATATATTCGTCACACCAAGGAGGGATTGGATCATGTCAGTGGTGCTAAAATACATCAGCTTGCCGATAACGGAGAGGCATTTACGGCGGACGGGATAGTTCACACTGGATCCATGAATCTGGTTTAAAGAATGAAGAATAAGTCAACGTGAAAGATGTAACTTGGGTTAGATGGGTCGACCTATAGCAACAAACCTGGATCAGAACAGGAAGCAAGTCCAACCCAAACTGCAGCAATAGCTCGGGCTGGTCTCGCAACAGCTTCTCTCGTGCCGAGACTTCATTTGCAATAGAACTAGAGTCATCTTGATTCAGATAGCTGCTCGCCGAAAATCTCTTCAGAGACGATCCTTTCACAAATACATCGAAACTAACTGGAAGAGAGATGGTCCCGTGGGGCAGCAGAGGAAGCAGCTCATCCGCAAGATTTACAATCTCATAAATCTGAATTTGAAATCACCATCTTAGCAACTAGATATGGTATTATGTAATGGTGGCAGAAGCTCATGTGAGAAAAAAAATATCGGACAGAAATTGATTCAACGGTCATAGATTAGCAAAAGAGTGTCAAATATATGATATATTACAAACTCTCACAAGATCCCCCAACGCAAGAACAAGCAGGGATCATATTTGGGATTCAACCACATGAATTAGAATCTATTTCCAACAAAGATCCTTCTACACCAGACACTCCCCACATCCATTCCAGCATTTTGTCCCAACATTTATATAGTCTGGTTGCTCCAAAATGCAAGTCTACCCTTCTTGATCGAAATCTGAACTCTGAGAAAAGATGAATGTACTTCGGTTTTCCTGTCACAGAGGGCAATGTCATTCTGCAGCTACCTTATATTCTGCAACATTAATATCCGAGTTTCATGCATTCGCCAACCCAAAATTTATGGTTGTACGTAAGAATGCACAGATTCTTCACATGATACACACCCTTGCCGCACATAGAGAGTTTTTTCAACAGATTCTAGTGAGTAGCGTTCACTTAATGCTAACGAGACAATGAGAAATCTCAAAGGTCCTATGCTCGTAAACTTCACATGGGAAATTTAAGTTCAACATGGTACGCCCATGTTGAACTTAAGTAGGACCTTGCGCCACATCAGTAGGCTAAGAACAGTATGTATGGTCAAGAGATCCCCCTGATAGATCTCGATGCATACATCATTAAGCTACTTGTCCCCGAACAGGTATGCAATTTTCACAAATTAAAATCGGCATAACGGTTCTTCTTTCTTGATATATTCATAATAATGAGGGATTCAGTACAATCAGGGACTACTAATCCTCCTCTCCCAGGGGGCCCAAATAAACAATCAAGTCCATCGCAATAATGTGTATAAATTAGTAGGCTATATATGAAGTATCATAATAAACCAAGCATTCCAAAAAAATTCCAATCAGCAGTAATTTTGTATTATCAACCACAAGCATTCACACATATGAGCCACAATTAGAAGGTTGCATACATACATGCATACGAATGTTTGTATTTATTGAGGAAAGAATGCATACAACAAGTTCAAATAAGTTTCAAAAAGAGGTTCAGAACACAGAATAAGAGACGGTGAGCAATGGATAAAGGAGAAGTACACAATCAATGCTATTAAATCCAGAATTGAAAGGTTCGTCATTCAGCTCAAAGAATTTTATGATTTTAAATATTCTAATCATTTTATAATCTTGAGGAAGGAATTAAACAAATTTTTATCCCCAACTATCGCTGTTTCGATGTCAACTAGCAACATAGTCGTATTTCAATCGTTAAGCATAGCATTCCATAAGCAAAAAGCTGTAGAACATGCAAACGAGTAATAGTAGTAACCAATTATTTTTTTTAAAAAAAAACCTTTACCGCTAGCAGTATCAAGACATCAACAAAAAAGTCAACAACCTAGACCCGTGTAGGGAATAATCCAAAACAACTTACCTGCTCTGGGGGTCTTGTTGAGGAAATTGATGCAGAAATGTTAGCAATGAGACCAGATCGTGAAAGGATGTCCTTTAGAATGCCACTAATTCCAAGAAGAAGAAGGGTCTTTGCTCCCAATGGAGACCCACTTGCACAGGTTGATAGAAGACGCATCAAACCCTAAAAAGCTTGCATCGGAATCAACAGCTCAAATGAAGATAAAACAAATTGGGCACGACTATTCGTCTCTTACAGTGTAAGTGGGCGTGCTAAGTGTAGTCTGGCCACCCCCTGAGTTACTAACGGATATAAGACTGGCAGCTTTTGTGACCAACCCATGATTGCAGAGCTCATCCAATTTTTCCGGAGATGAAGAAAAAGCCTCTGCAATGCGAGTCAAGCAAACAGATGCATGCTCTAGCACCTGATATTAATTCCATTTTGGAAGGGGAAATCAAAGATGAGAGAACAGCCTCTTCATAGATCAACATAAACAAAAAAAAATTAGGAATTGTCAAAGAAAATTTGAGCTACACCAGACTAAAGTGTGGATAGGACATTCAGTTTTACTGCTCTAAGGTTACCTCACCTTTGAATCATGGTAAAGAAGAAGGTTCATAAGTAAGGGGACAGCTTCCATCACAAAGTCAGCCGCATCAGGTGGCAATTTCTTGCACATATTTGCAGCCGTTGATAATGCCACCCTCTGAGAAAACCAGAGAAAAGGAAATCTTTTCAGGCCCGGATCCAGTAAACCCATCATGATTGCAGACAAAAATTAAAAGTCAAACAGAAATGGGATTCACCTGCACACCAGTGGGAAAAAAATCCAGGTAGGAGAGAACTGCCATGAGTGCACCAGCACGCAAGCAAGCAGTTGGGTGCTCTTGTGATATCTTCTTTAAAGCTTGCAAAGACTGCATCAGATATTGTCAACAGATGGATTGATCAAAATCCTCCACTTAGGGGTGGTGAGAGAGAGAGAGAGAGAGAGAGGGGTGTATTTTTCTTCTTTTTATAGGATATAGATAAAACATGAAATGCGACAGTTGAACAGCACGGAAAGCTTCTCAGACAGAGATCCATTTACTTCTACCTGATTTGAGTTCAGCTGCCTCACTAAATACTATGCGAATTATTTAGCTAAACTAGGATACTTTGATATCATCAGAGCCTTACTATGCAAATCATTCAGCTAGAACAAGAAAAATAACTACCATGGAACTGATGAATTCCTCACATTATTGTCATCTTTTTGTACCCATTATGTGGATATGGTACTAGAATACGCACCTGTTCAGCCAAGTCCATATACTCAATGGTGAGAAGCCTGGCGCAGAAAGATGAGACGGCACCATAGTGCACGACGGCAGAGCAAGATGAGGGAAGGATATCACAGAGATATGTGAGGGCCCTTGCAGCAAGAAGCATGACATCGGGGTTGTTTTCGTGGTTCAGCAGCCCAACGAGCACAGGAACGAAGGAGTCAACGCAGAAACAGCCCAGGGACTCTCGAGGCCCGATAGACAGCATATTACAAAGCTGAGTCAGCGCTTCTACCTGTCGTCCCTCTTCATCATCGGCCCTCAAACCTGAGAGGATCTTCTTCAGCCGGCCACTTTGATGGGACGACCCAGAAATGGTCGAGGAAGGCAAGAGGTCATCGAGCCCAGCACCCAACTTCCGCAGCAGCCCCTGCAGAGCGCTACTGGCAGAGAAGGACAGGCTATGGTGAAGCATTCCGCCGCCGTCTTCACTATCATCGTCCTCTTCTCCTCCTCCACTGTCCATGTTCAACCCCAAAATTCTCTCCGCGTCCTCCTCCCTCTCTCTGGATCCCTCCGCCTCCTTCTCCTTCCCCTTGCCTGAGGACCCTTTATCTCGCTCCGTCTGAGGGTTCTTCGCCGAGCTCCGCCGTCGGCCCAATGATTCCGTAGACTCCATTGCCACCGGAGCGGCGGCGGCGGCGCCGCCGCCGCCGGACGGAGCAGCAGACCCCGCGGCGGGGACAGAGATGCCTTGTGAACGGGCACGGGTGGTGACGGTGGAAGCGGGCACTGGCGCCGACGAAGGGGCGGTGCGGGCCCGCTTGGAAGCGCGGGTGGCCGGCGACTGAGGCGCCGGCGCCGACGAAGAGGAGGCTTCCGCCCTCTTCCGGCTCCGCGTTTCCATGCAAAAACAGAAAACCGAAAAATCGTGCCCCTTTCCTCACCCTCCGGCAATCAGCCACTCAGCATTCCCCCGACTGCAACTCTTCTTAAAGATCGGCTCGCCTGAACCCTACCTTCCCCGAAATCCGAGGGCCACCGAAGCCGCCGCTCCCCCCCTTTCCCCCTTCCAATCGCAGGATGCCAAGAGGGAAAAAAAGATCGACCTCCTTCACCTCCTTCGGCAGCGGGGGCGAGGAATCCTCCCCGAAACAGGGAGGATGTTCTAGGATGATGATACCAAGAGAAGGAAGAAGGGTAGCTGGTGAGAATTCTGGAGGAGAGCAGCCACCCAGAACACTACTGCCCGGGTTTAATAGCGAGAGGGAGCACTGCACAAGGGCGAGAAGCAAGAAATGGTGGTGCCTCTCTCTTTCTACAAAATTCTCACGAAGAGAGGGCTATTTCTATTTAACCCCCTCATTTATTATTTTATAACATTTAACTCGTTACATTTATTTAATTGCATAATAATTCCTGTTAAAGTACAGCTCTCCTATAAAGTAAGAATAAAGCGCATTTCCTTTCCACTCGGGCTCTTTCATAGCTTTATAATAAAATATTAATTTTTCACATTTTTTAAAAAAATCTTTTACATTGTTGAGTGATTATCTGAATATTTAAAATATATTCAGAATAAACTCATTTAAGAAATTAGTTTAGTCGAATATTAATTTTATAAAATCGATGACATGGAGACCTAGAAGTATCATCAACGTCTTTTTTAAGTTATATGCAAAGAATTATTTAGTTTCTTTTTAAAAAAAATATCAACAAATAATTTATTTTTTATCATAGAAACCCCTATAAAAGTATGCATTTGGAGTTTGTGCCAAGTGCCCACGATGTTCGGATGGGGCTGGCTTGTTGGGACGAGGACCACTGAAAATATAGACACATGAGGTTATATTTGGTTATAAATGACAGATAAATGGAGTGGAAGGTTGTAAAATGAAAAATAATGCTACGGTGGTGGTGAATTAGGCCCAAAATGGACGCCGCTGGGCCCTACGTTTATTTCAGAATTGGGCCTTCACCTTCAACTGGGCCTGTGAACCTGATTGGTAGGAATCCGCGGTCCAATATGGGCTTCCTTGTTTGTTTACTATTGGGCTAAAGCTGGCCCAAAAGGACATGCCCTGGCCCAAAACATCCATTCAGTCATTACGATAACCGTCTCGGAGGTGCAATGGGAGGAGGGGTAAGAGCGAAAACTAAAAATAGGATGTGTATTTTGTTAATCAAGAAAGATGGAGGGCTAATGCATAATTTGCAAGAAAAATTACGCGGCAAGAGTAACGGAATTCTCGTTAGGGGGAGAGGAGAGAGAGAGAAAGAGAGAGGAGAAGCTGCATACGAGATTAGCTGTCATTGAAGTGGGACCGAGAAGCGAAATCCCTCTCTCTCTCTCTCTCTCTCTCTCTCTCTCTCTCTCTCTCTCTTTCCCTCTCTCTCCCTCTCCCTCTTCTCTCTCTCGCCGTCGGAGCGACCGGTTCCCTCGCAGCCATTCCCGGCCTCTGAAACTACTCCAGTAGCCCCAGGCCGCTGGCGCAAGAGTCTCTCTCTCCTCTCTCTCTCCCTCTCTCGCTGTCGCTTTCTCTCTCTTCCTTCCTTCCTTCCATGCTGGCTCCGACCGTGGAAGTCTGAGGTAGGAGGGAGGTAATAGGAAAGGAATTGAAGGCTTCAGGTTCGCCGTCTCCACATCATTTTGATCGTATTTGGTTCATCTTTTTCTTTCTAGGGATATAGATCTCTCCGTCTCTGTCTCGATCAGCAGCGTCTCGATTGGCCAAGAGAGGTCGGAAAGGGCATGTGAGGGGAATGCTGGTTGCTTGTTTGCGGGTTTCAGATGTAGAAGAGGCGAGGTTGAGCTTGCAGGGAGAACTAGGGGGCTTCCCGTTCCTCGGAGCCGTGCGCGGGGGAGTGTGGGAGATATCTGGCGCTGCCGCTGCTGTTGCGCCGGCGAGGCGACGGGAGGTGTCGACGAGGCAGAGATGAGCGCGTCTAGATTCATAAAGTGCGTCACTGTGGGGGATGGTGCTGTTGGCAAAACCTGTATGCTAATATCCTACACCAGTAACACCTTTCCAACGGTGGGTTTTCCACTCTCCTTCGCCCTTTTTTGTTTTCGTTTGTCCTCTCTCTCGATCAATTGCTTTTTACATTCCTGATTTTCTCTTTTGTGAATTCAATCCTTCTATTTTCGGTTCCGATGGAGGGGACTGGATCCACGATTCCCCTTCTCTTAGATTTTTCATATAAATTGTTGCACTTGAGATAAAATCACTTATTTTGTCGCGTGGTAAGATTTAGTAAGGTTGAGGTTATGCTGCTGTGAGGACACATTGTTAGGGGACTGAAGCTTTGCTTTAGTCGACCAAATCCAAGGTTAGGATGTTCAATTAGAGCTTTTTAGATTATTAGCGCTTAGGTTTTCGGATCAGTGATTCCACCAATATCAAACAATATTCTTCCCATGATGCGCCTTTCACTTTTCACCTCTTCCCTTCATTCCACAAACAGAAAAAATGGAGGAAAATGTGAAGCTGGTCATTATAATTCCTTTTGTTGAAAACGGAGAGAATTACAGGTGATTTAGATAGATACGTGATTCATTCCTTCTTTTTGTAAAATATCTAGCATGCTTAAACTCTTGACATTGTTACTGTAGAGCTGTTATAAAGTGAAATATTCATTTTAACCGATCGCCTGTTATAATCGACGTGTTTACTATCTAACTCTGAATGCTTGTGTATTCTGTCCATTTCCGTATCTTCATTAACATTTTGGATCACTAGCAGTGTCCTGGTGTATAATATGGATTTCAATTTTATTTTTTTTCATAAGTAGTCATATTTATTGTCTTGAAGAGCAGGATTACGTACCAACAGTTTTTGACAACTTCAGTGCAAATGTGGTGGTGGATGGTAGCACTGTTAACCTAGGCTTGTGGGATACAGCAGGTAGAGTTCTGTTGCAGCTATTGTTTGCGTATACAAATTATAGATAACAACATTTTAAAATGATTGATAATCTCATACGTTGGTATTATCCTTTCTTATGAATTGACCAGGCCAGGAAGATTACAATAGGCTAAGACCTTTAAGCTATCGTGGTGCGGATGTCTTTCTGCTTGCATTCTCTCTTATTAGTAAGGCCAGCTATGAAAATGTCACAAAGAAGGTGAGAGCCATATATTCTATTTGAACCTTTGTTCCGTGCTACATAATGTTGCTTCTAACCATGGTGAATACGTCGCTTATTTTTCCTTTTCCAGTGGATTCCAGAACTGAGGCATTATGCACCTGGTGTTCCAATAATTCTTGTTGGGACAAAACTCGGTACTTACATTCCTTTGATATATTTTCTCAGAAAATTCCTTGACTTTATTTTTCTATCTGCCGAACAATATAATTGTTTCTGTCTATGACATCAATTTGTGTGATCTTTGTATATCCATTCATTTAACTTGCCGTAATGGAGAGTCCGCGCAAGAGAGCATGCTGGTGTAATAGGTTCAGTGCCTGTTAAATGTAAAATAGTTTCAGTTGTGATTCATGACTCTGAGTTTCCAGCTATCTCTATCGATTTTACTTACTACAACACTAGTTGTTTTGCTGCAATTTAAGATAATGAAAAATTTTCATTTCTAGAAATGAACTGGATAATTTGAATATCAATAATACAATAAAAAGTTTAGATGTTGTATTTTTGTATGATTCTATATAAGCATTTTTTTATTGCAAGAACCGGTATTATCTTTGATAATATGCGTTTCCATGTGTGCGGCAATGAATGAGGCATCACAGATTGCATCTGATTTTTCGGCCTTTCAACTATCTGGACGAGATTACTGATGAATATTATTAAAATACTGGAACTGGGTCTTTTTGGAAAATAATAGATAGTTGACTAATTCAGTTGATTAGTTTATTTAGGGTGCTTTTCTGAAATGTGTCATTTAAATTTTGTTTTAAGTACTCATGAAATAATCCTTTGAAAGTTCTATTGAATGACGAAGAAATTTTTTCGGGGTTTTATTATCTTTCTTATCGTGCACTTCATTCAATTTCCTCCAAAGAAATCGAAGGCTATTACGTATTCCAGTGAAGTGGTCGATGTAACTGTTTTATACGTCCTTTCTGGTCATGTCCTGTGGGTGCTCCAATTTCTCACCCTCTTACGGGCTCAGTTAATCTTAACGTCTTCTTATTTTTTCGTTCTGTGCTTGACTGGTATGCTCACATCTGTCCTCTTCAAAGTGATAGCTTCCCACCTTTTCGTATTAATGCTTCGGTTCATGTAGATTTTTCATTCTTTAAACCATAGTTTTAGCGACTAGACCTTCGTTTAATTTTATGTCTATCATGCAGAGTTTTTGATCTTCTGCATGTTTAGCTATAATGTCCTGATTTGCAATCGTTTCTTTTAGGAACAAATACTAATACCTGGACTAAATTTATTTTTCACTGATATTAGAGTGCTTGGTGTTAGCAATGCTTTTCGATATCATCGAGTTGGAGCGTTTCATCCCTCATGTTCTTGAAGTAGGCAGATGAAGTATTTTCTGGACTCTCACTTCAATAGTATTTCGTGTTTTGCTTTCCCCATTTAGGTTTTTCTGGTACTTGTTTCAAAATATGCCTTCTGAGGTTCCTAGTCATTATTAAGGCCTCTCGAAGGGGTCAAGCACCCAGGCAATTTTCACTGCATATGATTTATTTTTCTAAAAAATAATGTAGTTATGTTTGGATTTACGTTCTTGTCATCTTCTTTTTTTTTCATTCACGAATTAGTTTCAAAATTTTAATTTTTTCCTCTTCATTACGCAATGCATTAAAATATCATCATAAAGGATGGCAACTCGCTGACACGTTTGTCTGGAGAAAAATAGGGCTATTTGTTGTGAAGGTCTCGGAATTATCCTAAATTAGCAAAATATTACATATTTTCTGGATTTAAGAATAGGCGCCCAAAAACCTTGGGTATTGGAAAATAAGCGCTTGATTTGATAGACCAATTATTTATTTAAAGTTTTCCTGGTGGCTATTATTAGATGGCATTATATTTTTTTCACCAAAAAAAAAAACTGCATGCCTTTTAAGAGATCATAATTACGTTAATAAGGTTTCAATTTACTAAAAATCGAGTCAGGCTTGAACAGGTTCCCAAGGGGAGTTGAGCTTGCCCATCTTCCCGACTTGGGCAAGATTTTTTAAATCAAACCCTTGATTTATTGCTTCATATGCCAACCACGCAGCTGGTTGTCATGGATATGTATAGTAATTTTCTTTTACATTCATCATTCCTGCCTGCCCTTTCTTTCCGAGAAATCCGTTACAAGTTGTTCCACCAATGATATTCCCCAAAGAGATGGCACTTCTTAGTTGACTCTCTTTTCCTCCGGAAGCTTTTAGGTGTTAGATTCCTGTGATGCCGGGTTTTCTACTTCTCGTCTCCATCAAGGTTGACTCCATACCTGCTATGTTTTGCATTCATCTGTTGTTCTTGACGACGACTCTGGCGAAGAACAGCTCCCCATGCTGCCCCCCATACTACCTGTCTTTGCGGTCTGAGAACAATCATTTCATATTCAGATCTTCATCCGTTTTGGTTCCCAACTATTCTGGTGAAGTGAAATCGGACTACTTGTTCTATAAATTGCGTACCTTCTTCCATTGGTTTCCTTTTCAATGGAGGGTTTTTTTCATAATTTTTCCTTCTGGGGCAATCTGGTGTTCATATCTCCATCTGTTTGAAGATTAAGATCACTCGAAATCAGATTAGATCCCATAGATAGAAGTTTAGGTCGAGAAATCATCAGAACACCCTGTGGGTTGCTGCTGATGAACAGAACGATGTGGGCTCATGTGACTGACTGAAAGCAATAGAATCTACCCAGATAATGGTCTATCCGACGGATCTTTTGTGATTTTTGCTGCAGATCTTCGGGAAGATGAGCAGTTTTTCATAGACCACCCTGGTGCTGTGCCCATTTCAACGGCTCAGGTGGGCGCGCCGCCATCTCTAAAGCTTTATTGATCTTCTTCTGTGATGTTCCGGTGAGGATTGTGGGGGCGTTGACTTTTTCTATCTTGGTCTTCAGGGGGAGGAGCTGAAGAGGCTGATAGGAGCCCCCGCCTACATCGAGTGCAGTTCCAAGACGCAGCAGGTATCTATCTCCCTTCTCCTCTTCCCTCCTCGGCTTTCCTGACCTCGGACATGGCGGCTCTGTTTTCTGAGTTTTCCTTGGAATCCGCGGTGATCCTCAGAATGTGAAGGCCGTCTTCGATGCCGCCATCAAGGTGGTGCTCCAGCCGCCCAAGCAGAAGAAGAAGAAGAAGAAGAGCAAGTCCCAGAAGGGCTGCTCCATATTGTGAGCAGGAAGCAAGGGAACAAGGACGGTGTAGAGAGAGAGGGAGAGAGAGAGAGGCTGCCTCTCTCTGTATGATGTGTAATAGTTTCACCTCGAAATTCACCTACTTTGGGGGTAGAATCCCTCCTGTATTAATCGAATTCTATAATCTATCCATGAATTTCTTTACCATGTATACACGAAGCCTCCTTTTCATTCTTATTTTTGCATTTATATATATATATATGCATATTTTTAATCCCTAGTCTCTCCATAAGATCCGACCAGAAATGAGCGCCACCCATCTCGAGGATCAGCTCGTGGAGCAGCCTACAAGAGCAGAGCGAGAGAGAGAGAGAGAAAGAGAGAGCAACAACAAGAGCGACACATAAAAGCCACAGAAGGGTTACGATAAGTTCGCCCCGGATGAGTCGATAGATTCAGTACATCAAAAGCCACGGAAGTTTGCCCCGGTAAAGCCACCAATTTTACAACCCCGACCAACACTGGAGATGGGCACCAACCAGACCAGGAGGGTCTCCTTTTGCTCTCTCTCTCTCTCTCTCTCTCTCTCTCTCTAGATCACTCGAAAGCCCAGGCGTTCTCCCGCCGGACCTCCTCCTCCTCCTCGGGGGTGAAGTCGTTCTTGATGTTGAAGGTCTTGCGGATCTCCTCCGGGGTCTTCCCCTTGATCATGTCGGCCACCGTCTGGCAGGTCAGATCCAGCAAGCTCTTTATGTTCAGGTAGTTCGCCGCCTGTAACGCCACACAAATTGGCAACAATCAAACCACAGACATGTCCAACGCATCCATCCATCCATCCATCCATCCCAAGAAAAATCACCATTTCTAGTTAAAAAAAAGAAAAGAAAAGAGGAAAACAGAGATGACTCGGAAGTAGTGATGGAAGGAGCAGATAAATCACTGTGGGGAGCAGATAAACTTCTTCTCAAAGACCCGGGAATCCTTCTGTTTCTAGAGAGAGAAAGTGAAGGGAAAGGACGACGCTCGGATAAGGGATTGCCATCCACCATGGGTCTTCTATGGCAACCTACTTCACAACTCGAGCGATCCTTCCCAACTTCACTTCGTATTTCTGGTGATATTCTTTTCCTATCTAATCCACGAATTAAACATTGTGGGGCAAAAGGGCAGTTCATATTTTCTGGCAACAATTTTTTGGGTAAATATCGGCCAAAGCTAATAAAGAGAAATCAGGACAGATAATACCCCACCCATGAACGGAGATGCCATGGATGGATGGATGGATGGATGGATGGCTTCAACAAGATTTACCGAGGGAGATGGCGATTGCAGTGACAGTGAAAAGCCAGCCGGAGGCATGGAAGCAAAAGCATGCCGACTAGTCCAGGAAATCTGGGCCGACTTGAAAATTGTTAAAAAAAGGATATATATATATATATATATATATAAAATAGGGAAATTAGAATCCCCACCAGATATTCCTTTTTCAGGCAAAAAAGAGGAAAAAGAGGAGCAAGAGACGAGAAAAGGAGGAGCTTGCTACCATATGCAAGCAAATACCGATGCATTTATTGGACATTCTCGAGTCGGGTGTAAGAGTTTGATTGAGAGATATAGAGAGGAGGGGGATTGGGGCAGACTAGAGTTCCTACCCAAAAGCTTCACTCGGTGGGGGAGAGAATCAAAGTGAAGAAACATGCTGCCGGATTAAGGCGTGCAACATATATAGATCACTACAATTTTTCCACCACCAGTTGTGAATTTATAATGCCAATGATGCGCATTGAAACCATATTTTTCTCTAAGTTTCCACTGGTTCCTCATTCCCCATCAACTATCTTCACTAGTATCAATCCACATCTCCATCACATCTGCAGAGGGGGGGAACGATATACATATCAAGGATATTTGAGATGGGCGGTATGGAGAGACACTCTCTTCGAATGTGGCAAACGGATATTACCAGAAGAGGTTGCAGATCTACTGCGGCTGTTGGATCTACGATGACAAATAATTTATTATTCAATTTTCCAAAATTCATAAACCAATGAATAGGAGAGGCAAGTTTGACTGGGAGATTCAACAACAGCGAAGTACAGAACACAAATGAGCAAATGAACAGCAATGGCATAAGGAGGTGATGAAGGATACTCATTGAGACTACCGAAATCGCACCACTGGTTGGGTGGTCATCACACAACTGATGAATAACAAAAAAGGGACAACTAGGGAAAGAATATATGGATCAAATATCTCCAACAACACAGAAAATGATGTCTCCAACGAGTATCTCTTGATTCTTCATCATCGGTCCAAAGATCTATAACTTCATCATCTGCCCAAAAATTCAAAATCTTCCTTCGAGTTCATAGAAGTTCAATATTGGTACAGAACAGACCATTCACACTGGAGAGTGATTCCTGGAGAGACTGAATTCCACACCGGAAGGATTCATATTTTCTGTGCCATTTACACGCTTGGCGAGCATAAGATTACTGCCATAGGTCTAACCGTCTGGGGACATTAACTCCTGCAGAAATCTACGTAAAGGGCAATGAAGATATTTTTTGTAGCTTACAAACAAAAGGAAGGTCGATCCAAGAGAAGAAAGTAAGAGGTTGTCAGGAAGGGAACCAGTGGGTAGAAGATTTCTTAGATCAACCTAAGGGATTCACACGGGTGGGGTTGGGATTTGGGGAGACAAGATTCTTTTGGATAAAAGATCCAGAATGAATAATACCTTTTGAGTGGAAACTCAAAGTGATAAGAGAAGAGTCTTTATTCAGATATTTGTGGTCAAAGCAGCATCATAGAAACAGGAGATGTTTGAGGAAGGAACCGCACTATCGCTTTGAAATGGGACAAAATTATACTTTCTCATTACAAGTTTAGATTCAAAGAATGTGTTCACTTCTGAATCATGGGATATCACTCTCTAATGGGGGTCAAACAAGAACAGAAGTAATTATGGGACTGCCGAACCACTGAGGACAGGTAGTAAATCTTCATGCTGCTGCCACACACGAAGACATAAGCAAGCAATGATTCATTGTAGACTGCAGCATTCTGCGAGGACAGGTAGTTAATCTTCATGCTGCTACCACACACGAAGACATAAGCAAGCAATGATTCATTGTAGACTGCAGCATTCTGCGAGGCGATTGATGATGTCGATGAAAACAAGTGAAACTAAAAGAAAGATACTTCTGTGATTAATGCATTGGCAGTATACGGTGTCAGCATATGGTTCTGTGATTAATACTACTGTGAATTCCTTCTCATAGTGGATACTTTCTCGATATGGACGGGTTTGCATATCATGAATTATTTTAATATTAAAAATCTGATTCATATCGCCAAAAAAAAAAAGATACACCAAGTTCAAGCAAAAACTATACAAAAGAGGGACAATTTCCACGTATTATAAAGAAAATAAGACAAGTAGTACATTTCCTGCACTTCCGAATATTTTCTTTCATAATGTTGGCGTGAGGATTAACGCAGATTTATCAACAAAGGACAATAAAAAAGATATAAGACATGTGATCTCTTCAAGTACCGACAAATACACCACGACTAATTTGTTTTAAAGACATATATTCAGGGGTTCACCATCCCAATTTTCCCACAATATTTCACCATATTCTTCACAACGTCCTTTGGCTTGACATAAAAAAATGAGACATAAAATAGTCATAACAAGTGAACCACCAAGGGTTATACTTCTGTTTCCTTCATTGCCTTAAAAGATAAAGAAATAACCTTACCTTCACGTGTATTACATAATCCCCTCACATCACGGTTCGCAGTTTAACATTGTTGAAATGACCAAATTTTTACTTGTGTCTAGATCACAACAATTAGAGAAAACGTGACGAAAGTCACCTTAAATATCATGCTGGGACTTATATCCACGTATGCCACTTCCAAAAACTGATTTCAGATTACTACTGTACGGCCTCAAATTGTAATCTCCGAATGACAAATTAGAAGTACCAGATAAACGCATTTCCAAGGAGCCTTCCAAGGCAGGTTTGGAAGCTTATCATAAATCATTGCCAAAAAAAAACAGACACATAACGACCAGCTAGAATTTTAAAGAAAAAATCGACGCAAAGGCAATCGGTAATCAAAAAAACTCTTCTAAAGCTGACGGCCCTTAACTGAGGCACCTATAATAACATCGCACTTGGAAATTTTTTGGGGAGTAAACCTCTAACCACGTCTGCGCAAAATTCCTTCTATGCCAGCAACTAGCTGTTTAACTGATGATGCTGCATCAAGACGTTAATAATTCATTTCGAAACCGCAATCCTAAACCTCTTACAATGGATAAAATGGATCCCCTTACAATATGTATTTTCCTTGGGTACCAATTTCACAGCTCCCCATCATTGGGCACACTGTAGAACCCGAAATAAAGACACAACAAATGATAAGTTCATCCATCTGCCTGGTTATCCTGAATAATTCAAGCTCTTTGATGAATATGAAAAATCTGTAACACACAAGCCATATATTTTTAGTCTTCACATTCACGGAAATTTTCAGAAATCGCTCCTTTCCAAATGGTAACACAACAGATGAATCCAAAATCATTCACATCGTATAGCTGGCTTTCTTCGAGTTCGACAAGCATTACATGATTTCCCTCCCAAACAAGGAGTCTAAGTAATGAATAGCCCCTGCATAGAGTTTTCCTATGAAACATGTCAAACAAGAACCTAATTCTATCCAAGCACAATTGGCATCAAGAATTTGACGACAAGGTAAATTCAAGTCGAGATCGAAAAAAGGGGATAACCCTTTTTGTGCACTAAAGACGAGATGATAGAAAGGAAATTGATTCCTCGCGGAGACCAACCTCTCAGATGTTGCATCACATCAGCGGAAACGAAAACCTAAACTGAACGCAATAATATAATCGAGATAATGAATACAATTGAAAACCAGCAAAAAAGGGACCAATTGGTGCGATCGGCACCCGAATAACCTTACCAGGATGAGGTCGAAAAGAGTGGCTTGGTCCACCTTGACAAAGTCAGCGTCCCAGCCCTTAAGCTCGTCTTCGATCCCCCGCTCCCCGCCTAAGGAGACACCATCGGAAGTCTTCGTGTTGGACGCGGCAGCACTGGCCTCCACATGCTTCTTGCAGTACTCGATCACCTTCGAGAGGATCTTGCTGGTGACATTGGGCAGAGGGATTCCGTTGTCTGCGCAGTCGTCCTCGATCATGTGCTTGATGGTCTGCGACTCCATCGCCACCGTCTCCTCCACCTCGAACTCTTCCCCATCGGAGCTCTTCAGCGTGATCTTCTTACCCCCAGACCCCGCAGTCGCCATTTTCCGACGAGGCAGCTAAGAACTGTCGCACAGAAGGGGGGGGGGGGGACCAAAGGGGGGGAGAAGAATCTAGCGAAAACGATGCAGACCTGAAGAAACCCTAAAAAAGCTTAGCCTGGGTACCGACCGCAGATCCCCCACTGATATATCCGAGGACTGCCGAAGGCGTAGGAAGACGTCCAAATAAATGGACGGTCCGATGCAAGGCAGTGAGGCCTCACAGCCGTTGGATCTTCAGCCGCCCCCTCCACCACCCAACCGACGGAATTGAACATAGGCGTTCGGTTTCCGGGAGTCCAAAATCTCGATTCCTACCCAGGCTTCCAGGCTAGGACGTGGTGACAGCAGCGTCCACGTGGCGAACCATATTAATCTAATGGGCCGATCAGCGTCTATATGGGCCGACAGACCCAATGATCGGCCCAGAAGATAGGCCGTCTAGATCTAACCGTCCGATCGGCATAGGACGGTGCAAAGAAGCATAGCGCACAGCAATCGGCGGCGTCGCCGAAAATCGAGAAACGCTGCCAGCTATTTACAGAAGAGAGATCACAGCGGGGCGACAGTTCTAAAAGGTCAACGGAGGAGACGATGGGATCCGCCGCAATGGGAGGAGCTCGGCGGGAGGTTCCTCAGGGACCCATCACCTGAGATGGCGGCGGGCTGGTCCTCGTCTTCTTGCCCACGGAATCTGCGGATTAAAACCTAGAAAAGTCAACGCCCGGCGGCGCTAGAACTTTAGACTTACTGTGAGGGGTAAGACTTACTGTAGATCCCCCGGGCCTCGACTTCTCGCCATTCTTGGACGAGGGCGCAGCAGCAGCAGATCAGATGAGAAAGGAAGTCGTCAAGAAGACCCCCCTGTGACGGTGGGAAGTGGGAGGAATAAGATCAGTGCCGGATAAAAGTCAACGGAAGAGGAAATTGCGAAAAAAAGGAACATACAGTGATGTTCAGCATCTGGCGAAGCTTCCTTCTGACGCAGCAGGTGTAGCAACAGCATGATAAGACTAACGAGTAAGCCATCAGGTCGTTGCAGGCTTCGGCTGAAGCTACGGGTCGGAAACCAGGGCAGATGAGATCAATAATCTTGAATGGATAATTAAGAGCACATGAGCACATAAAAAAAAATCATAAATCTTGCAGCAATGCTGGAATCAATGTCATGCATTAAATACCATGAAATGCATTAAAAAGTCAACGGAAGCTCCGTTTTGGACTCATCTTGCTCACAGGCTTAGTTCCCGTGGCCCAGGCCATAAAAAGTCAAAGGAAGCCTTTAGGGCAGTTGCAGGATTTATTGCACTAAAAAGAAACTAGAAAATCGCACCCACAAATTAACTACCAACTAGAATTATGTCAATACATTCTATTCATAGGTTAAATAGAGAAATATATATTCATAAGAAGAAAAATAAAAAGTACAAAGAAAGACATAGTCATGAGAAATACTTACAAACGTCCCTATTTTTGGCTACAGAAGATATCTTGGAGAATGTTCCACAAGGATAGAAGAAGGTCTTCGTGCCTGCAAGAATTCAATCGCAATGAGAAAGGCTCCAGTGATTGAACTAAATATCGCAGACTGAAGCTCCTTTTTCAACGCACTTCAGTTGTTAGTCAACGTGTGAAAAGAGGTTTAAATGCACGGTAATTCTATTTAAGGGACTATATTTTAAAAAAGAGATTAAAATTGGGCTCACATAAATAAGGTTCAGAGCAGCAACCCAGCAGATCTGCATGCCATTCGTCATGCTGACGTGAGCCCTTAGCTGAGCTGAGATCATAAATAATATGCATGAAAGATAAGAACGATGACAAATCATAGCATCACTCAGAACACATCCCCGGAAAACAAGTCGCTGAACAGAGAGGGATATATGTACGACCTTTTGCCGGCATGCTCTTTAGTAGGCTCATAATCTGAGCATTGCTCCTCTGATTTCTTGGTGTTCTTGGGCTGGGGGTCCTTCTCGGGGAGAGAATTTGCCACAGTCTTTGTCACCCCAATCAAGTGTTGGATGACTTCATATTGGCCGGCATCCATGTGAGCTTGGGATCTCTGCAGTTCTAACTGGAGTTTCTCACCTTCTTTCCTTAGGGCTTTGTCTAAAGGCATGTTTGGGTAAGAACAAGAAAGGGACTTTTTGAGCACCATCATGTCATTTTTTGAAGGTTCACGGCTTAATATAGCATCTTGAACTTCCCTATCCTCTTCGTCCAAGGTATACTCACATTGATCCCTTTCTATGTTCTCCAGTTTTTCCTGCGCAAATTTGTATAACAGGAACCGAATTATAATCAGGAAATAGAAACCACCGCAGAAGCGATCAATATGAACAAAAAAAAAAAAGAACAAGAAGCTTTCTACCTGGCAAATAATCAGCCTTTAGGACTCGAAAATAATGAATGATCGATTTTAAAAACATAGTGGGCATCTAGTTTCTATAATTCCGAAGTGGATAAATGGAAGACAGACAAATATGAGTATCCAGCGCCACAGATGACTAATGCACACTGTTTTCTTAGGAAAAAAAAGGTGGGATCCCCGCGGCTTTATCTGGAAACGCTCTCAGGACTGTCGAATTCCTGGAAAATCAGAGCACACGCTATTTCAGTTTATACTGAGGAGAAATGGTAGATACCCTGACTCTGAGGTTGTCGACGAGGGTGATGAGAGGCACAATCCGGAGGTAGCGGTCGATCTCTGTCTGGGCCTTTCTGAACTGGTAGACGATATTCCATCCCATAGCCAAGAGGTAGAGGTAGCTCCGGTCCTGGCAGCTATTCACAAGCACATAAGACTTCCTCAGCGCGTCCTCCAGCTGCTCCAGCGGCTCCCGGGTCTCGGGGTATTTCTTCAGCTCTGAGATCCTGAGCTGCTCCAGCAGATTGCCGATCAGCTTCAGGTGCTGGGCGAACTGCCGGCAGTTCTTCTTATGCATTCGCGCCGTGTTGGCTGCCTTCACAATCATCTTGATCAGACTGACGGCGTCAATACCCACAAGCTGGGCAACCGAGCCAATCTCCCCGAGCTGCTCCCACGAGGAAGCCATTCTCGCCAAGATCGATGGGCGGATGGATAGCTGAACCTGGAGCTTCTCGACAGCAGTGCAGTCCCTTCGATTCGACAAATGTCCAGAGATTTGTAGGTGGACAAGACCTCCAAAAATTATCCAAGTTTGAACGAGCGATTGCGTGGATCAGAAAGCAACAAATCGAATGGGAAGAACGGAAGTATTCCAGAGGAAGCTTCCCAAAAGGATCTCCGAAATCGACAGCCCTCGACACTTCTTCGACTACCTCCTCCTTTTCCTTAATCCCGGACCAGCCTTCTCTCACATCTTTAGCAGGTTGACCTCCTCTGACGCTTCTTCGTGGAGAGATTTGAAGTCCTTTGGTACAGGAAATAAGCGGAGAAGGAGAAAAAGGGAAAAACGATCTAGTATTGTCCACGAATACCAGCTCGGAATCAGCATTGAAGGTTTTCACAAGAAGAAAAAGAGATCGAGGAGCTGAAACGATTTTCCTGGATCTCCGGCACGCTACCCCCGCGGCGCTATTATAAGAAGCTAGAGATACTTCCGGAGAAGAAGCAGACCTCCAGGTAGCGCAAGCGGCATACCCCGACACCGATCAACCACCGAGAGCTCGGTAAAACCCTCGCACGTCGTTTCTATACCCCAAATGCCGATCACGAGCAATCCATTTCCTCTACTTTTGCATTGCTACGGAGCTTTCCTCGCCATGGAAATAATTAGCTGTAATCAAACAAACTAATCACACCACCGAAGGAAAAATGTAGCTTGGACAGATGGTCCCGACGGCGCAATTCTTCGAGAAGCCGTCTCGTCCACCTGCCCTCTCCGCGTCTCTTCTAGGCCCCCTCTGTGCTGTATCTTCTTTGGCAGAGACTGACAGTGGAAAAGCCTTCTCCGACGGAGATGAGCCCCTGGCCGGCAGTTGTCTGCCTGTGCGACTGACGTTCCTGCAGCACGGCAGCGCCTGTAGAGAGAGAGAGAGAGAGAGAGAGAGAGAGAAGGCGGGGAGAGGGAAGGTGGCAGCGGGCAGGTTTGTCTATCTTAGCCAGTCTCTTTCCTAACATTAAGATGATACCCTCTCCCGCCGTTTTCGAGATCGAGAGAGAGAGAGATAGAGAGAGAGAGAAGGGGGGGGGGGGATGAGCTGTCAGCGTCGGATGAGCAAACCATCTTGTTTTGACTCGCGGGATCGCTTTAAAGTAAATGTCTTCGCGGGGCTCACAACACGAGGATGGTGATCCAACGGTTGTTATCTATTCTCTATCAGCCTTGCTTGGCCACCACGGCCCTAGGAGCGAATCGTAACGGTTGTCCAAACGCATTGAATAATCTCAATAAGTCGGCCTCTACATCGCAGCTACGGCATCGACTCTCTCTCTCTCTCTCTCTAAACACACCAAATGGGCTAGGGCCGAGAACTGCTATGGCCCGGCCCAGTGGGGTGACGTGTCCTATTTTCAGCCTTCCCGCTCAAAGTGCGCGGTGAGCGTACCACAAAAGAGAGGGTCAAGACAGAAACGGCGGCGTCGGAATCCCTGTAACCTCGGAGCCGCTAGCAGACAGCGGAGCAGCCCACCGCACGCGGAGATCCGGGCCCTTCATTGGCCGGGCCCAATAGAATTGTTTTTGTCGAGGGACAATACTACGCCTGACGACGGGCCCGATAAGGGGCTGGCTCCTGGGCCCACCCCGTGCATCCCCTAACGCACCGACAGATAGCACACAGAGAGAGAAAATAAAATAATAAACATTAAAATATCTTATATGGTGAAAAACATTTTTGATTATTTTATATCCTGATAATTGTATGGAGGGTGATTATAGTAGGATGCCGAAAGTCAACGGAGAATACATCCCAGCCTGGACAACCGGAGACTGACGCAACCACGTGTCTTCGTTTAAATGGGGTCCACTCCTGCCAGATCATCCACGTCAGCAGGCATGTCGGCACCAATTGGTTTATGACGACGGATAACGTCTCATGTTTCGATCGATTGTCATCGCTAATCGGACTGACGTTAACAGATGCACAGTTTTTCCTTTAGAGGGCAAGATCTCCGTTGACTATTCGTTTCGGGAAAACAACTAATGCCGTTACTGTACCGAGCATTGACAATTTGATGCCATTAGAAGAAAAAAAGAAAGATAATGGCTTCAGAACATGCAAACCCTCACTTACAAGAGTATTGCTTGTGCCCATGCTTGAAAACTGAATGTGTTACGATATACGTCTTCTGGGTACATGCGAAAATAGGTTCCCACTGACTTTTTGTGCTTTCCGCGGCCGTCGCACTGTCACGCAAGTCGCCGACAGCGAACGCTCACTGCTCCCGCCGTAAGCGGCGGCGGCGGCGGCGGCGGGCAGGCATTCATCCTTTCCCACTGCCGTACGCCGAGGGGAGAAGTCAGCGCCGCCGGATGGGTGATCCATAGCTGTCACGTCGAATTGTACTGCCACTGCCGCCTTCGGCGGTGCAACTCCGAGCGCCGCCGGAGATGAGATGCAGAAGAAGAAGAGGAGAGGGAAGAAGACCGCTGTATTCAGTGATCTGTTTTCTTCTCTTATGGCAGGAAGACCTCGATAGTGTCCTGCTTGACAGATTTACAGACGGGGCAGGCGAGGAGGAGGGGGCCGCAGAGGTTGCAGGTGGAGAGGTGCATGCATGGGAGGAACAGGACTTGCAGATCCTCAGACCCGCATCCTCTGCATCGCCGGATCGCCGCCGCCTCGCGCCGCCATCGTGCTTGTTCTTCTTCTTCTCCTTCCGGGTCTCCTCCCCCGCCGCCGGCGGACCCGTCGGAGAAGGAGCCTTCGCAGCGGGAGGCGGCGGCGATTTGGCTGTCTCTGATCTGGCGGAGGGCCTCCGTCAAGGTCTGGGCCATGGCCTCCGCCTCCCTCGCAAGACACTGCCATGCCCAGTTCTCCGCCTCCGACTGCCGGAGGCGCTCCTCCAGAGCCGCCGTGGCCTCGCCGGCCCTCGTGAGCTCCTCCTCTTTGAGTCTCAGCAGGGCGGAAGCCCGCGACTCGAGCAGCCTCACCATGGACTGGATGTGGCGTTTCTGCTGCTGCCGGAGGGCCGCTGAAAGCTCCTGTCCCTGCCGGAGAAGAAGAAAGAGAACCCGTCGGATCGTCGGAAATCCTGAGGGCTTCTAATCGGTGGTTTACCTGTAAACGGAGGAGCTGATCGAAATCTCGGCTCTGATCGTCCACCGGGATGTTCAGGAGCTCGGTGGGAGAAGGAAAGCTCGCCGCCGTCTTCATCTGCCCTATCCGCCGCTGCATATCAAGGGGGAGGCATACGCCGCCGCCGTCGCCGACGAGCTCCATACCAGAGTAGCCCTCGCCGCCGGTGGAGAGGAATGGCGGCCGCTGCAGCTGCCGCCGCTGAAACTGCTGCCAGGCATGGATGCCCATGAGTTGCAGAAGAGGCTGCTGGCCCTTGGAAGAGGCGGGCTTTAGAAGATCGATCAGGACGAGAGAGAGGTCGTCATCTTCATCCACACGCGTCCTCTCGTGCACGGACTTCTGGGTCCGAAAGGTGCCGCTTTTATTTACAGCGGCAACCCTTATCTCTATTTCCACCGCCTCTCTCTCTCTCTCTCTCTTCTGGGTCCGCGAGCTAGTAGTCTCGAAAGAGTGCCGAAGGTATCATGCCTTACAATAAGAATAAATCTCTCTCTGGTGTAGTATAGCGCCGAAGATATCCTGAATCTTAAAATTGAAGTTTCCTCTCTCTCTCTCTCTCAGTCCCATCAGCCTTAAAACAAGGTTATATCTCTCTCTCTCCCTTCATTCCATACTTCGTGGCTTTGTAGAATATAAAAGAGGACCAACGCAACGAGACGGCTCCGCAGGAGCTGTTCGATGAGTAGCTGCTGAATCTAAAGAGTCGTCATTTAGGTGACCATGGACCACAGTGGATCTTCAAACACTGTTCCCTCTTCTACACAGACGCAATCATCTGGACGTACTTTCTCAAGAGAGAGAAACCCTAATAAATTTGATGGGCACTCTCTCTCTCCCCTTTGTTCTCCATTTATTTTAATTATATTTTAGGTCTTAATTTTAATTATTTCAAGGAATTCTCTACATCAGTAGAAGTCAATCTATTGACAACTACCTTTCTCATTTTCCATTCCTTAATCTCTAATATATTTTATTGTATTCATGATTTAATCATTTCAGCATTAAAGCTTTCTTTCTTACTATCTAGAGTTGAGAAGAGAATTAAATTTACATAATTAATTGGGGAAGGAGGATATTAACTATTGAGGAGAAAATTATATATCATTTATCTTATCCCATTTCATTTTGTATCTTTCTTTTTAATTAATATTTATGTTAAAAAAAACAAAAAATTGTCAAAATCAGTCCTCAATATTAAGTAAAAAAGTATTGAGGATCGACATGAACTTGCACTAATACTATAATTTATTTAGAGAATTCAGTTATGAATTTGTTAAATTTACATGCATTAAAACCAATGACTAATATATGATAAGTGAGTAAGTTTGCAAATAATCAAATTATGTGGATTATAAGACTATATCCAAGAGAAAAATCAATACCTTTAGTTCTACTAGGAGCTCTCATAACATCCAATATCATTCTAGTACAATTAGTAAAACTCCTGACTTATGATTTTTGAAAAAAATAATTTGTATTAAAGAAAAATATAGATGACCAGGTGATAAAGGGAAAATTAGATGAGTACATAACTTATATTGGATGAAAAAAATACATTAGTTCTTTGTTTATAAGGATAAAGAAATAGCTACTAAGGGGGGAAGTAGAACATGCAAGTCAAATCAGAAAGATGATGTCAAAAATATGTTTGAAAATGTCAAAGAAAATCTAATTGATAGTAAGAACACCAAGATGTGTGAGAGAGAGCACTCAGTGTGAAAGAAGAAGTTATATTTAATCATGCTCAAAAATTATAGATTGGTCAACAAGAATTTAAACTTGATGTTTGTATTGTCTTAGTACTAACATTAAGTAAACGTTAAAAATAATTCAATCTAAAGGTATTTTTACATATGGTAATAGTTAAAAACAATGGATTCATTAAGATATAGTTGAACTTGATTTTTATCTTATATAAATAATATCACACACTAAAATTTTAAAAAATATTATTTGATCACATTTAAAAACCTTAGTATTCTGAAAAAATGTGAACTTGATTGTTATATTGTAAAAGTGTTAACACATACAAAACGTTAAAAATAATTAAAAGTAGAAAAGTCAAAAAATGATTTAAATTATTTATATATATTCACACTAAAAAACTATAGGTTTATCTACATACATTCAAGCTTGATTTTTACCTTGTCTAAGGATTAGCATGTATGAAAAATTGAAATAACTTGATCTAAAGGTATTTATGTCTATCGTCATACTCAGAGATTATAGATTTCTCAATGGGTATAGGAAACTTGATTTTTATCTTGTTTGAAGAATAGTAACCATTAGAATTTAAAATAGTTTTATTTAAATGTATTCATACCTATGATCCCACTCAGAAATTATAGATTTATCAATGTACAAATTAAACTCGATTTATGTCATCTATGGATAAGCATGTAAAATAGCTAAAAGTAATTTGATCTAAAAGTATTTATACCTATGATCATATTGGAAAACTATATCTTATTAAGCATATATGTGAATTAGAATTTTATTTTATCTAAAGACTAATATGTATGAGAAGTTTGAGATAATTCTAAGATTAAATTATATAAAAATATAAAAATTATTTGATTTTGAAACTATCTATACATATGATCATATTTAAAGATTGTAGATTTGTCCACATAAATTCCAGCTCAACTTTTATCATGTTTAAGGACTATGATGAAAAATAAAATGATCTAAAATTATTTATACCTATGATCAAACTTAAAATTTATAGATTTGTCTGCATAAATATGAACTTGATTTTTACCTTACCTATCGACTACTATGGGTTAAAAATTAAAAAAATATGATCAAAATTATGTATAATTGTAATTTAATTAAAACAATATTTGTTTATCAACACAAAAGTGAACTTAGATTTTATCTTGTCCATGGACTAACATGTGTGAAAAGTTAAAAATCCTTCAAAAGAAAAGTATTTGTGCATATGACCACATTGAAAAATCATCTTGTTAATTAACATACATGATAACTTGATTACTCTTACAACTAAAACTGAAAAACTTGAGCATACTTGACTAACAATCAACATTACTAAATAAAAAATCTGGTGGAGAACTACAAGTCATGATGAATCAAAAAAATGGCAATCAAAAGAACAAAAAATCATCAAATATTTGTTATTCCACCTAAATAAAGTCAAAATATTAATCAAATAATAGTAATAAACAAAGGTGTAGAAGTATTGGAGTATATAAATCATTTACCCAAAGAGAGAGGTCAATCTATGAAACTCACTCTTAAGCACAATTCACAAAATAATTTAACCTAGTTTATTTATTTTTGTGCCTCTAATTTTAAATCATAATTAATTTTTTATCTTGTTCTTTAGAAGACCTAATAGATATGGACCTACTTTGACACTTTTTTCTAGTTGAATTGAGGTGAAGTATCTAATTTAAGTTCATTCTCATTAAGAACAATGATTATTGCCATCATTTTTTGGGGTTGTTCTATGTTTATGATGATGAAGACAATACATTTACAGAAGCACTCACAGAAAAATGGTGGTAATTTGGCACCTCTATGTCTCATTTAATTGCCAAAAATCAATTTACTAAAGTTCTTCTACATATTTGAGTGGTTAGTGGTCACAACAATGACTCATTATTTTATTTCCATGCAAAATAATTAAAGAATCACAAGAAAAAATAGTCCCACATAAAATAAAATATTTTCTTTTCTTTAATTTTGATAGTGATGTAGTTGAGGTATAATTAAATTTTACAATTGATTGAGACCTTTGTGGGGAGGGATTGGGGTCGCTTTGCTTTAGGACTTTAGTTCGTAACAAGGCTCGAAGACCTCCGGCTGGATTTGAAATGGATCAGGGGCCTAAAAGTTTTATATACAAAAATAAATTATTTATGTGATAATGTGGGTTAGAAGATAAAAAATCCACAAGAAAAATATGCGTATCTAGATCTACAATGTTGAAATTCTCATAATATATGATATCAATTAAAAATTAGTTGACAAACTCTTCAATATCTAGATCTAGTTTTTTATAAAAGAGGTTTGATAATTAAATAAAGATGTAGATGACTAGATAAGTAAATTAAAATTAAATAACGATTGGATGAAAAAAAATTCATTTGTTTGTATGCATAAAAGATGAAAAATAGTTGTGAAATAGAGGATTAGAAAACACAAGCTACCACAAAAAATATATTTTTGATGTTATTGACATTAATATTAATTATCACAATTTTTATCTCTTCTCCTATTGGTTATCTTTTATATTACTTTGTCTCTCTTACATCTCAATTGTTCAATTTGATTATTTAATATATCTATATATATTGTCAATAAAATATAATAAATTAGTTGCATTGATGCTCTTAGTTTCAATACTACCATGCAAAGATTTCTTTATTGAGTAATTCTTAAATCTTCATTAAATTTCATAAGAACTTGTGTTAAAGGTTCAATATTTATAAGAACTATTCACTATGTATAACATTAATGCTTTGGTGATTCCATGGTTAACAAGCGAATCTAAAGATGAATTTAATGCATCATCCTAAATTGCACACATAAGTACATGAATTACAATGTCAATACAAGCGATGAAATATCTAAAACATTATAAAATATCAAAGTTATTTACAAGTCTCAAAACCAAAATTTAGAAGACAACATGTCAAAAGCTTCAATGAAAAAAGGCAATTGTAAAACTCAAACTTGGAATTTGGACAATGACACTTTGGAAGCTTAAATGAAGAAATACTTAAAAAATCACAAAGTATCAAAGATTCAAGCTCAAAGTCTAGATGATAACATAAAATATCAAAGTCAAACATAAAATTCAAACCCAAAATTTGGATGACAACATGTTAGACATTTTAGTGAATAAATATCTAGAAATTCATGAAATATCAAAGTCATCTATGAGTCACAAATCAAGAATCTGGATGATGACATGTTGATAGTTTACATGACAACAATGACAAATCAAATAAGCTTATTTGCACTCAGACTTAATTAAAAATATTCATTAATAAAAAATAAATCTCTATCTTAAATTTTAAATTAAACATAAAAGATAATATCCATTGGTGTATTCTAGACAAAAGAAAGATAATTGAAATGCCATTTTTTAAGACAAGATGACTCCATAATGTTGAAGATATAAAAAAATTACTTGTGAAGAGAAACAAGAATGCTCCAATTATTATCTATTTCTCTTAATTAAGGTTCAGCTACTATGAGCT